CAAAATTGAAAAAAATGTAAGGGGTTCAATAGCCTTGCATTTTTATGAAAATTAGGCCAAAATTTGAATTTGCTCCGAAGTTCTCAAATCTCCACAAATATTAATTTACAAGGGGTTAGCCTTGCATTTTTATGAAAATTAGGCCAAAATTTGAATTTGCTCAAAATTGCTCAAATCTCCACAAATATTAATTTACAAGGGGTTAGCCTTGCATTTTTATGAAAATTAGCCCAAAATTTGAATTTGCTCCAAAATTCTCAAATCTCCCCAAATATTAATTTACAAGGGGTTAGCCTGGCATTGTTATGAAAATAAGGCCACAATTTGAATTTGTTCTAAATTCATCAAATCTCCACAAATATTAATTTACAAGGGGTTAGCCTTGCATTTTATGAAAATTAGGCCAAAATTTGAATTTGCTCCAAATTTCTCAAATCTCCACAAATATTAATTAAGGGGTTAGCCTTGCATTTTTATGAAAATGAGGCCACAATCTGAATTTGCTCCAAAATTCTCAAATCTCCACAAATATTAATTTACAAGGGGTTAGCCTTGCATTTTAATGAAAATTAGGCCAAAATTTGAATATGTTCCAAATTGCTCAAATCTCCACAAATATTAATTTACAAGTGGTTAACCTTGCAATTTTATGAAAATTAGGCCAAAATTTGAATTTGTTCTAAATTTTTCAAATCTCCACAAATATTAATTTACAAGGTGTTAGCCTTGCATTTTTATGAAAATTAGGCCAAAATTTGAATTTGCTCCAAAATACTCAAATCTCCAAAAATATTAATTTGCAAGGGGTTAGCCTTGCATTTTAATGAAAATCAGGGCAAAATTTGAATTTGCTCCACATTTCTCAAATCTCCAAAAATATTAATTTACAAGGGGTAAGCCTTGCATTAAATGAAATCAGGCCAAAATTTGAATTTGTCGAAATTCTTCAAATCTCCACAAAATTTTAATTAAAAAGGGGCAAGTCTAGCATTTTTATGAAAATAATGCCAAAATGTGAAGTTCTTGGCATAATCAATCAATTTTGTATGACATTATTTTTTAACAAAAGTTAAAATTGATTTGAGACGCAGACTTGTTCCAAATGAGTTAAAACACAAGTTCAAATTTAAATTTGTCCATTTAATGAACAAATTTCATGGGAGGTTTATAAAAATTGTAGTCATAAAAATAGTGAAATCGTAATGAAAGCTTCAAACTAATTAAAAAAATACCTAAAGCACAGACACCCTTGGACTTCATCAAGAACACTTACAGATAATTTTGTTAAATAAAGGAGATTTTTATACTTGTGTCCCTTTGGAATACCCTTTGCAACAATTACATGAATACTTGAGGATTTGCTTTTCAGCTGTAAATATTTTGTGAATCAATGTAGTCTGTTTCTTTTGCTCTACTACTAATTCAAAGTCCGTCTCGTTCCCACAGGATTTTGAGGCTTGTGTCCCTGTGGAAGGCACTTTGCAACAATTACATGAATACATGATAAGTGTCTTGAGGATTGGCTTTTTAGCTGTAAACATTTTGCAAATCAATTCAGTCTGGTTCTTTTGCTCTACTACTAATTCAAAGTCCGTCTCGTTCCCACAGGATTTTGAGGCTTGTGTCCCTGTGGAAGACACTTTGCAACAATTACTTAATAACTTTCTTGAGGCTTTCATTTTGAAATCAATTAAGTTTCTAATTTTCTACCCAATGTTCAAAGTCTGTCTAGTTTCCTCAGGATAATTTACAGGATTTGGGCATTTATGTCCATAAGGAGGAGACTTTGCAACAATCAATAAAAGACATCTTTAAGGTTTTCCTTTTTTTGCTGTAAACACTTCCAAAATCAATTTAGTTTCTTCTGCTCTACTCCAGTCATTGCAGTCTAGTTCCCAGACTCTACCAGAACTCGAGCAGCTCCTTCTTACTGAACATCTTTCCATTGAGGTTCTCGGAGCCAGGCGGCAGCAGGGCCAAGTAGACTGGTGTCTCTGCCCCTTGGTCAATGGTCAACGGTCCTTTGTGAGAGGTCATGTCTGTGTCTACATAGCCCGGACAGCACTGTCACAAAGAAATTGATTTTAAAAAAATATTAAAGAGGATAAAAAAGTGAACAATTAAGAGGGCATGCTGCAGTAAAAACTACACCATAGTGGTAGGGCGGATCCAGGGGGGGGGGGGGGCCAACGGGGGCAATTGCTCGCCTCAAAACAAACCCAAATTTGTTTTTTTTAAGTGACGTCGCAATACAGGCAGGCACTGCATACACCACCATCTTTTCCTAAAAAAATTGGTTAAAGTGGTCAGAAATTGCCTCAGATCGCACCACAGAGCATCTAGAATCCAAAACAATTGTTGGGGCCCTTGAGTGGGCCCCAAACTCCACGCCGTAATTTTTTGGATCCAATTTTTTGGGGACAAACTTTTTTTGACCCCCCCACCAAAAAAAGTGTTCTTGATCCGCCCTTGCATAGTGGCAAAACCTTATCAGAGTGGCATAAAATGTGAACAGTACTATCTGGGGCATTTTTGACAAAAAAAAATCAAACTCACACAAGTCACAAGAACATCTTCCCTTGTCTTGTCCTTGGCCAAGTCAGCTGCTTGGATTTTCGTAAGTGCGATGACCCCCATCTTGCTGGTTCCATACGCGGAGTTTGGCCAACCTTTAGCCGTGTGATCACCAGCGTTGGCAGACCTGACCCAATCAACAAGGACACGATGGTTTATTGACTTCAATGGTAAAAAGTATAACTAAAGTCTGTCATGAGCAAATATGGCCCATCAGGCCGGCGTTTATCTCAAGTTTCCTTGGCACGATAGGACCGAGAATATTTTTAACACTCCCCCCCCCATCCAGTTCCCATGGTTATACTTACTCCACAAATTCTTTCATGAGCTGCTCAACATCCTGCTCTGTCTTGACTGCTTGGAAACGACCTTTGACCTCTGCGCTCATTCTGTCGTACGCCCACTTCCCCCCTGTGCTTGCTACTTGGACGATTCTGAAATTGCATTGTTGATATTTAGGGGGGGGGAAAGGGACAAAGTACACTTTTTATGATATGAAATGGTTAAAAGCAATTGGCATTGGAAATTGACTTGTTCTTCGAGCGCTCTGAAACAAATACATAGTAAACTAATCCTAAACAAAATGATACATACCTTCCGTGGGAACGAACAAGGGGAATAAGTGTCCTGCTGACGTCCAGCAGTGCGGTAAAATTGGTTTCTATTGTAACTGATGCCTGAACAGCGAATGGTTCAGTAGCATTCATCTGGAACAAAGAAAATGAAATATAGAAATTGCTCAGGAAATAACAGTTAACAAAATGTGCTATTTTCTCCTTAACAAGGCTGTAAGTTCTGCCCTAAAATTTGCTTAAAACATTGACGAGACACCAATATTTGTAGTATCGGGATTGCATTTAACAAATGAAAAACTGATTACTTTGAAGGCAATTCCCGCATTGTTGACCAGTATGTCCAAGCCTCCGTGTGTTTCCTTCAAGAAATCCCTCGTCTTTCTCACGCTGTCTCGGTCGTTCACGTCCAACTGGTGAAACTTGGGCTGGAGTCCCTCCTGATTGAGTCTGGCCACGGCCTCCTTCCCTCTCTCCTCATTCCTGGCAGTCAGGTAGACGATTCCGTTGTCCAGTTGTTTGCACAAAGCGCGCACAATGCCAAAACCGATGCCTTTGTTGGCTCCGGTTACCTGGAATTTAAAGAAGGAAAAAAAAAAACCTGAGTGACGTTTTCTTTTGAAAAACCACACAACCTTCAGAACAGATCCCTCCCCACCCCGCCCCCGTAACTTCACTGTGAGATTATGCAGCATTATGAAGCTGATGAGTGTACAAAACAACTGAATGAAGCCTAGCTTATAACTTGGAACTATGAATGTATTCCACCAAGTCATAACATTGACAGAGAAAGAAAAACAGCCCTGTACAAACCCCAAAAATTGTATTTCATGTTTAAAAAAAAATATGCAGCACCAAACATGATTATGACTGAAAAGCCAATTTCATCAGCTACTTATAGATGAAAAAATTACTGAAATTGGTCAATTTGCTAAAGAATATTACCATTTAAACACAATGACCCTCAAACCTGTCTCATCCAAAAAATGCGATTTCAAGAATCGTTGTCACAATTGTCATTAAACATCACCAGCGATAAAATCTCAGTTTAAACGTTTAAATATTCAACAAAGTCTTTTTGAAGGCACATCTTTTTTTTTAAAAAAGGAGATTTTATAAATTATACTGTTTTGCCTAACCGGATATTGTGCATAACAGGTGGTGACAGTTGTTGAAACTAGTATTCCGTGTCATTTTCTTTGTTGTTCCAAACAGTCAAAAACACACAATAAATTGCTTTTTTGGACGCGACAGATTTTTGGGTCATTGTGTTTAAATGATGATATTATTCGAACAGATTGAGCAATTTCACTATTTTTTTTCATCTAAATATAGCTTATGAAATTGGCTTTCCAGTCATTATTATTTTTGGTGCTACATATTTTTTTAAATATGAAATATATTTTTGAGGGTTTGGGTTCCGTTTTTTTTTTGGACTCACCCTGTACTTTCAGTTTAACAATCAAAAGTTAGATATTACCAATGCGACCCATTGTTCCATGTTCCCAGTGTGTAACTAGAAAGATTGAAGTACTGGAAACAGAGCATTAGGGTGCGACGTTGGAAAAGTATACACAGGATCAAAACACTTGTTGACTTTGTCTTGAACTTTGCACTTATGTGCTGGTGTTTCATTTGTGTGTTGATTTTACCAGAGACATACAATGTAAATGTTGACTCCTGATGATAATAACAGTTTTGATTTTGAAAATTTCAATAAATAACCTTTTGAAGACTCCTGATAATAACATTTTGATTTTGAAAATTTCAATAAATAGCCTTTTGAAGACTCCTGATCGAGAACAATATTTTCTTCATAATTTCTTGGCACAATCATTCAATTTTGTCCCAAAAACAAAAAAAATTGTATGACATCATAATATTTTACAAACTTAAAAGTGATTTCAGACGCAGACTTGTTCCAAGTTAAGACAAGTTCAGATTTTAATTTGTCCTTTCTTTTAATGAATAAAATTCATGGGAGGTTTATAAAAATTGTAGCCATAATAAAAATGAAAGCTTCAAATGATTTGAAAAAATATCTAAACCTAAGACACCCTTTGACTTCATCAAGAACACTTGCAGATTAAGTTTTTAATATAAAGGAGATTGTTATGCTTGTGTCCCTATGGAAGACACTTTGCAACAATTACATGAATACATGATAAGTGTCTTGAGGATTGGCTTTTTAGCTGTAAACATTTAATCATTTCAGTCTGGTTCTTTTGCTCTACTACTAATTCAAAGTCTGTCTCGTTCCCACAGGATTTTGAGGCTTGTGTCCCTGTGGAAGGCACTTTGCAACAATTAAATGAATACATGATAAGTGTCTTGAGGATTGGCTTTTTAGCTGTAAACATTTTGTAAATCAATTCAGTCTGGTTCTTTTGCTCTACTACTAATTCAAGTCTGTCTCGTTCCCACAGGATTTTGAGGCTTGTGTCCCTGTGGAAGACACTTTGCAACAAGAACTTCATAACTTTCTTGCGGCTTCCATTTTGAAATCAATTAAGTTTCTAATTTTCTTCCCAATGTTCAAAGTCTGTCAAGTTTCCTCAGGATAATTTAAATGAGTTTGCGATTGTGTCCATAAGGAGGAGACTTTGCAACAATCAATAAAAGGCAAATACGGTTTTCCTTTTTTTGCTGTAAACACTTCGAAAATCAATTTTATTAGTTTCTTCAGCTGTACTCCAGTCGTTGCAGTCTAGTTCCTGGACTCTACCAGAACTCGAGCAGTTCCTTCTTACTGAACATCTTTCCGTTGAGGTTCTCGGAGCCAGGCGGCAGCAGGGCCAAGTAGATTGGTGTCTCTGCCCCTTGGTCAATGGTCAACGGTCCTTTGTGAGAGGACATGTCTGTGTCTACATAGCCCGGACAGCACTGAAACAAAGAAATTTATTTTAAAAAAAAATTAAAGAGGATAAAAAAAAGTGAACAATTAAGAGGGCATGCTTTGAACAAATCTCCACAAACTAATCGGCAATATTCATGAACTGCAAAAAAGAAACGATCGTAAAGTATCCCATCATTTTCCTGGCTTCTTGCGATAACTAATAGTCTATGAACATGATGAAAAAGACCCTGGCCCTGGTGAAGCCGACCATGGTCTATGATACGCAAACAGATTCGGGGATTAATTATGCAACTAGACTTCGTATGACCTCGAGAGTTTTATAATCTTCTTCGTAAAATCAATCCCCCCCCCCAAAAAAAATTGTCAACGTTCTGGATCCGCCCTTGCATAGTGGCAAAAATATTATCAGGGTGGCACAAAATGTGAACAGTACTATCTGAGGCATTTTTGACACAAAAAAAATCAAACTCACACAAGTCGCAAGGACATCTTCCCTTGTCTTGTCCTTGGCCAAGTCAGCTGCTTGGATTTTCGTAAGTGCGATGACCCCCATCTTGCTGGTTCCATACGCGGAGTTTGGCCAACCTTTAGCCGTGTGATCACCAGCGTTGGCAGACCTGACCCAATCAACAAGGACACGATGGTTTATTGACTTCAATGGTAAAAAGTATAAGTAAAGTCTGTCACGAGCTAATATGGCCCATCAGGCCAGCGTTTATCTCCAGTTTTCTTGGCACGATAGGACCGAGAATATTTTTAACACCCCCCCCCCATCCAGTTCCCATGGTTACTTACTCCACAAATTCTTTCATGAGCTGTTCAACATCTTGCTCTGTCTTGACTGCTTGGAAACGACCTTTGACCTCTGCGCTCATTTCGTCGTACGCCCACTTCCCCGATGTGCTGGCTACATGGACGATTCTGAAATTGCATTGTTGATATATTTTTTTTTTTTAAAGGGACAAAGTACACTTTTTATTATATGAAATGGTTAAAAGCAATTGGCATTGGAAATTGACTTGTTCTTCGAGCTCTCTGAAACAAATAGATAGTAAACTAATCCTAAACAAAATAATACATACCTTCCGTGGGAACGAACAAGGGGAATAAGTGTCCTGCTGACGTCCAGCAGTGCGGTAAAATTGACTTCCATTGAAACTGATGCCTGAACAGCGAATGTTTCAGTAGCATTCATCTGGAACAAAGAAAATGAAATATAGAAATTGCTCAGGAAATAACAGTTAACAAAATGTGCTATTTTCTCCTTAACAACACTATTAGTTCTGCTCCAAAATTTGCTTAAAACATTGACGAGACACCAATTTGTAGTATCAGGATTGCATTTAACAAATGAAAAACTGATTACTTTGAAGGCAATCGCAGCATTGTTGACCAGAATGTCCAAGCCTCCGTGTGTTTCCTTCAAGAAATCCTTCAGCTTTCTCACGCTGTCTCGGTCGGTCACGTCCAGCTGGTGAAACTTAGGCTGGAGTCCCTCCTGATTGAGTCTGGCCACGGCCTCCTTCCCTCTCTCCTCATTCCGGGCAGTCAGGTAGACGATTCCATTGTCCAGTTGTTTGCACAAAGCGCGTACAATGGCAAAACCAATGCCCTTGTTGGATCCAGTTACCTGCAATTTGAAAAATGAAAAGGAAAACAAAAACAAAAAAAAACAATAATGACTTTTTCTTCGAAAATCCAAATAATTTTCAGAACCCCCCTACAAAAATTAACGATCAATACTATGATAACTTCAAATTTAACAGATTATGTAATGTTAATCATTATGTAACGTTAGTAGTCGTGCACAAAACAAATAATTCAGACCGAAGCTAACTTTGAATTTGGACTGTATTTTAACCAGTCACTGGTGGAGAAAGACAACAAAAAACACCACATCATTCACTTGTTAGTCACTTGTTAGACATGCACTTATCAGGAAAACGAACAATTTATCTTACCAATGCGACCCGTCGTGTCCTTTTCCTGATGTGTATCTAGAAATATCCTTACTTTGTGTTGCTTTGCACTTTGCACTTAATACATTAACCCCAACCCTCCAGGGTAATTTGGCTAGAAACCCTGCCAAACGCAGCAACATGCAACATTTGTCTACGTGACAAGCCTGCCCATTATGCAGCAAGATCCATCAGGCCAATCTGCCTCAGAGTCGGTGGTCGCCGCTGCTGTTCAATGGGACTACATGTAGCTCTCATTGTCTCAGAAGTGGCCGTTTATGCTGGTGTTGGCAGCTGAATGTATCAAAGTGCACCAGACTTTTCCACCTGATGTACGGTGTTGCTTCTGGCAGGCTTAGGGTTAGCCCTAACAGTCCTGAATCCTCCGATTTCAATACGATTTTGCATACCCCCTAGGGAGTTAGAGTTAATGGTGTAAAAAATGTTTAGTGTCTATGTTTACATTGATCAGAGACATACACAATGTAGATGTACATGTACATGTACTTGTAAAATCATACACAGAGAGGTAGCTAAACAAATCATCCTTTTTAGTGCCAACTGTCCAAGGATTCCAGACCTGCTAGCATCTATGGACCTTTACTTTTCAGTAATCGCATCACTGATTGACGATCATCAATGTCACAACGCGTTGCAGTGGTGAGATTCTTGTCATTTTTGTTTTCATAAAGTCAAGTCTTTTAAAGTCTAAGATGAATCAAGCCCGCGGGAATGGGGGGGGGGGTGCTGTGGGTGCTGCAGCACCCCCAACTTTTTGCTTCTCTTCAGGAGTTATGCCCTCCCAAAGACACTGTACTCATGGAACTCTTCTGGTCGTCATTTTGAGTCAACGTGATTGTTTTGTTAGAAATGAGCACACCGTTTATTTTAAGTTCAAATATAGCCAAAATTTACAACAAATAAAAGCTCTTTATAGGAGAAAGACAACGGTACAAATGATATTGCCATAGGAGCTTCCTATCAGGAGTTATTCCCTCCCAAAGACACCATACTCTATGAATTCTTCTTGTCGTAATTTGAGTCAATGTGACTGTGTCCCTTATTTAATTAGCATACTGTTTATTTTAAGTTCAAATATAGCCGAAATTTACATCAAATGAAAGCTCTGGAAAGGAGAAAGACAACGGTACAAACAATATTGCCACAGGAGCTTCCTATCAGGAGTTATTCCCTTCCAAAGACACCATACTTTATGAATTCTTCTTGTCGTAATTTGAGTCAACGTGACTGTGTCCCTTATTTAATTAGCATACTGTTTATTTTAAGTTCAAATACAGCCGAAATTTACATCAAATAAAGCTCTGGAAAGAAGAAAGACTGGTGCAAACGATATTGCCACAGGTGCTTCTGTTAAGACGTTATGTCCACCCCCACCCCACTTCCACACCCTATCACTAATCATCCCACTAAAACACAACCCATTCAGTACCACCCGGCCCCCCACCCAGTCACACCCTACTTATTAAACGTGATAGACGCAAAATCTGGCGAAATCGAGAAGGCACCCAAGTTTTGTTTTTGTCCATTTCGCACTGAGTGAAACAGATTTCAGCTTGAGTTCTAGGCAGAAAGTAAGTCACTAAATCCATTTATGCCGTTATTATGGCTGTATAAAAAGCATCCCCTAAGGTCTTACCTTCTAAAAACTGATGCAAACTCGATCAAAACGATTATTTTCTGTAAAAGTGATAACAAAACTCTTTTTCTGGAACTAATCCATCGATTTTGATCGTGAAAGTAGCTTTCAATGAAGTTTCATAAAGTCACTTAAAGCGGAAAACACGTCATTTTTGTGACCGCCTTCATCCCCCAACTTCCAGGTCATTCAAACAAAAATGGCGATCGTGTGTTGGGCCACGAAAAATCAAAGCTCTGAAAAACTCATCAAAAGTCACTTTTTTACATCCAAAACGTAAGAAAATAATATTACAGTGAAATAATTTGATAACATTTCACGCAAGTTTGGAAGTTTGGGGGCGAAAAACTGAAAGGTGAGTGTTCTGTAGCGATTTAAACTTCGGTAATTTTACGTGTGTCCAGAATAGAAAAGGTCAATATCGCGAACCCGCTGCAATAGCTAAAAAATTGAGAACTCCTTCTAGCGCCCCAGGCCCAGTTAATACTAGTCTGATAGTGGGTCTAGGAGACGGAAAGATTCCCATATCTGGCCATCAGTAATTTTTCCCTTAAAAGTTAAATAATCTATCAGCCATTAAAAAGTGGTAATATGTCCTAAAAAGTCAAAGTTAGCGGGGACAACTTTTGAAGTTTTACTGAGAAAACAAACATTTTCAGACCAGTCCCATAGGGTTTGTGCACAGGATGACAAGTGATGGCCAGATATGGGAATCTTTCCTAGGCGACTAGGCCTAGGCTAGGGGTAGCTGGAGTTACCCAGCCCTGAGTTTTATCATTGGGTTGTCATCTAGGGCTGGAGCGTATTTTTCTCGTAACTTGTAGTATATTCAAAAAATTTTGGAAAATGTTCAATTTTGTCCCCGTTACACACTAATTGCAACTGCAACTCACCCCAAACTTGCCTGGAATAACCATTACACAGGTCCTTGAAGTAAAAAACGATCCACGATGAAGATTCAGCCTACAATTGCAGTGAAAACAGGAGGAATAACCGCTAACTTGACAACCTTGCTGGATTGGCCAGGACCGCAATTGGTTTGTGCACAAAAAAAATTGTGTACAATGAATGGCGGTCGATTAACAGGCACAGAGAGCGATCGCTGTCAACTACTCGGTTTCGCTGGCTGTTGGCGCATGACGTCACGCGGAAGCGTAACACCCGATGACTGTTTCATGCACTATTGGTTGCGGTTCCAGTACCAAAGCTGTGATGCGAGTGGTAAACCTTATATTAGTGCATGAAACAGTCATCGGGTGTTACGCTTCCGCGTGACGTCATGCGCCAACAGCCAGCGCAGCCGGCAAAAACGAGTAGTTGACAGCGATCGCTCTCTGTGCCTGTTAATCGACCGCCATTCATTGTACACAATTTTTTTTGTGCACAAACCAATTGCGGTCCTGGCCAATCCAGCAAGGTTGTCAAGTTAGCGGTTATTCCTCCTGTTTTCACTGCAATTGTAGGCTGAATCTTCATCGTGGATCGTTTTTTACTTCAAGGACCTGTGTAATGGTTATTCCAGGCAAGTTTGGGGTGAGTTGCAGTTGCAATTAGTGTGTAACGGGGACAAAATTGAACATTTTCCAAAATTTTTTGAATATACTACAAGTTACGAGAAAAATACGCTCCAGCCCTAGATGACAACCCAATGATAAAACTCAGGGCTGGGTAACTCCAGCTAGGCTAGGGGCTAGGGCTGGGTGCGCCACTGGCTTATCAGGAAAACAATCAAAAGTTAATCTTACCAACGCCACCCGCTGTGTCATTTTCCCGCGGACCGAGTGTGTCAAGCTTATTCGACAGGAAATTTTGCTGTGTCGGGGATCGTACGCGTAGCATGCAGGGTAACCCGGGAGCGAGCTGCAGCTGAATGTGTTGTGCCCATTCTTGAAAATCACGCATTCTCGAGAATGGGCATGCACATTCTTGAGAATGTGCAACTGGATCCTTGCTCAATCTTGGCAAAAAATAACTCTTCCAGATTGAGCGCACATTCTTGAGAATGCGCGACAAGATAACGGTCTTGTCGATGCCGAGCACCGGCTGCGCTTGGCAAGTCTAGCTGAATCCTCGTTCACTGATTCTCAATAATTATACTGTTGCAACGCAAGGCGCTGAAAAGTGGATATGATAAGTAAAGGCGTATTGATATGGGGGGGGGGGCGGACCGGGAAAATATAAGAGACATAATAATACTAGTGCAAAGAATTCTGATTTTTGGGATAATAAAAGCGGGGGGGGGGTGGGGGGGACGTAAGAATGAAGAATGTGAAGAATGAGAATGAATACTGCGACATCCCATAGTGCTAATGCTATTTCCCATTTAAATTGCCACCAATTTATTGTTCACATCCCACCATAACGTCGCAGAGCTGGATTCTATCTAGTCAAAAGAGCAATTTTGGCAGCTTCTGGACATCGTTTTTTTTTCGTGGCACGCATATGATACATGCAGGGACTTGTAACTTGTCTAGCCTAAACAAAGCACTTCCCAGACTAGTTCCCAGTCCTCCGTTATTACAAAATTTCCCATAGTGGGCAGAAAAAAAGCAATAATAACAGGTTTAATTTGATTCAAATTATCGTAGTTATACGAGTACAGAAGCATAGCACATTTTCTTTCCTCTTTATATGAATTGTTTCCCTTTTAATCGCTATACAATTCATTTAACATAATTATGTCGTGCAATGTTTGTTAAGATTGGGCAAAATTCATAAATTGTGCACGTGATATTCCCACCCAATCTTAAGAATGAGCGCTCATTCTTAAGAACGCGTGCTCGTTCTTAAGAATGGGCGCTCATTCTTAAGAATGCGCGCCCATTCTCGAGAATGTGCATGCCCATTCTCGAGAATGCGTGATTTTCAAGAATGGGCACAACAAATGCAATGAACGGAGTAATTTAGCAAAAGTTAATAAAGGAACAATAGAGGGCGCTCCGTTGGAGACAGGAATCGCTCATTGCTCATCGCTCGTGACTTGCAGTTTTCACATTGTTTACTTTTCTTTTGTGCCTTGTTACATTAGCAAATAAATGATTGAGTAAGTACACTACTAGCACTAGTGGTAGGCAGATGTTGTAGTTATTTACCATAAGCAGAGAACTATTATTCATCATGTCTCAACGCGTTGCTTTGGTAAGATAATGACACTTCTTTTTTTACTCAGGTCTGGGCTGGGGTAGTCACCGATTAAAGTAACTGGTAAAACTCATGAACTAAAATGGGATATTATTCACAGCACAAGAATAGCAACAAGACTGCAAAAGAACGACAAATTATTATCAAAACTTTGCTCGATCTTAACTCAGTACAGTGACACAGTGTATAAAAGAATGCGTTACTCACACATGGCATGGGCGTCGCCAGCATTTTTTTCAGGGGGGGGGGAGGGCAAAGTACATCCCCCCCCCCTTAATCCCTATATTTTTCAGCATTTTCCCGATTGATAATTTTTTTCAAGGGTGGGCAGGGACATTTGCCCCCCCCCCCCCTATTAACAACAATATGCTTTCACGCCTAGCCTCTTTTTCTTCTTCCCCCCCCCCCCCCCCCCTTTTTTGGGCTTGTCCGGGGGGGGGGGGGGCTCCGCCCTGAAACCCCCCCCCCCCATGCTCACACCCGTTTTTTTCAAGCCATGGCTTCCTATTGTGTTTCTATTGTTACAGGTAACCGGATCCAACAAGGGCATTGGTTTTGCCATTGTGCGCGCTTTGTGCAAACAACTGGACAACGGAATCGTCTACCTGACTGCCAGGAATGAGGAGAGAGGGAAGGAGGCCGTGGCCAGACTCAATCAGGAGGGACTCCAGCCTAAGTTTCACCAGTTGGACGTGACCGACCGAGACAGCGTGAGAAAGCTGAGGGATTTCTTGAAGGAAACACACGGAGGCTTGGACATACTAGTCAACAATGCGGGAATATCTTTCAAGGTATATATTAATTTCCATCCCCCCCCAAAAAAATTGTAGGGCCTAATTCAAAAAAATCCCCCCCCCCCCCCCCCCCCCGGCCCCCAAAATACACCCAGTAGTGAATAGGCCTAATACTAGTGTTCTACACTTTATCGGTATCAATTGTTTTCGTTATCTTCGTAGGGAAATGCTACGGAACCGTTTGGAGTTCAGGCGACAGTTACCATGGCAACCAATTTTACGGCACTTTTGGAAGCCAACAGGATGCTTGTTCCACTTATACGTCCCCACGGAAGGTAACACTCTTGGATTTATCTCATTCAACATCTGGGTTATTTTTTATCAGATTTTATATCGAGATCTTCCCGCAATGTCAATTATCAACAAATGGTGTTATTTGTTTGAACCCGTCATTCAAGGATTCCTTTTCAGGTCATTTGTGTGGCTTTTTGCTCTTTCAGAATCGTCAACTTGGGCAGTTTCACCGCACGACTGTATGCGTTTGAGAAAATGAGCAAAGAGCTCCAAACTCGTTTTCAAGCGGTAAAGACGGAACAGGACGTGGAGAACCTGATGCGAGAATTCGTTGAGTAAGTCCATCTCAAAAGGTTCGACGTACCTTTCAACCTCAAGTGCAAGTCAGCTGCTTTGTTCAACTGCTTTGGCCGATGAATTGAATCATCAGACTTTAATGCTTGTTGTATTATTTTTTTAATTTCTCATCAGGCTTGCAAACGCTGGCAATCACGGCAGCAAGGGCTGGCCAAACTCCGCCTATGCAACTACCAAGATGGGGGTGGTCGCACTGACCAAGGTCCAAGCTGCCGACATAGCCAAGGACAACACAAAAGAAGATGTTCTTATGATATGTGTAAGGAAATTTTCAAAATACATTAACTATCATACACCCTTCCTACCCTATTCTGACAGCCCCTACCCTAATTTTTGTATATGAAAAATGAGAAAAAAACAACCCCAAAACATCACTTTATAACTTTTACCCTTGATTACACGCAGACACCTCCATATGATCGTACACAAAAAAAATTGGCCAAAAAAAAAAAAAAAAAAAAATCCCTACCTACCTACCCTATTTTCGAATGTCATGTAATCGGAAGCAGAAATATATTTTTTTTGGCCTAAGCACAGTCAGTATCAGAATTTTCAATAATCAATATATTTTTCTTTTATTTTCCAACAGTGCTGTCCTGGTTACGTAGCCACAGACATGTCTTCTCATAAAGGTCATTTGACCATCGACCAAGGGGCGGAGACGCCAGTCTTCAGTGCCCTGCTACCGCCTGGCTCCGAGCAATTCCAAGGCAAGATGTTCAGTGAAAAGAAGCTGTACGAGTTCTGGTAGAGTCTGAATCCAGACTGGTCGAATGCTCATGAAAACTCAGTGTGAAAATGTACGAATTTGTAGAGTAATACAGTGCTTGGTTTACATGATTTTGATATTTTCAGAGCCTAAGCTGACATACTTTTCATTAGTGTTTCCTGTTCCATAAATACAAAGAATCTGCCTTTTTGGGGAAAAAAATGTGATTAATTTTAGCAGATTTAATAAAGAGGACCATTATGTATTTCAAATTTCCAAAGAACAAAGTCTAAGGTTTGATCGTTGTATTTTATATGCAAATACCTTGTTATTCCTGCTTTTATCTAGTATGTTCGCTTGAGTGTTGTAAATCGCTTTTTAAATTTTAGATTGTAGGCCACCCATGCAGCTTTTTGAATTGTTTTTGTATTGTCTTAAGGTTCTATTGGAATAAGTTTTTAACTTAATAATACAGTTTGTATGTTTATTCTTTGTATAAGTGCCTTGAGGTGGATTTTTCTGTAATTGTCTGCGCTTTATAAATTTCTCTATTATTATTATTATAGAGTCAGCATCTATGAAATGTTAATGCATCTTTTTAATTCTTAATAGGCATTCATTAAGTACTAATAAAATGTGATATTTTGAAAAGGAAATATGTGAAATCATCTGATTTATGTATTCTGGAAGTGTTCAATAGATATTTTTGTCAGATCACTTAAAACCAGGACATTTCATATTATAGGTCTTCTGAAATAGCAGTCAATATGGTACACAATTCAAAAACAATCTGCATTTTAATTTACAATTCAGAGAGAAAAGATTTAGAGAAAAGTAAGTTCTTGCTCAGAATTCAACTGAGCTCAATATCGTACAAAAAACAAAAATGTTCTTAGAACAAGGAAAATCAAAAATGACTGAGAAACTGACGTCTTTGCAATTGATTAACATTAATAAAATCAGTCGCATCTACATGATTAACATAAGAAAAATTTTACTAGTTTGTGTCTGACTTTTACTATTTTACAACTTGTATTAAAAAGGATGACGGTGCAACAATAAAGTCATAGGGGGCTAGGGGGCTTTTATTAAACTCCTGAAATGAAGGGGGCGGGAACCAGTCAGTCTTTGATGTGTGTATCACTGGTTCCCGTGTGGATTTTTCACCTCGCCAATCTTCTGCACTTCACTATCCTCCAAGTTTTACCAAACCACTTCTGCTCATAGAGTTAGCGCCCACACTTCAAATTCCTTTGAGGTAATCTTCCGTGGAGTATGGATAACCCTTCAAATCCCCGCACAATTCTTTTGTGTGGTTAATCTCGGAAGCAAGCAGGCAGATTCGGAAGCAAGCAGGCAGGGAGTGCAGGTGCAGGGTCTAACGCAGACCTAGTTTCGTCGCAGCCGCTGTCGGGAGATACGCCAAGAGTTAGGCTCCTCGTATTTGTTGTAGAGCGGCTCCAGACGCTGCTGCTTCTTGTGCTTGCTGAGCTTGGTCGGGTCCGAGACGCGGAAGAACGACGGAGCGAACTCCACCAGCCACTTGGGGTCGATGGTGGTGACCTCTCGCATGTACTCCTTGGTGGTCAAGACAAGCTCGTGGTAGACAACCCTGCGAGAAAGTGATGACCATACAGAGTATGTGAAAGTGGGAAGTTGTGGTCATTGTTTTCCAGGCTTCATTGTTACTCTGTGGAGCATCAGTCAACTTGAACTTATTTTTTTGATAAATCAAAAAATATTATGAGGATTTATCTTACCAGTCTGGTTGGCGGTTGAAGAGTGCACTGGAAGGATGGATGTAGACAATCTGACTGTCCACTAGTGTGCGGTAACCCTCTTGTGGATCCTATTTCAATTGAAAAAAAAAAATTGGGAAAAATTATGAAATTTAAAATGTTTCAAAATCAATTATTGGTCTATGACAGTCATCAAACTCTGCAACTGGAATGGGATACTTTTGAGACGTTGGTTTCAGCAAACATACCGGCCCTTTTTTCATTGCTTGCATCACATTGAGCATGCGCGCTTTGGCTTAAACATGACGTAAACAATTGAAAACGGACGGTATGTTTGCTGCCACCTTGGCTCAAACATGACGTAAACAATTGAAAATGGACCGGTATGTTTGCTGCCACCAACGTCTCACAAGTCTCCCATTGAAGGTATGCAATAATAGAAGCCTTAGGGTTCAATTTACCGTCCCTTTCCAACATTTCAGCAACTGTGTTGTTGAGTGTAAGACACATCAAGAACATTGTAAACTGTAAAAAGGCTTTCCTATATATGTAGTGATTTAAAAATGGCTTACCTTTTTGGCAGCACTGCGGAAGAAGCCACTGCAGATTGCCTTCTGTACCCTGGCAGTGTTCTTGCCGCACGTCACCACGTCCAACTTGTGCCTGGGAGGAAAAGTGAAGGGTCGGAATTCATGGTCATAATTGTGCACTGATTCAGACTAACTAGTGACAGATTCTGAGTGACTTGTGACTGGCTTGTGACTGACATGTGACTGACGTGACTGAATTGTGACTCACTTGTGTCTGACTTGTGTCTGACTTGTGACTGACATATGACTGAATTGTGTCTAACTTGTGTCTGACTTGTGACTGACTTGTGACTGACTTGTGACTGACATGTGACTGACATGTGACTGACGTGACTGAATTGTGACTCACTTGTGTCTGACTTGTGTCTGACTTGTGACTGACATATGACTGACATGTGACTGAATTGTGTCTGACTTGTGACTGACTTGTGATTGACATATGACTGACATATGACTGACATGTGACTGAATTGTGTCTGACTTGTGACCGACTTCTTACTAACTTGTGACTGACTTGTGACTGATACCGACTGAATTGTGACTGAATTGTGATGGATTTGTGATGGACTTCAGACTGATTTGCGAAGCTTATGATTGACATGTGATTGACTTGTGACTGATCTGTGTTGACTTGCAACCGACTTGTGATATCTTTTGATGACTTGCGACTTATTTGTGATGACTTGCGTTCAACTTAACACAGACTTAAGCCTGATCTGTGATGCCTTGTGATAGAATTGTGAGGACTACAACCCCATCACAAACCTACCGATCCATGATTCCTAGCAGCTGCTTCCTGACGTCCTGAGCTCTCCTCAGCGTCCGCGCCTGGACAAAGTTCTCAAAGCACCAGGGATTAGAGAACTTGTTGTTCTTCCAGGAGTTATAGACGGCCAATAAGGTCAGATGATCTCCCTCAGCTTGTTGGAACTTGGCCTTACGCTGGTCTGCGATCGCTTGCTTGTCCTTTTAGAAGAAAAAAATAATAAAAGTTTGTCGTAAAATCCTTGTGCACGTAAAATCCTTGTTTAGTGGACCATTGGGCAAGTCCAGCATTGCGGGAAAAGTTGCAATGTCCGTGACTGAGCCATTTAACCTCGATATCTTATCAATGATTCAGAGAAATGATCCAAAACTCCTAGTCTGTAATGTCCTTGATCATTAGGCCCAAATAAAATGTTGTGTTGCCCTCATCCGACCTACCCAAAAATCTGGAAATCTCCAATGGTATTTTGTTTTCTTTTTCACTAAAAGAACAATACATAATTCCTCCCGTTAGTTTTCATGTGAGGGCAACACAATAATTTTTGGGGGGGGGGGGGGCTTTTAATGGATATATAAGATTTGAATAATACATTTTCCGGTTTATTAGCTGAGCTCTTACAGTACAAAAATTGTCCGATTTGCAATGTCAGATTTGGCCATAATCCTCACCAAACTTTGATTTGTGTTCATTTCACACAGTTTTGGCTTTACTGAGAAATCCTTTGCTTAAATTTTGAGGTACTTTTCCTGTATTTTAGTGGGGTAGAAGGGTTCATGATAATTCATGTACGTACCTTAGGTCTGTAGAAGACATTTTGCACTGACAACATGGATACAATGGTCAGTATCTCTTCGCTACATCCCAGATGGACAGACATGATCAGGACCTTGGATAGCATGGGCTCCAACGGAAACTCTGCCATCTGTAATAAGAAAAAGCATTGCAAGAAGTCGGAATATGCAGAAAGAGTATGGAGTTCAGGCTATGGGACTGACATTTTGAAGTATGATATTTCTAAGTAACTGTACTTACAAATGCATTCTCGTTTGGCTTAGAATGTTACTTATTTATTATCATTATCATTCTTATTAATCATTTGTGGTAATGAAACCAAGGATTCCTCAAAAGCGCCCTAGGCACTGTAGCTCGCAAGCCTGAAGAAACCTGTAGAGAGAAGACAATGAGAAGAAATTACAGTTTTAGAGGTGGGAGGAAAACCCCAGAAGAGGATTCTGGGGAAAACCCAGGGAATCAGTTAGGGACTGAAAACCCAATCCACATATTGGCCCAGGCGGGATTCGAACCCGGGTCACAGCGGTGGAAGGCGAGGAAAGTACCGCTACGCCAACCTGACTCTGCTTAGAATCTGCATGAAATTGGGCCGAATTCATTTTTCAGACAAAGAGTTAAAAAATATGCAAAAACATAATTAGTCTGGTACCATTACACTATTACACCCACACATACCCTGCGTCCAAGTCTGGTTAACAGACCCTCGTCGTCCAATGCACTCAGTGAGTGCAGCTGCTCCATCGCGGTGATGAGCGTTTCCGTGGGCGGGGCGTCCATGAAGTCAAACGCCAGCAAGTCGTTGATCCCCATGGCTTTGAGAGACAGTAACGTGCTGGCCAGGTTGGTGCGCTGGATTTCGGGGACGGCCGTGGTAAGCATTTCGTCGCGGTAGGCGCGCTCGGTGTAGAGCCGGTAGCATTTGCCGGGGCCTGTGCGGCCGGCACGACCCGCACGCTGTTTAGCCTGGGCCTGTTAAAAACAAGTTAACACATATTGTACTACATTGTATAACATTGTGTTACATTGTATTACATTGTATAACATTGTATTACATTGTATTTTGAATCCATAAAACCATGCAGTATCCCTGAAATTTGGGGCATTGAAGGGAGAAATAGGTTAAACATTGAAAAGTCATAACATCCCAACATTGTATAACATTGTGTTACATTGTATTACATTTTATTACATTGTATAACATTGTGTTACATTGTATTACATTGTATTACATTGTATTACATTGTATATATTCTCTGTTGAATCCATAAAACCATGCAGTATCCCTGAAATTTGGGGCAGTAAAGGGAGAAATAAGTTAAACATTGAAAAGTCATCACATCCCAACATTGTGTTACATTGTATTACATTGTATTACATTGTATTTATTCTCTGTTGAATCCATAAAACCATGCAGTATCCCTGAAACTTGGCGCAGTAAAGGGAGAAATAGGTTAAACATTGAAAAGTCATCACATCCCAACAAATTGGCTCTAGCTTTTAGTAATCATCAGGCATGCAACTGGGAATTTAGAAAAAGAATCGAGGAAATTCCAAACTACGCAAGAATTTGTAGTGTTTTTCAATTTCTAATGGCATTCATGAGAAGTAAAAAAGAGGAAATCAGTGGATCCGAGGAAAAGTTGCATGCCTGAATCATGCAAAATTTATTAACTCTTTTCGGATTGTATAGGGTCTGGGACGGTTCGTGCTGTTTTGTTTTACCTGTGATATTGGCGTGACTACAAGTTGGTCCATGCCCGTCTTGGAATTGTAGACTTTCTGCTTGACGAAGCCAGGATCCACCACGTAATAGATGCCGTCGATGGTCAGTGAGGTCTCGGCAATGTTGGTGGCAATTACAACCTGGGTAGGGAAAGGAAGGTGATTTGATTAATGGTTGGGTTGGACTGGGTTTGGATGGGTTGCGTTCTGTTAGAGAAGGGTAATTTTGCAAGATTAGCAGGTTTAACAGCTGGCTAGCATGGGTGGAGTTGGGTTGCTTTGTGACAGAATAGGCTATTCTGGGTTGCAATGGGCTAAGATTGGTTAAGTTGGCATAGACAGGGACAGTCTGGACAGGGATGGCGAGTTTTAAATGGGCTACATCGGGTACAAGTTACCGGTTGGTTATGGGGTAAAATGGGTTATTCTGGGGTAAAATGGGCTATTCTAGGCTAGGTTGGGTCATGTTGGTTCAGCTGGGCAAGGCTGGGCTGGGTTGAATTTTTGATCGACAGGGCTAGTCAGGTTTGGACTGGGTTGCTGTCTAGGTACTAGGCTTGGCGAGGATTAGCTGAGCTAAGATGGTCACTAAAGCTAAGACGTACCTTTCTACTTCCCGGAGGAGCGGGGTCAAATATCCTGGTCTGCATCTCGCTCGGCAGAGCCGAGTAGACGGGCAGAATGATGAGCTCTGGGACCTCAGGACCTAGCGACTTCATCCTCTCAAAGAGAATCTCACAGGCTGTGTCGATCTCTTCTTGACCCGTTAGGAACAGCAGCACATCCCCTGGTAACCACAAGACAATAAGACCAAGAAGTTATTAGGTATTTTGCTTCTATATTCCTGAGTGCTTCTTGAGCAACTGGCAGCCAACTGACATCTTTATCTTCTGCATGTGAAAATGTCTAGTTTTGTGTTTATGATCTGATACACTGTACCCTCTGGAGACGTGTGTACAATAGGGAACAAAAGATTGTATACGTCTCCACAGGGCAATTTCTATAGATGAATATGTCTCCACAAGGTTATCACGAAATAGATATATAGGTTTTGCTCAAAAACTAGGAATTTCCAAGGTGTGTTGATCTGTCGCAAATGGAGGAGTTTTAGAAAAGGGATATGAAGTCCGAATTTCAGCCAAGGAAATTAATTCTGGTTAAAATAAGAGCATTTTGGAACTACACTTTCAAACTCGAAAACTTAAGTACACGAGAACAAAGAAATGTCTCCACAAGAATACAAATTCCAGTATGGGTGTATTTGTCTGTTTATCTGTCGGTCTGTCTGTTTTTCTCACCAGGTGGTTCAGTCAGATGTATCTGCATGACGGTGATGAGGGACGCGTCTAGATAGTCCGCCTCCGGCTCTTTGGTGTACAGGATCTCAACGGGGAAGGTACGGCCCGGGATGGTGAAGATGGGCTGGGAAAACAACGACACAAAGAAACTTGGAGTCGAGTCGATTTCAGAAATTTAGAAATTGGGAGACTACAAACTTTGACATGGGTAATAATAATTTGCGAGGCTAATCATCCTTACTGGCAGCTGGGATGCTGAATTGAGAAGGATGCTACTGCAACATGGTCAAGGCGCAGGCATGTAAAGGCGCCTTTGGCAGCCAGCCCCATATATGACCACGGAGCACAGCCCGAGATCCAAAGTGTTTGATTTTTCCGGAGGGAGGAAAACCGGAGGGCTCGGAGAAAAACCCTTGTGGCACAGGAGAGAACCAACGCACAACTCTACTCACATGTGGTCTGCGGCCAGGATTCAAACCGAGGTCATCTTGGTGAGAGGCGAGCACTTTACGCACAAGCCACCCATGTCATCCATACCATAAAGTGTTGGTATGATGTTATGGAGGCCGAGGTTCGATTCCAATCTCGATGGGAACCTAAAATTGATTTCTTCCAATTGAAAACTTTTTGAAAATTTGACACCTACCGCTTCAAAGAAGTACTGGGAGAACTTGACAGCGTCCAGCGTGGCCGAGGTGACAATCAGTTTCAGTTCACTGCGTTTCTTGACTGCCTTCTTGAGCAAACCAAACAGCACGTCCGTGTGGATGGTGCGCTCGTGGGCCTCGTCCAGCATGATGATGGCGTACTGGCTCAGGTCCGAGTCGATCAGGGACTCACGAAGCAGAAAGCCGTCCGTCATGTACTTGATCTTGGTCTCTGGGGAAGTGCAGTCTTCGAAACGCATGGCGTAGCCAACCTAGAAGGAAAAACAAGTAAACATAGTAAACATTGGTTTTTTTCCTTACCAAGTTGTGTTGGATAGAACAGAGTGTGGCCTAGTGGTTAGGGTTTGTGACTCATGATCAGAGGGTCAGGGGTTCGAATCCAGCAGCTTGTGTCCTTGGGCAAGACACTTTACCTCTACTTACTTATTTCTCAACCCAGGACTGTATGGTACAGGCATTACCTGTGGAGTAACCTATGATGGACTGACATCCTTTCTAAGGGAACTAAAACTATTCTGCCTTTCACGCAGAGATGAAACTGGCCTTTGGGGAAAAAAATCGGAAAATAGGCCAAACAAAAATCCGTGTCCGAAATCTGGGTCGCGCGCATTAACACATGTATGCATGTAGGCAATAGATTTCGTGCCAAATTTCCGGACACCGTCTTCCGTTTTATACAATCTGTGCGCTGACGACTGGTTGAACAAAATACAGATGTCGCAGTGTCGTTTCCATCAAATTCCTTGAAATTTAATTCAAAAAAATCAAACTTTGTGGGGCAAAGATCTTCAGCAAAATCGGACATTTTGGAAATATATTTGAAAAAGTCAAAATTCTGATTAAAATCGGAAAAGTTTCATCTCCGTTCATGCCAAGGTAATCAGGGATTAACTCCAGCAGGATAACGATGCGTCATATTGACTTCCAACGGACTTGACTTATCCACTCACCTCTTGTCCAAGCCTGCAACCAAACTCCTCCGACACTCTCTTAGCCACGGACATGGCAGCCACACGGCGGGGCTGAGTACAGCCAATCTTCCCTCGGACCGTGCAGCCGGCTTCGGCGAGGTACTGAGTGATCTGGGTGGTCTTACCGCTACCCGTCTCGCCGATGACGACAAGAATCTGGTTGTCTAACACGGCCTAGGGATGAACCCAAATAAATCGATGAAAGACTACGGTTAAATCATTCTTGAACTCCGTGAACAAGTACACCCCTACCAATGCTTTATTCGAGTCCATCGCTAGTCTTCAAAGCTCATCAGAAGTCAATCATAAGAAATCCAGTCTCAAGGCTTGCACGAGTCGCGCTGAGGTAGTACACACGCACTTTGGGCTCCTTCGACCGATAGAAATACCTCGTCTTTAAGAACATGTGCGGCATGCGTGTGAGCGTAACACCACCGCAGTAAACAGCTTCTAATTCTGGTCGCCGGATTCCACTACCAACATCAAGACAGGCTTAAAGTTTTAACAAAAATCTTACCTGCACAAGTTGTTCCTTCAGTTTGAATATGGGCAGACTCTCGCGTTGCTCCATAATCGTCATCTTGGTGCGTTTACCGTAGGACGCTTTGTTGCCGCCAAACGCGCTCTTCTTCCATTCCGGCATGTCCTGGTTGGTGAAACCCATGTTGCGAACGTTGGCGACGAGAGCGCGCTCACCTTTGCGAAAAGATTACCTCGCGGTTAGTGCAGGTTTTTTAACAAGGAAATTCATTTTCTAATGAATTTTTATTCATGTCTGTTTTGTTGGATTCTTACTTACATGGGATTAGCTTCTATTGGTTTCCTACTTATTTTCAGGGCATGGGGCTATTTTTCTATTGGATTCCTATTATTGGATTCCTACTTATGTTCTGGCATGGTTACTAATTTGCATTGGATTTCTACTTGTTTCCCGGCATGGGAATAATTCTTATTCTATTCCTACTCATGTTCGGGCCTAGATTAGTTCCATATGATTCCCACTGACTCCATTGGCAATGTGTCGACCAAAATTGGATTCATACTCACTGTCTGGCATAGGATAAATATGATCAGATTAACCCTAGCCTTCCCAAATCCTCTAAAATCCTCTTTGCAAAATGGAGGATTTTTCAGGATTGAGGCTATATGGCAAAAGTGTGTTTCATATTTCGGAGGATGCACTATGTGAAGGTCTTGGGCCGGACCTTGTCTTGTTTATGCTCAGCCATGCATAAATTCAGGCCTTTATTATATCTAAAATCCTCCGCACTGCTCCAGGATGTCACTGGCTCTGCCTCAACATATTGACAGCGATTGCTGGATGATTTTGCAGGATTGAGGCAGTGGTCACCCCTCCAAGGACCACATTCAAGAAATAACGGAGGATTTTGCAGGATTGAGGCTGTATGCTATTTTTACATGGAGGTAGTTGGAGGGTTTTGCAGGATTGAGGTTGCATCCTAGCAAAAATGGATAGGGATGTAACTCCCTATCCATTTTAATTTTGATGGATTTCTACATACTTTCTGGCCATGGATTAATTTTACATTTGATTCCTACTTACTGTCGGGCAGAGGATCGATCCAGTTCTTGTTCATCCCCGTTGGGATGTTCTCGCTTTCGGCGCGTTCTGTCGCTTGTTTCATCTCTCGACGTTCCTTGGCGAGGGCGCTCTGCATCATGGCTGCCTTGGATAACGTTCCGTCAGGGTTCTGATCAACACAAATTTGAGAATTTATATTATTGTGCAGCTTCAACAACCAACCCCAAAATGGTAATTAGTGAGGCGTTCTGACAAAAATCAGACGGGATTGGGTACAGGCCATTGTGGAGAAAAATGAAAAAAAAAACTAAATGGTGGTGATAATTTTTTTACTTTCACATTTATGGATATTTGTCAACAATTGTGGAGTAAAACTGTTTTTAAGGAAACGCAATTGGCATCTTTCAGTTTCACGACTACAAACGCGAAAGGTTAAAGGCTTTTTTTCTCAATATTGTACTTTTTGACTTGTCGATAAATGCGAACTCTAAACAGAATTAACTTGTCAACGGAATGTCCAATTGAATTGCAACAAAGAGTATTGTAAGGAGAATTTTATTCTCTTTCTTAAATACTCTCAATGCTCCATTTTAACCTCTGCCAAGTTCTGTCTCAATTTTGCAAGAACGCCTCACATTTTAGAAATGGACTAAAAAAAATTTGAAACAAATTTTTAAAAAATTTATAAAAAATGTACATACCTTAACAATTCTGACTGGGCTGAGCTCCACACTCTGTCTGCCATGGCCTTGGAGGAAGGGCGGGTCCTCCTCCCTCAATTCTATCTCAATTTCCTCGTCCGAGTCATCTTCTTTGGCTAAGATGCCCGTGGTCTCGTCAAAATCTGGGAGCTCCGTCACGTCGATACAACTGGCTGCCATCATCTGAACGAAGAACAAAACACGGTCAAATCAGTATTTTAGTTTGAACACTTGTGATGAATCGAATGTTATCACAAGTCAATCTTAAGGCAATCTTAAGTCAGTCACAGTCAGTCACAAGTCAGTCACAAGTCAGTCACAAGTCCATCACAAGTCACTTACAAGTTGTCACAAGTCAATCACTAGTCAATCACAAGTCAGTCACAAGTCAGTCACAAGTCAATCACAAGTCACTTACAAGTTGTCACAAGTCAATCACTAGTCAATCACAAGTCAGTCACAAGTCAGTCACAAGTCAATCACAAGTCAGTCACAAGTCAGTCACAAGTCAGTCACAAGTCAGTCACAAGTCAGTCACAAGTCAGTCACAAGTCAGTCACAAGTCAGTCACAAGTTAGTTACAAGTCATCACAAGTCAATCACAATGAGCTAATGGGGTTAGTTGGTCGATTAAGGGTCGATGCGATGAATTGTTATCTTAAAACGCATTTTGTGTAACTTTTTATTCCTTTTACATGTATGAAAGCTATTTGACATCTTTTTTTTGGTAAAATTTTATTGAAAGTGCACTTCCTTAAACACTTACATTTAATCTGAGATATGATGTCATTTCAGGAAGACACTGTTCAGTTTAGGGGTTTCCTGTTCAAATTGTGAACCCAGAATTTGGTCATTGAAAACATTTGTGAGAAAGGGTTGCTCATTGGCTTGCTACCATGTACTCAGAAATTACTAAAGAAAAGAACATTTATGACTGCAAAATATCCGAAATTATGGCAACTTTCAGTGCATTGAGGTTTCTGCCCGAAATGACATCACATTTTTGCTCATGAATATGGAAATTGGCATTAGCATTAAAACCAAAAGGCACCAAAATACCATTGAAAATTGCAAAACAAAAATTGAAAATAAAGTTAAATGGGACACAAAGGTGCATTTACAAGGATACCACTACAAAATTAACATTGCATGGACCCATTAAAAGCAGTTTTAAAAAGAACTTTTCCTATTCCATTTTTTTCCGGTGGAAGCAATGATCTAACCTGCTTCAATTCCCATTTTTCCGGGGAGGTGACCCGCTGGACCCTCTTGCGGATGCTGACGTCGTCGGTTTCAGCCACCGTGACCAGGGGCAGGTTGGACGGACGGTCAGGATTGCGCATGGCATCGTCGGCCTCGGGGTTCGATGAGCCGGCGAAATCTTTGGACATCAGTGGATTCAGATCTCTGCCTGTTCAGTCAGAAAAAAAATTCAACATTTTTAAAGAGTGTTTTTTTTAATCAAATTCATATTCAAGTCTGCTGCTCTAGAAACTTCAGAGGGGAAACTTTCGCAATGAAAACACAACCCAATTCTCAAAACAAAATTACACTTATACAAGAAATGGACAATTATTTAAGAGTGACTTTAAGAAAATTGTCAAGAGTGGGACTTGAACCTCCAACCTCAAAAGACAGTACTCTACCAACTGCGTTTCCAAGTTCTATGAGGGTGGTCTCCCATTTTGTCACAAGATTTTAGAGTGAAAAAAAAAAATTGGCACAAGGGGGAAGTGAACCCAAAACAACCTGAATATTCTACTAAACCTGAGCAAAAGTAATAACAGAAAATTGACAAATGGTGGATGTGAACCCCAGACCTTCTGAAACCTCTGCTGAACCTCAACAAATGTGATCACAGAAAATTGACAAACGGGGGATGTGAACCCCAGACTCCTAAAACTTCTACTGAACCTCAACAAATATGATTACAAAAAATTGACAAACGGGGGATGTGAACCCCAGACCTCCTAAAACGTCTGCTGAACCTCCACAAATGTGATTACAGAAAATTGGCAAGCGGGGGATGTGAACCCCAGACCTAAAGAACATCTACACACCTGTGTCCTGGTCAACATCTTTCATGGACAGTCGGATCTTGGTCCCGGCTAGCGACAATACTTTGGCTTTCACCTTTATTCCCCGAGCGACAACGTCGTTGACATCCGCTACTCTGCCTTCTCTCCGTAGCTAGTAAAATAGAAATATAAAACATAAACTCCAAAAATATAAAAAAACGATACACAAACTCACAAAATAAAGAATTTTACTAGAATGTATTTTCTATGAACTCATTCCAAAAAAAGTCAAACGTTTGGGTTTGCAGTATTGGATGGGATTCAGGATTTGACAATGTGTGGACAATAGAGGGCGGTGTGTAATTAAAACATGTAGAGCATGTGAAGGACAATTAACTGGTTCGTGAAGTCATTTATATGATACATGTTATACCAGTGTGCATAATGCAAGATGGCGTCCATTGGTCCTTCAATATTGGTACCCTTTCTCATTTAGACAGTTGAGGGGGTGCTTGAACACTGAATCAATATAACCATGCTGAAATTACACTTCATTTGCCCTGATGTCCAAATTTCCTTCAAGTAGAGCCGATGGGTCATACGTTTACTGCAATGTGTTCAATTTTGGCACGTTTGGATGACTCTGGAAACTCTTAACAAAATTTCTGACAACTTAAGGGGTCGACAGTTGTCGCAATTACCTCCGAGATATGGACAAGCCCTTCGCATCTGCGTTTCAGGCCCTCTAGCTGCACGAAGCAACCGTACTGCATGACGCTAGTGACTTTGCCTTCGTAGATACAGCCCACCTCGGGGTCCATGGGTGGGGGGCGGTTGACGAAGCGATCTGCGTGGCTGCTGCTGTCCTTATGCTTGTCCCAATCACGGTCGCGATCCCTACTTCTTTCCCTTCTCCTGAAGCAACAAGAAAAAAAGCAGATAGTTCAATTTTTGAGTAATGAATATAATTTTTCCGACCAAGGTTGACCATAAGCACAACACAAAAGCAAAATTCAGCAACTGGATTCCAATATTTTCTGAAAATCAGGTCCTCAGAAGTGAATCAAAGGCAACTTCAGCAACTGGTTTCCGATATTTTCTGAAAATCAGGTCCTCAGAAATGAACCATTCCACATTTTACTGTAAATTTTAACTCTAACATTCCGAAATCCTCCAAAGTCCTCCAGGTGGTTTGGGAGGATTGTGGAGGATTGATAGCACATGGATGTTCAGTGTCGGTTGATTTTGGAGGATTGAGGCCGAATGCTGTTTGAAGAAGAGGAGGATTTTGGAGGATTGAGGCAGAATGCATTTTGAGAGGCAGGGCTGTGGGAGGATTTTGAAGGATTGAGGCAGTGGGTATCCTTCATTTGAACATCAGTGCACAATTTTGGAGGATTTTGGAGGATTGAGGATGGTTCCTAGCAAAAAGCCTAGGGGGTTAGGGTTAAGTTGAACTTGTACTAGCAACAATATTTCAAAGTGGGCTAAACCATTCATATTTCGGTCGATATGGTTTGCAGAAACTTGGTTGGAAAAAAATCTATTCTGCAAGACATCCCACAAAGCTTTGCAGCATTTCCCACCTTCCGTGTTTGCGGTCTCTTCCGCTGTCTCGCTCCCTACTGCTGCTTCGGCTCCGTCTCCGCCGATCTCTGTCCCGACTCCGTGATCTGGATCGTGACCTAGACCGCGACCGTCTCTTGTGTCTGTGCCTGCTACGGTCCCTGTCACGGCTACGACTCCTACTACGGCTCTGGCTGCGGCTGCGTCTGTGATGCTTGCTCTTCTTTTTCTTGTGCGTTTTCACTTCTTCAGTCTTCTCTGTTTTACTTTAACGGACAAAAAAAAAAGAGATTACAAACAACTTCCCCAGAAATTCACATGTCAGGTTTTTCTCGGTTTGAGAATGAAATGGAGTGACACTTAAGTCTATCTCTAAATATTTACCAATATTCAAATCTACCCATGTCAAAACAAAACATACAAAGAGTCCACTGATTTAACCCAAGGAACTCTTACAGCAAAACGAAAATCTCTCTTTGATCCTACAAATTCCATCAAAGGGTTTGGACGGTTATGTTGGATTGACCCAAACCTCACTAGCTCCATCAAAATCCATCTCCCAATTTTGGTGGATTTTGGAGGACTTGGTCCTGCAGGCCTGGTGTGACTATAATATTGATGGAGTATGATGGACTTGGGAGTGGAGGCCTACAGCAAAGCATGCATTGGAAGCAGCGTGATTGATGGATATTGGCAGACGGGAAAGATTTCCATATACGAAGTTAACTCAACAGCCTGTGTACAAACCCTATGAGATTGGACTGAAAAATTTTAAGTGTTTTCTAAGAAAATGCTTGTATTTTCTCACTGCTCAAATTGACTTTGATGACATGAAATTGCTATCTGGGGGCTTGTTAGTCAATACAGAGGAAAATTAGTGAACTTCTTATATGGAAATCTTTCCGTTACTTGGAACTTTTTTAGTTCAAGTACAAAGATTGTGTTATCGGGTTCCTGCCTAGTGTTTTTTTTTAGGATTCAGGAGTGATCCTAGCAAAACTGGGCATTAGTTACTTCCAGGACCCCTCTATTTTTCCCTGTTGCTATTTTTTTCCGGAAGTCGACCATTGCGTGCATGCGTCAGTTATCAACCAAATGGTTCTCAGACTTGACTTCCCTTTAGAATTTTTTTTTCGGTGCCATGCATCAGCAAGAAAAATACATCTGGCCTCAATCAGCTGTTTATTAGGCGAGTTCAAAACAGATAAGGGCCCAAAAGGTAACTGATGCCCAAAACTGCCAGTTAAGACTCACATGGGCATGCTGGTCTTAGGCATGAGCGCCTCCAGTTCATCCATGGCATCCAAGGCAACTCTCTCGTCCGACTCAAATTCCCCTTTCTTGTCCGGTAGGCACAGCCCCGGGTATTTTTCCCTCCTCTTCTCAATTTTTGTGATTTTGGGTTTCTTCTCCTTCCCGCTGTTGCTCTTCTTGGCAGGTTTGGGCGGCCGCATGTGCTGGATCAGACGCAGTAAGTTGGAGACAAACGACGCTGGTAGATCGGCGCCGTTTTTCTGGAGCGCTGACTGGAAGTCATCCAAGTCTGAGTTCTTGTCCGCAAGGTCAATTATAAACTCAGCTGGAAAATTTAAATAAAAAAAAAACAAAACTGAGAATTCAAGTAATTTGTTGGTTGGTAAGCTATACAGGCTCAAATATCACTTCTTTGAAAATATACAAACCTCATTACGTATATTGGCCCATTCTATGGCCACTCAATGGAGTAAACTAAATAGAATGGGGGATATAGGCAAAAAGAAGTGTCACTGTCACTAGTGCCAGTAACTTGAGTAAGAGAGTAATATAATTCATTTGCTTTAAATGATCATGATTATCCTGGAGTCACTATAATTGACGCAGGTAACGCTTGCAACGCACGCGCATTGTCCAATGCAAATTGAATGCGAGTGCGTCAAAATAGGTCCTCGTCGTTATGATATAAAGTTACAGTGTAACGCTAATTAAGAAAATGAAAATTAAACGGCCTAATATTTATAGCACAATTTTAAAGTTGAACAAGTTGTGGTTTATTTGAAAAATAAACACAGAAAAGATGAATTATTTTTAGGCAGTGTATATTTTGCCGGAGATGGCAAACCTTTAGTAAACGTTAGTTTGCCGGATATGCACTGAACATGCGCAGTTACTGTTTTTTTGTACTTAAACATTTTCCGGTGACAAGTTTTAGTCTGGCTCCATGCCAATATTATCGTTGTTACCTCGTATTCACAAGATGGGATTCAGACCATTTTATTATTTCGGACTTTATTTCCCTTTTAAAAAAAATCCTCCAGAGCCACAAATCTGAAAAAGAAAATGTAATACTCTGCAAAAAATGTTTGAGACATGTTAAAATAATAAAAGAAGAATATTCTTATTTATTTGGGGATGAGAAAAAAAACTTAAAGGTGTGGTGCGGTCGGAATCGAACACGAGTCATCCCGCTTACTAGAGCCTTTGCTTAACCATTACATTACACCAAACGTGCTACACAATTTTTGGTGGGAATTTAATACATCTTATAATTCAGCCCTATTTTAAAGAGTACAGCGCCCTCTGTTGATATGGATTGCCGCCAGCAAACCTTTAGTAATCGTTAGTTTGCCGTCATTACCTCCGGCAAAATATCCACTATCTTATTTTTATTGAAATAGGCCTATTCTTAGTAAAAAATAAATAGAGCCATTTTCCCTTTTCTTGGGAAACAAATTCATTTTGATGTAAAATACATACTTACAGACTTACCTAAATCTTTGTCATTCATCCCGAGATGGTTGTCCAGTTCCGTGCACACTTTTGAAACCAGGGACAAATACTCGAGTTTATCCAATTCTTCCATCGTCAATGATCGTGCTTGCTTTGCGCTTGCAAAGGTACTTCGCAACTTCCAGTTTATTGTTTTTTGTTGAGAAAAAAAATCCTTTGCAGACCAAATCACAAATAAATATGTTCAATTTCAAACCTTTTCTCTCATTGGCCACTCCTGTTACATACTTCACCACCACAAAGTACTTCTAGCTTCCATAATTCAATGTCATTATTCCCTAAATTTGTCTTGAAAAGGTACAAAATTACAACTAAACCGGGAGGTTTTGAAACGTTTCCGATCTTTTTTTGCAGCGCTGCAATTGTTTTATTGGGAGGGCGCCCTCTTTAGTCTGAGGCGCAAATTATCGATCAATAATTTGCGCCTCAGACTAAAGAGGGCGCCCTCCAAACTGTAAAATTAGACTTGTTTCTAATCGTCATCACAATACGAAAATTAACAGAATGGCATAAAGCAATGGAACTTCAGCACAAATTTAATAATATCATCCATTTATTTTCCCCTTAAATTGCAAAACAAGTGAAATACATTTCAGCTGATGTTAAAGCAGGTTCGTTTTTTATAAGCTTTTAAATTCACGCAATGACCCAGTTTTAAAAGATGAAAATCTAACTGATATTTTTATTGCCAAGCTACATTGGTGTCCCTGTTTTGTTATGCAAAATGTTATGGAGGTAAAATATTTCATTAGATTCATTTAAGGGCGACGGTAAGCCTGATAAATTATGCAGCTTTCGAGCAATAAAAAATAAGCGACTTTATATACATATGACATAGAAAAACAATCATTAGAAGAGATTAATTACACACGTACATGATTTGGATAATTACAATATTTACATTATCTACATTATGTACAAACCTTATACAATAGTAACCGAATTTCTAATAAAATGAATAGAAATCAGAATAATTGTTAATTTTCAATCATATGTTAGTATCCCATGTTTTTCAAAATCGAATTTTAAATCAATATAAAACCTAAAAATAAAATAAAAATATGATTTGGCCCTCACTCTCTATTAATTATCAATAGCCGAACACAATCAGTCCACACAGTGCAATAAACCTCCCATTATCCCCTAAAAATATGCTGATACCTTGCGCATGGCCACAAATTAAAGAAAGGAGTTGCACTGTTGAAAATGCCGCGATGTTCAAAGTTATGACTTACGAAATACGCAGTTGCACGTACATCATTACGCACTACTTTATCGTGACAATAGCACTTGCAAAGTAAAGCTTTTCTTCCCAAACTTGAACAAAAAACCCCGCTCATCAGTCATAGGCCCTCCCACCTCATTCATATTCAAACCCACCCACTTCACGAATTATTCATAAACTTGTCAGTCGGTTCACACCCTGGCAGGTCGCCTCTCCCGCGGCGGCCGCCTGTGATTGGGCGGTCTGTCCGGAAACTGGACCTCCTCCTCATCCTCGATGTCCTCGTCATCGTCGTCTTCGTCTTCGTCTTCGTCGTCATCTTCTTCTTCTTCTTCTTCTCCGTCATCTCCGGCGTCATCTTCCATGTCTCCTTGCACCAGTGCCTCGTTCTCTTCTGGCGCCGGGAGCTCCATGAGTTCAGGCATCGCATCAGCTTTGTAGCCAAAAGAAAAGTGGGTAGCTATTATTGTAGGGCTTTCCCCTTGCATCAGTTCACGCCTACAATAAGGCGATCCATTATGCCCCGCCCACTGTGTTGCACGTGGGCAAAAACACTCCATCCGAGTACCTAGCCGGTTCGTTAGTGACTGTCATACACGCGCGTGCACACACACACTAGCGCCCATTGGATAAACACTCACACGGTGCGTTAACTTTCGGTTCAAATGTGCAGGCAGTGGGCGTGGTTTAAACTGAAGTGACGTCACACTCACGAACCGGATAGCTCTCCAATGCCACACTGCATGTTTCACTTGTGCACGTGCGCGTCAAACGCACGTGACGTGCACCGTGTCGGACATTTTGCGCGCGTATGTCGGACGTTATTAGCGCTTACGATGCTTAAAACACCATGGGGCGGGCTTAATTGATTTGATGACAAGTATAATTCTCATCATTTTAAACACCAAAATTCAAATGAGCTCCATGGACGGACCTTTTAGTTGTCTTGAAGGAGATGCTAATGACCTAAAACTTCACAGTGGATTAATGTAATACACACATAATGAAAGGTAGGCACAGACGTACGGCATCTTTGTTTCGGAAGTGAACGCTTTAATTAAAAGAAGAACGTTTGCCAAAGATTGTTTTCCCCTCACCTACGCGTTGGTCGACCGCGTCATGACCGGCCTGGTCTGGGGCCGGCAGCACCGCTTGCACGGCAGCATCGTTGTTCTGTCTCTGCTGCTGGCCGGCCACTACTCCCCGGTGCTGATGATGGGGTGGCTGGTGGGCGTCAGACTGGTCGGGGGGCACGGACGGGGGAGGTAGGTCGCAGTCACGCGGCCAGGTGAACTGGCGGACGTTGGGTAGGCCCTCAATCAGGGCTATGCTGAGAGCGCTACGGTAGACGTTCATGTCACAGGCGTCATACCTTGAGACGGGGAGGGTACTTGTACGGGTTAAATACCAAAATTAAAACCACTCCAGGTGTCCGCATCATAAATTATGTTATGGGACCCCAGAAAAGTTCGATACTTAAATTACACAAGAAGAAAAAGCAACTTTGCACTGCCCGGGAATCGAACCCGGGTCGCAAGAATGGGAATCTTGCATGATACCACTACACTAGCAGTGCTCGATGACAGGTGCGAAAGAAAGTAAGTTAGTAACCTAACGGCAAGAAAGAAAAAGGTCAATTTAAAATTTATAACCGAAAGTTAACCTTTTTAATCGATTCCGTAGACTACGGGCCACCAATTTCAATGTGGTATTTTTTACCCGGGGTGGCATTTTTTCAATAAAGCTCCAGGCAAACATTGATGTTACGTAATAGTGCACCCCTTACACACCTTACACCCTTACACCCCTGTTGGCAACGCCAAAAACAAATGGGCCCGATCCCAATTGATCAAGATATTTTAGGGTGACCACTTAATGTGAAAAATTCAAGATGCTGAATGCACTCATACCATTCTTCGTTGTCCGGATCGAAGCACTCCACGTTGAAGATTGTCGTGATGCCGTTAAACCCGCCAATGATGAAGATCATATCGTCCAGCACCATGGAGCCGAAGTTACTGCGGTGGATGTACATGCTGGGGCAAGGCGTCCACTGCGGAGCGTTGATGGTCCAACGCTCCATGGTGTTTAGTCTCGTCAGACCGTTGAAACCGCCTATGAGATATTATGCACGATAGTCAGGGCACCGGACCAATTAAGAAGCATTAAGCACAAAAGCAAATTACCATGTATTGCACTGGGATGTTCAGGAGATATGAAGCACATTAACGAGCACTGACAGCCTGAACACTCTTTTCAGACTGCAGTTTCAGATTCACGCCTAACCAAGAAGTAAACCAAGAAGTAGAAGCGACTCAAGTCAACCCCAATAGATTTTGGTTTCAAAACAGCGAAGTTTATGATAATAATGTGGCGCTTATCATATAGCGCTTTATATCAAAGGTCTCAAAGCACACTATTATTACCCCTATTCATCAGGCCATGATTCCAGTTTGTTGCAGCAGCTCGAGATCAGCGCATTCTCGTCTCTAATTCGCATGTACACTTTCATACATCTCGGTGGAGAGAGACAGTTGTAGTAAAGTGTCTTGCCCGCAGAACACGAGCATCATCGTGTTCCCCGTCAGGGTTCCAACCCACGTACCACGGCACGCGTGAGTCGAAAACCGTAACCACTGGCCCACAGGCACCTTTCCATTGTCTAAGCTGTGGTGTCTTTCCGGACTACTACAACACTCGATCTTTCGGTAGCATTAATATCGGTTGGCCTGAAATGGCTTCAAACTTCCAAGACAGATACCTAATAAATACCTCTCGCTCTGCCTAAGGCCATCTACCTACCCACGGCATAAACGTAGTCTCTGAACGACACCGAGCCCACCCCGCTCCTTCGGCTTCCCATACGGGGCAGATCGCGCCATTCCCGGGCCTCAGGGTCGTACAACTCCGTGGTGTTGAGGCACTCATTGCCGTTAAAGCCGCCGACGATGACGATACAGCCGCCCACCGCGCAGGCCGAGGCGTCGCTGCGGTGATGGTTCATGGACTGGATCAGAGACCACTGGTTCGTCTCCGGTTCGTATCTTCATAAAAAAAAAAACGAGGAGAGATTGTTAACAATGCAAAGTATTCCTTCAATTCAATATGGTTGGGGAAAACAGGCGTGCGCATGCATCCGCGTTTGTCCTTTATCCAGTTTGTAAGTGACTTTGTCATAATTATTATACGCACGCACACAGTTTTACTTCACATAACTATCGACGACAAGGCGATGTCTTTTCCTATATCCCTGTAATATAACACTCTCTTATAGACTCATTGCACACAAACACACGATCGTAGACCGTTTCAGTAAAACAAAAGATGAACTCTCGAGGACAACAAAATTTTGTTCTCCCTCCTCGGGTTGTATTACTATAGTGCCCATTGGCTAAACACGCAACTTCGCACTTCTGCCGGATCGATTGGTTCCCATACTACATTGCGCATGGTTGAGTTGAAATGACGTCACACTTTAATACGAACCGGATACTCACATGACTCTGCATAGGCCTACAACGCCCTCAATCGTCCTGAATGGGGTCCACAAACAGAATGTTTACGGAACTGTACAGACGCTCAAAGAGCATTCACAGGCGCGTTCCTCGTTACAAACTATTTTTGCACTTAATAGCATGGACCAGTGCTCGCTGGTTCTCGTCAGTAGACAACAAAGCGCCATCCATAACTCCCTAACGGAGCCAAAGCCACGAGCTTGCTTGCACCTCAAAGGAGCTGGTGCATGACGATATTTCAAAGACCTGGGGGATAATTTGATTATCTGTACCTTTCTACGGATCGCAGCCTCGTATGGCCGTCAAAACCTCCCATGGCATAGATGTGACCACCCAGCACGGCCACGCTGACGTAACATCGCCGGGAATGCATCGGAGCAACCTCCTTCCAGACACGGGTCTGAGGCTCCAACATCCGCACGCTGTTGAAATACTGGTTGCTGTCGAACCCACCTATTCAAAGACGTGGAGAGAATCGCTTTCATGAAAATGGATGCTCCCAATATTTTTGTGAGACAGCGCCCTCTTGCTATACTTCGAAAAGGAGGCTGCATTGGCCTTGCTCGTTCCCACTTTCATAAAGCACCAGTGACGTGTTGCTTTTTTCCGAGCTCTCATTGATAGGGTGTAACCAGCCATCCTTGGTGGAAACTTCTGCGTACACACGACACAGCATAGTGAAGTTTCAACCTATTATTAAGTTTCAATGGGAAGATGTCTTTCTTTTAACACTAGTGCAGCCCTTTCTTTTCCGAAAAGGGCGATTCCGTTCAATAACGAGTGAACTCTATGCCGGCAAAGCTGCAGCGTATTGACTGCTTCACTTGTGTCCTTCTGTTCTAGGCAGAGTGACATGTTAATGTGCCTCAATGATAATTTCAAACATGTTTCAACCGCCAAAGTTTGCTGGACAGTGCCCTCTATCAAGACTAGAACTCTAAGGTCAAAGGTCCAAAGTTTGTCACGCCCCTTACCAATAACGAAGAGATTGTGTCCTAGCACCGCCACGCCCATGTAGGCCCTGGGTCTGTTGTTGACTGTATCCAGCATGACCCACCGGTCGGCCCGCGTGTCGTAGCACTCGATGGCGCTGGTCGGGCTGCCGCCGCTCCAGCCGCCCACGGCAAATAGGACTTTGTATGGTAGACGTGGGCGGGATACCACCTGTGTTGAAGCAAGCAAGAACACACGGTAAAGAACTGTGGTGCCTAGAGCTTTCAAGTGGCTGCGGCTATGGTCAGCATATTCTCACGTAGTTGTTTAGACGAAGACCCAGACACTAGCACTAGACACTTACTTTGCTTGGTCCCACAGAGCCCGCCGTGGCGTCGAAATTGTACGTGTAGTTGATGGTTTGGACAATGACCGGTTTACACAGGTCGTTGTTCTTGACGTACGGATGCGCCTTAATGTTGTTCATGAAGTAGTCCGTGTTGGTCATGCCGAGGCGTATGTTCATCAGGAGGCGAGGCATGAAGGCTTTACGGTCCGCCTCTTTGAAACGAATCTGAGATCAATAAGAAAATTTGAAAATGGTACGTACGAAAAGAACAAACAATCAACACTGCAGGAATTTTGTCAAAGAATGATTTCAAGAGAACTTGTGAGCGGGAGCCACAACTGCCATTAATAACGAGAGGAAACAATCTCCAGTCAAACATTGACGCCACAGTGATTGTTGTACTTCGGCACCCAGCGGACATCTTTGAGGTGTTTTTTTATGAAAGGGGGCCTTCCCATTATTAGTATCCCTGTCAAAAGCACACTCTCAAGATGGCTGCAAGCAAAGGGTCTAAGTGTGGTTACATTCCTCACCCATCTCAGAACCGCTTCGAAGACGTACTCCTCCATCTTCACATTGAGCTGATCCTCATACAGCAGCTCCACCAGCTCGTCCACGGTCAGAGACAGGAACTCTTCGGACTCAGGAAGCAGCACAATCTCCTCAAAGTGGACAAGGATGAACATGAAGGCCGTCTCCTGCAGCTTGAAGCAGAAGTACATCTTGGCAAAACGCCAGATGCCGATGCAGTTGTCGGGCCCCAGGTGGTTGATGAGAAACTCGCTGCAGAGGTGGACCAGACCTGTGATTGGTCCAGAGTGGAATGGCGTATGATCAATTGGGAAAGTCATTGGTGTATTTTTGGACAGCCTACAAAATGAGAGATGTTAATGGTGCAGTCATGATCACGGCGTCATCGGATGTTACAAGAGGAACAAATTATCCCATTCAGTTGGTGAAACCAAGCGATTGGAAGTCTTGTATGTATACGTATAGGGTTTAAGCGTGGGACGTAAGGGAAAATGTCGATTTAGGGATCGCCAGTGCATTTCAATTTGTAGGAAGCAGTTATCATCTTCCTCTTAAAACAACGCTAACACCCACCTCCAACGTTGAATTGGTCAGCAGCCGGCAGCAATTCCTCCACATTCTCGGCTGTAATCTTGACCTGTCTGGTGTAGGCGTAGTCTAGGATGAGCGCCAGCAGGTTGGCTTTGGTGTTAGGGATGTTCACCACTCGCTCCTGAGTCTCGTGCATGCCGTTGGTGAACAGGGCTCTGAAGTAGGGGCTGCAGGCTGCCAGAATATTTCTAGGGGCGGGCCGGCAGGATTTCAATCAAGTTATCAGAAGGTCTATCACATGTCATCAGTATAAAAATCATGTGTGATCACAAGTCTTTCAAGTCTTTCAAGTCATTACGAGTCGTCACAGGGCATCGAAAGTCAATCACTGCTCCTTCACAGGTCAACTATATAATCCATACAGTTTAGGGACCACAAGGCAAAAGTTCATATTATTTTCATAGACAACCTGGACAACCAAAGCCAGCCACAAGCCCCGTGGAATATCGAGGTATCTCAAACAGGTTACAAGATACGTTCTTCAGAAAATTTCTGTTAGGCCTAGGCCTATTTCCTTTTTGGAGATTATACCAGAAACAAGTTGTTATCAAAATTGCCTCGTGATATTTCAACGTTTTTCGGCATTCTAACGGCATTCCATTGTCACTGGTCATTCCTAACTGATTGCCAGTCTTGTAACTTGCTCAGGGGAGGGAATGAAACCGTAAGACTGTGTTCAGGGGAAAACAGATGATTGTTTGTACTTTTGAGGTTCCATAATATTAGAACCTCCGATGTTCATATCTCACCTGTGGCTGGGAAAGTCTTGATTCTCACACCGAAGCACCACATCGCAAAGCTGCCCGTTCTTCCTTAGTTCGTCGAAGACGCTAAAGGCGTTGTAGCTCACCCTTCGCTGAACATTCATAGTCCGTTCATAAAAACCCTACTCATTCATTTGACCGTCTGCGACAAATTTCTTAGGTCTGTCGACGTAACTTTTTCTTCCGCTTAAGGTTTAGGAAACCAGCCGAGTATTCTTCTCAAGCTTTAGCCATTTCTCTGGTAGCACATTATTATGATTTCTGGCGAGGTTTGTTTTGATTTGGGTGTTTCTGAGCGACTTTGGCGCGCATTGATTTTCGGTCTCGTCGCGATAGCAACAGAAATTGTAGCGTAGAACCGGAACTTCGAACGTGGAACAAAATGACGACAACGTAAAATTGATGACGTTGACACCATGCAGTCTATCCCAAAGTGCGCGTGTAGCATGCATTGGAAAAACTCGATCTGCGCATGCCTATATTTCTCAACCCATCCGCGTTTTCGACGTCCCTCCTACGTCACAATTATTTGTGCAGCTGCGTCGTCGTGTTATGTGGTTCCTAAGTGTAACGTCATTTAAACTTAAACCAACCAGGATTTTGCTGGGGGGGGGGGGGGCTCACAATTGTTTTTAAATTTTTGTGTAGAAGTCTAAATTTTTCAAAAAATGTTGAGCAAAATATTGGCCGCGGAAAAAAATTAAGTTTTTTTTTTTTTTTTTTTTGGGGGGGGGGGGGACTATTTTGACGTTGGTGGCGCCACTTACACCTCTATTATACTATTCGAAAATGGGCCACATACATAATATCACCAAGGGCGAATCGTAGAAATTAAAAACAAATTACCCCCCCAAAATAGTAAACAACCTCCCTTGGATGCGCCACTGATGTAAGTACGACTTAGCGACGCCAAACTGTATTTGTAAACTCTCTGTAAACATCATCAGTCACAGTGTGGGCGTGCCTGACGTGAATCGCTCAAACCACCCTTCCTCAACTTAATTGCCCTTTGTTCCAAGAAAACCTCACCTTTCGGTATGACAACATCAAGAAAAAGACAAAAGAAACGCTTCTATCAGATCAGGCTTCTTTGCACTCAGACAGTTTTATTATAATGCAAAGTAGCAGTTAATTCTTATTTACATGAAATAAAAAAGAAATGTGTAGTTTTGGTTTTAAAAGTCATAATGTTAACTGAACCAAGTCACTTGAGCTGCCCTTACATTAATTGTACTAGCCTATTGGTATTTTTTTTTCGAAATCCTATACGGTACACACTTTGGCTATTTTAGTACCGAAATTTACGTAGGTCAATATAGCAGGTAATTGACGTTTTTAGGTTTCTCTTTATTAAGTTGTTGTCATTCACCCTCAATCCTGTTTTGCATCAGCGATTGTAAATCACCGAACCACGCCATTTTGGGTGATTACCGACAACAGAGGGCGCTTTAACCCGCTGTTTGTGTCGTCAAATTCTCCAGTAATTATGTTTAGATAAATATTAAAAATTTAATTAGAGAATCATTACCGTCGAAAAGAGATTTTGTTTTAAAAAATGCGATTGATTTCTTGTTTACCATTAGAAAAAAAAGAAGAAACAAAAATATTAATTAAAAAATAATTCAACTTTAATCACAGGCGAACGCTTCCAATGAATGACATCATCAGCTATTTTTAGTGACGTGAAATTGTCCTCTAGAGGTCGCCCGCCTCCTGGTACTCTTTTGCGCCGATGATCTTGCAGTTCGCATTGAGGGGAATCCCCTTGCCCACGGCCTGGTTGATGAGCTTACGGCAGAGTCTGTTGATCGTTCCTGGTTCGTCGCCCTCCATAGGCAGCAACTTGGCCATGTAAACGTCCACCTTTTCTGTAGGTGCAACCTGAAAGTGAAGAGGCAGGAAAAACAAATTTAAGATCTTATTGACTTCAGAATACCGTTTGGTAATGGATCACTCATTGCCACTGTTTTTTTTTTTACTTGACGAGTGTTTTTTTTCCTGAATCAAATCTGATAAGCACAGAAAGTTCTGAGCACTTTGGAGAGCTTTTTTTGTTAGCACTTGTGAGAGCCTTTTCTGAGCAGTTCGGATTTTTTGCTGATTAAAAAGGGGTATACTATAAGCCGCACAAAATTACTGTCACCTGAACAGATGATGAACAGAGCATACTGTTCGAAACGTTAAACCAACTGGTTTATCCCAGAACCACACAACTCACTAAGAGATGTCATGACGGTGTTACCACGAACCTCCCATTCACCGATAATGTCCACCATGCAAACCCTCAAGTCTCATACAACATTTGCATGCTGCTGAGCAACAGAGCGGTTCCATGGAAATAGTTTAGCCTTATAGGCTTACATACAGCGGCGGGATCGAAGCAACTCTTAAAATGTTTGCCATCTGATCTGAGATATCGAGGAACAGTCGGGTAGACCCTGACTTCCGCCCTTACATGACTTGTCTTCAAACTGCACTTTTCTCGCTTTTCAATTTGAAAAAAAAAGCCCGTTCACGGCTAAATGCTGACCGCAGAGAATGATTTAGGCAAACTGACCATGCTCTACAAAGTCACAAACAACCTCATCTCCATCCTCATACCAGACTACATCAACCCAAGAACAAGAACAACACGCATCAGCATCGCCTCATACGACTCAGCTCAATACATCCACGTCACGGACACATTCAAGCACAGTTTCTGGCCAAGGACAAGAGAGACTGAGCACACTCCAAAACCAGCTGCCCACTGTTTGTGGAGCAGTTCAAGGGGGCCATCAATGCTAATTAACATCAAGGCGAACTTACACGAATCCAAATAGCACTTGTCAATAGCGATCAGAAAGCACAACCAGAACACTGATTAAGTGTCCACTGTTGGAAGCCCCATCACACACCAGTCCATAGATTGCTGCACAGGCTTTGATGTGAACTGTGGCAGATGTATAGAAACAGACGTTTTTCCATTGTGAAAAAATATCTCGTAGTCGTAGGCCTACCTCAAACCTGTTGGCGAACTGCTCCGATATCTCACACAGCTTGGCCAGGATGACCTCCCCGATTTGGGGCTCCACGTCCCCGCGAAGGCGCAGTCGAATCTTGACCGGATCATCGGGCGGCTGGACTACGATGACGGTGGGGTTCGTCTTGCTGACGCGACACCCCATGCTTCCCAGCCCGTCACAACAAGACAGACTCGAGTCTGTCTTTTTTTGCTATTGTTGTTTGTTGAAGAGATGTTCGCAATTCTCTCGGTCTCCTTGGGTGAATTTTCCAGCCTCTTTCTCCAACTCTACACCCCTTCCTTGCAATCAAGGGAAGGGGGTTGGGAGTGTTGATTCCCAAGGACTTTCATTTTCTCCGTCGAAATTTGATTCAAGAGGGAAATAATAATCCGTCATAGTTTTTGTTTCGCGCGCAGCAGCGTATTTAGGTTCCCACGCGCGCGAAAAGTTTTTCCAAATAATGCAGATTTTCCTTGTGCGAAACTTGATTAAAGCGTGCGCGGTTTTTAACATAGAGGGCGCCATATTATTCCAACGCGCGAAAACTGGAACACAGCAAACAGCCGTCAACAATAAACAGGAAAGCTGTAGACTGGTGCCATGCCTGAGATCTTGGAATTAATCAAGTACACCTGCATTCCCGAAGACAGGAAACCATACACGATTACTAACCATAGGAAAAATAAACCAAAAAAAACGAACGGAAAAACAACTACCTAGACGATGAGCCAAAAGGGAAATTTCCACCCAAATCCATACAGTGGTGGTGTACCAGGTTGGGGAGAGTCACCAATGCATCAAAGAGGCCCTCATCCGGGAGGACAGCCGGGATTTTGGGGGCAACGAGGGCCGTCTCCACACAACAGATCGTTCGAGCACAGGTGCATAAAACTCAATGTACTAGAACAGTGCCAAAATCGGCTATTTCCGACATCTAACTTATATTATGCGCAGTGGCTATTGTTACGACAGTCGACCGTCTGGTTCCTCGACCAGACAATATTCAACATCAGAAAACTTGGTTCTTGGAACCAGACTATTAACCGAATGGTTCTCTGACTTTATTTCCCTTTAAAAAAAATCTTCCAAAGTCACGGATTACGAAATACGAAAAAATTTAATTTTAATTGTAATTTTAAATATATAGGCCTAGGCTATTTATATTTTTGCATATTTATGATACCTGTAAGTGGTGGGTCTCCGCTATGTATTGGTTATCAACATGATCAAGTAAAATAAGATAAGATAAATAAATAAAAATAAATATAATTTATAAAAAATTAATAGGATTTAATAAAAAAATAAAAGTAGCCTAAATGAAAACTATTGACTATTGTATTAGGCCTAAGAGAAAAAAAGGAAAAGAATGTTTCAGCTAAGTCTAAGAGTAAGAATGTTTCAGCTAGTAATTTTAATAACGTAGTTAAATCTTTAGCAGTTTATAATTTCAGTTGTGTATTTTTACTTTGTATTTATTCGCTAACTAAGCATGGAAACAAGTGTTGCTATTGATTTGAATTGAATTGTACTGTATTTTGAACTGACTGCAGAGGACCACCAGGCCCCAGCCCCAGTCCCAGGGCACAGTTCTCACCGATGTACTCATCCTCCCCATTCATGCAACAGACCCCCCACCAACAGCATCGCATGAACCGCAGCGGGGGCGGGAACGGGTCGCCGAGATTCCAGCAGTTTGGGGGGCGGCATTCGGGTGGCGGGCAGTTTACGTCCCCACGGCACAGCTCTCCAGGACAGGTAAGTTACAGGATGATACCTCGAATGAAGAATATAGTGGCAAGGAAATAAATTACGTAAACTGCACTTGCCAAAAACAATTTTGGGACCCAATTTCACGGATCTGATAAGGAGAAAATATTACTCCTCAAATTTAGGCGAAGTAAAAGAAAAAACATGTTTAGCGTCCCCGCCCGCTTCCTTTTTAGAGGCCGCCTCCTTTTTTTTTTTTTTAAAAGACAAAAATTGATAAATTTTAACGATCTCTGCGCAGAAGAGATGTTCGGTTCTGCATAGTTACATCAATTTGGTCTCATTTTCTGTTGCATCTTGCCCATAAGAAGCCAATATGTCATTTCCTGAGTCCAAGTGGCGGCCATTTTGAAAAAAGCTGGTAACCATCTTGAAAAATAGCCCGGCCGCGTTGTCTTGAAAAATGTGTCGGGCGGCCATTTTGAAAAGAAAAAAAAAAAAAAAAAGGGCCTCCTCCTTCCTTTTTGTCAAAGAGGCAGGACGCTAAACATGTTTTTTTTTTTTTTTTTGCCATATGTGCTAATACTGTGTTGGGAGAAATCGGAGATTTTTAATCCGGTTATCCTAATTTATTTTAAACCGAACACATTTTTGTAACAGTTATCTGATCTGACCAGAAGTTCCAATTCAGGTCATAGTCTTTCACAGCAAAAAGTGGCGAGCGAGGTGCCACATGAAATGCCCTCCCAATGACTGGGTATAGTTTGCAGGATTCAGTGACCACTGGGCCTTCACAAAAAACACTCCAGAGCTGTAATGTTGAACAAATAAATTGGTGAGAACTCTCCAATAAGTCAATTGAAAGGGCTATTCAGATACCAAAAAGACCACTAGCAAGTGAATGCAGTTACAATCAGAAACCATGATCTAGAGCAAATTGGGGGATGTTCTAGTTGATTTCTGTAGCTTGTGTCACAAAAAAAATGCTAAGCTGAATTTTTTTTTTTTTTCAGGGTTGGTTTTAAAATATCCGGTTTCTTAATCGAAACCAGATGGTGAAATTCAAATGTTTAAAAGTACCGATTTAAATCCCACCACTATTTGAGCAAAAGCTGCCGAGAACTAGAAACAAACCTTTAATACCCATTTGATGACATGTGGTCTGGTAACCTGTTTATTGCGAAGCAAGTGATTTCTTGAATGGCAAATTTCCATGCTAAGCAGTGCCGTCAAATATGGCCCAAGATCCTGACTATTTCATAAGCAAAGTTTCAGGAACACATTTTTTTGACATTTGATACAGGGTAACAACTCCAGATATAGCGGAAATAGCTCGGACATCAGTGCTTACTACAATCACTCCATGGTAGAGGATCCATGGATGGGACTCACAGCAACGCCCAGGACAACGGGAACGACGACGTAGCCACCGGACCCGGCAACCACGACAATGACGTGAACTGACTCCATTGCCTGTGGTGGTTGGATCTCAGCGGAACTTGTGTGAGAATGAAACCTGTGTCGGTGAAATGACTCTGTGCCAGTTGATGAAAACCTAGGTCTTGTTTCAAACACCAGCAGTAAGTAAAGGTTCTAGAACTTGCTTAAAAGTTCCAGAACTTAGACCTGTGGGTTTGTTATCAGATTGTTAGGTACAGTATTGTAACAAGTGAGATTATCATGGAACTGAAGAGTGGTAGATATCTGAAATGAATGGAAGTTTATGTAACCCAGACCAAGTTGTGTTTATCTTTTGGATATTAGGCATGCCTAAAGCAAAAACAATTGGGACAACAAAACCTTTTAACTCTTTATTTTTATTTAATTCTGTGGACTTTTAAAATAGGATTTTTAAAAATCTTATCAATGTGTGAACATTCCAAAAACAGGAAGTCGTTTTTTTGCATTGTTGGGTTTGATAGAGCAATAAATCTGAGGGAAAAAAAAAGAAAAAAGTTTCAAGTCCATAATCTACAAGTACACTCAGTTGAAATTACAAAAAAAGGAAAGAAGTGTTGCATTCGCCGAGTTTCTGTAAGCACCGGTGGAATCGAACCACCCACCATCACAATGCAGGCGCAGTGCACCGTGGACCGTGTGGTGTCAACCTGAGGTGCTTTTGTTCAGTCGCAGAGCGAGCAACAGTCATACCGGAGGCAATTGGCCACTTTTCATTCCCAAGTTCAAATGCTTTACTATGAACCCGAGGCGACCCGAGCTGGATTCGAACCACACACACCACTACATTGCAGTGCATGTGTACTACCATCTTAAGAGATGTACGAGACATAACCATTCTAGATTGTGTTAATTAACGTTACATCTTTTCTTCAGGCGTTTCGGTCTGAAATTTCCCCCCCGATTGTCTTGCCAAGGCCACTATCAGTTCCTCTCCCAAGCATGGCACCCAAAGCTACTTTAGTATTCTGGGGTTTATTTCTTAAGATTGATGCACTGTATTCAAATTACCCATGGACCTGGTGCAGAACTTTCCACACACATTGTTCTATACAGTCGACTTTCGTGAACACAAACTCAACTGGACCTAACCAAACTGTTTGTTATATCAGAATTTTGTACTAAGTGGATTGCGGTCCCATTCATATGAAAGTACACAGTCAGGACCAAGGCTTTGTTTGCTATATTCAGAGTTTGTATTAACAGAGTTTGTATTGACGAGAGTCAACTGTATGGAGTTTAATAAGCGAAATCAGTAGAACTTGCCTGAAAGCCCTTTGGCATAATGTGCAGTTACCCTTAAGAATTAATGAGGAAAATCTTGCTTTGGGTAGCGATATGACAACTATTCTGTCAAAGCTATGCTTTTATTTAATGGCAACTTAAATTTTAACTCTATTTTTTTTTCAAATATTTTTTTAGCGATGAGTGTACTTAGTATTAATTGGAAGGAGCTGCAATGAACAGTAATTAGTTAAGCTGTTAAATCTAAATATTGCTTAGGAAAACAGCTTAAAGCCGAGAAAATATTTAAGCACCAACATGTTACCAGGCAAAATGTCATACGGTTTATATTGCTTGTTATTGGTACTCCTATGTTTTAATTGCTCGGCAAATAACTTCCTAATCATCACGTTGGGGACCCATAGTCTTGCGAATATTTCCAAAAAAAATAATAACCATTATCATGTTGCGGCCATTTGGATTTTTCCAATTCATATCAACTTAACCAAAGCGAGGCGGGAAGGAAAAAAAGTCTGGTTCCCATTTACACAAAAAACGTAATTATTCAGTACTGTTATTAGATACAGGGAACATGACTGAAATGGTGGCAGCATAAGGGTCTATAGTGTTACACTTCTCATTCTCTCACGTACTTAGTTGTTATCACCCTAATTCTGACATTGAACCTGTTACTATTAAGCATCAATTTTTTCTTGCAACAAAAAAAATCTAGAAATATTATTAAATTCCAACAAATCACCTACCGGATTTCCTCCTCCAGACCACCAGTCTGCTCTTGTTGGTTACCATGGAAACTGTCCTGTCTTGGTGCGGAGGGCCACTTGATGCTCAGTGTCTACGTCTGACGTCTTAGAAGCATCCTTCCACTGAAACTTCTTTGGTCGCTAACTTTTTTCTGGATCCATGTTGTAGTGGTGTGGAACTGATTTTGTTCTCGTTTTTTTTGCAGACTCATCTTTTTCTTTGTGACTTTCATGGACTTTTTTCATTCACTTCAAATTTTCCATGAATTTTATCTCTTGCTTGCATATTGGAGTATCACTTAGAATTATTTTGTATAAAATGTCTCTAGAGGCATCAAGGAAAATATCCCATGAACACAGACACGCTTGCTTATTTTTACAATGACCTACACATGTATTACTACGTACAAATATAACAATGACTAAACGCATGAAACTTTTCCTTGGGTATTTCTTGATGATAACCGGTTGTTCATTTCTCTTTCAATGCACGGTGCATCAGTGTGTTCAGATATAAGGAATGGTCTGGTCCAGTAGTCTGGTGCCTAGGATATTGACTCGTGATCTTGTGGTTAATTATACAAACAGGGGTTTGGGCCCAGTCTGGGAATGGGCAACTTGTGTCCCTGAGCAAGTTCCTTTATCATGCGATTGCTTTCTTATGCTGGGTCATGTATAAAAAAAACTACATGCAAGAAGACCAGTTTGCTGAATTTAAAGGTGGTGCAGCAGTTTTTAGAAGCCAAGGTCTTGAAAGGATTTACAGGCATGCTGGTCAGGGGTAATAATGTTGCTCTTTAAGCACATTGTATTACTTATACATTCATACATGTACGTGTATGTCTGATAGACATATGAAACAGTGGATTTGTACATTGACGATCGAATGCCCCATATGTGGACGGAGTAGGATTTATACACAAGGGGCGGGGGTGGATTTTGAATTAACTTGAGTTTTACACTACTTGCCATCTGATTTTTAGCACGACAGATGTTCTTATCAAGTGTTTTTTTTTGGTTAGGGGTTCTTCTGACTTTGAAAAGAAAGATGGCAGCCCACTTTGGCAGGCAATGAATTGACGGTTTGATTGCTCACACACTGTCTCGTACTAAATAGTAGTATTTTTCAAGGGGCCAAATGTAATTTGTAAGGGGGGGGGGGGTTTAGAATTGATTTTAAAGCCTGCTGCACGCACTCCGATTTCATTGGACATGATATTTATGTTAACCAATCAGATTCACAAAGGAAGTTACATGATTCAAAATTGACGGCTGCCATATTGTCATCATGTGACTGATAATCATGTGACTTATCATCGTGTGACCGATTATAGATATCGGGCATCTGTGCGGGAAACCGTTGCGGGTGATGGGTGAAGCAGTAAAATCGTTAAGGTGTACGCTGTGCTGAAGTCAACTTTTGAATTCGGATCATGTAATTTGTAAATTATCCTTACTAGGCCCATTACGCCTAAAAATCTATTACTTTGGGGACACACATTTATATTGAACCTGTCCATGAACATTTCATATATTTGTTTTTTTTGGGGGGGGGGGCGTTTGTAAGCTTCAGATTTTTTTTATTACATTTCCATTTGGCTTTTTTTTTGATACAATTTTAATAGCATGAAGATTAAAGTGATATTCAGAGGATGATAGTGGTTCGAACAATAAAATGCATTTGGTTGATAAAATGCGATAGAGGGTCATGAATTTATTCACTTGGGGTGGGGTGGCTAAAATGGTCAAGCTGGTCATTGGTACTTCACATATTTGATCTACAACTTAAAATTACAAACGTTTCTAAACCATTCTCACATATCTTAGTTATACATTATTTAAATGGGCAGTTTATAAAATGAAAACATTGAAAGATAAGAAGTTTAACCTCAAACAATTTTGGCAAGTTTTAAATAAGCGTTTGGAAAAAAAAAATACAATAGATATTCTTCTTATATCCACTTCAGCTAGTGCAAGTACATAGTCCTACCTTTTGACAACTTGCTCCGGCAAGCGCCTCTTTCCCCGTCTTCAAAGAAAGAGATAGCTGTAACCATAGTAACACATCTGTCTCCCATCTGCTTCTTAAGCTCCAGAAATGAATATCCCACATCTTCTTTTCTTGTTCCTGGAACCGTTTCAAGGTTGCTCAGTTTTGTGGCTCAACTCCAAAAGTCAAGGTCACAAATCCAACATAAGTGTGAATTCCACTCATCTTCTGTGGACAGCATCCACAACAGTCTGCTAATACACGCTTGTGGTGGATCAAATTCTTTTGAACTCCATCCTTCCAGTAAACGTTCTGACCACTGTTGCTTGTAATGTCAGCTCTCGTTATCCAAGGAATGAAGTTTCACAAGTCCCACGGTGTCAACTGTAAGGTTTCCTTGAACTGAAACTTACCTGGGGCTTTCATAACAAAAGCCGGTCTCAAATTTATTTATTCAAATATTATATTTTGAAAATCATATCCTTGATGATCATTAATTTGACATAAATATTAAGAGTAAAGGAAAGAGTGTTGCAACCTGACGCCACTTTTTTCATCACATATCTCTATGAAGGTTAGTCAGGCATTTCAAAAAGGTCCAAAAGACATTCATCTGGGTCTGAGAAACATTTTGAATTTTGTCAGGAAATACTTTGAAAATGTTCTTGACTCTCCATAGAGTTTTTACACGACCGCTGAAGTGGCATCTGCATACTCTTTCCAAAATAGATCTGACAACAGTATGATCGCATTATTTTTTTTCCCAAGGCTGTTGAGGAGCAATGAATTTTATCAGTGGAGTTCCCTGCCCCTCCCTCCCTCAAAAAAAAAATGGAAAAAAAGGAAAAAGTCCAAGACTGAACAATGCATTGTCCCTTTCTGTCAAACCCATGCCTACAAATTAAATGTGAATCTTTTGGGGGAAAAAACACTTGCACCCTCAGAAAGACAAAAGAATCCCCCCCCCCCACAAAAAAAAAGAACAAAAAAAGTGGGTTTGGGGCAGTACCCCTCCAAATTTGAAAAAAAAACCAAACTCAACTTTCAAATTTACACCATCACCAGGGTTTTTTCCACATACAATGCAAATAAACAGTTAGGGCTGTCCATTTTCGAATAATTTAGTATTCGATTACTTGAAACCGTATTTGACCAAATATTCGGATATTCGAAACTGCCAGCTGCAAACTTTGTGCCATGCAGGTCAAAGGTCACACGCAGAGCGCACAAGTTCAAATTTGCGTGCGGCGATCGATAGGCCTATGTGGGCCACTCGGTAGTGTTTTGCAGGAAGCATTTTATAAATGTTGAGGGCTTTAACCTGCTAACAGGATGGAACAATGAACCGCTGTCGACAAAAAAGTTACCGTTGACAAAAAATGTGGCCCCGATAAAATAACATCACAGTCGTGTGTATTTGTGCATAGTATTTTGTTGTTCGAATATTCCAACTGGCAAAAAGGTATTTGCATATTTGGTTAATAACGAATATTTGAATATTCAGTTTATTTGGGACAGCCCTATGAACAGTCCAGTTCATTCATTTCATAGGTCATTATAAGACCTATTCAAAGTTGGCAGATTTACATCAGAACTTATGTACTAACAATGGAAATACTGCACCATATAATACTGTCATATTAAAACAAAGCAAACATTAGGACAGTCCAATGTAAAAACCTCATTAAACCACCAACTCAACTATGTCAAAGAGATTTACAATGAATCACAAATGCATATTATTGTAAAGAATAAATTGTACAAATAATTGGATTGAGAAAGTCGAGATGCAAAGGAAATATACTAGGGGAAATTATTGCCTTTTATTTGGGAATACATTTCCTCTGCCTGCCTTAAGCTATCCTTCAGTGTTCCCAAAACAAAGCCGTACTTTTTTCCTCTGGCTTCGGATTAGGGAGATATTCAGGCCCCTCCCTGGGGAGACTCTGGCTGAAGATAGGTCCCATGTTGTACTTTACAGGTAATGTACAACATTTGCAAACATTACAAAAATGAAACTACCAAATTATTATGAAATACCTTACTTGACTATAAGTAAATAATGGTTTAAGCATTGTGTGACATCATGGCACTTGGTATGCTCTCCTTTTCAAGAAAAGTGAAATTTTGTATATTTTCCAACGATGGTTCGGCCAACCATCGTTGGCAAAAGCTTTTTTTCCCCGCCCAAGTACTACCCCCAATTGATCGAATTCAATTTGTCCACATTTTGTTTGCAATCGGTAACATACCTGTGAATGATCATAAGCCATCTTGTCTGGCTCCCTGACTGGACAAATCCCTGACATCTTTAAATTGTCCCATTTTCTCTGTAGTCTAGGTCAGGGAACCAGACTACAAGAGCAGCTTTTTCCCCCCTTTTTTTCCGGCATCCATGAACACAAAACTTTAAACAGGTCAGTGTAACAATATTTGCTATAAAATACTAACCCCCACATCCGTCCACTTCTGAAAATTACAGCAAAATCAAATGTTGTATACATGTTCATGTATTACCTTTATATCCTATAATAATTATGAGACCAGAGTTTGGAGAATGTCCATTTTATTTTGATAATGAAGGATTCTTTGTGATTTTTAAAACAGATGAAGCCGAAGAGGAAGCTGGGTTTAGAAAAAAAAAGTTATAAATACATGACCTTAACAAGACCCCATGTTTCAGTTGTTTAATTAGTTGCTTTATGAATGGTAACAGAAAATGTAACTTGATTCTCTCACGAAGCAGTTCAACAATCAATCTGATGTACTTCTGTTTCAGTGAACAAAGAATTGGATAGCTCAGTTGGTAGAGCGCCAGTGCATTATTTAGGAGGTTACAGATTCACACCCTGCATGCTCTAGTCAATTTTATACTTAACTTTTAACTTTACAATTTAAAAAAAAAATAAAATGTTGCATCAGGCATGATCATGTGACTTTCGGGTAGGTTTTGCATCAGCAAAACCCCATTAGTTACTCGCAGTTACAAGTATTGTACTTTGTAGTTGGAGTGTTCAATGGATTGTGTGTTTTGTTGAAATTAAATCGAAACTTTTATGCTCGAAAAAGTCAGGTCCTTCTTACATGTTTTTTTTTTTATACGAGTTTCAGATAATTTGCTTATGTGAGTCCACTGACAATATACAACAGGCAACAATGGCTATGCTTATTTCATCTTTCCCACAAGTTCAGCTCTGCCCCTTCAAGATCATGACTCCGCCCACAATTAAGAAATTCTATTTGCTCAACCAGTGTTGTTTTCAACAACATAAAACCCACAAAAAAATGTCATTTCCATTGTATTATTACATTTACATTTGGATTTTAATTTAAAAAAAAAAAAAAATTTAATAGTGATCATTGGTTTTATTTATTAGTACAGTTATAGTTTCACACGGTGCACATAAAGTATTACATATTGCACCCTCCTTTTCAAGAGAAACCACGCCCCGTCCCAAAGTATTCTATCATTTTGTTTTTCAAGGGAGGGTGTTATTGGTTTAATACTCAAAACTGTTGATCAAGTACATGCAAAGTTTGTTTCAATTCACACCATGGGCTTTACGCATGAGAACCCCAGTCTGCTTCAATGAATAATTTAAAATTTGTAATTAAACATTCCTTAGTGCTTAAAGCCAGATTAAAAAAAGAATGACGGTAAAATGAGGCTGCATTGTGCCTGCAAAAATAGTCTGGCGCCATCCCATTCAACAGCAAACAATTAATGAAAGACATTCAGGGAACTCAACAAAAATGGCCAACTCGTGCATAAGGCCCGTAACTTCCAAGGTACCTTTCAATGGCAAGTACATGTACACAGAATTAGCATATTTGTTTTTGTTAAGTTCTTTTTCAATAGATTTGAGTATATTTTTAAATCATCATAAAAAATGCCATTTCGCTTTCAAACCCTTTTAAAATTTAATTTAATTCTTCTCAATGGGCAGAGCAGATTTCAATTGGGATTCACTGAGTATATGCGTGATGCGGCGACGTCAAAAGATATGTGTAGTTTTCCAGTCCTTAAAATGGAAAAAGATTTTTAGTTTTTTGGCATAGAAGGCAGGCGATTGTGCTTAGGTGAATTTGACCAAAAGCTAAGTCGTTGGATTCTGGGTCACGAAACTTATTTGAGGGAAAATGACGGAGACAAGTATCGCTCTAAACAGAAACATGTTACAGTCACAGCTTTTTATTTTTATGTATACGTCGTGTGTACACTTTTACTTCCACCTTTAAAAGTGGTTCACAAAAAGTGTGCTAAAACTACTGCGTCACAAATAACTAAATTTAACTCTACAAATACATACGATGATGATGGCTAGCTTTTAGTTGGAAAATACTCTGGTGTCAATAAAGACCGTTGATTTCCTTAGGATTATTATTTACAATATTACTGTACTTATATGTTCTGATGATGCACTGCCAACATGAGACAACATAAGCTGGTCTTAAGGTCACAAAATCAATATCTTTTGGGGGCGGGGTGAGCCCCTTGCCTTGTCATAGCACCTACCCAATTCCCACCAAATACCAAGTTAATGAATGTGCCTAAAAAGTACCACGTGCGTTTATCACTTCACGAGTACGGTACATTTTGTCAAATGGGCAATCTGTTTCTATGAAAAATGCTCCAATCTGATCATTATTTTTGATTCAGCTGGAAAACTTTTTTTCCCCTGGTTGGTTCAAAACACTACAGCTACCATCTAATTATTTTCTATTGAGTGTTAAAACATCAGTACAATTTTTCAATGATTGTGGAATAAATTATTTTTTGGTTAATTTTTTTTGTTTTTTTTTGCAAAAAAAAAAAGTTTTATACTCACATTGACAGTTGCTTTTAAAATTGGAGCTAGCTGATTTTGTCCGTGTTGGTAGTGCAGTGATGTTGACGATATAAGCGACAAGCTTTACAAATAAAAGCAATCTTACAAGTGGCACGGGCATGAGCCATGTTTCATTAAGCAAAGTGAAATTGTCTACTCGTACACAAGCACATGTGTTTTTCCAATATTGAATACGCAAAGTTTATACAATGTATAACATGTTATGTTATAATCTAGGAGGTATTTTGAGAATGTGCCAATTTTAAACAATGCCAATATTGGGAGCACTTTTTGCAACTTAAAACATGTGAAAGATTTTGATGGCAAATTCACTGTGACTGCACTGACTGAACAAAATATGAAACATAAAGGGAAACCTATCCACGTACTAAAAGAATGTTTATAAACGGTTAAATAAGATTCTCTAATAGTAACAGTGGAGTGCCGTGGCCTCGTGGTCTGGAGCATTGAACCCGTGGTCTGCGGGTAATTCTGCAGGTTGTGGGTTCGATTCCAGTCTGGGAGTGTGGTGCGTGTGCCCTGGAGCAAGGCACTTTGGGGGTCAACCATTGCTTCTCCCCACCCAGGTGTAAATGGGTACCTGTCAGGGCAGAGATGGTTATTGTGATTGATTTTAGCTTCTTTGCGCTGAAATGGCAGCATCGAGCTGTATACTCCCCAGGGAGCTGAGATTGTATTTGGAATGTTTCATTAGCCCAATGATCAGGGGTAAAAATAATGTAAAGCGCTTTGATCTTACTTAAAAGCGCTATATAAGTACAGTCGAGTCTCGTTATAACAAACTCGTTCGGACCCAGCCAAATTGTTTGCTATATCAGAATTTTGTATCAAGAGGAATATCAGTTCCATTGATTGTGCACATAAATGCACAGTCGGGACCAAGGCTTTATGTTTGTTATAACCAGAATTTTGTATTAACAGAGTTTGTACTAACGAGAGTCGACTGTACCCCTTAATATTAATAGCCTTGGCCCCCCAAATTTGAAGAAGTTTTTTGGACGTTTTGGCTGGTAATCTTGTTTCTCAAAAGTTCCGGACCAAACAACTTTCTGAGATTAGCCTCTCCATGTAATTTGCCTCTTCTTAGGTTGGTCCTTCAAACCCAGTCCCACAAATTTCTTCAAAAACTGCCACTTCGTTTTACTTTTCAAAAACATAAAAAAAGTTTGAGTGATCCAATAAATAAAACACTATGTTTATCATTAACAATTTTTCCCTCGTCCATTTTGCTTCAATTTCTCACAAATTCTTGTACCAAAACTCACTGACTAAATTTTTCTTTTTTTAAAGGCGATTGAAAAACAATACTACAAATATTGATGAATTAATGTTATTTCAAGACTGAAGTTCGAATTAAGGTGTGGATTTAAAAATATGGTTTTCTTGCAATCATCTTTTGACTTTCTGCTCAAAGCCAATGGTGACCCAAAAGATTGTTGCAATTTCTCAAATATAGAATAATGTAAAATAATACAAATATCAATGACCCATAAATCTGTTCCAGTACATTAAACAAACAAATAACAGCTAAGTTTTGGGGGGGGAGCAGGTATTTTAATAAAAAAAACTGCAGTTATACATTTTCTTGCATTCACAAGTAAACATGTACATGTATGTATCTGCTTTTTGATTATTTTAGGGGTTGCATTACATTAGCAGGATTTGTAAGTTTTCTCTGTGCTTCAAAGTTTTATTTCTTTTGTCAACAACTGAAAACAAAAGGACTAATAAAAAGCTGCAAAGAGGAGTCACAAAAATTATGGAAGATAAGGAGCCTCAAAATAGAGCTTTATTCCTAGGAGCGAGACTAGTTCCAACTTGCGCCTTGATCAAATCCAGCCCCTCCCCTGCTTCTTGAAAATGACTCTGCCCCAAACTGGCCCCCTTGGTTTCCCCGGGGTGCCCCATTGCCAGTACCCCCGCCCCAACCTCTACCTCTGTCGCCTTCCTGGTGTACGTCTTGCCGGTACCCTCGGTAGTCCTGTGGCACATTGTTGTTCCCCGGCAATCGGGAGTTGAAATTGGAGTTTTCTGGATAGCCGGGGCTGTCAACGTGAGTGTTGTTGCCGTAGCAGTCCGGGGGAACGGGGGCGGTGCCTTGGGGCTCAAGGGGGTGTTCAGACAGTGTCGGAGTGACCTCATTGGAACCTTGGTTGGTTAACCCTAGCTCCGGTAGACCTTGCGCCTTCAGCATCTGCATCAACGCTGCTTTGACTCCCGGCGTCACCAAGGTAGTCTCCTCGGGCTGGGAATCCTGCTCCATTTCAGGAGAATCCGGTGGTGGACCTAATGGCGTTGGGGGCTTCCAACCCTCCCCATCCCCTCTACTCCCATCCCCCATCGCCGCATCCAACGGGGGAGTGCTTGGCCCTCTTTGCTGGTAACCAGCATTATAGCTATCATGCGGCTCATAGTCATACTCACCATAGTTTTTATTGGCAGGGCTGTTGTAGGAGCTGCCTCTGGACCCCGTGGGTCTGTATGGGCCACTATCCATCCCACCTTCTGCCACCGGTTGACCCACAGATGAAGCAGCACTTCCGGAGGTTGATGTCCCTGCTGAGCCTGTTGCAACTGTGTTAGCGGGAGCAGTGGACTTGCCAAACAGGCTTGACACATAGTCAGTCAAGGTAGATGGGATCTCCTGAGGCCTGTCTTTAGTCTTCGGATCCACACTTGCGGCACCGCTTCCTGAAGTCTCGCCTTTGCTCTCAGCGTTGCCTTTGGACAGGGCCAGCAGGGCCGAGGCGGTGCTGACCAAGTTGTCATCCTTAGCTCGACTAGTGCTACCGCCTTTGGACTGATTGGTGGCAGCGGCGGCAAGCAGCAGCTGCATATTGAGGTTCTCTAGCAGCTTGATGGTGCTCCTGTCTACTTTGACATTCAGAGCCTCGGCAAGCTTGTTAACATCCAGGCCCGACTGGGATTGTAGGAGGCTCACCAATCCAGCAAGCTGCTTCTCGCTGGACTTACTGCCGCTCGCTGAGTCCTGGGCTTCAGGCTCTCCATCACTAGGCACACTCCGACCTCCTTTTGATCCCCCGGACCTAGACGCTGACTCTCCATCCCCACTGATTCCTGGGATCTTGACATTCTCGTCAGATACAAGGCCGAGGCCTACCTCCTTCCGTTTGGAGGCTGAAGACTGATTCTGAGCAGCCTGTTGCTTCTCCAGACGGCGACGGCGTTTGCTCCATAGCTCATGGCAGTCTTGTCCGCAAGGTAAACTTTAAGCAATAATAGATAAAATAAGGATAAAGTTAGCAAACAATAAGTTAGTCTTTTAGCAAGTGAGTCAATCATTACATCAGCTCCTGTAACACAATTCTTCAGTTAAAAATTATGTATTTCTTTTAGTAGAAGAGCTGCCTTCTTCGTAAAGTTCTATTTAACTCTTTCAGTGCCGTGGATGACTGATCACTTTTTTTGGTGTTTTGGTGTTAAGTACTATAAAAAAAAATCAATTTGTATCTTGGAATCTGAACTGCCACACATCTAATTATCACAAGTAGCATTGAAGACAAAACAAAAAATCCCCAAAAGTTGGGACCCTCACTTTGGAGAATTTATCTTGCCGGGGTCTACAGTCTTCAGCCAGTTGCAGTTCAGGGCATCTGTGGCCGAGATTCGCTTCTCAGGGTCAAGAGTCAACATTTTATCCAGCAGGTCTAATGCCGGCTTGGGCAACCTGTCGTCATAGAAATAGTTTGAACATTACAAAAAAAAATAGTGACAAATCAGTGTCACTTCACATTTCCCCTTTTTAAACATTTAAAAACGACACGTCTGTTATAATTTTAAAAATCAAAATGCATTTGTTTTATAAATTTCATTATAATAATCTTCATGTGATTCATACTTACCTTGTTGCTGAAAGTGAAACACATAAATTTGTTTACGAAACAGCAATGAAAAGTTTAGATTGTTTAAAAACACTAATAATATCAGCACCGTTTGTCAATACGAAACAAAAGTACGGATCACTCTTACAAACAATCAGCGACAAGAAATAACCAAATTCACCAACCCAACCTGATCCTTCAAACACCATGGAATTTGTAGGATTGGGGAAGGTAGAGCCCATCCAGAATTTCTTTATATGGGGACGTTATGCCTCATGGAAGTTAACGTGTAGGATTCAGGATGATTCAGCAAGGTTTGCAGTAAAAATGCTGAAGCGGTAAGGTGAAGTTTATCAAAGGAGTGTTCAGTACTCACAGAGCAAACTCGTCCCTCAGTTTCCGGTTATAGTTCTTCTTTGGCTTGATGGTGTTAAACAGCGGCAGCCGGATCACATCCGGCCAGACTGCCGGCGTGGGTGTGCCACAGATCCTGCTAATAAGCTCCAACTGAGCTATCTCCTGGTTAGCTTGGAAGATGGGCTTCCTGGTGAAGAGCTCTCCTAGGATGCAGCCGCAACTCCACACATCCACGGCTGGACCGTACCGCTCCTCACCGAGCAGCAGCTCAGGCGGGCGGTACCAGAGTGTGATGACCTTGTTGGTGTAAGGGCGTGACTTGTCGTCGGCGTGGTACAGGCGAGCCAAGCCAAAGTCGGCCAATTTGATCTGACCCTGTGGTGGAAAATACCAGCAGGATATCATTATTGGGTGCAAACTAAACTTGATTGACCTGAATTATACAAGTAAACAAATATAGACAGCCTAACATTTTGGTCCTGGCAGGAACTTTTTCAAAGGCAAAATGACCCGTGAAAGGCTTCTGCCAGGCCCGACACATTAGGTCCTCCATATTTTTTTTCTTTATCAGGTATCTTCGCGAAACATTTGCCATTTAACCAGACATGCTGATACCCTCCATGTAGATTGCACTGGATGATGCAGAGCTAATCATCGAAAGACTTCAAATGGATAGACTTAAATGTTTGTATGAGATGACAGCAGGGTCCACTCATTCGCTCGAGGACAGACAGTGTTAACTCAACATTTAGTTTTGCTAAGTTTGGCTGATTTCAAAGCCATAACCCAAGTATGCTTGTGGCTCTTTCGTGGCCCCAACGCCAGATCTTAGAATCTGTATATCTCGCCTTGTAAACAAACCTGGACCTTACCTTGTTATTCAGGAGAATGTTGGAGCACTTTATGTCCCTGTGGAGGAAGTTGCGATTGTGGCAGTAGCTGAGTCCGTCCAATAGTTGCTTCATGAAGCTCCGGATATGCTCCTCTGTGAAGCTGACCAAGCCCGATTCCAACAGACCCATCAGGTCATGATCCATGTACTCAAACACTAAGTAGAAAGCACCTGTTCAAAGGTCAAATGTCAACGAGGGGTCAGTTTGGTGTAGAGGTAGAATCCAAAGCTGTGTTTCTTTGTAAAAATTGACGTTTGTTTCAGACAGGTAAATCATGCCACAGTCCATGTACTCGGACACCAAGCAGAAGGCACCTGTACAAAGGTCAAAGGTCACAGGTCAAAGTGGAGTCAAAGGACAAAAAAATGTTACTTATTTCAAACAGCAGGTATACCTTTATCTTTCCTGAAGTCCAGGGCATCTTGTTTATCGGTGACTATCTCCCTGAGATTGACCACGCTAGGATGGTTCAGTTGCCGGAGGATTTTGATCTCCCGCACCGCAGTGATAGGGAAGCCCTCCTTTTCATTGTCAGTACGTACCTTCTTCAGCGCAACCAGTTCCCCTGAAGTCATAGATCAAGGACAGAGGTGGAAAATTTAGTAAAACCCTTCACTGTAAAAAATTAAATTGGGGAAGAAATTGCTTTCTTTATTAGCAGGAGACTTAAATGATTATTAGGGGTTAGAGCGGTTCAACTAAAAAGTGATTATCTCTGTAATATTGGAGAAACATGTGGATGCACGCACCTGTTTGTTTGTCTTTTGCTTTGTAGACCTGCCCGTATGTACCCTCACCCACTTGATCTACTATATCAAAGACATCCACACAGCGTTTACCCCAGTTCAGCCCACTGGCCATTTGCTCCACCCTCCTCCTCTTAATCCTCTCCCTCTTCTGACTAGTCGGCTTGGATGGAGTGAAAGGCACAGTAGGTGCCAGCAGTGGGGAAGGCACTGCCGCTGACTTGGGAGCTGATGGTGGCAGCGGAAGATCCTTGATGGATGGCCGGTACTTTTCCTCTTTCGATGGTAGAGGCGGCGTGCTGCTGTGTTTTTCATCAATCATCGGAGGAAGAGGTAGAGGTGGGAGAGTGGTGACCTGAGGGGTGGGCTTGGTGACTGGGGCAGGGAGGGGAGATTCCTTTTTAACCTCAGGCTTGACCTCCTTCCTGATGAGAAGGTTCTGGAAGGGTTGATTGCGATTGCCCGGGACCTCCATGACTGTCCGCTGAGGTGATTCCTCAGCTTTGGCCCGGTTGAGAGCTGCCTCATTCTTAATGGTAACCTTGATCGGGCTGCCTGAATAAGGTTTAGTGATGGTGGTTGGCAGGGAAGAGGGGGATGGAGTGGCAGGCGACTGGGCCTCTTGCACTAATGCTTTCCTGGTTGGGGGAATTCCCTTCCCCGTTGATGGGTCCACCGTTTTGCTCTCAACCAACTTTTTGGTGTTTTTCTTCAGTTCTGAGCCCAGGCCCATTTTGAACCGGGCTGTGGAAAAATCAAAGCTCCGGCTGCGGCTACGACGCCGCTGGAAGCTGCGGGAACTAGATCTGGATCGGGAACGGTACGGGCTCCGACTCCGGCTCCTGGACCGCCGCGATCGCTTCCTACTAAAAGAAAGGGTTAGCAGGGTACAGAAACATATATACAAATATCTGCACACATCATAATCTACAATCGTTTATCCAACAGCTCCTCTATCAAATGGTTTAAGAAACAAAAGTCAAAGGAAACAATGCCATCTATTCTTCCAATTATGTTACTCAACAACATTGGTAAAATACAAAAGAGATAATGAAACAAGAAAACGAAAAAACAAACCACTTTTCTTTCTTAAGAAAAAATTAAATATTTGAGAGCGAGCCACAAATTGCATGCATTCAACAGCTTTATATAGGTTATATCTATAAAATGTTGTTACTGTGAGCAGGACCTATAAGTACATTACAACATAATTCATTATAAGCATTTCATATCAACTGTTTGTATTGATCATCTCGATGCATCTGACCAAGTGATGGTTCAAATGGAGGGATGGCTATCCCAGCCCAGTATTCAACCCAGATACTTACCTATAACTAGGACTTCTGCTTGAGGATCTGGAGGACCTTCGCCTCCTTGAAGGGCTTGGACTTGGACTACGCCGCGACCGTTGGGTCTTCTCGGCACGTCTCTTCCTAGCTGGACTTGGGGATTTACGCCTCGGGGAACGAGACCTCTTCCTTTCAACGACTCTGATTGTGTCTGGGGAGCCCCTGTACGCCCTCGGGGGGTTCGTTGGGGACTGTCGCCTGTAGGCTTTGGGTGCCTCTGCTGGGACATAAGGCTGCCTTGAGGGTCTGTTGCTGGAGCTTGACCTTGCGTGGATTTGGGGCGAGTTCCTCTCCTCTTGCCTGTTCCTGTACTCCTTCAGTGCCGTGGCCGGTGAGACGGCACGTTGGCTCTTGGTACGTTGGCTCTTGGTTGGAGGTTTAGTCTCTGAGACAAATTGGACGGGAGGTGGGGAGGGGCTCAGATACACCTCCTCGTCACTACTTATATCGTCATACTCGACCAAAGGTTTGACTTTGGGGGCCTGTTCCCGCCTGTCCCGCTCCCTGGAGCGTTTGTGCTTGTGTCGAGTGGCTTTTTTGTGCTTCCTGGCTCGGTTGGAGTTAGGCGGGCTTTCTTCACGGAAGGCACGCCCACGACTGCTAGGCTGTCTTGGCCCTGGCATTGTTGGTTATGGCATGTACATACAAAGGAGCACAGATTTCAGCAAATCCTGAACCACCAATACTATACCTATAATGAAAGAATCAATGATACAAAGTAGGAGTCAAATATCAGAAAGTATTAACTATCCTCCTAAAAAATAACTTATAAGACTTGCATGAAATTCTTACAGGTTATAACTAAATGATTTGTTGATTTCGTGTAGAAACTGTAGATAAAACTGTGTAGTCTAACAACACAGTTTGCTAGTGTAGTGAACTTTTCTTCATGGCTCTAACCTTCCTCAATCCTCCAAAATCCTCCAGGCAGTTTTTTGGAGGATTTTGGATGATTGAGCCTGATGGCCAAAAGGTGTCGGTTGATTTTGGAGTATGCATTGCGTCGAGTTCGTAGGCTATACCCTACATTGTTTATGTTCAGCCATGCATAATTGAGCCCTGCATTATGCTCGATATCATCCGCACTGCTTCTGAATGTCAGCAGTACTGTCTCAACCCATGAAAAGTGATTGTTGGAGGATTTTGAAGGATTAAGGAAAAGGTCACCCCTCCACTGAATTTAAAAAAAAAAAAATAACGCATGATTTTGGAGGATTGAGGCTGAATCCAATTTGTACATTTGTGGCAATTGAAGGATTTTGCAGGATTGAGGAAATTTCCTTGCCAAGAGGGCCTAGGGGGTTAGGGTTAATTATTTGAAACCAAAGACGGCTACCCCACCATGCTTAAGGTCTACTCTCTAAATACTTTTTAGTGAGCACCTTTGATCGTGGTTAGATTACACTATGACAGTGACTTTTCTATTGCCTCTACAGTCTACATCTACATGCAAGTGCATTAACCCTTACTCCCTAGGCATTTTTGCTAGGATGTAACCTCAATCCTGCAAAATCCTCCAACTGCCTCCATGTAAAAATAACATACAGCCTCAGTCCTACAAAATCCTCCATTATTTCTTGAATGTGGTCCTTGGAAGGGTGACCACTGCCTTCAATCCTGTTAAATCCTCCGGCAATCACTGTCAATATGTTGAGGCAGAGCCAGTGACAACCTGGAGCAGTGTGGAGGATTTCAAGTATAATATATGCCTCAATTTATGCACGGCTGAGCATAAACAACACAAGGTCCGGCTTAATACCTTGACACAGTGCGCCCTCTGAAATCTGCCACACACTTTTGCCACATAGCCTCAATCCTGCAAAATCCTCCATTTTCCAAAGAGGATTTGGGAGGATTTGGGGTTAAGGTTAGGGTTAACATTTATTTCCTGTGGGATTTCCCCTAGATTTGCCCAAATACATGTGTATGTTGCAAGCACAACCACAAAACAAGAGGGAGTGGTATTATTTTTTTTGGGTTGTTTTCTGGAGTGGGACACATGGTTCATTTTGTAGGATTTCCATTTATGTCTTGTGTGAGTTGCAAAATTGATGGAAACGCCCTTGCAAGGCATTAACCGTAAACCTCCCACCCCTTCAAAATCCACCTGGCAGTTTTGGAGGATTTTGAATGCAGGACTTAGGAAGGTAGAGCTCAACCACAATAACTTAACATGGGACCGGATTGCTCCCCCCCACACCCCCCCCCCCCCCAGTCAAAAAAATGTGCTATTTTCCTCTGTAAAGAGGTGGATTTCAGAAGGTTTAAGAAAATTCCTAGAAAGAAAAATGCCTTCAAGCTTCCATTAAAACAATGCCATAGTAGTTACTGCCAGGATTAATTATCAGATTTCATGGTCTCATTGTGTAATTTTCAACTTGCAAAAACTGAAAGGTATCCTAAGAAACAAGCAGATCATTGTAGGGTGCGTCAGAATAACAACAACAGGGTTTTTCACTTTGAAAACCAATACTGTAGTGCACTACAAGCAGCCAACCAGCCCAGTCGTTCATGACTATGATTTACAGCTTGATAAATACTATTTCTGGAAACTGTCCAATAATATTGAAATGGAATCAATTTGATTATAAAGAAAATGGAATGGATTTGTGTGTACACTGTCCCAGTTCCAGTAAGGAAATTCTCCCCTTCCCAACTGAACAAACAAAAAGTAAAGAAAGATATGAAAAAAGGACAAAAATATAAAAGGAACACCCCAAGCCATCCCTTGAGCAACATGTTGCCAAGCAACAGTCTCCCCACAAACTAAATAAGATGACCAGTATGAAAATGTTCGGTGGTGAAATTGAACATTCAATGGGGCATTTGACCAAGTTACCGGAGCCAGTCCAGCGTTTTAGAAGGTACATATATTTTACCCAGCTCCAGCAACATTCAAAACCTGATAAACACATAGAAGGCCCAAAGGTTTTCACAAAACAAAACTGCTAAAAACCATTAACTCGAATTCATATATTCCTCAAAGCGAGTTTGCAAATTATAGGAAAAAACCAAATTTATTTGTTTGTAGTTTGAAGAATGTTTTCAAATACTGTTTGTTCTTGTGTTAGGCCAAGTAAAAAAAGCAACCACCAGTTAATCATCCGGGTTTTTTTTCCAAAAAGAGGCGGATGAGGGCCTTTTAAAAAATTTTTATTAAAAAATAGGCTAAAATAGCCATATTTAGTTTACCTGATATGTGCCTTAAAAAGGAGGCCCTTTTTATTAAATAGTTCTGGGTAGTTGTCTACTAGTTGATGACCAAAAAAAAAATCTTCTGAAAGTGCTTATTGAACATAAGCTAACCCTAATCCCCTAAGAGTTCCTCAGGACTACCCTGCTAAATCCAACAGGGTCCAACGGTTACTTCCTGCTGAATCCAACAGAATCCAACAGAATCCAGCTGTGCCTAATTTTTAGTTGTCTGCTGGATCCAACAGAGTCCAACTTGGTGTTACCCAACAGAATCCGACTCTGAATATGTGCATTTGTACAAGGGGTTTACTGCTCAATTCAGCAGGCTCCAACGGGTTAATGATACAGTTGGATCCTGTTGGATTCAGATAGGTATACAGATAGGTTAGGGTGCATCTGAGCTTCTGAAACATTTTTTTTTTTAAACGTTATGCCTCAAATAAAAAAAATAAAAAATTTAAGGAATCTCAAAAAAGGAAGCAGGCGGGGACGATCAACTGGTATTTGTTTTACTTAGCCTTAGATGTGATTTTGACAAGAAATATTTCAATACCAGTTCGCCTTTTGTTAAATTCTGCAATGCAAAGAAATTTTTGCAATTTTGGAACCCAGATTTTAAAAATTTTACTACAGTGCAAAAAAAAAAAATGTTCCAAAGGCAGTGGATATTTGACCATGGAGCGGTCCCCATTTGTTTTCAGTATTTTACTGGCACAGCACTGAACATGCGCAGTGAGTGTTTTTAGGGACTTACAATTTTTTTACTGTGACAAACCTTCGTCTGGTTCCGAGCTAACATTGTCGTTGTGACTTTGTGTTATAGAGACGGGAATCAGACCTTTTACAATTTCGGACTTTATTTCCCTTAAAAAAAAAAAATCCTCCAGAGCCACGAATCAGAAAAAGAAGATGAAATACTTTGCAATTAAATGTAGGATTCGATTTTAAACAACAACAAAAGAAGACAATTCTTATTTTTAGGGACAAAAAAAAAAAGAAGTTTCAAACACATTGGTCATGCTGGGACTGGAACTTTTGCGGTGTTGCTTTCGATTGCGAGGTGGCCCAGTACGGAAATCTTTCCCAAAACAATCAGTGCCCATCTTCCTCCGGCCTACTTTTTCAAAAATGTTAAAACAATATTATTTTAATTATTTAGGCCTAGCCTATAGGCCTAGGCCAACCTCCCTTTAAAATAATAAATTTAATCATAATGTTTAAAAAAAAATTCTATGAAATTGAAAAGCATGGAGGCGTTTTTACCATGTTCAAGTATGGGACAGGTTTTTTATTTAAAGTTTAACTTCCCGGCCCCACCCCCTCTGAGGCTCTGTCCCGGTTCCCACAGTGAGTCAGGCTAAAATAAATTATATAAATGTGATGTGATTTTCTGATGGAATAAATAAGAATTAGAGACTTATTAACAAAATTAGAATCTTACCATGGAAATGTCTGACGACCGACGAGTTCCGAATTAGAAAAAACTGGCTTTCCACAGCTACCGCGCCGGTCCGGGCCGCAGACGAGTCTCCGGCACTGCCGCTGGCCCCGGCCGTCTCCCGTGACCGTATCCGCGCTGGCCGGTCAGGTGGTGTGGCCGCTCAACCCACACGAACGGGGGCTGCTCGTCACCGCATCTCAAACGGGATTTCTTGATGATCAATCTCCAAAGGAGAAATGTCAAAGAATTTCCTGTAGCTCCTTTAACGAAAGCTGTTGCAGATTATCTTCTCAAAAAAGTCTCATCGTTGTATACTTCGCGCGTAACGTAACCCACGCACACAAAATGTCTGAATCAATGTAGGTCTGTGCCAGGTGTATACGTCAGCACAGTTCATGAGAGGTCGCTGATTGCGGCTCGAATTTTATGAAACTTAAAGCATTGTTTCGACTAAAGATTCATCATCAGACTATCCAAATTTATAACCAAACGGATGTATGATGCTTCATGTAACTGATGTGATAAAAATTAGTTTGATTTCTCGATTGCTTTCTTCGATGGAATGGGATTTTATTTTTTGGTAAAATTGCTCGCTCTGCCGCTATTGCGCAGACATTTTTATTTTAGGTGCATTGTGGGAAATATTTATAGTCTGGTGGCGTTGTTCAAGTTACCCGAAATGCATACAATTTACATTGCAGAGAAAGTGTACCAGACTGATATAAACATTGCGTTTGCAGCAGGGAGGCAGCACCACAAAAGCAATGAAGTTTCTTTAAGAAATGGGCCCAGTTCTTTTAAGTTTTAGTTGATATTGTTGTTACGTTATTATTAAAGATGTCAAGAACAGTGACAGATGGAGGTTTGTGTGTTTGGAGCTGCTCAGTTCTGTATCCATCTGCTCATCATGTTGAACCTGAACATTTGTTTACTTTCAACTTGTCTTGGCAATGTTTGGTGTGGTCGGTCGAGGGGAGGAGTTGGGGGAGGGTGGGTTAAGGAGGGGGGGGGGGGGGCGTTACAACTCACGAAAAAATTATGCTACCTGACGCCACTTCAGCAGTCGTGTACAAAGAAGTCTATGGTATGGAGGGTCAAGAACATCAAAATTGGGAATGTCTCAGTCCCACATTCATGTCTTAATACCATTTTTGCAATGACTGACCTTTAGTGAGATGTTAATTGATATATGAAGAAAAAAGTGGTGTCAGGTTGCAACATTTTTTTCCCAACATGCGAGCTCCCCACCCTGTCAATTTTTTGTACCATGGGTCTAATGTGTGTTCACTATTCCATCCTCAACAATTTGTTTAGTCGATTTAATAGGAACATAAATGTTCTGAACTATCCATATGATATAGGCCCTAGTATGACTAAGATTATTTATAGAAAATTAAAAATTAAAGAAGAGAAAGTTTTGAAATAAAGTTGGCCTAAGCATTCATTTAATTATGACAAGAGAGTGATTGGCTATGCAAACTAAACTAAGTAAAATTAATTTCATATGACATGTCAGAATTCTAGCAGATGATTTTGATTTTTTTTTTTATCACACTTCACAGTGCGTGGAACTGTTGGTCGTACGACCTTTGGGGTGGAGGTTGAAGGAAGCATCAATGCAGTCAGTGCCTGCCGAGATTCCTCCCAGGTGGTTGTTGCTGGAAGACAGGGTATGAGGATGTGTTTGACAATGATGGGATTTTTTTTGCATCAGTGAGATGTCAATTTTAATTTAACATCAAGTTTTTCCTCCCCCATAACCCTAACCGCCCTGAATCTTTCAAAATCGTCTTTGCCAAAGTGGAGGAATTTGGAGGATTGAGGTTACATGGCAAAAGTGCGTTACTGATTTCGTAGAATGCGGGGACACTTAGTCAAGGTCTTGGGCCGGACCTTGTGTTGTTTATGCTCAGCCATGCATAAACATAGGCCTGGATTATGCTTGAATCCTCCGCACTGCTCCTGGATGTCACTGGCCAAGCCTCAACATATTGTCAGTCACTGCCGCAGGATTTTGCAGGATTCAGGCAGTGGTCACCCCTCCAAGGACCATATTCAAGAAATAATAGAAGAATTTGCAGGATTGAGGCTATATGCTATTGTTCCATGAGGCCAATTGGAGGATTTTGCAGGATTGAGGCTACATCCTAGCAAAAAGGCATTGGAAGTTAGGTAAAAAAAACCCAACCCAAAACCCCAAAATAAAAACTAATATAGTCGGTGCTGACTGAGAGCTTGAAAAAGAATAAAAATGGAAGCAGTTTTTAACTAAATCTTTTACATTTGAATATTGTCTTGATCTGTTTAATGACAATGAATTGGTGTGTGTGGTGTTAAGGCAGCTGATAAAATATCTACATGCCTTCATCTACAAGTTTTCATCGGTTGCTTTGTGTTACCATTCAGCACCCCAGACTCAAGAACCATTCAGTTTCAAGAAGAGTCTGGAAACAAGATAAGGAAATCTCAGTAGTTTCTGGATATCTGCGGCTCTGCGCCAACATATGTACATGTGGTGGTGTTACTTGAAATAAACATTTTTTTCAGTAATCTTTATTTTTTTTCTTCACTGTCTAGTTTTTAAGATCTTCAGTGTGGAGGAGACCTGCTTCAGGGAGACACTGAATCTGCGAGTGGGTCGGATAACTCTCAGATACAGCTGTTCCGATGTGGTATGGCATCCACTGAAAGGTTGGTAATTGTTTATCGAAATTTTTAAAACACATCTCCAATTTGAATCCACCTCACCCCTAACACCAGACAGGGACCGGAAGTGCTGAGAAAACATGCAGAACAAATTCAGGCCAATTTTACTCGCTCTTTAGCTGACAAACTTCTCCAAAATTTTCATGATGCAAAGACAAGGTCCTCAGTATTTCACCGACCAAGTTTGAGGTCTCAATTCGATTTTTAAAGGAGACTTTTCCTCAACATTTTGCACCTGAGAGTGTAGCCAAGTGATTTCAATTTCAAGCCTAAGACTAGACTGGTACAAGTCCAACTGTTTGAAAAGATTGACCCTTCAGTAGTCTGGTGGCAGACCAAGGACTGATGTGTAGAAATAGAGACCGTGTACCAGATGTTTCTTGGCGCAGTTGATTTTGATGCAGCACTAAAGGGTTGTTGGACTGGTTGTTTCATGTATTACAGTCTATTTTCTTGTATTGCATGTTTTCTATAGCTGAAGTTTTTGGACTCTCATGCACAGAGAGTCCCAAATTTTGGACTCCCCTAACATCTGATGCACCATGTTAGGCCAAAAATAAAATAAGTCGGTCTCTGGTCAGTGCACGCGTCGATTTTAATCATGCACGTCAATCTTTTTTTTTCCCAAAATGTTCCGCGGTAGCTCCAACAGCGCCTTCTATTGCCGCACCTCCTCAATTTTTATTTACCAAAGAGCACCAAGGAATGGAAAATTGCACCATGGCAAATAATCGAGAGCACCAAAGCAAATTATGAAGGACATCAATGTACATGAGGACACCAAAAAAGCAAAATAGTACCCCACCTTGTCTGTACAATCCAAGCTTGAAAAAAAAAAAAAAAAGGCAAAAAAAAAAAAAAAAAGCTGCGTCGCCGCGTCAATTCCGGAACTTTGGTCTGACCAGAGACCAAATTTTTTTTTTTTGGGCCTTACAAGTGGTAGGGTGAAGGTTCTCGGGTAACATTCTTCTTCTTTTGTTATAAACAGATGAACTCTTAGCAACAGGTGCGACCAACGGCCATGTGTGCACCTGGAACTTGCAGAAACACCAAGGCAACAAGCTGGAGCAGGAATTCACCGACCACAGCCGGGGAGTGAACAGGGTTTGTTTCCATCCGTCAGAGTGGCACATACTGCTGAGTGGGTCGCAGGACGGGACCATGAAATTCTTCGTAAGTGAGGAGGAGGGAGGGGCGTTATCAGGACAGTCGTCAAGTAATTTTTAATAGTCAATCGCAAGTCAACCACAAGTCAATCACAAGTCATTACAAGTATTCACAAGTCATCACGCTGTTGTGGGGAGCGTGGCCTAGTGGTTAGGGTTCGTGACTCATGATCAGAGAGTCAGGGGTTCGAATCCACCTGCTGGTCATATGTTGTGTCCTTGGGCAAGCCACTTCACCCCCACTTGCCTCTCTCCACCTAGGAGTATAAATGGGTACCTGCATTTAGCTGGGGAGTAACCTGCGATGGACTAGCATCCCATCCAGTGGGAGTAGAAATATTCTCAGTCGTGGCATGCTTCTGAACCTGGAGATAAACGCCAGCCCGATGGGCAACATTGGCTTGTGACAGACTCTGATTTACTTTTTTACCCTGTTGTGTGTTGTTTTGACACTGAGGATATGCATACAGGATTTGCATTAATTTTGGCATCATAAGGCCAAAAAAAAAAGTCTCCGGTTTCTGGTATGGAGCTTGCCCAAAAAGTGGTGCGGCGACGCGGCTTTTTTTTTTTTTTTACCTGTTTTTTTTTGCTTCAAATGTCGGCTGATGACTGCAAATGGTGCCCGACTAAACTTAGTGCAAATATACGGGAGTCCAGAGAGGCCACATAAAGCTTATTCTCGATCATAACCCCATCTACAAACACGTTAAAATTGTGCAGCAGCAGGATTCCAGTCAAACCAGTGAGTTTGGCGGTTTTGAGACATCATCTTGTATTGAAAAAAAACTTTTTCATTTTGCCGACGCGCATGGCTACGGCGACGCGCGCGCATGCCAGAAACCGGAGACTTTTTTTTTTTGGCCTAAGACTGACTTACAGAATCATAGACTGACTGACTGATTGCCTGACTGAGTACAACCCTGCAATTTAAATTGATTTTTTTATCGACAGGATCTTCGAACCAATAAGTGCGAAGCAACTTTTGGCAAACAGAATGACAGTGTGCGTGACATCCAGTTTAGCCCTCAGAGCTCCTTCAACTTTGCCGCGACTTCAGACACCGGTGGCATACAGGTACAAAGACTCCCTCAAAGGGAGAGAGCGGTCTCAGAATTCAGTTTGTGGTTTTGCCCGTCACCGACATTATTTCATCGGCACTGTGTACTTAGTGCTGCCCAAGAGCGTGTGGGTAAAAACAATTCCTTGGGTGCTTACTTGGATGAGACTCTAACCCACGAACCCCTGCTTCAGTGAGGATAAATATTGTGCAAACCCGACCCACAACATTTATTAGCGCATCTATCTTACATCTTGACCACCAAGCTTATGCCAGTGTTGACTGGCCAGTTCAAACTTGATATTGCTGTGTTTAACGCCATCAATCACTATTTTATGCAATGTGGGTTTTCTGAGAATTCGCTATGATTAAAAAAAAGAGTCAAAAACTTTTCTGGTTCTTAAAGACATCTGTGTAGTCTATGTGTGAAACCTTCAGCTCATGGAGTCAATTTTTAATTTTTGACTTGATGGGGACAGACGTGGGATTTTCGACGCACTGATAAATACCTGCTGAGCAACGTGGCCCACCTTGGCCCCGCCTTCTCCCTGGACTGGCACCCTGAAGACAGAAACCTCATAGCGACGTGTGGACGAGATAAGCTAATCAAGGTAAGCCAGGTGCATTCTGGGTAATGGACCCTTCCTGCCTGTCACTCAGACAGTGCGCATTGACCAATCAGCTCATGACTGTTAGTCAGGTGACCACAGTAGCTCAGTCAAGCCCGGTCACAAGCACTGTGAGAAAACGTAAACAAACCAAAGGTGGGCGGGGCTTGACCGTGCGCATTGACCAATCAGATCACGACTGTTAGTCAGGTGACCACAGTAGCTCATTCAAACTCATTCACAGGCACTGTGAGAAAATGTACACAAACCGAAGGTGGGCGGGGCTTGACAGTGGGCATTGACCAATCAGATTACCACTGTTGGTCAGGTGACCACAGTAGCTCAGTCAGACTCATTTACAAGCACTGTGAGAAAATGTAAACAAACCAAAGGTGGGCGGGGCTTGACAGTCGGCATTGACCAATCAGATCATGACTGTTGGTCAGGTGACCACAGTAGCTCAGTCAAACTCATTCACAAGCACTCTGAGAAAATGTACACAAACCAAAGGTGGGCGGGGCTTGACAGTCGGCATTGACCAATCAGATCATGACTGTTGGTCAGGTGACCACAGTAGCTCAGTCAAACTCATTCACAAGCACTCTGAGAAAATGTACACAAACCAAAGGTGGGCGGGGCTTGACAGTCGGCATTGACCAATCAGATCATGACTGTTGGTCAGGTGACCACAGTAGCTCAGTCAGACTCATTCACAAGCAGTCTGAGAAAACGTACACAAACCGAAGGTGGGCGGGGCTTACAGCCAAATCTGGAACGATCCATTGTTGAGAAGGGATGTGACCAAATTTTGGTTTGATCCTTGCAGGTTTGGCGATTGGACAGTAGCGACAATGGAATGACCGTCGAGAACACCGTATACTGCATTGCGTCGGTAGCCCGCGTCAAGTGGCGACCGGAGAAGAAATACTACATCGCCAGTTGCTCCCAAGTTGTGGACCAGACGGTGTGCATATGGGATATCCGAAGGCCCTACATGCCGTTTGCTGTGTTTGAGGAGCATAAGGACATGGCCACTGGTACGAATCAGTTAATGTGTCATGCATCATAGACGAGGGCGCTATAATGTTTACTCGTTGCCATCATAACCTCGGGTCTAGCCACAAATCTCAGGTTTTTCTCCCTTTTGTTCTGATTAGGTGTGGTATGGAGGGATCCCCATGTCTTTATGTCGGGAGGTAAAGATGGCATGCTGTATCAACACATCTTCAAGGATGCCAAGCGACCCGCGGAAAGTGTGGTAAGTTTTCTACCCTGAAGAACTGAAATGTCTCAAGAAGGTTGACTCTTTTGTATGGAATTGACTGTGATGTTGATGAGTGGCTTTGTTTAAGGAAATGCTTCAATTGAATCATGTCTATTAACCTTTCCGCAGAGCCCAGTTGGTGTGTCCATGAGTATCTATGGCAACATCTGCCAAGTCCTGAGCAAGTCCAGCCAGCCAGAGAGCCAGCAGCAGGCTACCAACTACTCCAACACGCGCAAGCCTATGAGCTTCCGACGCAGGGGACCGGCCGGGGTACAGGATGTCTTCAGGCCGTACGAGAGCTCCATGCTGGTGCACAACAATCAGGAAAAGGGCACGGTAATGGCACAACACCTCCCCACCCCTGTTCCCTCTCCCAAACCATGTCCCTCCCTAACCCCCATTCCCTGCCCCAACCCCCGTTCCCCCTCCCCCATACCTGTTACTCCCTATACCGCCCTAAATTGCCCCAGCACTGCATGATTGTAGAATGTAAAATCTTTTAGTAGAGGCGCTAATGGTTAACAACTAATTTCTTGTTTACTCTTCTCTGTGTTACAGTTTTCAGACTTGTTCGTATCCTGTGCTCAAAGGTTTCAGCTCACTGGCCGCCCGTTTCCAGAGTTGTGTGAGCACAACGCCAACGTTTCACAAGAGCTGGGACGATATCAGGTAACGCCATAGATGATGTGTGCCCAGTGTGAGTGTTGGCACATTTGGAACGTTTCCCAGGTTTCAGTTTATTTGTCCAAATGTTGTTTCAGGTTGCCCAGACATGGAATATGCTGAAGTTGATCTACAGTGACAACCCCATGGCTAAACCGACAACGGCACCACCGGAAAGCCTCAAGCAAACCGACAACGAAAGAGGTAAGCGACCATATTCATGACGTCGATATCTGTCTCTCCTCCAAAGATGTGACTAATGGCAGCCAGGGTCCGTTTACTTACCAAACAATAACTTTTACGACGCTAGAAAGCACAGTGACATAAATCATGGGCTACCTAGGACCAAGGCCTGTAGAGTAACCCTGGAGGTCATGATCTGTTGCCTGAGTCTAATCGCTTTACCAGACAACATAACCACATATCAAGTTTGGTTGAGGTTGATGACTGAAGTTACAGTGAACCTAACCCAAATGGAACTCTCTGTCTTTCATACATAGATACGCTCGCACGCACACACCCACGTGTGTAAATGCCGGCAATCGTGGACGCCCCATTGTCCCTAATCCTCTTTCCTTTGTTTGTACTCTAACTTTTTAGCGACAGCTCTCATTGGTTTTGTACACGATTTGAGATCTTGGACGTTCGGTCAATCGTGGACGTATTGTTTGCGCCCACATTCTTTTGTCCTACGTCCACGATTGCCAATGTGTTTACACACACACAAAGACACACAGAAGGAATACGCGATGGCAATATCCCCTTGTATGGCTTAAAAGTCTGGGGGATAAACATGTGGTCACTAAAGATTTATGCAGTTTACTGTCTTCACCATTCCCTCAGTACCTGAGTTGTCAGTGACTCCACAACCCACCGACAACCCCAACCACACGGTAGAATCAGCCGCAGGGCAGACAGATGACGATTCAGCACTCAGCGACAGCGAGCTGGACGGCCACACAGCCGCCACGCTGCAACCCCGTCACACACGCGACGGCAGCGGCGCGGCGGCTGCCGATTTCTTCTTCGGGGAGCAAGTCCGGGTGGACGGGGAAGGAGAGGTGGACGAGATTTACGACGAGGAACTGAACACGCTCATTATGGATGCGTGGACGCTGCCCAACGAGGCGTTTACGCAGCGACACGAGATCGTTGATACTTACAGGTCAGTCTGGTGACCCTAACCACTATGCCACACTCGCCATGCCATGTTTGTAACTAACTTAAATACCATCCTCATAACTGGCTTGTGCATAAAAACTCAAGCTGTTAATAAGGCAGTGGGTCTTTGTTTTTCAAGAAATTACTCACTTCAGAAGTACTGTTGTAACAACCCTTTGCATATATGCATTATGAAGCCACGGAGGTTTGGTCATTTTAAAATTATTTTTAAAAATTTGTTTCAGGCCACCGTCCCCAGATCAGTCTCAGCAGTACAAGCCGAACACCGTAACTCCTGCAATGTGAGTACAGAAGCATCCCAAAGCTTAGATCATTTTAAATCATCAATCAATAATTCCAATGAATTGTAAAATTTGCAAGAATGCTGAAGCTAGCCTACCTAAATCACATTACCGGACTTCTCCTTGTGCGTTGGCAGTGCATTGATTGACACGGAACCGGACTCTCTTGGCAACCAACTCCTTGTTGCCCCGGCGATCAACCCCTCCGCTGCTAAGCAACTGCCGCTCCTCCAGCTGTCGGTCAAGTTCACCCCCATCGTTGCCGACATGTTGACCTTTTATGCAAATCAGGTAGTTTGAGAGTTTGAACTGTGACCCTTATTTTGTGTTCTAGTATTTTGTCCAACCATAACTATAGTGACAATTCAGGTTGTTGCCCTCGAGTATGAAATAATAAAATATATCGTTTTTGGTAACAGGGAGATGTTCAGATGGCGGTGTCAGCGTTGATCGTTCTCGGCGACCGCATCCGAGATAAGATCAGCTTAGATGACCAAGAACAGTGGTTCATGTCTTACATCGGTAAGTTACCCATGTCTGATTTCTTAAGGTGACGTAGATCCTTTGCAATTTGGCCATCTTTGTGGCGTGTGCCTTTGTTGTAAGCGTGTCCGAAAATACCCGCAAATTTGTTGCGAGACTCTAGCATCGGCGCGGAAACACATACCGCCATTATTTTAAAGCTTGAAATCTGAACTTTATCCCTGACGGGTTTTGGTTTGATATTTAAAAGAGTTTAAAAATTATTCGTGCTCAAATAAAGGCATGTCGAAATCAAACTCAACCGATTTTAAGGAAGATTGATGATGCGGTACATCAGATGCAAACTCGAGTCAACAAGCTGTTGAAATTTAAAAAAAGCAACAGTTGATGAATATTAAAAACACATTGAACTTGAAACAAAGAACATTATTGTGAATTTATTTAAGGTGTAGTCTACGTGGATCGAAAAGAAAATTAAACACAGAAAGTAAAAGGCAACGAGATCGTCACATCATGAACGTGATGAAGCATTTCCTCATTAGAAAAAATGCACGATTGATTTTCCTTGACATCGGTTGAGTTTGTTTTTGACAAACTGAATAAAAAAATTTAAAAAAACACCCCAAAGACGGATAAATTTGAAATCCAACTGCTTTTTTTTCTGAAATCCAACTGCTTTTTTTTCCTGTCACTTTTGCAGATTTGCTGACCAGATTCAAGTTGTGGTGTATTTCCAGTGAGGTTACCAAACTCAGTAACCACAGCAACGTTAGCTCCATCAATCAGGTAGGGCCAGTTTCCAGTTGTCAGTAGGCCTGGGCGAGTAAAACGTCCCTACGGTGCGTCTTAAGACGCACTGTTGGAAAGGCCTTCTTTCGTTGATTACTTCAAAATGATAGCTTGCCAGAAAGATTGATTTCACAGGGAGTTTAGTCCACTTACTATCTTTCAACCAAGTATGTGTTTCAACAATAATTACGCCAGTTACTTTTTCGGATGGCTGCAAATGATGGACTACAGCTTTAATCAAGGGTTTAAAACTGGTCACTTGACGGGCTCTCGACTAACAGGAGTGGGTAAACTGTTTTGGTATTTATGAATTTGTTTTCAAACAGCAATCCACCACGGTGTACACCAAGTGTAATCACTGCAGTGCCCAGCTGGACCGGTACTCGTGGGCCTGTCAGCACACCAACTGCAGAAAACTCACCAACACTTGCTCCGTTTGGTAAGTCCATGAAAAAGTGTTTCATATTTTGAAAGAGTAGTTTCATCGGCCCTCCTTGCTCGCACCTACCCCTTTCCTACCATAGCAGGGTACGACTTTAGCGGTAGCCCGCTCGCCAAATGCTAGTAAAAACAGCAGCAGCTAGTCAAACTATTCCTTAAGTAGCCCGGCTGGCGAGTCAAAAATTACTGGGCTACGGCAAAGATGAAAGGACAGGAAGAAAGAATCATTAAATTCAGAAAGCGAACCTGTGTCAATTTGTGTCTAATCGTATTGACTGTTTAGGGTTAAATTATTAGATCTGTTTACTAAAAACACTGACAAGATTGCCTCAGGACACACGTTTTACATGTATGCACATTGTTGTTCATGAGACACTCTATAAAAGAAAATATGCAGGCTAGTAGAAATGCCTGGGGGCTAGTTAACCCCTTAAGGACGGGGTGTAATGGGGACATTCCTCCACACATAGAGCAAGTGGCCCGCATGACTGCACAGCGTTTGTGTGGTAGCAGGACTGCACAAAAGCAGCAGCTGTGGAACTACCCACTAGCCGTGTGCCACGGCATACCACAGCTGGCAACTGCATTCCAATGAGGATTAGCGGCCGTGGCCATGACCGCTCCCCGTACGCATGGGGTTAAGAGTCTGTTTCAGTAGCCCGGCTGGCTAGTGAACAAAAAAGTTAAGGTTGAACCCTGGCCTACCCCCTGCCTCATCCTTTCTTGTCCAACAGTCATTTACCAGTGAAAGGCCTGTACGTCTGGTGCCAAGGTTGTTCCCACGGCGGTCACATACAACATATCCAAGAGTGGCTACAGGAGAATCCAACGTGTCCGACGGGATGTGGCCATTACTGTGAATACACGTGAAATTGTGTCAACTTGAAAAAACAACCATGTCCGCTGAACTGCGACTGTTTCTGGGAGTACAGAATATGATACGGCAATCAGTGCGCATGCAGTACTTCTAGGAAACTCTATGGGCGTCATGGGTACGTCTGCGATCGTCACTGTTCACATGTACTACATAACCCCCGAGGACTGACACACAAAGGGAGAACAAAAGATCCTTTCAGTCCTTGAGCATTTGGTCTTTTCTTGAAAACGGTCCGTGATTGTACGGTTATGTGCTTAGTCTATGGGAGAGTGTTATATTACAGGGACAAAGGGAAACACAAAGTATTGTCCTCGGGGGTATAGTAAAACACGACCTGTGTTTGTTGCAGTCGCAGCATACAGTTTTTAGTCGATGGGAGAGTGTTATATTACAGTGACAAAGGGAAACACAAAGCATTGTCCGCGGGGGTATAGTAAAACAAGACCTGTGTTTGTTGCAGTCGCAGCATACAGTTTTTAGTCTATGGGAGAGTGTTATATTACAGGGACAAAGGGAATCACAAAGCATTGTCCACGGGGGTATAGTAAAATACGACCTGTGTTTGTTGCAGTCGCAGCATGCAGTACCAAAACCGTCCGAGTTTGAACGGCCAAAGGCTTTAAGGTCACTTTTCTAGTTATCCAACACCAATCCAAAGTGAAGATGATATAATGTTGGTCTGAAAGGTGCCTGACTTTTTGTTGAATGTTAACCAGATGCTCCAGACTTCAGTTACCCTGGTCTGGTTCCCAGGAGTATGCCAGCCTAAAGCACTTCAATTCACATAAACTGGTATGAGTAATTGTTTTAGGAAAGCGTTTGATATTTTCAAAAAAGCTGGAAAACCACAATACCAACATAAGGGAAGGAGTGATGGTAACTTGAAGCACACTTGACAAAAATACGAAAAAATACCAAAATATCAGAAAATCCACAGTAATTTACTTACCAACCTTGTGTATAGGAATGAGGAGTGGGCCCCAACCTCCTTGAGAGTATAAACACACTGAAATACTGTACTTTTGCTTTCATTCACTTTGAAAACTATTTTCTTAATTCCACAGCAATCCATACAACCAAATATATACAGTTTGTCAATAAAATGTTATTATTTTATTATTATTATTATTAATGGTTTATTTTATTAATCTTTTACCGCCAAATGGCCGAATTGCAGTTTAATTCACACACATTAAAAATCGTTATATATTAAAATTGAAGAGAATAATACACCATTTGAAAAATACATTGTACAAATAAATGTACATGTAAAGTGGCTTCATAAGTATTCCGCGGGTTCTGTTTCTGTTTGATTGTGTTTATATTTACATCTACTGTAAGATTTCCTACAACACTGTGATCTGCTACTTAATATATCAGAAATATCGTAGCAGTAAGAGGAGAATTATGGGTAGAAACTGGATTAAGCCAATCACAGCAAAGGCAATGGTGTAGCTACCCGTGGTGTCGTACATCCAACCTACAATGGAGAAAAAAAAGAATAAAAAGTTGCTGTTTAGAAACTATATTTTATTAATCTGTTTGGTAGAAATATTTCTCTGTTTTAGTTAGAACTCGGGAGAAGGAATGTAGGTTATGAATTTACTGGAACAAACTTTGCTAATAAGCTGTGTGGGTATGACATTTCATCTATAATAGGAACCTGTCGTGAGCAATATGTACCATCGAAGACAGGGTTTTGCAGTAGGCGGGGTACTGGTGTCACATGAAAATCCGTCTCCTATGAAAATCGGACCCCTTTTCCCTATAATTGGTTAATCCCTCTCACGTGACCGGTCACTTTCCTAATTACCATACTTACGCATGCGCGGTATTACCAATGAGTCCGAATTTCATAGAAACGTAAATTCACGCTACACCTGTCCTGGGTACACGTGCGAAGGCGATAGGCTAGGCGCACACGCGCACGTGGCATATCTTCACCACGCGAGGGCGCACTTGGTGCCCCAAAACCAGAGCCCGGCTTGCAAAAAACTTGAGATCACGTTAACTTAACTGTCACTAGCAATGCTGGTGCTGCACTAGCGCTAAACATTCCGTGCATTTGCAGTTCGTGCTGGAGTGATGATCCTCACTCACCGACTGAACTTTGAAGTTTGCACCTGGTAACTGATAATATCATCGACAGTGTGAGTATTCTTCAAAAACATTGCCAAATAGCTATCAAATAGCGAGTTTTTAACTCGTAAAGAAGTATGTTAATTACATGGTGAATGACGGACCATGATTTTGCACATCACAAAGTTTCTGTGAATGCTCTGGCTGTGAAGTACGGTCGTGTACGTGAATTGTGATGGATGATTAGGCCTATTATTTTTCGCGCGCGAGTTTAAAGATAAATATCTTGCATTTAAGGGGAGGGGGCTACTTAATTCGTTTCAATTCAATAGCAAAATTTATTTCCATACTTGGAAAGAATGTTGCAACCTGACGCTGCTTTTTCTTTATATATCATCTCGATGAAGGTCAGTCATTGCAAAAAATGATGATAAGACATGAATCTGGGACTTACAAACATTTCCAATTTTGTTAGCAAAAAATTTTGATAGGACATTTTCTTGACTCTCCATAGACTGTGTACACAGCCACTGAAGTAGCGTCAGGTTGCAACATTCTTTCCCCATACTTTTCCACAACTTCGGCACAAGCAAGTCAAATCATGGAGCTATATACATGATATATAGGCTAGCTCCATTATTGTCCATGGTCTTTACCCAACAATTGCAAAAAGATATTTCAAATTTATGTAAAAATTCGTGAAATCAAAGTTTGGTTACACTTGAATTAACTTTTGTTTAATCAAGTGATCCGAAATTGTCGATAATCCGGAACTGTCGCACTGAAATGATATATGACTAACGGTGATGTCATCCCGGACATAAACCTCAATGTTTCATTATCAAAAGTTGCTAGAATGTTCTTTTCTTTGACAATTCGTTGTTGTGTCAGGACATAGCAGTAAAAGCCGATGAGCAAACCTTTCTCGCAGATATTTTCAATGCGCAGATTTTGGGTTCACAATTTGAACAGAAAACCCCTAGACCGAACAGTGCTTTCCTGAAATGACATCACAGCAACAGTGCCCTCAGTGGTCGGGAAGAGCATGGAAAATTAAAAAAGTTAAAGAAGTGAACTTTTCTATAAAATTATACCAAAAGTTGGTGTCAAATAGTTTTCATACATTTAAGAGGAGTGGAAAATTGCGCGAAATGCGTTCCTAGGAAAAAAATCTTCGCATGGACCCTTTAACTTAGAACAGCAAATGTTTGGCAGTAACAATGTTTGATGTTTTTTTTTAACAATTTAATTTCCTTGTTCAGCATATTCAATGTAGGCCTAATAAATATTTGAGGTTTAGTGATGTTTAAATGAAATTGTAGCCTATCATTTGATTTTATTTCCCAGATAAAAAAGAAAAACCACGATGACTTCACTGGTATACGATGATCAAGCAAAGATTTACCCCAGTATCTCTATGGTGGAGAATAAAACTGACGAAATAGGGGTAAGTATTTATTTGTATACCTTAAACAGAAAGAAGAAAACACAAAAGTATGAGTTTTTACCACTTATAATTTCACTCAAAGATTTTAGCTTCGTATTGCTTCACAATTGACCCTTCAATACTTGTTTTCTTTAAATATGATGAATGATTATGGTTAATGATATTTTAAAAAGATTTTGGTGTAAGTTAGCAATGTTTGCCCTATTTGTATTAAAATTTAGATTCCTACAGTTTCTTACATCCTACCCCTACTAATCAAAGGCCTTCATACTTCTTTCAGAAATACAACAAATGTATGTAGAAAGTTAGTCTCTGAACAGAAGGTTTCAAAAATGCCCAACTTAATCTTGAATTGCCCTTGTCAAAATTCTAGAGCCATATGTTATCTTTGCAATCAAAAGTAAATTTGTTGTAGATCAAGGCGGTTGATTGTAACAAGTTAAAAAACAGGTTGTTGAGTTGAGGCGGCTTTTTTGTTGTGGCCGACCAGTTTGCTAGGAAACGCCTCATTCAAAGGAAATTGGTTGTGGTATCGGTATTGGTTTCTTGAATAGAAGGATATCCTGAATTTTGCCTTTTGTCAAGCCCAGTGATGTCAAAGGTGACAAGTTGGGTCAAAAAACTAGTTTTTGTTCAGGAGATTTAAAGGGTAGGGTAGATCATTTGTCATGTATGTGCATATTTTTTCGTTTGAAGCAACAAAAGTGCTCAGAATCTAAAGACGGGTGCTTAACAAACCTGATGAAGTTTTAGCTCAGTGAAAGATGTACAAGAAAACGACATTCTAGGATCTCAAATTCAATTCAAAAGTTGTGAGTCATGTTTTGAATTGCACCCAAAGATCAGCATCTGGGACACGTTCTCATTCAGCCGATTGCAGCTACGCGATGTCACTCACTAAACCGACAAAATAATAGCAACCGCGAGCGTGTGCGTCTTGTCAATGCTTGCACGCACCCGTTCACGGATTGGCCGAATTACAAAACCAACAACGAACAGAAGTTTCCAAAAATGTGTCACTTGACGCATCTTTGGAAAGTGCCTTTATGTATTATTTTCTTCGAAATGACAGCATGCCATAAAGAATAATTTCACAGGGAGTTTAGTGCCATTACTATCTTTAAACCAAGTATGCTTTTCAACAATAATATCGGCAGTTAATTTTTGGGTAGCTGCAAATGATATACTCTACCTTTAAAGATCAAGGATCAATTTTCTGCACAATTCCAACCGCGACAGGAAGTCAGAATATTATGCAGAATACTTTTCATTCCCTGTATACCTGTAAATTGTCAAAAACAAGTAATTCATGTTTTTTCTGACAAACAAATTTTGTAAAGATCTATGACTATGTATACAAGCCGCAGCATAAAAAGAATGCCAAAATTGTAACACCAAATGTATCATATCATTGGAATTGAACTGACCATATATTTTTTCACCTAATTAGGTTTAGTGAATCATGGTCTATCGTCTGAGCTTATTTCAGTTATTCTTTTCGGTAATACATTTTCCACGTGATTGTGAGTAACCCTGTGCACGTCACCCTTGAAAGCTACTCTCGAAGTGACGTTGAAAAGAGACTGAAAGTCGACGACCTTTTTAGAAAGAGAAGTGGAGGCGTTGCGTGAATCACAAGTTCAGAGGGTTGCCGGAGGGTGTAACTGGTTTCATTTGAAGGTCCCCCGCCCCACATATGACACACAATGCCAGTGACCTTTTTGGTAGCAGGATATGCCGTAGTGGGTATTGTGTGTTTTTGCACGTTCTTATGGATGAGCGACTTTATGCCATGGTTAGGCCAAAAAAAAAGTCTCCAGTTTCTGGTATGCGCGCGCGTCGCCGTAGCCATGCGCGTCGGCAAAATGAAAAAGTTTTTTTTTCAATGACACATGATTTCTCAAAACCGCCAAACTCACTGGTTTGACTGGTATCCTGCTGCTGCACAATTTTAACGTGTTTTTAGATTGGGTTATGGTCGAGAATAAGCTTTATGTGGCCTCTCTGGACTCCCATATATTTGCACTAAGTTTAGTCGGGTACCATTTGCAGTCATCAGCCGACATTTGAAGCAAAAAAATCAGGTAAAAAAACAAAAAGCCGCGTCGCCGCACCACTTTTTGGGCAAGCTCCATACCAGAAACCGGAGACTTTTTTTTTTTGGCCTTAGACAAACTGGTCGCCAATCATGCGTATTACTGACATGAATTCATGACAATGTTTAACAAAATGTTGAGGACAATGCCTATGTCACTTCTTTTGTAGTGAGGAATGTTATAGTTTGGGTCGCCGAAAGCAGTATTGTGACATTGCATGTGTAAATTTAGGTATTAACTGAGATGGATAAAAAAGTTGATCAAATTGTGTTCATTAGCATGCGAGCAGTTTTGTTTTCCTGATAATTTAAGGAAATATGGTGGAATATACCTTTTTTTGCACTAGTAAGGCCAACATTTCCTTTTGTTTTTAATCCCTCAACTCGGACACCAATGGCACTCAAAAATCTAATTGAGGAAATTACAAACTAGGCTTTTGAAGTTTCAACTCATTAAAAAAATAGATTGTATGCGTACACCTGCCACTTGTGATTGATGCACTGGGTGTTTTTTTTTTAGAGACACTGAAATTAAAATCAACCTTTTTTTTCAAAGTTGCATGCCTCTGATCTACACCAAAGACTTGAGAAAAATAAAGGAAAAAACATCAACCATCAATTAATCAATATGGGTCATCCTGATTCCTATGACAATAATATGGCAAGTACATAACTGAAGTTGATGAAAATCTACTTTTTTCTTTAACCCTAATTAACCTTCCCAAATCCTTCAAAATTCTCCTTGCATAAATGGAAGATTTGGCAGGATTGAGGCTTATATGGCAAAAGTGTGTGGCTGATTTTGGAGGATGCACTGTGTCAAGGTCTTGGGCCGGACCTCGTGTTGTTTATGCTCAGCTGTGCATACATTTTGGCCTAGATTATACTCGAAATCCTCCACACTGCTTCAGGATGTCACTGGCTCTGCCTCAACATACTGATTGCTGGAGGATTTTGCAGGATTGAGGCAGTGGTCAGTCCTCCAAGAACCACATTCAAGAAATAAACGGAGCATTTTGCAGGATTGAGGCTCTATGCAATTTTTACAGATGCAGTTTTGAGTATTGTGCAGGATTGAGGTTGCATCCCAGCCAAAATGCCTAGGGGGTAAGGGTTAATACATTTTATCTTGGGCATGCAACCATTAATTGCAGTTCTTTTTTTCCCGCCCCCTTTTTTTACTGGAGCCCAGGAAACCTAATGAACAAAAAAAATTAAACTTAATTTTTGTACCCATAGGCTATCTGCAAAACAAGGAAGTGATAGAAATGAGGGGATGCAAACAGATCAACTTTATTTGTTTAGACTTTATAGGGCCCTTCAAAGTTCAAAAACCACTTGAAAATGTAGCACAGTGCATCACACAATGTCCAGTTTGATAAGTTGCAGTCGTGTTGTCTAAATTGCCAGTACATAGCAGTTGCCTGTTTCTTGTGAATCCAAGCAAAGTTTGCTTGCATAGTTCCCTCCTTTCATGTTGATTTCATGTCTGTGTAAGGGGCGATAATTCTCCAAGACATGTTCAATTTGAAGTTTAAGGGGTCTTTTTGGCCTTCCCGCACCCAACTACAGGAGGACGACCCGCCTGACACGTACAAGGAAACAAATGGCGGCTCCACCCTGGCGGTCGAACTGGAGGAAAACGCAAACGCCGTCAGTCTTGAGATGGGGGAGATTGATGGAGTGGCCAACGAGGAGGAACTGAGCGCCGAGGAGCAGGCGCAGGCCATCTTGAAGGAACTCCGAGGAGATTTGACCTACGCTATTGAGGACGTGCCTCCGTGGTACACATGCTTACTGCTTGGGTTTCAGGTGAGTTTGGTGCCCCTTTCAAAAACTTGCTGCATTCTAGCTATTCGCATCACATTGTTGGTGCGCAAATCTTGTGAACTCGTCATTATACTGACACAGTGACAGCTCGGTTACTTCTCCCACGCGGTCTGGGTAAAATATCCTGTGGCGAAAGTCCAAGTGCGGACAGTGGTCACATTTGACCATTTCTCGTTTTACCATCGTCTCGGTAAAACCTGCCAAAAAAAAGTCCAGTGCGGACACAGCTTTACAGTAATACACACACCGTGCTGGCTGTTGGTGTAAATTCTTCAGGCCATATCTTTATATAGCCCTATCCCTTACAGTGTATTGACTTTACCTGTTGGCGTATGAATGGGCATCACGCACCCTTTGTGGCCAAGTGGTAATTTTGCACCCTCCCCTGGGCTGCATTGTGTACCCAAGTGGGTGGCAAGGAACCCCGCTGGCCTCGTTCCTCGTAATCCTATTTGCAATGAATACTCTAGTCACTTTAACCAGGCCAGCTAAACCCAAGGTTAACCTCTTTTTTCTGGAGGTGGAAATTCCAGTCAGGCTTTTTGATATTTTTGTTCCAACCGTTTACCATATTTGTCCCAACAAAAATCACTGGGGGGACAGTGCGTAAGAAAGTCCTCAAAAATTGATCCTCATTTCTGAAACGATAAAAAAAGAAGAAGCTTACCCGCAACGCAGTCACTGCTAACAAATTCTAGCCGAGTGAAGGAACATGATACTGTAGTGACTACAAGAAATTGATAGTGCTTATTCATTTTACGAAGCACTTTTACCAGTTGTACTTCTAACTGTACTACTAACTTGGTCAGCATAATGGTCTGGGTCGAATTGTGCAACGACCTTGTAACTACCTTGTTATAAATACCTGAATTAACAGATATGAAAACCAGAACTAGCTGGTCAGTTACTGTAGCCCTTTACAAGACCTTGGGCACTGCTGATTTCTCAGAGGGAGTTTTAATTCACCTCAGTGCATGCATAGAAGGTTAATTGCTCTCTGATTCCACTTTAATGCGTAAGGTCAATATTAAAGACATGTACCCGGTATGTAATTTTTGAGACAATGACTGCGATTAATTGGTGCTCTTCAACGTTGGATGACATTCGTGGGATATAATTATAAACAAGGGCAGTCGTGAAAAAAGGGCGCTCGTTAAAAATTGCTCTCACAAAAAGGGCAATTAGTAAATAGGCCTATATTGAGTTGCAAAATAGAATTTTGGTCCCTTCACCGTCCGGATTTGCTTCCGTCACCATCCCGACTTTGCATTTCAAATCTTCATCTTGTTGCAATCTGCCGACCCCCCCCCCCCCCTTATGTTATTTCCTTCCTTCCTTGAAAGTGCAGCCACGTATGTATGAGGGGCGCATTTGCCAACACTGGGGATGAACCCCTTCTCTTACTAGCGATAAGTTTTACTGGGTTGTTTTACATGCATTATGGCCTACAGCTTTACGTCCCATCTGAAGGACGAAGCAAGAATGGTTAAGTGCCTTGCTTAAGGGCACAAGTGTCCACCCGCCAGGCTCAAACCCACAAACCCACGCCACTGTTGCCTCTGAAACACTAGAGCATGAGGGTGTTCTTAAATCTTAACGACAAGGCCATTGACATTAAATACTTAAACATGTAGCTCCATATGGATAGAGGAAGTATTTGTTGCTAATGGATACTGTATATTTATGGTGGTTCAACCAACCTCCATACTTCTGTTGCTGTCTGGACATGCACATATTTACATTGGAATTCCTCAGGCTATGAGTGAAATATTGGTCCCAGGTTAGCCAAGGGTTAAAACAATAAATTATTCTTGAACTGTTGTCATAGTAATAACTTGACTTTAGTGACTTCGTGCATGGCACTATAGGACTAAGGCCCCCAAAAAAGTCTCCGGTTTCTGGTATGGAGCTTGTCCAAAAAGTGGTGCGGCGACGCGGCTTTTTTTTTTTTTACCCGACTTTTTTGCTTCAAATGTCGGCTGATGACTGCAAATGGTGCCCGACTAGACTTAGTGCAAATACATGGGAGTCCAGAGAAGCCACATAAAGCTTATTCTCGATCATAACCCCATCTAGAAACACGTTAAATTGTGCAGCAGCAGGTTTCCAGTCAAACCAGTGAATTTGGCGGTTTTGAGACATCATCTTTCATTGAAAAAAAACCTTTTTCATTTTGCCGACGCGCATGGCTACGGCGACGCGCGCGCATACCAGAAACCGGAGACTTTTTTTTTTGGCCTTAGTGTATGGTACTGTTTTTTATTGGACTAAACTCTGCATAACTTGCTGCAGCACATAGCACTATAGTACAGTTACCCCAAAAGCTACAGTCGAGTGCGCTACATACCTTGTGCATTCAGGCTGACTATGAGGGCAGTAGTTTTGTATTGCTGGGATATAGACATGAGTGAATCTTTTGTGCAGTTCTTGTTAAAAGGCAATACACACATTTGCAAACACACAAAAAGAAACCCTACCAAATAATTATGAAATACCTCAATTGACCGCAAGTGAAAAATAGTAGGCCTATACAAATATATGGACTGCTTCGAGTGGTGTAGTAAAACTAGCCTCCTGAGGTGACCCATATGAAGCACTCTAACAAATATTGACTGCTTTATCTCGTGGTGTAGTAAAAATAGCATTCTATTTCCCCCCGACTTTGCCTTGGGACAAAATATAGCTATTTTGTCCCAAGGCGAAGTCGGGGGAAACAGAATGCTATTTTTAGTAAAAATAGCATTCTATTTCCCCCCGACTTCGCCTTGGGACAAAATATAGCTATTTTGTCCCAAGGCGAAGTCGGGGGAAATAGAATGCTATTTTTACTACGCCACGAGACAAAGCAGTCAATATTTGTTTTATAACATCTCTCCCACAGCTTCTGCTTGATTTTAAGTGATAGAAGATTGATTTAATCTAAACATATGGTTAAAATGAACTTCAATTTGAATATGAAATTAGTTCAAAATTCACTTGCACTTTTCCAAACTACCCCTTCACGAAATGTTTGAACCTATAGTGCTAGCGTGCGCTTGGGAAAAATGTATACGCGCAATGCGCACACCCTATTTTGCACCGTTTGGTAGCTACAGGTATAATACTTTGGTTGCTATGGGTATAGCGCTGTTGGTTGTGCACGGCAAGATAGCAAAAATAGCGAATGCCATGTGACTCGTTCTTGGCCAATCAGGACACAGAATTTGTGGGTACAGGTGTTAAAATCTCAAACATCATGACACCTGGTGTGCTGTTATTTAAAAAAAAACATCCTGGTACGACTTTGACCTTGAGAGAATATACGCTGTCCACTACATGGAAGGTCAACTCGTTCTCTGTGTAAAATACAACAAACACTGGCATGCTCAGTACAATGGTACCGATACAATGGATGAACAAAACATTCTGAGCTAAAAATCCTTCAGAAATCATCAGATTTCAGCAAAATAAAATCTGCAGTAATGAAAAAAGAGTAATGTGATTATTTTCCATTTCGTACTTAACTCGAAAACTGTTTTTAGTACAAGTTTGCTCTTTTTTGTCCCGCTACGGTACTTTTGTTGTGAGTGTTTAACCTTGCACAAAAATTTGTGCAAACATGGTTCCCACACAAGAGTGCCTGTACAATGAGTTATCAGTGCTTTTGTTTACTGCAAATCTGCCCTGTTGTGTGAAGATATTCAAAGGGTGGTGTAATGTGATCGTGTGACCTGATACTATGATAGTGTCTGAATAACAGGAAATCTGTACCAGTAAAATGAGCCATTGTGGACGATTGTTATTCCGTCCGTCCAGTTCTGTTTTCTTGAGAAAAACTTCCTGGGAAAAGTTTCCTTGGAGATGTTTCCTTGGAGATGTTGGTTTTAACAATGCAGAAACATATTTTCGTTTTAACAATGCAGAAACATATTTTCGTTTAATGGTTTTGGGCAAAACCCTTTGAGTGGCCCTTCAGAAAAATAGGCCCCCTAACTTCTATAGGGCTGTTCATTTCCGAATAATTTAGTACAAACTACATTTGACCATAGCGCAAGGAACAGATTGACCGAGTAAGCCCTATATTCGAATATTCAAAACTGTCACCTGCAACTTTGTGCCACGCTGGTCAAAAGTCGCATGCCGAATGAACAAGTTGAAATTTGCGTGCCGCGATCGATACCGGGCAGCTCGGGAGTGTTTTGCAAAAAAATATTTTATAACTGTCGAGGGCTGTAACCTGCTAAAAGGGTGGGAATATTGAACCGACGTCGACATGTAGTGTTTTGTTTTTGAATATATTCCAACATGCAAACAGCTATTCGAATATTGGGATGATGATCAAATATAACTATTTGGTGTATTTGGGACCGCCTTACTGACTTCCTCTGCAGCGAAGGCTAGCTTTGCAAGATGAATTTGCTTGTCTCCTCAGCACAGAACTCCTATGTTTGTGTGGCCTTGTGTTTGTTTGTGTGTGTGTTGGGACCACTTGTCTGATTATTTATTGTCTGGTATTCTTTTTGCTCCTGGCAAATTCCTAGCGAGTTTGTGAATCCATTATACACACAGACAGTACCGGTATTCCCCCCAACAAAAAAGTGAAGCTAGCAACTCAAGATTTAGCCTATGACCAGATTGATTTCTGGTTCTTTCTTTTTTCTTTTTTTTTGGAAGGGGTGTGGGGAATATACAACATTTACTTTTGCTGTAATTTTCAGAAATGGATGGATTTTGGGGTTGGTATTTTATAGCAAATACTGTTACACTGACTTGTTTGACGTTTGGGGCTTGTAGTTGCTGGAAAAACCAAGGGGAAAAAACTGCTCTTGTAGCCTGGTTCCCTTAACCTACTTCAGACGAAACAGGGCAATTTATAGATGCCGGGGAATTGTCAGGTCAGGTAACCAGACTAGCTGGCTTGCACCCATTCTTAGATGTGAAACCAATAGCAAAAAAATGCGGACTAACTAAACTTGGTAAATGGGGGCAGTAGTTGAAGAAAAAAAAAAGTCAGTTTCTTTCCAAGGACGGTCGGCTGGCGTCGTTGGAAATTGATACAAAAATTCAATTTTTCTAGAAGATGACAGCACCCCAGGTGCCATGATTTCACAAGATGCTTGAACTATTATTCACTTACAGTCAAGGTATTTCATAATTATTTGGTTATTTTTTTTTTTTTTATGTTTGCAAATGTTGTATTTCACCTTTGCTTTTGATGTGATTGATTTTTGTTCACCTTTTATCCCACAATTTCCCAGCATTATCTGACCATGTTCGGAGCGACGCTAGCCATCCCTCTACTCCTTGCCGACGCCCTGTGCATCAAGGAGAATCTGGTAGCGCAGGGGGAGCTGATCGGGACTATCTTCACTGTGTCTGGGCTGGTCACCCTCCTGCAGGCTACGCTAGGCGTCAGGTAAAATTGGGAACTTTTGAGCTATGTAAAGGGAGACTCGACTGGAGCAGGGTTTGAACCTGTGACCTCCGGATTGCCGTTTCGGTGCTCTACCAACTGAGCTATCCAGCCCTATGTTGGCGGTTCCCCATTTTGTCAATGTCTTTGTTTAATCTGTTTTGCCAGCGGATGGCTTCATGTGTTGGGCCTGGCTTGAACCCCAAGATTTCGTAAACCCTTTCCACACAAGAATTAAGGATCCAATATGGCGTCCCCCCCCCCCCCCATGAAAAAAATTGAAGTGTCTGGGAATAACAGACAATTCTTTAAATTTAAAGTCCCCCCCCCCCCTCCAGCACAAAAAAAACCAAACATTAAACATTAGAAGTATCCGGAACTAAAGTAAAATGTGGATGAAAAGCAGAATTATCCTTTTAAACTTAAAAATTGTTCTTTTGACAAGTTTTCTTGACCAAACTCCGCTTTTCTGCCAAGATGAATAAAGTAACTTATATTTTGAGTTGATGTCAATTTGGCAATGAACTTGCACCTCAAATAAAAGATTGTGCTAGACCCTAAAAAAAAAGAAGAAATGGATCAAATACAGGACGAATTTTTCTCATAAAAATGCATGACAACATGTACGGTAGATGCCATGGGGTGTAACACAAATAGGGAAGTTCAACTAGCAAGCAGGAAGCTTGGTCCAGATTAAACACCCCACTCCCCCCCCCCCCCCCCCCCCCCCCCCTATATTTCTGACATCTAGTGAAAACATATGGTGTGCCTGGTATGGGAGGTGGTGACATTATTGTGTATTGTAATGTGAGCCAACATGGGATTATCAACACCAAGGTATCAGTTAAAGGGACACTAGGTCCTGGAACAGCCCAATTGGGCTACAAAACACGCTTTGAACGAGACGATGTTTATCGGAAATAACATTTAAAAGTAGGATATAAACATCCACTCAACTATCCTTTCAAAACTGGGCGTTTTTGTGTTATTCCTGTATTATGCGTGTGAGAAAGAATTTCGGGGTCCACTTTTGCGACCCCCTAAATTCGAGCTGTTTGGATGCTAGTTGTGATTTCATTCGTAAAGTGTTCACCTTTTGCGGACGTTGAAGAAACCACCTTGTTTTGTATTGGTGATTGGTCACCGCTGTTCCTGAGACACACAACGTGTATATCGTACACGGAGAACGTATTCGTACTCCGTCGTGTCTGATGTAAACCATCGGCGTTTTTTCATCTTTTCTCGGGAATGGTATTAAAGACATTAGGTTGGTTTCCTTTCAACCAGATGTTTGAAATAAGCTAAGTAAACAATCCAAAACATGAAATTTTCGTGGATTTCAGGACCTAGTGCCCCTTTAACACTTTTGTCCTTGTGTTGAGAGGTGAGTGGATCCGGCTGGTGTAACAGGTGGTAGGCTTATGCTTGCACTGGTCAGGTTTAGTGGTCAAATAACAGGACCAGGGTCATGTTTCAAATTTCCTTCCTCCATGGACAAACATGCTCAAGTTGCACTGTTTGAGTCGATGATATATCGATACAACTTGATTATTTGACACTATTTGACAGCGTTATCGCCCGACAGCAGTTTTTTTTAATCCCATCGAAATATCAAAATTTTCGATATTGTGGAATCGTATCGAAAATATCGAAAATGTGTCAGATTATCCTCAAAATAAATCTCCCGTTTGGGCTTCTACCGTTCTGCGTTTCCTATAATTGACTCTTGAATTGCCTTTTATAAGTATCATTATCGAAAAACTATACATTTGTCAGGGAAGTCATGACAGACCGACAGACACCAAAGCGATATTGTGGAATCGTATTGTAAATATCGAAAATGCGTCAGATTATCCTCAAAATAAATCTCCCGTTTGGGCTTCTACCGTTCCGCGTTTCCTACAATTGACTCTTGAATTGCCTTTTATAAGTATCATTATCGAAAATTATACATTTGTCAGGGAAGTCATGACAGACCGACAGACACCAAAGCGAATTGTAGCTAAGCTCTGTTGCCAGAGCTTAAAAATTCATTTTCAACCCCACAAAATGATCTCAGCCACAGCTGGTGGAGTGGGTTCCCATGTCAATCGGTCATTTGCCAGGAAAGTCAGCTTTGAAGGAGCAATTCCTGTCATATAATACTGTCAGTCAGGGACACAAGGTCAGCGTGTCAATAGGTTAAATGGTCGGAAGGAAGTGTCCATTGTTGATTTCATCCACCTTTTGTGACTATAATGTCATTTATCAAGCGTGCCGGTGGTTTTGGGGGTAATAAATGCCAATCAAAATTGATTTTTTTTTCTTTCAAATTGATGACTGGAGATTTGTACTACAGAGTACTGTGAGACAGATGGTTGTATATTGGCTCAGATCATAGTGTTAAATTCCGTGAGAATTTTTAAACAAAAGTGACTGTAAAAGTGACAGGTTTTGTCCTTTAACAAGGTCCATAGTATGGAAGACAACAACTTTTGAAGAGGAATTTTGAAATTTTTTTAATGGGTCAATTTTAATGAATTGTCACAGAAATTTTCAAAATGAAAGTGATTCCTTTTTTTTGGTGACTTTAAAGGGAATATACAACGTTTGCTTTTGCTGTAATTTTCAGAAATGGATGGATTTGGGGGTTAGTATATTGGTATTTTATAGCAAATATTGTTACACGGACCTATTTTAAAGTTTTGTGTTTGTAGATGATGGGAAAACCAAGAAAATTCGGAATAACTAAATATGAAAAATTAGGAGCAGATTTTTTAAAAAGCCAGTTTTCTCCAACGCTGGTCGGCTGACCAGCGTTGCAAATTGATTCAAAAATACCACCTTACCTAAAAATTTCAGCACACCAGAAGCCATGATTATGTAGACACTCATTTTCTTATAGTCCAGTGAAGAATTTTGTGGTAATTTGATCATTTTGTTTTTTTGATGTTTGCAAATGTTGTATCTTCCCTTTAATCTGCTGATAAGGATTGTCCATTGTGGATATATTCACAGTGAATAAATAGCTTTTATCATCCAATACATCCAAGGTTCCTAGCTGCTGGATGACTGGTAGGCTAATCAAATAACAGACCCCAAAATGAGATAAACACATGGTCTCTGCGTGGTGCTGTTTAATGCACAGTTTTACCCTGCTATTATGTGTTTAACATGATTGCTTCACAGTGTGTGCAATATCGGTAGAAGCAAATATGATTTCCAGATTGTCAAAATTGATTTTGGAGATGTTCAATTTGATTTCTGATGTTCTGGTGCATCTGTGGGAACAGTCTTGCAGGCTTTCTCAGGCTTATCAGTGGCCTTGTCTAAGTGAACCTGTGGGTGCATCCCCTCAACACCTGACTAACTGTATGATGACAGAAGCCATCCCAGCAGGGTGGTGGTGGGGGGTGCACCTGTCTCACTGCATTCTCATGCTATAAATGACTGGGCTTGTTTAGTTTCTCCTGTTGGTACATGATCCCCACACCTGGCTAACTGATGGATCATATAAGCCATTCCCACATTGGGGGGGGGGGGGGGGGGAATGTTGGACCTGTCTTGCAACATTCTCATGCCTGTCAATGATTGAATTGTCTAGTTTAAAGGTGATCAAGGGCTGATCAAGAACACAGTTTTTTTTTGGGGGGGGGGGGGGGAGGGGGAGGGCCTAAAAAATGTTGGCCCCCCAAAAAATTGGTCAAAAAAATTACGGCGTGGAAACATTGGGATTGGTCTGTGGTGTGATCTGAGGTAATTTCTGACCACTTTAACCATTTTTTTTGTAAAAAAAGATGGCCGTGTATGCAGTGCCTGCCTTTATTGTGATGTCTCGTAAAAAAAAAAAAAATTGGGGGGGGGGGGGATGGCCCTCCTTGGCCCCCTGGATCCGCCTTTGGGTAATATACAACAGTTGCTTTTGCTGTAATTTTCAGAAATAAATGGATTTGGGAATTAGTTATTGTATAGCAATATGAGTTTTAAAAGACGACTAAACAAAGAGATACGAGCAAGAAATGAGCAAGAAATGAGCAAGAAATGAGTAAGAAATGAGTAAGAAAAGAGTAAATGAGCAAGATATGAGCAGGAAATGAGCAAATTATGAGCAAGAAATAAGCAAATGAGGATAATGATCCTCCACCGGAAAACGAGGTCAAATACGCACTATTCACTACTCACCCCAAGACAGATGTGACAGGTGTGTAATTACAGCACACAGTTGGCTATGATTTCACAGGATACGCTTTAGACTATTATTCACTTGCACTGCATGGGTCAAGTAAGGTGTTAGATAACAATTTGGTAGTTTTGTTTTTGGATGTTTGCAAATGTCGTACGTTACCTTTAAAGTTTGGGTAGATGACCTCAACACCTGACTAAACTGTAACGATAACACGTCCCCTCGGGGGTTGACATGAATGTGTGAACTACTTCCGCTCCCCCGTTGAGATTCATGTTGTTAGCCGGCTGGCAAGATTGATTGATCCGAGTCTGGGCCCAGAGTTTGGATAGTATTTTCTTAGGTGGTCTCTCTCTAAAAAACAAAACAATGCAAGCGCAGGCGAGCACTTGCCTTGGTTCCCAGACTCATTTTATTAAAAATGTGGGGGAAAAAATGAAAGCCAAACAGATTTCATCGGCATGCTCTGTTAAATCCACCTCCCAGTGCCTACCTGATGTCACTCAGAGGCCACCTTAGCAACTGGTTCAAACTTTTTGTATGATGTATTGATCAATTTGCTCAATGCAAATGCCATCACCGTGTATTGTGGTCTTTTTTTTTGGGGGGGGGGGGTGTTTTTTAAAACTTGCATTGTTTTGAAAACGGCCCAGGAAACTAAAAACTCTAATTGTGTACATTAGTGTGTGTATGCATTATGGCTCAAAGATAAATTGCCTTTGTCAATTTCAACTTTTATTTGGTATGGTATAAAAGTTTAGTTTTGTAGGGGACTTTATTACATTAGTTTTAATTTCCTTGTTTATCCAGGTTACCCATTGTACAGGGAGGAACGTTCTCGTTTCTGGGGCCGGCTCTGACAATACTAGCCCTGGAGGGAGAATGCCCGTCCAATACCGGCATACCCTGTGAGTATGGCCTCAGAGAGTCAACTTGAATCTCCCAGTTAGCAAACAAGTCTTGGCTTAATAATAATAATAATAATTGTGCTTATATAGTCCATCGTATCAATGATCTCAAAGCGCTTTACAATTCTTACCCCGTTCATCAGGCCATGGGACCACGCGGCAGCCGATATCAGCGCTCAATCGGTCCTCAACCCTCACAGGTACCCATTTATACTCCTGGGTGGAGAGAGGCAATTGTAGTTAAGTGTCTTGCCCAAGGACACAAACACCATGTTCCTGGCCGGGTTCGAACCCATGCACCTTCGTACATGAGTCGAAACACTAACCACTGGACCATGGCGTACCATGGCCGGTCGAGCTGGGGGAAGTTAGTCAGTGGGGAGTCAGTCGGTCGGGGAGTCAGTCAGTCGGGTAGTCAGTCGGTCAGGTAGAAGACAATAAGTTGGCCTTTCGGGTGCGGTGAAACCGTTTGGATGCAATAACGTTTGGTACCAAAGAATTTTGCATTTTTCTTCGTTTGTTAAAAGTTATAGACTGTCAAGTCCTATTTGCATGATTCTTTTTGGGTTTTTTAAAGAGTTAATGGCCAACTGCATTTAGGACTGGACAATTTCTGCCACGTTTTGCCGTATTACAAAAAGTTGCTTTACTTTGCTGATTGTCAAGTTCCATTTACATGGTGCATTTTATTTATGTTTATTGAAAGGAGGTTGAAGTGCACTACATTCAGGTATTTCCTGCAGCCGCAGGGGGTAGCCCACTTGTTTTGTGCAAAAGAACTTGGCAGACCTTGAAATATTTGGCATTGTTGAAAGAGGCTTGTTTGTCACCAGACATTGAAGAGTTTTATTTATTTACGATCATTGCAGGGTGATGCAAAAAGAAGGAAGCCCACTTTTGACAGCAATGTTCACCTATATAAGATTTGAGGCTTTGCATGGTGGGGTATGAGAAGAACTAATAAGAACAAAAAACTACTTAGCAAAGTTAATAACAAGCAGGACAAGTTCTTCTCAGAACTAATATCTTCTAAGCAGTAGTTATTACCACATGGTGTTACCGCAAACCGAAACGATAATGTTCACCTGAGCATTGAACATATTGCAAAAACTTAAATTTAATGGTATTAAAATATTGATCTTTAAACATAAGTGACAAAAAAATGATTGCAAATTCACATTTTGTTTCTGAGATATATGGTAGTTTATAAATTTCATGTGCCAAACCTGTTTGTCCACGGACGGCTTTATTCCATCCGCTTGACTGAGCTCCGGAGCTTGATTTGAAGACAATTAAAAAAAACACTACACTAGACTTACACGTGGATAACGGTGATTTTGGTGAATTGCATTCAAATTAGCATAATAGCACCATTCTTGCAATTTTGCTGAAAATATTTTTCACCGTGTATGGTTAAAGAGCTATACTTAACTACATTATAAAAAAAAAATCAGTTCAAATAAGTTAAGCAAGTAGGTTAACATTTCTGTCAAATGTGGGTTTCCTTCTTTTTGCGCCACCTTGTTTACCACTTTTGCCTGTAGTTCTGTGAAATAAAAAATAAATACAGTGAAAAAAAAAAGAAATTTACTGGAGCGAGACGCAAGCCTGTGACATTGAGCCACATTATGTGCAGTATTGTTCAGTTTGAGTTGAGGGATGGTAAAATGATTTCACCGCGGGGTATAAGCGTGAGTATAAAAAAAAAATTTACCGACAAATGATTGGTACCTTTCTGTTTACTGTCATAACAAAAACATACAACATGTATTTATCTGGCATGCAACTTTTCCACGAATCCGCTGATTTCCTCGTTTTTTTATTCTCTGAATGCCATTACAAATTGAAAAAAAAACACTGTACAAGGTTGTGTGTTATTTGGAGTTTCCTGGTTTTTTTTCTAAATTCCCAGTTGCATGCCTGATTCATTCCTTAAATTTGGGGTCTAAAAATGGGACATTTTTGTGTGTGTCCCTGTTTCACCTGAGCGGTGTAAGTTGCCATGCTAGTATCATCACAATTGACTGTGCTTTGCATAATCACTCTTGAAGACAGAATGCATTAACCCCGACCTTCCCAAATCCTCCAAAATGCTCTTTGCAAAAGGGAGGATTTTGCAGGATTGAGGCTATATGGTGAAAATGTGTGGCTGATTTTGAGCACTTTTATTGCTTCAATCAAAAAAAGGAAGAAATTTACAAAGACGAATGACTCTACCTTTTAAAGAATAACTCATAAACTTAATAATACTTCTCTGGTTAAACTTTCGGTTCTAGTTTCTGTTTTGCAAAGTTTGCACTGGAACCAATGTTCTTGAACAATGTCATATAGAAACTACTTGTATAGAATCCTTCAAACAAGATGAAGTATTGTGCAGCAAATTCAACTTTTGTGATGATTATAACAATTGTGACATTGTGGTAAAAAAAAAAAGTCTACGTGACCAATGGTACATGTCAAAAGTGGACAAAGCAGGTGGTTTTTAACCATATGAATCCAAAAACAGATCTACAATGGCAACCTTTTTTTTAAAAGTATACGGAAGGTGTTTTGAAAATAAATTTAGTGAAGTTATTTAAACGTTTCTCTAGCTTTGCAGATTCAACAAAAAATCCCTTGACATCTACAAGCAAGATGCTGCCAACATTGTGCAGCTTCGAATCGACCCTTTCTTCCTTTTTTTTTATGAGAGTTTGCATCAGGAAGATGTCAATTTCACATTCGGTTTATGATCATACGCTTTGTTGGCGTATTTATTTTCATCTTACCAATCATACAGTATAAAGAAAAAACATGGTTTGAGGATTGATAGTCGATATTAGCTCCCCTCGTAACTGGAAGTTGACAGACTAGTTCCCATGTTTTATTTGTTTTACGTACTATACCTCATACATGTCCACAAAAAGTTCATGAAATTACCCTTATGTTTTCTCGGTAAAATGTTATGCTTGTGGCCCATCTTTTCATGTAGCTGCTGGATGCTGCTGGGGCGATGTTCGTGCGTGCGCATTCCCCTGTGCGCTAGTTCCACGATACTTTGTAAAGCGAGACCTAGTACACTAGCGCACTGGTAACCAGTGTGTATTGAACCTGTGCGTAAAAACCTCATGTGCGCGCTTAACAGCAAAACTAGCGGCTGACACGTGATGGTGAATGGACCAGTGAGATCTCGGCTCTCGATCATATGAGTTCTCAATGAGTATGAGGTACCGGTATAGTAATTCCCATTGACCAATTAGATCACAAATTTTTGGTCAGGTGACCACGATAGCTCAGTCACTCACATACCAGGGTGGGCGGAGCTCATATGGCAAAACCTGGAACAGTCGTATTCCACTCTCGGTGATGTTCTGTATTTTTCCTTTTTGACTTATGACTTTTGAATTTGTGTGTCTATAGCCAATGAATCAATGAATGCAACGGAGGATCCCTCTGATATGGTGATCGACGAGAATGAACTGTGGATGAGCAGAATGAGGGTTGTGCAGGGATCCATCATGGTCGCTTCAATTGTAGAGGTAGGAAAAACTTCTCAAAAAAAAATATGTTTTCAGGCCGTCAGTTTCTAAGGCCAAAAAAAAAAAGTCTCCAGTTTCTGGTATGCGCGCGCGTCGCCGTAGCCATGCGCGTCGGCAAAATGAAAAAGTTTTTTTTTCAATGAAAGATGATGTCTCAAAACCGCCAAACTCACAGGTTTGACTGGAATCCTGCTGCTGCACAATTTTAACGTGTTTTTAGATGGGGTTATGGTCGAGAATAAGCTTTACGTGGCCTCTCTGGACTCCCATATATTTGCACTAAGTTTAGTCGGGCACCATTTGCAGTCATCAGCCGACATTTGAAGCAAAAAAATCAGGTAAAAAAAAACCAAAAGCCGCGTCGCCACACCACTTTTTGGGCCAGCTCCATACCAGAAACCGGAGACTTTTTTTTTTGGCCTAAGGGTGCGTTTGTTTAGCTCACCCGGGTCGGCTGGAGTTAGACCACTGTTCAATTAAGCCTGACGTCATTCTCGGGGCTCACCTGGGCCAGCCACCACAGACCCTGCTCATGGAGCAGAGTCAGTGATGGAAATAGGCCACACACATGCGTTGTTCATTCCAAGAAACGGACTCCAGTCTGACTTTGCTCCTTTTTGCTACTGAAGGAAAAGAGGTAAAGTTCAAAGTAAGACTCAGTCTGGAAAGGACATTATCTTAATGGCCACGGACGTCACTTGAGGATCCACATGTGAGCGTTCGAGTAGCACGGCTGTCGTGGCTAACCCATCTGCCTTTACCCGAGTCGGTCCGAGTACGCAATAATGTCAATTCAATAGACCAATTGCATAGAGCGCCCTCAGAGTGGAAAGGTTAGTGCACGAATAGATAATTTATACTTTCATTGTCACAGAAAACTGTCCTCAATGTTTGGTTTTTTTTTTTCAATTTTTTGTTTCAATTTTTTTTGGGCGTCTTCAGGTGATAATAGGTTTCACCGGTCTCATCGGGATCATGCTGCGATATATCGGACCTCTCACCATCGCACCCACAATCACACTGATCGGCTTGTCCCTATTTGGTGCCGCTAGTAGCTTCAGTAGCGGCCACTGGGGTATCGCGTTCCTGTAAGTCCAATAGAATTCTGACTTTTAAGATAGTCGGGTTGAGTGCATGGGCATTGCAAGGGGGGGGGGCAAGATGGGGCAAAAACTATCCCTAAATATGTATGAAAACTTCAAAATGGCAAAATGAAAAATTGAAAATAAAGTTAAAATGTGACATAAAGTTGCACTTTCAAGGACAGCATTAAAGGGAATGTACAACATTCGCTTTTGCTGCAATTTTCAGAAATACATGGATTTGGAGGATTAGTATGTTATAGCAAATATTGCTAAATGACTTGTTTCACATTTTGGGCTTGTAGATGCTGGAAAAACCAAGAAAACCAATCGTATTCTTGTAGTCTGGTTCCCTGACCCCACTTAAGATGAAACGGAGCAATTTATAGACGTCGAGGAATCAGGTCAGAGAATCAGTCTAGCAAAAATATATTACATTGCACATGGGCCCTTTAAGTTATTGACATTTCTCCACTAATGGATTTATTAAGAGATAAATCAAATTATTAAGATAATTTGGGCTGTTTTTTTTCCACAGGACTATTGCCTTGATGGCCCTGTTCTCCCAGTACATAGCCAGATTCAGCATTCCATGTCTTGGTTTCAGCAAAGAGGAAGGATGCCACAAAATCTCTTTTCCCCTCTTCAAGATGTTCCCGGTAAGTACCAAGATGGCACTGTATCGGCGTCATAAATATAGGCTGGATCTTTTTTAAGTGTCTCCTTGTAACCCTAACTCCCTAGCATGATTGACTAGGAACCATACCCATCCTGGCAAATTCCAACCCCATATGGGAAACTGCACTCACATATTTCTGACTTTGATTCTGGAGGTGTGCCAACCCACTGTAAAAGACTGTCAGTTTAGGGGTACTGTACCCATCCTGACAGATTCCAACAAAACATGCCATTGGGGTTTGATGGGTTGAGTTCTGTTAAGGTTAATGACTAACTTCAATCAAAGAGAATTAGTTCAATCGAAAGCTATGAGCAATCAAGGAATGGTGGGCGTCAACCAGCGAAATGTCCCGCTCATGGGACGTCGTTGCTAGGTAAAAGGGCGCCCTCTTTTGTCGGCGCAGGGAGCCCATAGCATGAAGGTGTGAGTTGTGTCTCACATCAAGCACCAGCCAACCGACGGTCCTCATTTGAGATTGAGATTTTTGTTCCCCTTTGCTGTAGGTCATCTTGTCAGTGCTGACTGCCTGGGCCTTCTCAGCGATCTTGACAGCTGCCGGGGCTTTCCCGTCAGACCCTGAGACCTACGGCTACCAAGCACGGACTGATCTACGCGTGGGGGTCCTGGAAGAATCGGCCTGGATCAAGATCCCATATCCTGGTCAGTCCTGTTTCCTTGCAAAGACAATATAAATCGGGAATTTTACGTCAAAATTTGGCCAGGATAAGGTTGTTTAGGAGTCAGGTTTGTCAAGTTGTTCGTTCTTTGCCATCCACCTGGGGCCTGGGTTCGAATCCCGCCTGGTCCACATGTGGATTGGGTTTTCAGTCCCTACCTGATTCCGTGGGTGACCCCTGAGTATTCTTCCAGGTTTTTCCTCCTACCTCTGAAACTGTAATTTCTTCATATATTGTCTTCTCTCTACAAGTTTCTTCAGGCTTGCCAGCTACAGTGCCTAGGGCACTTTTGAGGAATCCTTGGTTTCATTACCAGAAATGATTATTAATAAATCCAAAGTTCCTTTGTTTTTGTTTGATAGGTCAGTGGGGCGTGCCACGGGTCACCATTGCAGGAATCTTCGGTATGCTAGCCGGCGTCTTTGCCTCGATCTTTGAGTCCGTGGGTGATTACTACGCCTGCGCTCGCCTGGCTGGAGCACCACCGCCTCCAGTACACGCCATCAATCGCGGCATCGGTATCGAGGGCCTGGGCTGCATTCTGGCTGGCGCGTTTGGATCGGGATCGGGAACGACGTCGTATGGGGAAAATATCGGAGCGTTGGGAATAACAAAGGTACCGTGAGAGGTTGCATCTTTACAATCAAAATCATTTTTGTATGTGAATGGATTATGTATAAAAACTCCATTGAGTCAACAAGTACAAATATGTTACCTGTGAAATATGCTTATTCAAGAAATATACTTATCCAAGAAATGTACTTACCAATGGAATATGCTCACCCATGAAATCGCTTATCCACAAAATGTAATTACCCATGGAATATGCTTACCAATGGAATACGCTTGCCCATGAAATACGTTTACCTGTTGGATATGCTTACCCGTGGAATATACTTACCCATGGAATATGCTTATCTGTGAAATATGCTTACCCATGAAATATGCTTACCCATGGAACATGCTTACCCGTGGAATATGCTTACCCGTGAAATATGCTTACCCGTGGAATATGCTAACCAGCGGAATATGCTATCCCATGAAATATGCTTACCTGTGGAATATGGTTACCCGTTACCTGGGGAATATGCTTACAAGTGGAATAAGCTTACCCGTGGAATATGCTTACCCGTGAAATATGCTTACAAGGGAAATAAGCTTACATGTAGAATATGCTTACTCGTGGAATATGATTACCCATGGAATATGTTTACTCATGCAATATGAAACATGCTCACTTATGAAATATTAGCCCAAATTCACAATATTTGTTAAAGTTTGCCAATTTTTTTGTATTACATTGGCTTGTTATAGGAGTTTGTACATTTCATTGTACCCACTGCTCTTTCTTTGGACTAGATTGGCAGTCGACGAGCCATCCAATATGGCGGCCTGCTGATGGTCCTCATGGGGATGTTCGCCAAGTTTGGCGCCCTCTTTGTCACCATTCCGGACCCCATCATCGGAGGCATGTTCTGCGTCATGTTCGGTAAGTTTGTCTGATCACCAGATCCCCTCAACTCTCCATTACTCACGGAAAAACCTCTAACGAAGAGCCATCCTGAATCAGTTGAATAGAAATTTGAGTGTTCTGTTACCATGCAGCGTTACTAGACTTCAATTTTCCCGTGGTTTTGGTTTGTTTTGTAGCCATGGTGACGGCGGTGGGCATTTCCAACCTCCAGTTTGTCAATCTCAACTCCACTCGTAATCTCTTCGTGATTGGCTTCTCGCTCATCATGGGGTTCATCATTCCGACATGGATCAGCGCTAATGAGGACTTCATTAACACAGGTGGGCGGGAATTAGGGGCGTGGTCATGCGGTAGAAGTGAAGGGGGGGTTGAACTTATCTCCAGATGTAACGAATGAGAAGACAAAGTATTATACGCAGCATGTTTAAAGAAGCAATCATTTGAAGTTCATTTTTGTTTCAGCAGTTGATGAGTATGGACACATCATGTAATTTTCATTAAAGGTTCACGTCAATGTTTATATTTTTTTATTCAGAAGGGGGGGGGGTGTTGAGTAAATATAGCCGGGAATCTTTCAAACATGGTTACGGTACAGCAGTAGACATTTGAAAATAGCTGGAGGCATATTTCAGTGAATTTTTTTCACTATTTGTGAATTGTTTTCACTTGTTTGGAGGTCGTATCCCTCTCACGCCAATTTTGAAATAAAGTGGGGGAAAAATTGTAACGAATTGGACACTTTATAAAATTGATTGTTTGTGAGTTTTATAATATCTTGGATAATTTTGGCAGGTGTGCCTGAGTTGGATGGTATCTTCATCGTACTTCTCGAGACCAACATGTTTGTGGGTGGAATCATCGGTTTCTTCTTCGACAACACCTTACCAGGTAAACCCCCCCCCCTAATTTTTCCTTACCGAGTTCCCCCCCTCCCTCCCCTAATTTTTATAAATCCCCGTTTATCACCTGACTCCCCACTACGCCCCAAATTTTAGATTCCTGATTTATACTTAAGATTAAAACGTAAATTTGCAAAGCAACATTCTCGGCTTGGAGTTGCCTGAAATCAGCTTTGGCTTCAAAGAAAACACAAGACAACGGTTTGGCAAAAAATAGTTGCGTGACGTTTCTTATCTCGCAGGTTCTGATGAGGATCGAGGCATTGCTCAGTGGCGTAGCAAATACTCGGCAGGCCAAGACCCGGCCGTCACTCGCGAGTTACTACGCACCTACGACTTCCCCTTCGGAATGGACTGGGTTCGACGCTTCTCGTTCTTCCGATACATTCCCTTCTGTCCGACGTTCACCGGCTGCCCATGTATGTGCTGTGGGAGTGTACGCGGTCGCCTCAGGAAATGGACCAAACGAGATGGACAAGAACGTAAGTTGACATTTCTTTCTAATTTTTTTTCCAATTTTTTTCTGATTTTTTAAAAAAATTCCAACCTACCTGAACAAAATTTCAAACTACAGGACAACTCTGTTGAATGCTGGTCTATATATATATATTTTTTTTATTATACATACCATTTCTGTTGTGAAGATTTAGTTTTCAATGAGTTAGCTTATTTATGGCTTTAAAATCAATAAAAAATAAAGAAAAATAGCATTACCAGTCTAATCTTCACTGCTTTTCTCGACAATCCAAAACGTCCCTTACCGAGTCATTGGAAATGATCTCGTTGGATCTTAACCCTCCTATGCAAACATACATTCTGTGCCAAGAAGTCATTTTAGTCAAAATCAATCAAGTGACTGTTTTCAAAAGTTCAGAATTCCCAGCCTATACATCAAGCAGGATTGACTGGCTGGGACTGTTTAAGTAACTTTCATAGATATGCTTTGACTCCGGGTGAGTGATAAAACAGCTGTGACCAAAACTTGCCTGCTTTGTCTGTTGACCCAGTTTGACTAGTCACAGTGCTTGCTTGACATGTGATCTGCCTGCTGGTGACTAGCCTTTGTTAAAAGTAAAGCAGGGGAAGTGGATGGAAACTTTGACTGTCTGTGACTGTTTAAATAGCAGGAGGGTTGAAGTGAACAAGAGACAGATTGAGTGCGCAAATATAAAAAAATCTCTTTCAAAGCTACATGCAAGCGATGACAGTAAGCAATTTTACTTTGGCTCGTCTTACACAACAGCTTATCTTTTCTTTTCTATAAATCTTTATCCACACGCAAATATAATTATACTTTATTTCTTTTCTTTTTACACGCAGCATATGTACACGTCGCTTCGGAAACCAAAATTTACATCCCCGTACAAAAGCAAGTTTTGGTTTTTTCCTTCCGATTTTGGAAGTGAGACCGTTTAGTAGTTCTTCCCTGACATAATCATTAACACTTTCCAAAAAAGCCACCGCTTTTTTTGTAGTGCATGTTTAGCTGTTGCTGGGAGTATATTACTCGGACTGTGTGCATTTCTGTGTTTTCCGTGCATGAAGATAGAGGGCGCTATTTAGTCTGATCATGTACAGCTGCGTGATGTCACTGCTCTGTACTGACAGCATTTATTTATGTATGTAAACACAACCCTCTGTGTAAAGTCTGTGCCTTTTTGCAAACGTTTCTACTAGAGGCATGATGCATATGCTTGCAGTCGAGAATTCAATGCGCCCTCGCTTGACACCAAGTTACCATTAGAAGGCAACATCGTTCGTGAAGCAGACTTGTATTCGAGTAACAAACCATCGAGTCCAAGTCCCAAGTCCTGCAGGTCGAGTCCGAGTCAAGGTCACGAGTCACAAAGGTCAAGTCCGAGTCACGAGTCACTTTTACTACTGGAGGTACTGCTGAAACCTCACAGTGTAACTGTTTCCATTTTTCACAGCTTTTCTCTAATACCGTAACTGGAACTACATGACTTTGTGATTAACATGTCAACAAGTTGTTTAGACCTCACACGAGTTGTACCATGGTACCATGGGGACCAGAGCTGCTGTGAAGACAGCAGAAAGTCCCCTTAACTCGGTCCTTATTTGCCGAACAATACAGAAGTTCCCCTTAACGTGGTGACGGTCCGTCTGTACTTATAGTTTGGAGTGTGCAACTGGTACCGGTACTGTAAGTTTTCCAACACTGACTGTCGGACTCACTTGTGTGCTAGTATACAAATAACGAATGTTTGTGAGTGCAATGGTAAGAATAATTTTATGAGGTGACAGATGAAATGTTCCATTCCACGAGGCGAATTTGTTTTATATAACACCTGAATAAATCCTTGTCATCTGATTGGTTGACTTTTAATAGCCAATTCATTCAGGTTAAAAACTGTTTAAAAGTTCGACAAGTTCATCATATTTACATTAATGCAAACTGTTCAACAGGTTAAGAACAATCATATTCAATTTATCTTGATTTAAAACAGCGCCACCACCAGCAGCAGTGACACCGTGCAATGGAAGTTCTATTCACAGTGCAATAGAACTTCCATTGCACTGTGCGCTGCGCGCCACGCGCGCGCCGTGCATTGGTACGAATAATTCAATGACATGTGATCAACGATCCACCAATCAGATGACGGGGATTTATTCAGGTGTTGTATAATATACAAATAACGAATGTTTGTGAGTGCAATGGTAAGAATAATATCATGATAACAGGGCTTTATCCAGGCGTTGTACAATAATAACTTATGTGTGAACTGAAACACTGACTACCGGTACATTTCCCTCTTGTCTAAACCTAGTTTTGTATTCCTCAGACTAACTTATGTAAGACACGTCGACTTGTACCTGAGGAGTATTTTTAACAGTGTCTCAGGGAATGTAGTTTGTCTGTGTGGTGTTGCATGCACTGTCCGTTACGGGTTGGCTTTTGTATTCAGCTTTTGTCATTTGCTGCACAAAAACAAAAACAGTTAAATCATGTTACATACATTGCTGCAGTATGGTAAGTCACCAAGATGCTGTTTAAAACACGTACTTTGTGCATGATTCTGCATGAAATGCATACATAAGACAGAATGTTTGTGTCGGGCTGATGTATTTTTGCCCTTCATCTGACGTATAAACACTGTGTGCTCAGTGTGTTACCTCCCAAGTGAAAGTTGGAAAAATCACTCAGGTGGGACTCGACCCACGACCTCTTGCTTTCTAGTGAAGACTTCTTACTACTCGACCACTGAGCTGGCGGGATCAATTGGCTGGCTCGCAAGCTCGGTGGTCGAGTGGTAAGACGTCTGCACTAGAATGCAGGACTTAAGAATGTAAAGTGTGCTGGACTTAAGCAATTTTTTTTTCTCTGTAGGTGAGGGAGCCAATATGTAAGCTGACTGCTGGAGAGGAGACTACATTTTGCCTGACAAACATGACAACTGCTGATGGGGAGTCTAGCTTGTCTGTAACATCAGTTATGTTCAATTTGTTATTGCCACAACTTAATTATTTTGAATGTTATTTTTTTTTCTAATTGTATTAATTTCATTATATGGATGTGTAGTATTATGTACATACAATTAAGTATTTGAGGCAGGGACCAAAAAGGTAACGAATTAAAGTTGGTAATTTATATACGTGCTTTTTGGGTGTGGCACCCCCAAAAATAGATTTTCAAATTGAATTGATAATTTTCTAGCATTACATTAGGTATGAGCTTTTTAATGAGATATCGAACGAAAACATTGGCCGCCTGACGATAAGTAACCAAGCGATGAATTTCAACTTTTGAGTTAGACGGGTCCCACCTCTAATTCCAATCTGAGGCCAGTGGGATCCACTGCGTAACTAGGTCCTGGTACCTAGTTCAAAAATTAACATATTCATGTACAGCTGAAATGCCACTAGATACGAATATTTATAGAAATTTCGCCCAAAATTTTCTGAACTGAAGCGCGCTATTAAAAACAAATTTTAAAATCGTAAAAATCCCTATGAATGCAAACAAGCATATTTATTTGTTGCAGGACATTATATTCCTTTAAAATTCGTTCGCAATTTTGAAACAGCACGTATATACCAGCTTTAAGCAGTTGGATTATATTTTAAGTGTTCGTATTTTTTTGTTCACTTTAAAAGTTAAAAAAACAGTGGTGCAGCCGAAAGGCCTGGTTGGGCTTGTGGTTGGGTGGGGTTTTTTCAGTCGACTGAAATACAGTTGAGATTAGGATTTTGGGAGCCTATAAAAGATTTACCTTATTAACCTTTGAGAAAAAGATCCCAGGAAGATTTGGAAATATTTGGCTGATGCATAAAAACCACAGTAAAAGGTGTGAATTATTTTCAGGGTGGGGGACTATTTTTCTGTCATCGGTTTCAAATAAATCTCCGCAGTGCTCTGTTGAGTGCTTACTTGCGACTTTGCTGTTCTCAAAAGTTGGTCGTCCGAATTGGATGAAAGTCTGTTTGTACTATTTAGTTTAAACGTGCTTCCAAATGACATACTTATGTACCCATAATATTAATGCCGCTGTCAAGTATAAATTTTCTAAAAATTGTTAAAATAATTAACATAAATTGTTTTTTTTTTGTGTTTGTGTTTTTTGTATTAATGCTTTTTGTATTAATGCTGTGTTCTGTTATAATGTTTGGATTGTTGAAAGGGTTATATTATGTTGACCAGAAATAGTTTAGGAAGAATTTCTTCCTCACATGTTATAGACATTGGACCTCCTGCAGTTTCCCGTTATAGTTTAGTTTTTAAGTTGGCATTCTTTTGTGATTTCTGTTGGTACACTGAGTATATGTCCGACTTTTTTGGATGGTTCAATCACTTACAAGCATGGGCGCAGCAAAGTCGGGGGTGGGGGTGCAGGTGGGGCACTTCCCCCCCCCCCCCCAGGAAAGGGGAAAAAAAGGAAACAGAAAAGAAAAAAGAAGACGAAGAAAGAAGAGGGGCAAATCATATTCCTGTTAATTTAATGTTTATTTCACAACATGGGCGTCGATTTTTCCATGGCAGGTGATATCTCCCTTGGTTTCTGGTGAGTGTCCCCCCCCCCAGAAAAATCCTAGCGACGCCCATGCTAACAAGGACTTTGTATTAGGCTTACCCTTTGTACTCAGGAATTTTTTAATTGGAAATTTAATTTTAAAAAAAGTTACTTTCTTGTCCTGTTTGGTGTAGTCTAAGTCAAGTTAAGGCTTGGTGCCATTTCTAAATTCAAGTCAAGATTTGTCCTGGTAGGTACGTATGCATTTTTGCAACTCTTCTTAAAACAAAGTTTTTCTTTGATGCTATTTTTGTCGTAAAGACAAAAGGAAGTGAAAATTAAGGGGGGGGGGGAGATAGTGCCCCTCCCCTTTCCTTTCATTAACTCTGCCTTTTTTGTAGAGCTTATTAATATTGTGTATTTATATAGCATATTTATGTCGATATTGGGACTTTGTTGCATCATTATTACCCCTGCTCACTGTGATTATAAATGAGTGATACTTAAAGGGAATATACATCATTGGCTTTTGCTGTAATTTTCTGAAATGAACTATTTGAGGGGTTAATTAGTATAATAGATCAAGTACTGTTACACTGACATGTTTGAAGTTTTGTGTTCAAAAATGCTGGAAAAACCAAGAAAAACAAAAATGTTCAAGTAGTCTGGTTCCCTGACTCCACTAAATATAAAATGGATCAATATACAGATGCCGGAAAATTGTAAGGTAAGGGAACAAAGTCTAGCTGTCCTGCACCCGTTCATGAACGTGTAACCAATAGCAAACAAAATTTGGACTGAACAAAATGGTAAATTTGGAGCAGTAGTTGAAAAATAGTGAGATTTTTCCAACGGTGGTCGGCCGACCACCGTTGGAAATTTTTACAAAAATACAATTTTCTTGAAAATGACTTCACACCAGGTGCCATAATTTTACAGGATGCTTTAGACTGTCATTTACCAACATCCTAGTAAGGTATTTCGTAAAAACTTGGTAGTTTTATTTTTCGATGTTTGCAAATGTTGTACATTCCCTTTAAAGCCCTTTTCCTATGCAGAATGAATTAAAAGTATTAAAAGGCCTTTTATGTACATTTATACACTAGAATAAAATTGTCTTTAAAAGACTATTTATATATCCAGCTTATATCTATTTTTACAGGATATGTATGTAAATTATTATATACAAATAAACAAAATAGGTGCCTTTTTGCAAGGTCTAATTCCCAAATAGTATACATAATAATATGCACATTATATTTACCAATTTTAAAATGTGGAGAATTTTGCCTTTATTGTATTTTTTGGCGGGTAAAATATCAAAAGTTGTGTACTTTGTGGTAACTGTAATTTGTGTGTGACAGATACTAATAAAATATTTCTGCTTGCATAATAGATGTCATTCTTTGTGAATTGCTTGTATTATTTTTAATGTTTTTCCCCCATTTTTACAATTTTGTTTCCATTAAATATGCACCAATATATGTTAGAATTACGAGCCTTTATCTCAGAAGTTTAAATGTCATTTCCTCAAACGTCCCAAAAAAAGTGCTCGTGAAATATGTAGTGACGTCACAAGTTCTGCGCCGAAAGTTGTCCAATCATTGACAAACAAGTTTGGTACAGAAATGCGCATGCGCGTGGACTTGTATAAATTTTGTGTTTCGTGTTTAATAGTTGTATTAATTACAATCTTTATATATTACTTCCAAACACTTTCAGTAAGCAGAGCGTGTTGGCCTAACGGTAGGCAGTCCGACGCTCATGCCGGAGATCGTGGGTTCGAATCCCAGCGGGGAATTTTTATTTATTTTACTTTTGATTTAACTTTAATAAAAAAGAGTAAAATTCTGTTTTATTTTATTTTATTTTATTTTATCTAGTTGGGGGGGCCAACGCCACGGAACTCGGACTCGCCGCAGGTTTCCCAGCTGGCGGCCGCCCTTCCGAGGCTGGGATTCGAACCCGGGCCGCCGACCTGTGCGCCACACTCTCTACCGGGTTCACTACCTGGGTCCCCCAGTGAAAAAGGCACTCCTTATATATTTAACCCTTAGAATCGGTAACATAAAATGAAAATAAAAACGCCCTCAGGATTCGAACCCGGGTCGCGGGACCAGGAGTTCCGTGCCTTACCTCCCGGCCACCGGCGCTTCTTAAATCAGTTTTAAAATTCAAATAGATAAAGCATCGTTTTATAGTTGGTTAAAAAAAAATAATAGGAAATAGGGCACGCACAGCCCATTTTGGTTTCATGTTCCAAGCAGGAATATTATATCACGAACGAAGCCGACCACACTTTGTTGTCGTTTTATACTTAGGAAAATAAAATATTTTAGTCGCTACGCCGTAATCAAACTTACTGTGGCGTTGAGTTTCTTGCGATATATCGCAAAATTCCGGGGAACTGTTGAAGTATCGCGATACTTAAACAGTTCCCCGGAATTTTTGGGCCCAATTCAAATATAGGCAAAATTTGTTTACAACTTTCGAATATTTGCTGATCGTTGTGCGAAAACTTTTTTTTTACAATAAGACACACGCAAAAAGAAAATTCGTTTAAAGAAAGCAAAGCAACCAATATAGAGATCTTGGACGGATAAATCGTTTCCGAACAAATACAATTCTGGGGGAAAAAGAGAGAATCTAAAGAAGCCACTTTTTCATTGCACTTACTTGCTCTGTATTTTGTATTTAACGCAAATTTGCACATTAATATTTAATTATTCATAAATCATTATTTTGATATAATTAACTGAATAAAATTCAACTTAAAAAGTATAACAAATATTATACTAAATCATTCAACAAAAAATTTAGCACCCAGAAATGACCAGGAAGAACGAAAAAGTGGGGAAATAGTGTCATAAAACAAGATGTTTGTTTTCGTTTCAGTCTTTGCAAATTAGGCCGGCTGCAACATTTGAAGTTATCTAAAAACGGATTGATTTACACACAAAACCTTACATGGTGATAAGTTAGATTTCATTTCACAAATGTATTTGACAAATACATAATTTGGGAGAAATTTTTCCTCAATAGATTGTACATTAAAAAGCTGCTTTTTTTTCTTCAAAAAAAAAACTACCTACATTATTGCACTTATTTAGCGCAGCCCACAAAAAAGGTAAAGAATGTAGTATCCAGACGCCACTTTGTGGGTTGTGTACAAAGTCTATGGAGAGTCTGTTTTCAAAGTATTTTCTAACAAAATTGGAAATGTTACTCGGTCCCAGATTCATGTCTTTTCAACATTTTGGCAATGACTGACCTCTATTGAGATGATACATGATGAAAAAAGTGGCGTCAGGATGCAACTTATTTCCAAAAAAAAAGGAAAAGATTTTTACATCAAAACAATGAAACTCAGTGATGCATTACCAGAATTAGGCATCCAAGACATCAATGGAAAGCTTACTGCTCATAATTTACAATAAAACCATAATTATGCTCATTAAATTCATAGTTTGTTCATAATTATTATCCCATTGTTTGTGGGTTACCTTTTTTGGGGCCACGTGTATTGGCCCCAGAAATTCCAAATCCTGATTTTTTTTCTATTTTTTTCAAATTGCACACTATTGTGTATGTGGAAAAAAACCACAATTAAGGCGAGAAATCAATCAAATGGTACAATTAAACATTGTAAATTAAATGGAATAAATCTCCTGGATGAGTTCGTTATTTTGGGGCGAGTGGAAACGGCAGTAGACTAAATCATGACGATCAACTCAAAACGTTTACTGTAGAGGCTTAGAATTGGGGAATACTCATGAATTTAACCAATCCAAATGACACGCACATACATCAGAAACAATGTAAATAAAGTATCACTTTCAGCGTTACAAACACTTAAGGCCAAGTAAAAAAAGAAAACAGTTTCTCGTCCGGGTTTTTGACAAACAAAGGCCTTTTTTCTTTCAAAGATGGCGGATTTTCCAAGATAGATTCTTCAACTTTCTTCACTCTTTTCTGATACTTTTGTGACCAATAAGCGGTAACACTTTCTAACAGACTCTTAACTTGCTCACATAGCTAAAATTTTGTTGGAAGAACATGCAAAAATAACAAAATATTGCAAATATTCGAATGAAAAAAAAAAGGCGGAGGCTGTGGAAAAAGCGGGTGGTAACGAGAAACTGGTTTTTTTTTAACTTGGCCTAACCAAATAAACCAACGATTGTATTTCGAATACATAAATTCAAAGGGAAAAACAGTCAAGACAACATTCAATGGAATTTGGAGCGAAGGATTTTGGTATTAATAGAAGCACCACGAAATGCTATTAAAATTTGGAAAATTCTGACAAAATTAAATAGCAACATAGCAACTTTTTTTTTTAATAAATAACTGCTATCGAATTATTTGAAAAGGAATATATTATTAAGAGTTTGACAACTTTATTGCAGTCACATTCTTAAAAAACTCGGCAAGACAAATACATAATGCTTGAATAAAGTGAGAGTCTAGATTTTAATGTGTTGTAATAGCAACAGGTTACAATTTGTAAAAACAGGTGACGGCCAAACATGTCAGGTGACATGTCAGGTGACGTTTGTATTGCTTGGGCCTGGTTGTAAACTACATTTTGCTAACCAAATTCGAGGAGATATATTTACTACCGAGAAAAAATTAACGCAAATGACGTCAGAAATGCAGACAAAACTTGACTGCTTTGAGGATGACAAGTTCCAGTACTGAAAAAAATCATTCTTGTAAATACCACGTATTCAAGACTAGCAATTCCTTCTCAAAAGAGTGTTATACCTGGCGATAGAAAAAAAAAACTGCCCTCAACAAAATAATTATACAACCATTATGTACAAACTTCTAGTATGTACAAAAAGTCTTTAAATAATTCTGGAAAAATATGAATAATTACAAATTTTCATTTCGGGTTTTGTAATATATTTCAACCTTACAAAAATGTACAAATACCTCATATAAGAATGCAGCAGTACGGTTTATTTGTTTAGGTAGTACGGAATACTGTACAGTTTTTCTGCCTTAGTTTTGGCAGATTTTTGTTTTGTTTGAGACTCGGTGCGTAAATACACCTCAGCGTTAAATAATACCAAGCAGAACTGTTGTTGAAGGACATGCTTGTAATGGACCATTCCTTGACCAATTAGATCTCATCTTTTGGTCAGGTGACCGCGGTAGCCTCGTCACACTCGGCCACGAGCACTGCGAGAAATGTACGCAAACCAGAGGTGGGCGGGGCTAAGCTCGGATAGGTCCATTCTGCAGATGGCTGAACAGCCGTCGTTACACAAGTCTGGTTCCCTGACACTGCTTGATAGACTGGCTCAGGTATCCATGTCAATGCTCACAAATTCTCACTGTTTTACTTCCATCAGATATTTCGTGGCATAGTCTGGCTCCTTCAAAATCGCAAATGCTAAGCTGGATCGCAAACGGGCGATCTAGAGCTACGGCTGCGTCTATTGTCAGCGTGTGCCCACATTATTTCCAAAACTTTGACAACAGCTGCAGACAAAAGATCCACGTGCGGACGTTAGTCTGTTCCAAGTGACGCTCATCAAGAGTTCTTTTGGCGGATGGTGCGGGGAGGGCAACCCCGTGGTGGATCGGTGTTATTGTCACGATCGCCGCGGCTCCAGTTTGTGAGAGTGTTGCGTTAATACACGTTGGTTGTCTACCACACGCAGATTTCTGCACAAAAAAACAAAAAAAAACAATTGGGACTGAATTCTGTATCAGGGTAGTCTTGGCCCACGACGTCAGTGATCAATAGCGATGGTAAAGCGTCCTTGAAAAATTGGGGTTTTTTTTACTTTCTCGCACTAACGTCTAGGAAATCAGCAATGGGGGTGTGGCCATTTTATGTTAATTAGACCATTGGTGTAAATATTAATATCTTCAAACAAAACGGCGGCTTCATATTTGATACCAGTTGTCACGCGCTCGCGCGTGGGTATCACTGCATTGCATATCTAATTAGTGATCCCTGATCACCACAGGTAGCGTGTATGTTTACGAAGACTATAAGCTTTTAATAAAAGGCCTATAGCTTTCAGCGCCGAACGTTCATTATTTGCACGCGGGACTGACTATAAACCATTTTGCGATCGCTGATTGGTTTCCTAGGAAAGCCTCAGGAGCAAATAAAGAAAAAGTTCAACGGCTACTAAAGGATTCCCAAGACGTTAGTGCAAGCAGGCGCAATGGTTTAATCATGCCGTTAGATATGCACAATCCACTATCGATCTTGGGTCTAGACTAGTATCACGGATATTCAAATTCTTAATAAAATGTTACATATCACATTATTGGGGTCAACATTAGAACAACGCTCGAGTGACAGTTTTGCCTGACCGCAACTGATAAACATGATATCAGAGAGTATCTGGAGCAAGGCAGCAAAGTGTGTTTCGTGAATGATTTGGAGAAATAACTCGGAGATTTGTTTACCTGACGTAGTTCCGGATTTCGCTGATGTTCTTTACTGGTGGGGGTGGATCCATAGTGAACGGTTCACTGCGGCAATATTTGATGGTTCGGATGGTGGAGGCAATCATGTGCTGTTTGCAGGAAAAAAAGAAAGTTTCTTTGCTTTTAAATAAGTAAACAAAAAAATACAATAATTAAAAAAACTTCCTTGTTATAAAAAAGTTGATGACAAATTTAAATAATAACAAGGAATTGTTTTAGAGAATTCAGTAAAAAATAAAATTACACGGGCTATTATTAACACGTCTTGGCGTTCCTACACAATGGATTTGTGAAGGTGAAGTCTAACCCTCCTGCTGTCTGAACAGTCACAGACAGTCAAACATCAATCCTCTTCCCTGCCATGCCTTTAACACAGGCTAGTCACCAACAGTCAGATCATATTTCAAGCAAGCACTGTGACTAGTCAAATTCAGTCAACAGACAAAAGCAGGCAAGAAGTAGGCACAGCTGGCTTATCAATCACCTACAGTCAAAGCATAGCTGCATCAAGCTACATAAACAGTCACAGCCAGTCAATCCTGCTTTAGGCTAGGAGCTCTTAACAATTACTTGATTGATTTTGACTGAGAGGACAACTTGACACAGAATGTATGTTTGCAGAGGAGTGTTAAGTAAAAACGCTTCAGGAGTTTTTGATAAAAACACGGTGAAAAAATCTAAAAAATCTCACCATTTTCTCAAAGTTAACCAGGCCGTCAAAGTAGGTCTTGTTCCCCTCGTGGGTGAAGGACATGTCCTTGATGGCTAGAGGCATGAAGGGGATCATGGGAGGCTGCATCTGGGAGACGGAGAGACGATAGACGCGATGGTTGCGAGATGGGTCCATCGTGGCCTCAAACTCCGCGTACGTCTTCTTGAAACGACTCGGTAGTTTCTTTGTAAACAAATACAAAACAAAATTGCGCATTCGTGAGAATTCTACAGCAATGTGCATTAGCTTGGTAGTTAAATAGATAAAACAATGACCGCCATTATATTTTAATTTCTGTTTAACTTTTATTCTACACGCATAATAAAGTGTCTCCACTTCTTCCAAAGTTACGGTACCATATGCACATGGAGACCACCATTGAAAATGTTGATATGATTAGAAAACTGTGTTCGTACCTCCCATGTTTGCGTGAGCCTACAGACAGCGATGTTACTCATTCCCATGACGATGGCAAAGAAGGAATTCATGTTCTGGTATTCCTTGCAACTGGAAGGAAAAAAAAATTATGGTCAATTTACAGTTCCAGATTTTCAAAACCAATATCGAGTACCAATTTAAGATTCAATGAATTATAAAAGAAAAAAAAATTGTACGGCACTAAATAACTGCACTATGTTGAGTGCGTATTTCTTCTTCAAATTTAGAGTTTCTCTGAGCCGGACTCCCAAGGCCAACTCCAAAATCAACCACAATGCAAGAACCCAATGGCAAATTCTTTACAGTTCAGATCTCAATAAGCAACTAGCCCCATGAACAAAGAAACAATGGACGGGGTTTACCTAACTCAATCCTGCACAAACCTCCAAAATTGCCTGATGGATAATTTTTTAAAGATCGATCTCTGAAGTTTAGGGTTTAAACGTTTTCAGCAGGAAAAAGAAAACCATTCAGGAAAGCATGGATAATATCGTCGCGTCAGTGCAACAAGGTCGTAACTTCATTCTGCAACAAAGACGTATCTCGCGCGAATACGTTCCGTGCAACAAGGTCGTAACGCGACGTCCACTGACTTTTTGTGTACATCCAAGTTATTTTAAGCGAGATTCCACCTTTTGACATTCATTCACGTACGGCCCATTTTAGCAGATACAACCTTGGTGCAGACACGCAACGATATTAAATCTTCAACTTACTAAGCAGCGATCTTGATGAATTTTCTAAGCAGCTGGACCCTCTTGCTGACGTTGTTAGTCAGACACAACTCGGTGACGACCCAGAACTGAACCTCGTTGAACCGACGGAGAAAAAGATCCAAATTGGCCGTAATCTGGCCAAACTTTTGCCGCCCAAAGGTGTGGTAGACAAACTCAAACTACGAAAGTACAGAAAATACACAAAAGCCAACGGATAAGAAAATACAGATTATGAGACACTGACTTTGACCTTTGACCCTTTAACCTATCATGACCTTTGAACCTGCTGGTTTGACCTTTGTCTTGGTTACCTCGTGAACGCAGTTGAAGAGTTCCCAGTCGTACAGCGTCATCTGGTAGGCGACCTCCTTGGATCCCATCAATTCGAACATGGCAAAGGTGCTGTCTGACGGACCTTCTTGCTCTGGGATGGGTGTCTGGGGAGAAAAGAAAAAAACGATGAGATTTCTTGCAGCTTTTTTGGCCTTGCATGTTTGAAAATCAGAGAATAATAATAATAATGCGTATTTGTGATGCGATCAAGTTAAATGAGTCGCTTGTCGTTTTCTGGTAAATTTTATTTTACAGATTTGAAACGAGCACAATCTCAGCATTACTGCTGTGAAAACCGCATGTTGATACCATCTTTAGGTCAAAAATCATGGAAGTCGGAACACCAAGAGATGTGATGAAGTGATGTGATGCAGAGGCCCTATTTTGGCCTGAATCTCCAAATGAAAGTTCCCGACAAACGACTCATTAAGCTCGCTGGCATCACATTTATAAAGGGCACTTATCCAGCAGTATTGGTGCTCAAGGCACTACATCATCATTACCCTGCTCATTGGGCCAATGAAGCATTTCAAATACCATCTCAGCTCCCTGGGGAGTAAACAGCTCGATGCTGCAATTTCGGTGCAAAGCAGCTAGAATCAAATACAAAAACCATATCTGCCCTGACAGGTACCCATTACTCCTGGGTGGGGAGAAGCAACGAGTGACAAAGTGCCTTGCCCAAGGGCACATGCACCATAACCCCAGGTTGGACTTGAAGCCACAACCCTCAGAATTACCCGCAGACCATGAATTCAATGATCCAGACCACGAGGCCACAGCAAGAATGGCAATGACTCTCCGAGAGACTAAGAAAACGTAGCTTTGTCAGACTTACAAAGGAAAACATTTTTTGAGGAAAGATTTATAAATTAGCAGAACAAAACTTTACCAAGGCATCAAGGTGCTCCCGCGGTGACACAAATATTCTGCCGTTCAGAGACAATCCTGCCGTCACGCAAATGTCGTTCTCCTTGAACAAGATACGCTCTGCAAAATCAAACCAAATCAAATCAATTCAATGAAGTCAAATAACACAATGACTCAAAACTACACCCTGCTACGCTTTGACAATAACTACTAATTTAAACACAAAGTTTTGCCTTAAAGTCTTTGTGTTAACAAAAATTGTTTTGTGAAGAACTTTTTAAGTGGAGTTAATCACAATTGAAGATAAAATATCAGTAGCTATTGTGCTAAAAAGATCAAATTTAACAACATACTGGGTTTTTCATGGGTCACAAATTTATATTTTTGAAGTTGTTTCTAACCTACCTGCTGTCGATTTAATCTCACACAACACCAGGTCCTCTCCTAGGCACATTTTCTCAGACACCGATCTGACGATAGTACCGGCGGTCGTGTTCATTGGTACCCTTAATGTGGTATACGTGTGGTCTGCACAGTACACTTTGAAGATATCTACAGACCAAGAAATATGCAAAGTCTATTTTTGGGGGTATTTATTTACTGGCTGCTTTCAAATCTGGAGAGAAAAAATTATCACAATTTGCAGCTGACTGTTTCGTAGTTTATGGTCTAAGCACTTAAAAACAAAATCATTAAATACTAAAACTGGAGTCTTATATAGCACATACATCTACCAACAATTAGGTACTCAAGGCGCTAATTAATATGAATTTATTTCAAAGACATGTAAACGAAGTATTTGAAGTTTGAGACCCATTTTATGTAGCACCTTGTAAGAGTTTACAAGGTGCTACGGCGCATTAAGCAGCCACTGCCAGAAACACTGGGGCGAACCCCTTCTCTTAGCGATAAGTGTTACTGGGTTCTTTTACCGGTACGTGCATTACACAATGCACGGGACCTACAGCTTTATGTCCCATCCGAAGGACGAAGCAATAATGGTTAAGTGTCTTGCTTATGGACACAGGTGTCAAGACCGGGACTCGAACCCACACTCTGCTGATCACACTCTGCTCGAGTCCAGTACTCTTAACCGCTCGGTGCTCTTAACCGCTCGGCCATGACTCAACACCGACAACAACATCTGCAGGGAAGTGTCTTCAAATTTGGGATTTTGAGAGGAAAAATTTCACCGAAAAAGGAGTAGAATGTCCTCCGTGTCTTACTTTCATCAGTGGCTTTGATGGGTCTCCGTCTTGGTGTGTCGTCTTCTGAACGATGGAACTCACCTAAACCCTGAACGAAAAAAAAGGCCCCAAAAAACAGAATCAAAAATAATTTACTTGGTAACCATTCCACAGCATTTTCTTTTTTTAAAAACTTTGGTTTGGATTTGATTTGCTTTACTTCTAAAAACATTCTTCTGAAATAACTTTAGCTTTTAAAATTCAAGTACTTTACGTTATCGATTTTTAAAAATCATTTAAATTAACCCTGATTTTTTTGTTTATGCATGCAATCACATATCGATGTAACAAAATGCATCTTAATTTCACAAGACTGCCGCAAACACACAACAGTTGGTGTTGGCATACATACACAGTGGGAATATTGAAAAGCGACCAAATAAAAAATGAAAGAAACAGACAAGGAAAGGAGAACAACTAACTTTGGAGTTGATATTGAACAGTTCAGTGCCAGGATAGCCGACAATACTCTGAAACAGAACAAGAAACAGGATGCACAACAAACACATGAATACAAGCCACTCAGATATCATGCTGTCAACAAGAATATCATGCAAACAGAAACAAAAATGGTTGTGCTAGTTGTTTCACAAAATGCTGATACATTAGTGTTGCACTCTGCTTACAGTTTAAGCCTGGTTTTCATATCGACGTTAAGCTTACGCAGACTACTTCAGACTAGGCAGACTGCGCAGACAGAACACGAAACCGTCGGCAAAGTTGAACCGGGTTCAACTTTACCGATCGTCTGCCAGGTAGTTTGCGTCGGTCTGGGTTGTCGGGGACACTTCAAGATGAAATGTTTCCATATGTCTGCGTTGCAGTTTGGTTACTTTTTGCGTTTCTCTTTGCGTTTCTTACGTCGATATGGAAACTAGGCTTAATTTACAAAAGATGTGTGCTACATGCTAGTGGTGCAGAGATATTAGAGCTTACAGAGACTATGTCCGCCATAATGTTGCCATGGTTACCTGTCGTTGCACCTGCCATGTATGAGCCTGTTCTTCCTCTATCTTGCGAACCAGGTGGAGAACTCTCTCTAGATTGGCCAACTCGTCCTGCAGGCTGCTGTAGACGCGGCAATCGTCGCAGATGGCTGAAAATAACGTCTGCCATAACAACCAAAATTTGGTTCACATTTCATCAATGATTGTGAAGGGAATAATTTTCAGGTTAAATTTTTTTTTTTTTTAACAAGGCATGTAGAAATTGAGGATGTTGTCATTACCTCCACAAAAGACGTTATAATCGGGTCTTCTTGGAATGCTGAGCCCGCGATGACGCTCCATTGGCATACCAGACGGATCACGCGACGTTTGTTATTTACGATGTAATCAATTGTCTCTTGTTCCGTTGCCTGGACGATGTCCGCATGATAAGTGATAAATGTTAAGGAACAATGGTATAAATACACCGAGGAAAGAAAAACAACCTAATTGAAGAAATCGTGTTTGGAGGAGATTTTAACAGCAAGAATATGGATCTGTCATATGCCTTTCTTTGTGCTTTTGGGTCAAGCTCAACCAGGCAAAACCTAAGTCTTGCTTTCTTGAAGGATATTGCGTGAGTAGGGCCGGGCAGAGTTGCTTGCTGGACATGAAGACAATGTGTGTCAAGAGGAAATCTTCCAAGAACGTGTCCGCCTCGTCTTGCTTGCTGTCGATCCTCGTTTCTAAGATATGCTCCAGCATCTTCTCCGGGCTGCCGGCCATGACCGAATACCTGCCAAACACAAAGCGGACATGGACGACAAAGTTTCAACCCAACAGGAGTACGACAGCAGTCGAATGAGCTTAGCTTCGTGCTAACTGCAAAAGTTATGTTTGGGAATATGCAGGAATTGTCGAGATGTAAAGTTTACACAAATGCTTGTGGACCAAACTTGTACAAAACCTAAACGCATACCTTCCATTCCGTCTTTGATTGTGATGAGGACGCCATGGTTTATGAACTACCAAAAAAATGCAAAATACTTTAACTTTTGCAACTACAATCAAACCTACATGGCAAATATTACATGTAGTACCCTTGAACAAATTATCACACACATGGATAAAAAATAGAGCCTATAAACTACAGGATGTTACGTTATTCAGGTCTTCAAATTCACAGCTGCAAAATAAAACATGATGAAATAATCGCAATTTCTGAACTACGTATGAATGCTTCTACTCTCAAAATTAATATCTTGACTTCTAATAATGAAACAAGGAGGTTCGGGGAGCAGGAAAACAGGACTAAAATAAGATGAGTTAATGTTGTGAAGGAATCTGTTATATTCAAGGGGTAACTAAATGACAAAATGTTAGGCCACTTTTTTACGAGGAAATCTGAGGAAGAAAAGAAAAAGTACAAGTATGAGTCTAAAAGGAGGAAAGAATGAGCCAATTGGAAAGGGATACCTTTGAGGACTAAAAAATAATAGGAAACGGGGTTACATTTTGTTTTTCAAAAATAACAAAGTAATGAAATTTTCAGTTAAGGGAGGGGTAAATTGGAAACAGTAAGCATCATAAAAAATATGTTTTGATCAAACACCTACAACCCAATAATCCATAAATTACAGTAAAAAGGTCCATTTTCAACACAAATTGAAACAAAAATGTTGACATCAACGAACAAGTTTTTTGTTAGAGGTACAGAATCAGCGATTTAAACGAACAGGGAGGATGTTTGATGCATGGTGGAACGACAGGGTGCAGCGGTCTTACCCACGACGATACGGGCACACCTCTCCTGGGTTTGTGCACGTGCCCACGGAATAACTGAGCAGATGAGGAAAGCGTTAATCCCCGCCAGAAAGTACAGAGAGATAAAGAGTGAGGCGGAAGAGATTAGCCAGAATGTGATTGGATCAGATCAAGCAGAAGCCATCCATGGGATTAAAGGATTAATAGGCTTGATGTATGTGTGATGTATAATACGATGATGAGTGGATTAAAGGATTTAAGCGGATAAAGAGGTTCGATGTAAGATGATGATTGGATTAACAGTTTAACAGGAAATCTGATCTGTCAGATCAAGCATGACAGAATGAGATTAACACAGACATTGGATCAAGCAGGATTACTGAAAAAAAAGGAGACAAGATTTTAAAATGTGGATTAGAAGAAATGAGATTGGGCAGAAAATTGCATTTTGAAGAAAAAAGGAAATGCAGAAAAAAATTACCAAAAGAAACTGAAAAAAAAAATGACAGACAAGACATCCAAACAGAGGGACAAACAGAGGGACAAACATAAAGCCTTGATCTGACGCAACTGTGAACAAGAAATCAGTCAGAGAAACATGACCAAGACTTATCGCTTGGAGACACTAGGATCACGTAAAACACAATTTTTATCAATATGTACCTCCACCAAGGAAGTTATGTTTTCATCGGATTTTGTTGATTGGTTGGTTGGTTGGTTGGTTTGTTAACAAGAGTTACTCAAAAATTTATGGAAGGATTTGCATGAAAATTTGTTTAGGGGTGGTCCGCGGTACAAGTACAAATTGATCAGATTCTGGAAGTGATCCGAATCTGGGTCTGGATCCAGGATTTTTTTTTTAAGGATTCTTCACCATCTATGCGAATATTTCTCTTGGGTGTTCTGACAATATAGAGGGGAATTGTTTAGCTTTGGCTGAGGTTTGCGCTTTCTGAGTGCTTCCTAGTTGAGGTACATGTATTATATGGGCTGTATTATAGGTTGTATCTCAAAATACGGACATGCAACTTCCGACTGGTTTTGTGGTCACAGATAAGTTTGCTTCAGCATCATTTTCTGCTGAAAAGTTCCAAAAAATGTACCTAACATTAGTGTGAAAAATGATGAATAAGAAACAATCAAAACTCTTAATTGACAAGGGTGCATTTCACAGAGACTGTGACTTTGGTTCGGCCAATCAGAGAAGCCGATCTAGAGCACCTACTTGTAATGTATGGGCACCCCGTCCTGTCGCTGGCCGCTATTGGTCGGAATCTTCTCCAAGACTAAGACGTCTTGGCCGTGCTCCTTTAATCTCACCGTGTTGGCTTCGACATCCTATCGACATAAAAAAAAAATAACAAATTCAATTGCATCGGGGCCTAATTTTGTGTAGCTGGTTTAGGAAATTTATGTCCTAATGACAAACTTGGCTGTGACAAGCTATAACTTACCCGGAGGATTCTGTTGAAGTCGTCCTTATCGACCCTCAGCAGATGACAGTTATCCTCCCTCAGAACGATGGACGCTGCTCTCGGTGAATCGTTGACCAGTGCCAGCTTCCCGAAATCGTCCCCTTCATGCAGGGTGCAGACCACGCCCTTGCCGTAGATGACCACGTTGACCGAACCTTTTAGGATGATGTACCAGGATTTGCCCTCGTCACCTTGGTTGAATACTGAGACGAAAGATCGAAAGAAGGTCAGAAAATGAGCCGCTTTTTTCTTTACATTTTAATAATAGCTGATGTTAACAGGGACACACTTTTGAAATTTGTCTAAAACTTGACAAGCTGGCAAATTCAACTGCTTTCTTCCTCCTTAACTTCTATGTTAAACCTGAGTGTTTAAAAGGGTCATGACATGAATTTTCTTTTGGAACATATTCTGTGCAATTTTCTGCTCCTCTTGAATGTATGAAAACTGTTTGACATCCCTTTTGGGTTAATCTTATTGAAAAGTGCACTTCTTTAAACATTTAAAAATATCACCTGGCGCTCGGCAATACTCACAAACTGTTCCCGCTTTTTGATGCGTCTCAAACACCAGAACGCTCGCGAGTTCTCTCTTGACCATCGTCGACAGATGGGCCAACGCCTTGATGTGGAGTAACTCCTCGTATATGATCTCCAGATCATCCACCGACCGTTCCATGGCTCTACATGAGAGGTTCAATCAACATTGGGAAACAACAGAGAAACACAACAGTTATTTTAGAGAATCCCATACATGTAACAGCGGTTGACTCAAACTGGCCCGTCTTCGATGGCATCACTCATAATTACGAGCGCCTTGAGTACCTAATTGTTGGTAGATACATGCGCTGTAGAAGACTCCGGTATTGTTATCATTATTATTAATATATGGACTACGAATAACTGTATAAAAGAATTATGGACAATGAAATGACGAATCTGTGTCTAGTGTGTCTCAAACGACAAATACAAATAAATCTAAATTTCAAAAATGTAACCAAAAATACAAAGACACTAAAAACAACATTTGCCTCACATCTCCACAATAATACATGTTACACCATTTTTACCAACTATGAATTTAAACACTTTCAGTTTCTTTCTTGAGAAATGCCAGTGTTTACACTGCTCTCACAAAACTCAGATTGAAAAGATTTTTAGGGCAGCCCCATTTTCCAAACATGAACTGTTTTCTTGTTTTTATACGATGATAAAATTTAACATGTGCTTTAAAAAAAAATCAAGAAATATTTGTTTGTTTATTTGACTTTTTCCATTTCTTATTCCTTTGTAGTATAAGCATTACATTTTTGATGGTAAATCATATTTATCCAAAGTGGAACATATCGAGTTACGGAAATTTAACGAATTTCTTTTAATTTATGTTGCCTAGGAGACAGACGCTATTTCTGTGAAGTTGTAGCAGACTTTGTGAGCTTTAAATGATGCATGTTAGGCGTTCTGGCAAAAAGGACAGAACTAAGCAGAGGTACAATGAGGATCTGCGGGTATTAGGAAAGAGAATAAAGTTTGTTGCAGTTCAATCGGACATTCCATTGATAAGTTATGGCTGTTTAAAGTTCGCATTTATCGAAATGTCAAAAAGTAAAATACTGAGAAAAAGGCCTATATAATTTACGAGTTTTCGATTCGTGAAAACGAAAGATGCCAATTCTTTTCCCTTTAAAACACTTGTTTTCAACGATTTTTAGAATATTTCTTTAAACATGTGTAGTAGACATATCAAAGATAACAAATAACAATAAATTTGAAAGAAAAAAAAGAAAAAAAAAAAATCATCCCAATTTGTTTTTAAGCTCTGGCAGGAACTTCTATATGTCACTTGCTGGTTGGTCGGTCGGTCTGTCTGTCTGTCTGTCCTCGAAAAATTGACCTCAAATATTTGACCAAAAATTGACAACATGCCATGCCTTTGTCATATAAATGCACTCTTGCTGAAAGTTTTTGGAAGACCATCTTTGTTTATTTTGCGCATGAAGTGAAACATTCCCAAACCAGGCCAGGGCTTATTGTGCACTCGCAATTGTTTTATTTTTCTCCACTACGGCCTGTGCCCACTTCCGCCTCATTTTGCAAGAACACCTCACATTTATGAGCTTGGAATTCAATGAGTTTACCACTGTATGTGTACATGGTGTAGTTACGTGTAGTTTCATCCAGTTTTGCAAAACAAGGCATGAATTTTTCTTCTTTTTCCACAAATCACAACATGCACATGCTTAGGTATGTACGCACTAGACTAAAAGTGAAGTCAAATTATCTATTATGCTTGAAAGGAATTCAAACATAAATCCATTTATATCAAATGAATAAATGAATAGGTACAAATGTACGTCTACTGCTAACTAACTGTAAAAAATACTCAACGTATTTCCAAAACTAATAAACAATATTATTTTAAGAAATTAAAGAAAGAGTTAAAATTTAAAATCCAAGATATTAAATTCAACAATGAACAATTGGACACATCATTACCGGTACAAGTAACATGAGACAAAACTTAACATCAAATAAACAAAACGGAAAAATGAAATGTTCAGTTTCTGCTGCGCTACACAAAAAAGAAATAAAAACCAAAAAGTTAAATGTTAATTTCAAAGTAAAGTACATGTAAATTCAAAAATACAAATATAATGCAAGTAAAATGAGTTTGTCTTCATGTTTTTATGTTTGATTCATTGAAATTGACTTGAAATCTGTTGGTTTAAGAAGTTTATTTTCCTGTGTTCCTCAGTACTCAACGAATGAAAGACTGTAACCTAAGCATGTTCAAAACTACCAAATTTTGGATGTGTCGGCCAACCATCATTGGAAATTGACACAAAAAAGCACACCAGGTGCCATGATTTCACAGGATGCTTGAGACTGTTAGTGTTATTCTCTTTCAGTCAAGGTATTTCATAATAATTTGGTAGTTTGTTTGTTGATGTTTGCAAATGTTGTATATTACCTTTAAAGAAAGCTCAAAATTTCCTGCTGTTTATACTCCATAAATAATCCCCCTCCCCAATTGACCTATCGCCTTTTGGGAGTTAGCCACGCCCCTTAGACAACCCTATGGAGTTTTTGTACACTAGGTTTTGTTTGTCTCAGATTTTGTGCGTTCTGCGTCCAGTTGTATTGTCATGTTATTGGACAATATTTCACAAGCTGCGTTGACGCGATTCTACCGCGATTCTACCGCGATAGGTCAATTGCTTCCCACTGTAACATTGTTTTACACAATTCTCAAGACTCCAAAAACCGTGACAGCCATTAGCTGAAAATAAGCTGAACATTCAATTTCAATTTGTAAAAAAGTCTGAATTTGTTTTTGGTCAGACTGATTTATAGGGAGTTAATGACTTTGTTAAATGTGTTGAGTGATCGGGGTTAACAACAGAAAGGTAAAATACACAACGAGAAAAAAAATGGGGTTGGGCATATCTGGAGGGAGAAAAGTCAAGACAGAAAGAAGAAAAAAAAATAAGAGTGAAGAAATTGAGGAGGTTGTGGATGTTTCCATGACTACCTGTTCAGAAAATCGGCCTGCTGAAGACGACTGGCCAACTCCAGCAGCCAGGGGGGTCGGCTGAAGGGGTCAAAGGGCAAAGACAGGGTAGGGCCAAGAGTAGGGGTGGTCAGTGAACAGGGACAGGAGGGACCGACTTTCAGTAACATAGTTCGGCAGATTGGTGCACAATATGGGCGGAATTGTTCATTGGATGATAAACACAGTTGGCACACAGTCAGAGTATATAATGGGAAAGATATTTGGCTATGGGCTCTGTGCGCCGACAAAAGAGGGCGCCCTTTTACCTAGCAACGACGTCCCATGGGCGGGACATTTAGCTGGTTGATGCGCACAGTTCCTTGTGTGTGATGCACGTACACCAGGGGATTTGTACTATGTACACGCAGTGGTACGGCCGCGCGTCGCAGCAAAATTGCAGTCAGGCAAGATGGCGTCAGTCGGTCACCCCCAACTGTACTTTCTTTGACAGTGAGGGGGTACTTGTGAACGAAGCGCATAGGGCCATCGCAGATTTATCCATTGAAAAAAATATCATAGAATAATATGCAAAGGCCGCCATTTGGAAAATTTTGAAAATTGCTTGTTATCCCATGATATTTTTTTCAAAGGTAAAATCTTCGATGGCCCTATAGCCAAATATATTGCCCTTAACATACTCTGACCTTGTGCCAAATTTCATGCCTTTATCATCAAATCAACAATCTTATTCCCAATCTGCTTTACTAGCAACCATCTCAAATGAATGACTCAACAAGTGTTGCCTGTCCAAGTTACTTCCCTTTTTTTTTTAGCTACACTTTAGCCAAAAATTAGTTTTTGAAATTGTTACTCGTTCAAGTGATTTTACTAGATAAGGAAGCCCCAGGATGGTGAAGAAATATCAAAGTCAGAATTACTAACTGGCGATTGAAAATTTATCTAACCATATATCACAATTTTTTTACAACACCACAAACAAATTCACAGTGCCAAAAAAAATATAAAAAAACTCGCTCGGGAAAAAAAATGAGAACATCCCAAAATAATACGTTGGTTTTGGAAATAAAATCTGCAACACTGAAAAAATTTCTCAGAAAAGAAATTAATGACGGCAAGAAAAGAAGACATTCTTGCATAACACCAAAGTTAAAAACTTGCTGACGAAAAGAACAATCTCTTCAGCTTGGTATAGTTTGCCATTAATTAATTAAAGCAATTTCTGGGTAAAATACAAAACAACGAAGGGTTCCAATGTGTGTCATAAACCCCCAGAAAGATGTGTTTATTTTTCAAAGTATTGGCAATGAGGAACTGATTCGGAAGCATCCACTCCCAACAGGGTGAGAATGATTCCACAAAACATTTTATTCTGATAAGATTCTTTGAAGAAGGGAAGATCACAAAATCCCCGCCTGTCATCTGCACAATTAACTACATTTTATTAATGTTTCGGTACAAAAACAGAAGACAAAAACACAATTTATGAAATCAAACAGACACAAACATTTCATACAGGTAGATTCACTTCCTTCCCCCCCAAAAAAAAAGTGAACCACAAGTGCTGCTTCTGTATACCCAAATCAGAGAAATCTTTAAAAGATTCAATCGACTACAAATGAGAGTGGTGCCTTATGGCAACAGCAATGATCATGGTGGCTTCCGAGTCAGGGTGCATGACCAAAACGGTTGCCATTAAGAAATACATCTCAAACAGAGGTTGATCGAGACGCACACAAAACCAACGGCTACAATCCATACTCCAGACATCAGTAACAAAATATACCTCACCCTCCGATTAAACGAACATATACTTAGTCAAACCTAAGCAGCTGATTGTAACTTAGGGAAAAATATATATATAAACGGATCATCAAATTAAGCCTTCGCTCTGCTACTGTTAGAAAATTGTCAAAAAAGGAACAACTAAATGTTATCATGCTTCTAGCATTGATGCAACATGCACGGCTAACTGACTAATTAAGAAAAAAACTACATAATAAAATCACTATCCACTGGATTAGACTGGAAATCCTTGATGGACATGTGAGTAGATTACACCCCTCCCTCTCTGGTTGGCGATTTCAACAAGGCCAGCCCAGCAGTCAAAATAAATCAGGTGACTGTTTTTAACAGTTGAGTGCTCCCTGCCTCCATAAAGCAGGATTGACTGGCAGTGATTGTTATGAAACCTGATTTAGCTATGCTTTGACTGTAGGAGATTAAGCCAGCTGTGCCTACCGGTCACATGCTTGTGTCTGTTGATGGAATTTGACTATCCGTGCCTTCACGAAATATGATCTGACAGTTGGTGACTGGCCTATGCAAAAGGCATTGCACGGGAAATGGATTGAATTTGTGACTGTCTGTGACTGATCAAACAGAAGGAGGGTAGTAAGGTTCTGTAAACTTCAGAAAAATATGTTTTCAGTTAGAAATTTAATAACAGAAAAAACATATCAACATTTAAAATTGTTAGTGAGACTTTTTTTTAATAAAAAAAACAACAGGAAATGCAAAGCAAATGTTAGGATGCAAAAGAAACAAATGTTCTTGTACCGATGTTGCATTCACACACCTTTTGTTTTTGTTGTAACAATTACGATTCAGGAGTACGCAAAATCCTTTTGAATTAGTTCAGGTATGTAGGTGAACATAAATATTAAGAAAAAACCTCAAAAAGCTTTCAAAATATCTAGTAGAATTTAATTTGTGCAAACTTTCATACAACACAAAAATAGGAATCTGCAAAAAAAAAAAAAAAAAAAAATGGTGCCAAACTACACTATGTGCACCAAGCATGCACTCAAGAGACACAACACGTGATTGGCCATCTACAACTCATCTGCATGTTTCCAAGGCAACCATACTTACTCATACCCCCATGCTCTCATAGGTGTGCTGATCACATGTGGATGGGTCGGAGGCCAAAAGTTAACAGACAAAATTAAAGAGGGAAATAAAAAAAGAAGGCAAAGTTTTGATGTCGAGAAAAAATGGTGTCTACCATGCGGTGAATTAATACTAAGTACAAGTAAAGCTTGAAAATGATGGAATCGCAATATTAGTGCACGCTTCTCTACAAAAACAAAAACTAAGGCCAGCTACTAAATAGGAAGAGCTGAAAAAGGATAACTTTGATCGGATTTGTTGATTACCTCGACTCAAGACAAGTGACCTTAAAACAGGATTTTACAACGGCAAAAATGTACACACTTTTCTTTAAAGAAATACATTGCAGATGCCCCACCAGATCTAACAACATTCCCTTTGGAAGGACAAAGCTGCTATTAAATAGATCCAAAAATAGGTTTAACTTGTTCCTGGGAAATAAATCTAATTATATGAAGGATTCAGAGGTTGAACGCAATCCACATGTAAGGGTGATAGAAAATGATAATGTAAAGGGGGAATATTTATGGAACAATCAACTAGCAGAAGGTATGAGTAAGCAGGCTTAAAAAATCTAAATGTACACGCAGAAAAAGGTACCCCGGTACAAGGGCAAACAGGAATTATTCTAATTAAACATCTTGCGAGAAAAATGGACAGAGCAGTAGGTACTCTGTGATTTCGCATGATAGCCTCGGTATGGGGTACTGTAGTCTGAGGAGAAATGGTGACATACCGTAATCATAAGGCCAGGAACCAGACTTCCTGGTGCCGAAGCGTTCGCATGATAGTGATACACACACACTCTATGCATGGGATTGTTTTTGCCAAAAATTTCAAATTTCACATAAGTCCTCCGACGCGAACTGGTTAATTCACACCAACATCCTACTTAGTTTTAAGACCATGTCTGTCAAAATCCATCGCTCAGTCTGCTTCACATAATGCTTCAGGACCAAATCTATTGAAATCCACCACTGGTGCTGGTGGATTTTGATGGACTTGGTACACATGAACTATCTACCGAAATCCCCCAAAATGGGACGGAAGAGGGTTGATTTTGATGGAGTTGGTAAGGTTAGGACCCTAACAGGGTTAAGAAAACTTTACACGGAGCAACCAACTAACCAAAGACTCCCCTTCTCATGGAATTTAAAAAAAAAAGGTATCGAATGGAAAACATAAATAAATAATATAAATAAAACGGGTGTTGAAGGTTACCTCCCGACAGCCAATTTCAATCTTTGAACTTTGGTATTGATTTAAACAAATCCAAGATCATGATTGATTTGTAATTGTGATTGTTGAATGTGTTGTTTGTTTTTGTTTATTTGTAGATATACCAACGTAACCATGACAACTATCTTAAACAGCCATATTGGTGCAAGTTATACTGATAAGATACATGCATGTCTTTGTGAGGTTAAAAGTTCAGAAAATGCTATGCTCTGCTCTTGGAATTTTGGTTGCAGTTCCTGTATCGCCCAAAACTGCCCTGTCTGTTACTACCTGTCTGTTACTACCTGGTCACGGGGTGACCCTAAAAAAACGCAACCCTGAAACATTTGCCTTTTTTTCAAAAATCGTGATCGGTTAGTACACAATATCTTTATTAACAACCCTGCTTTGGCTACCATAAAACCCAACATTTTTTTGAAGACGGGCCTTCAAAAGGACTTTGTTAAAATATTTTAACTTTTAAACTGAGATGTGATCGCTGGTGATGTTTGAAAACAATTGTAACGACAATTCTTGAAATCACATTTCTGGACGAAACAGATTTTAGAGTCATTTCGTTTAAATGGTGACATAATTTGAACGGACTGAGCAATTGAAGTATTTTTTTCATCTAAAATTACGTTATTAAATTGGCTTACCAGTCATAATCATTTTTGGTGCTACTTATTTTTTTCAAATTTGAAATATTTCTTTGAGTTTGAGTTCCGCTTTTTTTACTCACCCTGTTTAATGTTTAAAATGTGTAATGATTTCCTAGGCTAGCAAGTGTCAGCAGGAACACTCATGTACCGGTTCAGACGACCGCAGAGACATTTCAGGGTTTTCGGGACAACTTACGGTTTTCGTAGTATCATCCTCATCATGGCATCCGGCCCGATCTGGGCGAGGACGACCAAGGTGTCTTGGAACTCATCCTCCGCTTCTTTCTTCTCAGCGTTGCCGGGCTGGCTGCCTATGCCCATGTCATCGTCACGGAAACGGTAGAACAAATATTTATCCTTGAAAGGATGTTCTCTGCAAACTGTAAACGAAATAGTAGTAATATACAAATTAAAACATCTTGAAAGTCAATAGAAATTCATGCAAAAACATCTGAGTTGATTAATAGACAAATCTGGTGGCAGCCATTTTCTGCGGTGGCACCAGCTCAGGGAGTACGCACGCACGCACGCACTCCTTCGACCAATAAGAATACCAAAATATGCGCGCCTCGTCATTAAGAACGCATGCAGCATGCTGGTGACATCACCGCTATAAATGCTTCTCATTCTGGTCGCAAAATTCCCTTATAGTCTAGCTCTTTCGAAACAATTTGAGACTAGACTAGTCCAAAAAAGGTCATTAAATGCAAGTTGACAAACGTATGCACTAAAACGATACCGGGACAAGACAGTTGTTTGTTTTACTCACCGTGCGTAATTACCCCTTCCTCCAAAAGCGCCTGCCACATTCCGACCGCCTGCTGCCGCGAGTGAACTAACGTCATTGGGCTCTGCTGGATCAGCCAATCCACCATCTCGGAACCCACGAGGCAGCGACGATAGGTTCGCAGGTGGTATTTACGATCCCGGATCATCTGTGGGGAGCGCGTTAAGAGGATGGTGCGTAGGACGAAACCTGCTCTGCTAAGACGCTCTGACGGGGTCTAGGGAAAAAGGCAAAGAAACATTGAGTTCGCAGTGAAAAATATTTTCGAGTGAAAATTGAAAAACAAATTTACGGCACCACCCTGGGGATTGTGATCTAATGCTAGTCCTGAAGGCAAAAAGAAGTGGGCAGATACAACACTGGTCGGTAAGGGACGGGAGATTTTAAATTGTTTTCAATTGTAAAAGGGCTCTTTTTTTTAAAAATGATTTAAAAAAAAACACCCACTAAAAATAGCTAAAACTGTATTTAACAATTAGTGGATTAAGTACCATCGACATCAGAATTTTCAATAATCGATATATCGTAAATAATCGATATATCGTGAATAATCGATATATCGTAAATAATCGATATATCGTGAATAATCGATATATCGATTGTCCCATGTAAAAGTTAATGACCATAAAGATGACACTTTGATTAAAAGAAAAACAATCTTAAGTCCCCATATTCCACGGCTTTCTCTTGAGCATATTGCTCAACTTTTTAAAACAAATCTCAGCACTCAGCATTTGTCCAGAACGGGCGGTTTCTTTTGAGGTACATTTGGGGAGACCGCAAATTCCAGCGAACGCAGAGTGAAAATCAACGCCACTTGGCATTTTGTGATGTTTTTATTTTTGAGTCACAAGCACAACTTGCCGCCGAGTTTTATTTCATTATACAGCAAACGCTAAACACAAAGTAAAAGCACAAACGGGAGATTAATTTTGACAATAATGTAATGCATTTTCGATATTTTTGATATCTTCCTCAATATCCAAAATTTCGATATTTCGATATGATTAAAAAATTGCTATCAGCAATATCGATATCAAAATAATATTGAATAATCCAGTAAGATCAATATCGACAATGCGTATAGTGGATACCACAATTTTGGAGAAAAACAAAGAATGCAAAGATAAAACATTGACATAGAAATATAATTATTTCTTGGAAAAAATATTTAAATAAGAATAAGTAAATAAATGAACAAGGATGATTTAAAAAAGAACAGTTAAAAAAAAAACCAAAACAAATAAAACACCCCCCCCCCAAAAAACACATGAACACCCCCCCCCCCAAAAAAAAAAACACCATTAAACAAATAGCCTGTCACTGAAATATTAATTGGGCCACAAATCACCCAATATTTTATGGCAGGCCATAGCACGGCTAATATATCTTAACCATATTAGTCTGACTGCATTATAAGCTGTCAATCCAGTATGGCCGATAATCACTCATACCAGATATCCCCTGGGAAATATTCAACTCATCACATATTCCTCCGAACTGTCCTTTGTTAATTCTGCGATCTGCAGCGAAATACACGTGTTTCTTCATTCGAAGACCTTCAGGTTTTTTTCAGTTCTGTCAGTTTTACATTTTTATATATTTTTTTTTTAGAATTTAATCAGGAAGAAGCATTCTGGCGAATCACGTAAAGGCCTTCGTCAGAGATCTTGGCCGGAACAAGGTCCTGACTGATGTTATGTCAACGGACGGAGCTAGGCACGAGGTCCAATTATAAAATGGCTGACGGTGACAACCTGGGACCTCGCATGAGCCTGTATCCGACTCCGATTTAAATTCGGAATTCTTTACTACATAAGAACAACTCTACAAAAAGGAGTCGGATACCTTGTAATTGGTTAGGTTATGAACACACATCCAATATATCCGTAATTTGAGTGCATTTTGAGATTGTGTCATCTATCTTGAACTGTCATTTGCTAAATGAGGCTCCTTGCATTAAGTTAGGAGCCAAAAAGAAGAGAACATATTTTAAAAAAATGTGTATGCCGATTGAGAAATTGCCACTAAATATAAATGACATTGTATTTCATGACGATGGAATTGTGTATAGGTTCCGCACAATTTACTTAAAAAGCAGAGCATTCATTGAGCTGAATATTTCAACGTCATATATTATGCCCTCTTCCAAATATCAATATTTAAAGAGTTGATTGGCGCAAACGACAAAGAACTCACAGCAAAGTAAACAGGGTTATTGGTAAATTGATTTGTTCATGTACATGTAGCTATGATTCTGTAATTTAGTTACATAAAGTACCTCACCTACCGGTATGTCATGTTTTAATTTGAAACGAAAATCAAATCAAAAAGCTCTTATTTTGTCCAGTTAAAAACACACACACCAAAACAACAACACAGAAAAGCAGGCTTATACTGCCACACTCTATCACTTCAGAAACACATCATTAATACCATATGGTTAATTACAATAAACCGTGGCCAAACCACATCTACGGTATCGTTCATTAAATTGTAACCGAACACCCAACGAACTAACGACCTATCAAGGGTCAACTCCATTTTTTTCCAAAGGTCAATTACTCCATCTTGAGTGGGGAACCGGCGCAAGCGGATTCTACAACAATGACGCCGAACCGTTTCCGCTCAGATCCCAAGTGTCACTTCAAAAAGCTTTTGTTCAAATAAATTGCGTCTACCGACGTGCAAGCTCGCGCAAATAATTTGATTCATGGGAAACAATCCACTGGTATCCCTGGAAACGCAGCATTTTATTTGTGTGGCTTCTCATTTAACCAATTTGGCAATCTGGGCAATTACGGGCTGGTACCCAGGGACCACTAATGCAGAGTGGAAAGATTAGGCTTCCCAGGAGATGGGCCGCCATACTAAAAGAAGAATTGGAATGAGTTAATGGTCAATCAATTTAATTAGGTTCGTAACGAGCCAAAGATATAAGTTATCACACATTTAAAACCACACAGTTTCCCTTCTAAATAAAATCAGAAATAACTGCGAGAGCCTTTTTGATAATAGGAAGGAAATTAATTACTCGAAGAATCTAGAAATAAGCCATTTGCGAGTAACCTATACCCTTTGGGATTTACATTTGAAAAGCATCTGGTACACTGACTTGCTCAGAATGCTTGGCACATTTTAACTTTGAATTCTCCAGACCAAAGACACGGTTGCTGATCACATGATTTGGGGCAAGCTCTTGTATGGTTACATAAGAGACGCTCAGCACCAATACATTGTTCACAATGGGTGAGAATGGCACAAAGACACCAGACCATGCCGGAGCAGGGGGTTGCTAGCATAAGGCTTGCCCCAAATCACGTGATATAGTAACAGTCTCTTTGGTCGGGAGAATGCAAACTTAAAACGTGCAAAGCATTGGATTAAGTCAGCGTTCCAGATTTTATTCAGATTTAACTTGCAAAAGGCTTATTGGTTGTCCCGTCAATTACAAATGAATAATTTGGTACCGCACAAATGGACCCACAGCTAAAAGCCTTTACGGTCAAGAGATAATTGTTTGAAGAAAATAGAAAGCCTCAGCTAGAATTATTTCAATTATATTTTTCTGGCACTGCCAAAAAAAAAAAATTTACAAAGAGAGCGAAAGTGAAATCCTTAGCAACTGGCGGGCTTCGTCTAGGAGTAGCAAGAATTCTCCCGATGACATAAATGGAATTAATCTAAATATAGATCAGGAACTCGTTCCCAACGTATCGGATGCCGATGCCGCGGTATTGATTATGGAAACAAAGATCAGGGTTTAATGTCTGCGGATCTCCAGCTAAATCAATTACGCGGACGACAGTCCGGTCGGCCCTTGGGAGGACAGTAGGCTCATGAATCTTACAGTGGCGTTGATTCGCATGATACCGTTAAATTAAGAGAATAAAATGTGAAGCAAGCTTTTATTTTAGTTTATTACATTATTTCTATGAAAACACTCCAAAACATATCGCTATTACGCAAATAATGATGATGAAAAATGTACCAAAATTGCTTCACCAAGGATTACCACGCCCACTTGGGGTCAACATGCAAATTGAGGTCAAAGTAATACATGACTCCACCCAGCTGAAGGGTGCTGCGCATAGCACTGCATCCCGCTAGTAATAACAATTAAGTACCATCAATTTGTCTCCAACGCATATTGCTCAATAAATTTATGACCAAATCGGCCAAGAGCCAAAAATCTATAGTAATCTACATTTTAATTAAACACCAGTATTTAACACTGCACAAGAAAACAAATAATAAAACAAAATAAACACTTCGCTTCAACAACAGTTGTACAGCTATAGTGGTTTAGCATGTACAAATATTGACTGTTTTGAGTGGTACAGTAGAACTAGCCTCTTGAGGTTTTCCGAAGATCGTTTTTCAGAGGCTGGCTGGAATTTTTTTTCAATTTTTTTTTGGGGGGTGGGGTTATCTTACCTTTACAATAGGAAGGGCTGGATGAATGGGTTCGGCCCCTTCATGTGTTCTTTTTGATGAACTCTAAAAAAAAAAAAAAAAAAAAAAAATGGAAATTATTTTCACACGTTTGCTTCTGCAAAATTCCCATAACGTGAAAACACTTTGAGATTTTAAAATTATTAGACTTTAGCAAGATAAAAAACCAAGCCCTGTATATTGTGGAACTGAATTTATCAAACTTTGGACATTTCAGTGCGGTATTGTTTTGTGCCACTCAGCGTAACACAAACACAACCACATGGGGTTGTTGTAAAGTGCAATGTCACCAAATAGCCAAATTTCACCATGAAGGATTTCTGGTGAAATTTTCTCAGGAAAACTTCTTTAATTTCCGAGAAATGAAATGTCAGACATGAGATGTTACCCTAAATGTTCTGGATTCAGAGCATAATACATTTGAACTAGATGCTATATTTATCTTTGGTTCAGTGCACCTTGGCAAGAACGCTGGTACAAACACACAACGACGCTGACGGCGACGAAAACGACCGTGAAACCAACAACAAGACAGCTTGGGTTACATCCCGCCAATCTCGTTGAAAAAAAAAGCTTGCACAAAGGCCTTGTGGGAAATCAAAGAGTGGGCTCGGACGGACAACAGCCGCGGACAAATCTGGGGCTTCGCTGATGTGTGGCCGTCGGCAGTTCCTGTTCGTTTAAATCTCAAGCGAACAAAAGATACAAGACAGTCGAGGGAACACGCCAGGCCGGTCTGCTGAATTTTACATCTCCCTCCTTTTTACCCGGAGGGTTGAAACTCAGAATTGTCATACAATTCAAGAAGATAACGGGATAGGACAAGAAAAAAAAATGCTCAGGTGATATTGTGATAAAATCTTCCCACGTGTGGTAAAGGGAGAATTCTAGTCGAAGTGAAAAACAATTTTTTTTCCTGGCAAATAAACAAGGGAGTTTCACTTTCTGACATTCAATATTTTGATAGTTAAAGTTTGAGCCACTCAGATACAAGGTACCGTAAGTGAGAGTTTTGCAGAAGTTGTTTTTAATTGAGGCCAGTCAGCTCGTGTTGCGTAACTTAAACTCACAAATTTTTAGAGTGCAAAAAATGGTACTGCTTTCTGTTTGGGCCTTGGGTATTTGTAAAAGTTCAATATTTGTTGCTGTTGCATCTAATAGGAGAAAATTACATATATTTCTCACAAAGTTCGAAATCTAACGTAAAAGCCTGAAAAAATGTATAAAAGTAATCTTTAACAAACTGTAACCTTTTTAAAAAATAAATTTTACTTCAGTTATATTTTTGATATATATCAGCAACTTGGGTGAAATGGCCAGGGAAAAAAAAATTTCAAACGGCAAAACGTATTGAATCTGTTCCAAACCCGTGTGGTTTATTGAATGTTCAATTAAATTAAAGCTAACTTCTCACTTAAGTAAATCAAAAGATAACTATTCAAAATGGACACAAAAAGCAAACAGGGACAGCACCTTTAAGACAGCTTTGAAACAGCTTTTATTGCAGCGAGTGTGACATTTACCCGGGGATAAAAGCTAGCTCTAACTTCGTCTTTGCTTAAGAAGCTGGAACAAAAATAAATGTGACCCCAAACTACCTCCCCGCAGTTAGGAACGTGATAGGGATTGATTCTTAAACCTGACGGTCTAGTAGGAGGGGGAATTTAGCTGGAGATTTTGTTTCAAGACGTGCCAGCGATTTTTCATTTAAACTTTGTCTGACGGAATTAGGAGGGAGATGAAGAGATTGAAAATGTCCGCTGAGAGGCAGGAGTAAAAAAAAAAAAAGAAGACATAAGACTTGATCAGAAAGAGAGAGAAAAAAGACAGGGGAAAAAAAGTATTGGGTCAATCTTTTTGCCGAGCAAACAAAAACCTAAATACAGCGCACCAAGACAAGTGAATGTTGACAAAACTTGAATTTAGATTTTAACCTAAAAATAATTACTGCCTGACAACGACCAGGGCCCAATTTCTTGGCTCTGCTAACCAAAGAATTCCGCAGAAAAATTCTGTGCTAACCCTGTCAGCATAGAATCCTTAGTTACGGGTTATACGCATGCGCAGACGCCAACATTCCTCGCTAACCCGTGAAATACGCTTACCGTAAGCACAGAATTTTCTGCTACAGTAAGCAGGGATTTTTCGCTTACGGTAAGCCATGAAATTTGGCCCAGATTTTCAAATGTTTAATTTTGCAACAATGAAAACAATTCTACTTTTTTTTTACATTCTTAAGAAAAAACAAAGGTATCTCAAGAACTGAACATTCAGTATTGGATGTTGAAAAGATCCCCTCTTTGGCTTAAAAATTATGTGTTTTCTTGGTTCTCTAGGACATAAGAAACTTTGATTTTAGTTTGCCTTTTCTCTCCCACGGGGATCACTGAGCTTCTTAAGATTAGCGACTATTCATTCATCGGCCATCAGAAGATGAAATGTCACCCCACAGGAAATCTTGGGCTAGGTTTCAAACTTTGAAGGAGCATTACTTTTCTCCGGAATCCTCCCGAGTGATTTGTGAGAAACCGAAAGCCTTACGCGATAAAGAGATTTATTTCTCGGCTTTGTGCCGTGCAGGAAGTGACACGTGTCCATTACACAAAACTAGGCTACGGGAATTGAGCCTCAAAAGGGGCAATGAAGCGCTAAGAAATGGCAAGAAACAAGTCTCGTCATGCAGGAAGTCTAGCAGACATGGCGGGGGTATATGATACAAAGTGAAGAATCTTTTGGGATCATGTCCGCGAAGGTTTAATCAAGCCTGCAAGCTGAAATTTTAATTGTACGTGCCACATACAAAAATAGTTGAATACAAAAGAGGGAACTGAGAGGCGAGACATTGACGGACGGTGGCAGGGGTGGCAACTTTTGTGGATCTGGCTGCTTTATAGACTAATTCGGTGACACCCGTATTCTAAGGCTCGCACGAGTCATGCTCCTTCGACCAATAGTGTTACCAAAATGCTCAGGTGCATGGCTTTATAAAGAACCAGTCCGGCATGCATGCGAATGTTGTGCAACCTCAATCAAGCTTCTAATTTTGTGTGCTGAATTAGTCCACATGATCTTTAAATTGAAAGTTAGGCTGCATCCATACTTTGGCAACGGCTAGAGACTACACATGCATCTATGGAGGACCCTGAAGCTACCATAGACATATATATATTATAACTAGCCATAGTCACATAATTCAGACATGGCTGAATGGACTTACCGGACCAGACATGCTATCAGATCTGTGGTACGTCTGATGGTGGCTGCTGATGCCTCGATTGGTCAAAGCCTCTGAAAAATCAGAAGAAATTAAACGTTTAAAACTGTTGGAAGAAAGCGTTGTAGTTGAGGGTGCCAGCTGTCTACTGAGTTCAAGAAAAGTTGAGAAAGAGTCTACTAGTAAAGGTGAAGAGTAAATGAGAACAACTTTCTGAGTGGGAATGCGAGTGAATGTGTGACTACTTGATCCACAGTGTCATTTGCCAGCAGGGCTGGGTCACTTTTACCAGAGGGGCTAGGTGGCCATCGATTGCTGATTTCAATCTGATGTTTATTGGCCGTGGGAGGGAGGTAGTCTGAGTATCACCCGTTATCCACGGAGCCAAGTCCTGTATAACGTCTGATATGTCTAGACATGCAGATATATGCAAGCCGCGCGCCAGCTAATCAAAGTCGACTTTACTAAATCGTGACGTCTTTTCATTCCCAAAACAGGACTAAAAGGTTTGATTGGTCAATTCGAATGCAGTGTTTTGTAATACACAAACAGCCGGGCGCAATATCACGTAACATGATACAGAGCGCGTGACACTTTTTTTTTTATCCATTGTCCATGATGCACAACGGGTGAATGACCGAGGACTCGATACAAAAAGCGCCCGCTGATTGGTCAAAATCTAGGAGGTCAAGAGGCGGTATCTTGCCTAATTAATCAGTGAAACTGCATACGCCGTGGTCTATTACATAGACTAGGAGGGAGGGGGGGTGGGGGAGGCATGTTTTGTCCTTGATTCACTGATCATGTACATGGGACTGTGGGAAAACTTACGATTTGGTTGACTGGTGGAAGCGGGGTTGACGATGGAAGGCACAGAGAGAGGATTGGGCGCAAGGATTCCTTCCATTAGTTGCCGATTCCTCTGGAGAAAACAAAAATTCGAAAAATAAAAATATGATTCTGTATCCCACAGATTATCAGTAAATTGAGTGACTACTGGAAAGAGTTTAACCAGTTTGCGCCGGGGTTATTTTGACATTGACAGGACCTAGGCGCTGGATTGTTTTTCACAAACCTCAATGCCAGACGAGTTCAGGCCGTCATCTGTGGGTAGCACACCCTGATATTTCCGGCCTCGCTGGCTGTGAGCGGGTCACAGACAGATATTTCCGGCCTCGCTCGTTGCGTGTTTATCCGTTATCCGTTACGAATACCGCAAAACCTTTGCGTGTATGCACGTCATCCGACATGAACTGGTTAAAGGGCAAACTAGATTACTAGAATGACCTGCAAGAAATGCTGAAAACGAAGAGGCTTGACAATTTGGAACTACCTGTAGCACGCTCTCTGTGAAAAGTTGATATCTTCAGATGAAACAAACTCACTTAAAATAAGGATTCAACTCGAATGAACAATTCAAGTTGCCCGTCAGCCGAATGGTGTTAAAAATGACCACACACAAAAAAAGAACTGTGTAGGTTATTAACCACAATTTAGATAAAGAAAATTTGAAGAAAACAACAAGTTGTTCAAAGAATGACTCCACACTTTTGAAAACCTGTTTGGAATTGAACGTGTTGATCAAAATTTATTTCGTTTCCACGACTACATGTATGTTCTCGTCTCTGTATATTACTCAAATTTGCACTTCCAAGGGGCTCGCTGGCTGAATGAGCGAAACATGAGCTATTCTTTGACAGGTATTTAATCGAAGAGAAACGTTCAATGTCTAGTAGGGGGGGGGGGTAGGTGTAATGTAATACACAACCCATCAGGTCAAGAATTCTACTATGCAATATCGCATGTCCATCAAATCCCCATGTGAAAGATAAAAAAATGTAATCTGAGTTTATCACATTCAGTATAAACACCTCCCCCCCCCAAAAAAAAAAACACCCTGAACACAAAATAAAGTTAATTTGAGCTTTCAAGTGCCAAAACACAAACATTGTATAATTTATAAATTTGACCTGCTGCTTTTTTTTTTTAAACCATCTTTCAATATTGGATACCTGCAGTATTTAAATTCTTGAGAATTATCCAAAAGATTAAAATGTAAAGCTTGACTGACAACCATCACATTTTTTTGAAGTCATTTCTTGCGTTTACATCCTAAAGGTGACATTTGCCAATACAAGGGGAAACATAACTCCGGCACTTTCATCTTTTTTTTTCATCTTAACTCTGTACTTGAGAAAAAAAATCTGTGGATCAGAAACTAAAATTGCAAGTTTCTGAGGTGAGTGAGTCCTTTCCAAACTTTTGATCTAGACGGATTTTTGTATTGTCTACGGGCCAGTGCCAATCCCTGCTTGATTTCCCTAAGGGTACGTACACATTCTCATTTGGAAACTTAAAGTCCACACTTTTGGAAACTGTGACAAACAAGTTTGTCAGAAACCACAAGGGGAGAATCCCACCCACACAGGATTGGATAAAAGTCCACCGCGGGGGAAAACCGCGCCACAATTACTCTTCCTCGACAGATCACTTTCCTCAAAGATGACTCTCTAGTTGCCATGGTGACACTACATCCTGCATTGCCATCTCCCACCTGACAAGTTAAAAATCTATACCCCGAAGTAAGATTACCGTACCGCCGATTTTATCTGACCCGGGTATCGCCGGATTACTCTCCATTTTCTCCAGAGCTCTCTCTGATCTTGTTGTTCAAATAGAAACAAGTGACACGTCTCTGTCGAATGGAACAGCGGTTTTTAAAGGGACACTCTCCTCGAAGCGGATGTGTTGAGAGTGGATGTGTTGAGAGTTGATTGTGCGAGTCCGGGTGACCCTTTATATGACCCCTCTCAAATTTGCCAGGGTGGCCTTCTCCAGACATTTTGTTCTTGTTGGCTTAGGAGACTCAGGTCATGCATGTGAGTAGATGAAAATAATGTATTTGGTCAAATTGTGCCTGAGATCTTTACATAGTTTGAGTATAATTCTGAATTTCAATGTTAACAGTATGTTGGAAAGGACAATATTTTTCGGCACTAAAAAACAGTGCCATCTATTGTACAGCCGGCAATCCTGTCCCCCATTTTTTGATTGAAAATTGGCACTAAACTTTTCGGTTTACCAATCCTGGTTCCCTTTTACAATGATTTTTTTTTTTTCAATTCACGGCTGTCCCTTCTTTTCTCAGTTTGAACGCTACTGCTCTGATACAACTAGGGCTTGCAAGTCTGGTCTACAGATCATGGCACTAAACCTCATTAAATGTTGTTTAGAACAATCATAATCATCAATCATACTCATTCTGCTGAACAGTGGCAGCGAGTAAATTGATGAATGCGGAACGTCAACCGTAATTAAACTGCACGGCACACGTGTGGACCTAGGCATGATTACGTATTCTGAATATACTTACATGCGTAGCAAGCACTAATGGATTAATTGATCTTCTAGGCTTACTGTAAATTAGACATTGGATTGGCTGACACCTTTGCCAATAAGAATTAATGAATACTTAACTGAAGCTAGTGGGTGATTGTACTTTATATCCAATCATTCTTTGTTAAAACAAGGATTGATAGAATGTAGTGCGTACGGTCCAATTTTAAGGCAATTTACACAAATGTATCACTGATGCGCATTTCTTCCTAACTCATATAAAATGGTAATCTATACATGTACATGTAGAAGGCATCAATCTGAGACCTGTAAATTGCTTGAAGACGTTAGGCTCGCAGAATCTGAAATAGAGGTTTGTAATAATATTACCTCGATTTTCTCAAACCACACACTTAAAAGGTCTAACAAATAAGTCTTTTTCTGACAAAGTTTATTCCATTCAAATAAATTAAAGAAATGTCTGAGCAATTTCTCATTCAAACTTGTTATGTTATTGTTATTATACCTTCAAGTTTCCAGTACACAGTAAATTCTTATCTTCGACATCATCATGGTTTTCATAAATGTACAATTTTATGACATGCATTTGTGCGGGGTAAATTTAAATTCAACAAAATGATGTCAATTTTTCTTTTATAGCTAGTCATCACTTTGTTTGAGTGTCACATGATAACACCCATAGAGCTGCCTAACGGTCTCATTCATTAGAACATAACTATGACTTATCAGGCTATATAGGTAGCAGACCAGTATAAAATAAACTTCCATAGGCCCCAATGGTAAATGCTCCCACTTCAAAAATTCGAGAAAAATACTCACAACTCTCCAAGGTGTTCGAGACACACATCAAATTAAAGCTTATTTCATCATCTTTCATTTTCTTTTCAATTTTCGGGGGGTCAACTGATGACTTTTAGGAGAAATTTCCATCTGAAGACGATCACCCCTGAAAATAGTCCTGAAGCCCATCGCCATTTTGAAAAACGATGCCTACACTCCATTGCAAAATAGAGCGCTTTTAGGGTCCAAATTACATCCAAATTACACAGAACTGCAAGCTCCCAGTCCTGTGCACGGCTTCCACCCATATTTTTTACAAACCCTCAAGTTCATGGCCCACATCATGCTCAAATACTGAAGATTTTGAGGGCATGCAAATCGTGATTTGGCCGGCGTAGGCAATTTCGGACTGATTTACTGGTCTGCACCCATAAGCACCAATCCCATTATAGACAACTACATGCTGATCCTGTTATGCATGCATGGGTGTCCTCATAAGGACATGCATACCCCTGAGCTGTTTATGTGAGTTAAGGATTAGCCTATAATCTCATGGGAATACAGATTAAGACTTGTTAATAGGGTCACTTCGGGTCAAGTGTTCACAGACTGGGTTTAATTATCAATCTAGACACACACACACACATGTATGAGTACTACCAGTACCTGCAATGCTTAATGGATACATTCATTTTTTTGATAAATTTTACGTGATTAAACTAAAGAGACTTACGGTACATGTAAAGGTAGGGTAAATCATTTGTCATTTGTGCAATTTCATTTAAGCAACAACAGCGCTCAAAATCTAAAGAAGGGTGCTTAAAACAACCTACCTCATGAGCTTTTAGCTCTGTGAATGCTGCGTATTCTGAGAAAACAATATTTTAGGATCTCGGTTTCACTTCAAAAGTTAAATTCTGAGTCATGTTTAAATTGCACCCGAAATCAGCGTTCGGGACACGTTCTCATTGTGTCAACGCCTGTGCACAGCCATTCACGGCTTCGCCGCATTTAAAAACGAAATACTAACGGAAATTTCCAAAAATGCCTCTTTATATAAAAACACATCTTTTGAAATGACCTTCTTTTATTGTGTTCTTAAAAATGACAGCATGCAAGAAAAGAATAATTTCACAGGGAGTTAAGTGCCATTATCATCTTTAAACCAAGTACCGGTACCAGCATGCCTTACAACAATAATTTTGTCAGCTACTTTTTGGATCTAGCTGCAAGTGATGTTCTCTACCGTTCAGGTCAAAAGATGTAAGCTTTTTGTAGGAACATAAAAAAAAGATGATTTCCTCCAAAAGCAATAACCAAATTGCAAAAGATGATGCATACTCAAATTCACAACTCACAAATTAACGCCGTTTCACTCTGTCGCTTTCTTCAATCTCCCCCTCCCCCATTAGTCAAAACCTGGCAGCCTCTCTGTCAACAAAAGCCGAACCAACATTAATCACGCAATTTAAACCCTTTGTTTGCCGAGCATGCCCACCGTTGGAGGTTCAAAGCCTAACAGGCGGGAAAATGAAAATACAAAATGTGGAGCGCGGGACGTCGCTTTCCGAGCGACCCCATTTATAACAATTTGGACATTAGCGCGTATGTATGCTTTTTATAGGACGACGTGTGCACAATTTCCAATCATTGCTGGCAACTGCATTGCTCCTTGATGCGGGCATGAACGTAAATGACAGGTCCAGCAACGTTATTGTCAACTTGCATTAATAGCGGACATACGGACATAAGCGCATTGTATTCGGTTACATGAAAGAGGCCAGAGCTTTATTTCACATTTGTCACTCAAAATCTCCAGTTATTTTCAGCAAGCTTCATGTTTTTCTTATCGTCTCCACCATAAACATCGCTTGAGCAGATTGCGGTCAAATTTATTTGTCTAATTATTTTGGATGATTCATTCGTCCACATGGCATATGATGGAACAAGAATCTCCTCAAAAAACTCGGTCAATATGTTGGCTCTAAAATATTTATGCTTTTGTTGTGCATTCATGTGTGCCACAAAGGCATCTATCTTTTGGAGGTTACTTTTTCAAAATATGCTTCAGTAAATTTCTTTGTCTGACCGAATATACATGTAGCACCATCGCGTAGGAACCTTTCTCAACAACACTATACGTAGAGAAACCTGCACCCAGGAAAACTGCCATTATTTAATCAACCGACATACTAATGGGAAAATTTGTATTTTAACGACACTCTACACCACGCGTGTGTTCGTAACGTCTCAAATATCTGCAGGCATTGCCAAAAGGGCAGACAATCCGGAAATGAAGAAAACGGCGACTGCTCGCAAATGTTGGCTCAACCTGCTTGGGTGGGGGAAAGACAGGTGGTATCTTGAAAGAGAAATCAATGAAGGGACGGGACGAGACATTTAGGTACATGTGTCGCTCTGTGTACATCGCTAACGAGAACGCAGAGAACCCACACAGGATGTCATTATGCAATGCAATTTCCCTAATAGCCACTGCGTTTGCTGTGAGGTTCACAATTCAGCTATGCAAATAAAATGTATTGCATATATGTGTACACTCTTTTGGCTTACAAAATCTCCTGCAAAGCGAAGGATCAACATTTAATAAAGATCTACCAAATAGGGAGATAAGAGGTTTATTTACGGATGGAGTCCCGATACGAGAATAATTCTAATTACACTATTTTTGTTTTTACTTAAATTTTCTCTGGGAATGTTTCAGAATTCTCACAATCTTAACACTGACAAGAAGATGGCACGATTTTTCTGCATAAAAACAATTAGGCATCAAACCTCAAATTAGAAAAAAAGTGGTTAGGTTTGATAGTTGCAAAATGAGGCTATAAACTGATAACTTGACAAGCAATAATTGAGTATCGTTAAAATGAGCAAAGTAGAACATGTATAGTACGCACTTCAAGGAAAATGGCTTAACCCTAGCAGCACTCTTAGTATATGGACAGACAATAACTTGTGCGCTATACACTGACAAACTGTAAGCTCCATCGTACAAAAAACACAGACATTTTTCAACAAAGTTTCTGTGTTGACCAAGTCTCCCAAAAGCCGATACCCAAAGACGTCAAACTTCAGTCAAGATAATAATGCGAGATCTACGATGCTGGTTAGTCATTACCTGGTTAAGAACGGAGCTCTAGTACCCTCAGGTCTCGTTGCGGGAAAGAACACATTTGGTATACAAGTATACCAGTCAGGATTCCGAAAGAAATCAGGTCTTCGATGAGAAGAGACAAGATGAAGTGAAACGAGGGAAGCCTCGTGAGTGGTTGCCATCTCAGTATGAGAGATGGACTTGTTATAAGCACTTAGAGGCACTCTTTCCTGTGGTGTTAAAATTGCGGACGGCTACGCCAGACACGCGCACCCACGGGCAAAGCCAGTGAGCCAAAGGGATGCATTAGCGAGCATTTATTTGGATTGCGACCTGCCGCACTGGAATACAAAGCGGCGATCGGCTTAATGAAGTGTCAATCTGCTGTTGTTTTTGCTCCGAGACGCAGTTGCTGGCTGAGTATACATTTTGCTAAACCTCAAAGGCAAAGGGAAGCTGCTGAAATAATATTATCCTGCCAAGTCACGCCTCTTTATTACTAAGTCAACATTCACTGTTCTTTCAGCGTGGAAGCAAAAACATCAAGATTGAAAAAGACTTCGAGTTTGGTACACGCTTTTCCCTGGATAACAAATTTCCACTTTATATTGTATTGACATAACTTCTGGCAGTGCGCCTTAAAAGAAAACAGGAACATTAATTTGCTACGGTAAATACTGCCACCAAAGCATCTCCCTGACAACACATCTCCCACAAATTTTTGCAAACAGTATCCAGAAGGAAATCCACGGTTGGAACACTTTCGCTAACAATTTTAGGCAATGAATTCCACTCTTGTCACAAAAGTCCCCCCAAATTTTCAAACCTGCGTGACCCAAAGCCTAAAAATATTACAACTTCGGAATTCTGCATTATATCAGTCGAAAAAATTCAGGACTTCTGCAAATATTTAAACTTGCCCGCCTACCTGGATTCTGTCCTCAGTTCCGCCCAAATCTTTATAAACTCCCGGCATTGTCGCGACTGCGGCCTCAATCTTCAGATCGTACGACGAGTGTCGACGCGAAGTGATGGCAGCCACCAAACTGCGCCTTGCCCCGTTCACTCGGTCCAGAGCGCCCCTTTTCAAGCTCATGATAAAATACGGCTTTTGTACGAATCTATGCCAAGGTCCATTTTTGCTTGTTTCAATCGAAACCTACTCAACAAAGCTGTATCCTGGAGCGTTCTTCCTCATTTCTGAACAACAAAGTCAAACCTTCCAGCAATGAGAAACCGAGAAGACAAATAGAAACTCTTTCATTCAGTCCAGAGGCATAGACAAGGTTTCTGTTTGTTTATTTTCCCTGACAAAATAAAGAAAGATGTCACGGAACTGGCTGGTTTTCAAAGTTCTGTTGACAAATATACGAGGTGGCAACATTTACCAGCGATTCATTTCAGTTGATTGGAAAAGCTGAATAGCGTAAAGTTTAATAACACTGAGTAATGTGTACTTTGACAGACACACCAGTTTTACGATTTGCACAGGAAGATTGGCCTTACGATAACCAACTTGCCTGACATCGCTCTATTTGCTGACTGCATTTAATGCAGGCATCTAACCCACTTCAATGCTGATCCTACGACGAGATAGCCACTGGTGGTCCAACAAGGAAGCTTCAGCCGAAAAAATAGTTTCAACTTTAGAAGTCAACTGCACGCACAATAGATCGACACTGAGTTTTTGACACCAACATATTCACATGATACACGCTTCAATACCTTTTACAAAAACAGTTTGAATAGAACCAGTTACGCCCCATTTCCAATGCTTACAAAATGTTTTCAAAACCCAACATCACCAGTTAGAACTTTCAATTGTGTTCAACAAACAATTTCCAGAAATCACAGACATTGTTCCCTTCCCGAATGCAAGGCATCAATGGCACTCCTAAAATAATCTGAACAGAGGCTGCGCCACTCCTTTTAATTTTTTTTACTCAATGCAGGTGACAGCAACATGGATCGATGGGGAAAAACTAAATATATTACACAAATGACAAATGAAAAATAGGAACAAATGTAACTAGAAATATGTTTGTGGACAAACACCGCTGTTCCGGCTGTTTGAAATGACTCTGTGATGACGTCATCATTACGTCACTTCAAATTTCATCTTCATCCCGGTTTAGGTATATTTACCAAGTTACAATCAAATCGGACCTATAGTTTTTACATAGGCCTTAGAAGAATACCGGGTCGATACAGGGTCTTGAAAAATGCACCTTTAATGTGACGTCACATGACACACGATGACATCATCCTGATGTCAAGGTTCAGAACACATCTGCAGGTGGCTGTCAATGTCTGTGCCAAGTATCAAGTCACTTAGTACTCAAAAGAGAATTGTTAATTCCTTAGAAAGTTTACTTTACTTTCAAATGTTTGCTCTCACCTCCCAAATCATCTTGAAATCTTTCTGTTCCACTCTGAGTAGCTCACAGAACTCGCTGGTGATGACGGTAGCGTGCCGTGGCGAGTCGTTCAGAACCGATTCGCCGAATGCTGTACCAATGCCTAACGTGCATATCGTAACCGCCTCCTGACAAAATATTAAAACTGTGTAAATTTCTCCTTTTTGGTTAAATTCTACACGATTTGTTTTTATGTGTGTTTATACTTAGTAAGTAACAGTTATCGTTCACAGTCTGTTTTGTTATGCATGACGTAGGTTGCGAGGTCACCATGAGGGCCCACGACCTCTTTGGGGTGGTCAAGAGAGCGGAGGGATTAAGCCACAACACTGAATGCAGAGGTCATGACGACCTCGCAAGCTACATCATGCTTAACAAAACAGACTCTGAAAGTTAACTATTATTTCTGTCAATATGACAGAGTCCAATATCAGTTTCCATGCGGCTAAAATGCACATACTGCAAAATAATTTTACATTCCAAATTTCATTTTTGTATAAAACAATTCTGTCACTTTCCTTTTTGTTTTTTTTTACCAACAAATGTTTTTTTTCAAACCAACCTTTGTATTTCCAATTTCTCTGTCGCTGACATTCACGTCCAACGTTCCTGAAAGTACAGCGTACCAGTTGGTGCCGATGTCTCCTTGTCGAAATACTGCGAGGCAAAATAGTAATCAAGTATATGAACACAGTGTTAATGCAATGAAGCCTCTCCTTGCACAGCCCATTAACACTGTAAGTAGGCCATCAGCCTCGGTCCAAAATTTTGGCCACCGGTATCAAATGAGGGGAATAATCGTCATAGCGATTTTTGGCAAGATATACATGTACACCTCCAGAATTGGAAAATATGTGATAGCATTGCAACGGTGGCAGCTTTTTGGGTGTTATCACCCTTTTTTCCAAAATGGCCATCAAAATGCTTGTTACCACTCTAGGGGCGGTATACCTTGTGCATGCGCACTATAATCATTTATGCCCTGATTTGATACTGACCAAACCCCCAGGCTGACGGCCTAAAGTAGAGATTGACACTGAAATATTTTGACACTGTAAGTAGAGATTGACACTGAAATATTTTGAAAATGAAAGAGAACAAATTAGTTGTACGGTATACGTATCGTGATCTTCAATACTAGATCTTCAATCTAATATCAGAGCTACAATTTTGCTGTCGCGCTTGACAAAGAAAATGAAATAGATCGATGAGAAATTAACGGAGATTGGGTTGTAAATTGCACTGTGTACGGTACTTGTCACATCCAGCAAAATCATCCAAAACTCTTGAAGGTTTTAGGACTGAAATTTCTGTACGTTGATCATGTTGATGAACACCTTCATGGTACTGCCTTCAGATTTTACTTGAAACAATCTAGGTCCTTCATTTTCAGAATTTGTAAGAGCATTAAGGGCCCTTTCTTGAATTCATCTTTTACATAATTTAATACGTACACAACAGAGCAATTGTTGTTGACAAATACAATACAACTTTAATTCGACTCTCCTAATCGACTTGATTAAGATGTAATGTATCGAAAATGTTCATGACTATAATGTTGAGTACACTTTAAATAACGTATGCACAGTCTTCCCTTGCCTGTGGGTATGCACACAATGACCGTGAATCTAATAACGAGACTGACCAGGACACGGTGCGCTCGGGGAGCTCGGTTATTGCATTACGATTACTCTGTGACCCATAATGATTGAATGATGTACATAGCACCAGACTGCCATACAACATGGCCGCGTCCCAATTGCCTGGCTACGGCTACCAGTAAACATACATGTCTGTGAGATGCGGCTTCAGCTAGGCCTACTTCTATGTAATTGCAAGTCGTAGCCGCATAATTTGGACGCAACTTATTAAACACAGGGTCTTGCATCCGGACTTCTCCTCAACACTCATTACAAAATCTGCACATTTTCCTCAACTTGAGACCTTTACATGTACCGGTACATGTACATACATTAAGGACAGGTCCTCAAAGCTATGGAAATTGTATAGGCTGCGATGGGTTCTATTATCTAACCATTCCCTCTGATTGACGTATATACATGTAGAAGTACATTTTAGTTCAGGGGTGCATCGCCAACATTGGCAAATGATTTTCTGTATTAGATATACACGTATATAAATGCACAAAAAGGCTGGGAATGTTCCGGGAGTGGTTTACGCAGCCCTGATGTAAATTAATGCAATATGCGGGGAGATTGCAGTGCCTATATATGTGATGCGATCAAGCTATTAAGTGAGTCGTTTGTTGGCAATTCTGATTTTAAGATACTGCCCAAAATAGGTCAGTATAGGAGTGGAAATTTCAAAATTGACTTTTTTTGGGTAAAATCGGAGGGCTACATTTATGTCCTCTTTCATGTCAACTATTTTTTTCTGAGAAAAACTCACGATAAAGTAGTTAAAAATGTGAGTTTTGCTAAGGACTTAATATTCAATAACCTGAAATAAAGCATGTTTATTGTTGCTTAATAAATTAACACTGCAATTTTGAATCGTTGATTTCTCTGTTTGATTTCTCTGTTTTCTTCTTTCTGATTCCTGTGTTCTAATAAGTCCCATAACTTCTGAATGGATGGTGGTATATCCACATGGGGTTTTTACCAAATATAAACTGAAAGATAGCTCTATCAAAAAAAAAGAACAAAAAAAAGAAGATAAGGGCCGACAAATGACTCATTGAGCTTGAACACATCACATACCGGTATAATCTTCACTATTTAATATTCAAATTAAGTTGACCCTATAAGATAGGGCAACATTGGGTTACCTACATGTACATGTCATGCATGTAGGTTCTCACTACAGATGAATCTGGGCAATTGATCACTGTACAGTCAAGACGCCCCCCAGTAATGGAGGCATTGCGCCACAATCACATATTAGAAAATTCGTCATGGAGGTTCCTCATACATGTACATGTTCAGTAATCATATGCCCAGATTTGTCTAAGATAATGAGCAAATGTTCGCAGTGTTCCGGCCCCCTTATCCCACAGCTATTTTTAACATCACACTCTCCGTAATGATGACAGGCGAGGTATGCCCACGATAAACCAATCAGGCACTATCCCCGTCCACAAAGACTATACTACACCACGGACCCGATCATGAATTATCATCTCTCATCCCCGTACTGAATGGATTCTGGCATGTACTTTAAGGCATCTCTCTCTACAGCAGGGCTATTTCGAGAGACTTAAGATGGCGTTGATTGAATGTGACTTTTCCGAGAGATTCCTTTTTCTTCAGTAATTAAGGGTGGGACGTAAGACTGCGATTCAAACTAATGATTATAGATTATAGTGCACTGCCTCTGTGCAGACTTCAATTGCGTTTTAAGGGCTAAAAAATGGATATTAATGGAAACATCTGCAGTAATTATAACCAAATTTTGCACCCGATTTAAATATTTGCAGCCATTACCTGTGTTGCGGTTTGGCCAGTAGGTTTGAAAATTTGCAATACATGTTTTTTTTTCCAACGAAAATAATGCTCATTACATTCGTCATTCATTCATTTGTTTTTATTTGTATTTCTTTTAACCTCGCCTGCATTTGAGGGCAAATAAAAAATGACATCAATAAATAAACTTTATCCCCACATACTCCAAAACATGACAGAGAGCATTCAAGACATTACAATCAACCAAACAACCTATCAAGCCATGTTTAACGGGGTGATTTCATTAGCGTCCGTTCCCACAAAAGGGCTCGATTCATTGTGCAAACAATGTCCTCCTAGCAACACGAGGTTCCATCAATAAAAAATATCCTCATTTTACAGTCGATTCTGTTGCAGGACATGATTGTAACCGTTGCTCAGAAATTAACGGATGCATTTAACAATAGCAAAAAAGCTTGTGACTGCTGAAAGGAAATTTACTTTGTGTACATTGTGTGGTTTTCACTTACGGTTGTTAGAAGAATAAATCAGCATGAATTGGGCGTTCATTTATTCTTCAACACACTCAAATATTGCAGGCACACATGTGCACTTTTCAAAGCTTCCGGGCTGAGTATACATGCACTTTTTAAATTGTTCTCACGATTAAACATACGTGCATGACATACATTTAAATACACATTTCCGCCCCGAATCCTTCAAAATCCTCTTTGCCAAAGTGGACGAACTTGGAGGATTTGAGGTTACATGGCAAAAGTGCATTACTGATTTCGTAGGATACACTGCTAAATCCAACAGAGTCAGACAGGTTCTCACTGAGCCGATTGCAGCTACGCGATGTCGCGCACTGATCTGACGAATTAAAGCAACCGCGCGTGCATCATGCCAATGCTTGCGCGCCCTTTGCCAAATAACAAAACGAACTACTAATTTAAATTTCCTACGGAGCGTCTTAAGAAGCACCGTTGGAAAGGCCTTCTTACGTTGATTTCTTCAAAATGACAGCTTGCCAGAAAGAATAATTTCACAGGGAGTTTAGTTCCCTTACTTTCTTTCAACCAAGTATGTTTTTCAACAATAATTACGCCAGTTACTTTTTGGGTAGCTGCAAATGATGGACTATAGCTTTAAAACCTAGATGGGCATTGGCCTTCAATTCTGCTCGCAGATTCGATGATGAAAACAAGTGTATCATGTGGATGCATGCTGATGAGAAAAATCCGATCCTCAGAGTGCTTAAGGATGATCTAAATACATCAATCACAGCGCATCATTATACAAACATACACATGATCAGTCCGGGCCTTAAACCAGAAACAAAACCCGTCCCTCGTAAAACAAGCAAACAGAATGGTTGTCTCTACACGCAGCCATCACTCTAACTTGATACGGAGCGCTTCTTGAGAACCACTCCAGTGCCGCACTTCAGTTGAAACGCAATCCTCTTTTAGCGTTACAACCGCTGTCTTGTTCAGAAGATTTTAATACAGGCTCAGGCTTGTCTATTTATAACAAATGGATGAGCGCGGACGGGGAAACCTAACCCTCCCCTCGCAAGATTTCATTTCGTTTTGTTGTTGTTGTTGGTTGATCGTGATTTGCCGGAGTGATTTGAGAAGTTGAAATTTGGGGGGGGGGGGATGAATTACATCTGAATTTGTCTGGCTTTCTTGACTAAAAGGGCACTGATCTGAGAATATCTGACACCTTGTTACTGGGAAAATCTGTTAATAAGAAAAAAATTATCACCTTCACACGCATCACACCGGTGGGTTTAATTTAAAACAGGTTTTGGAATCTGAAAACATGATAAATGTACCAGTACTCGACAGACCCATACCAGTCAGTTGGAACCAAAAGAAAAACTGACTTTGACATTTGTATACCTGAAATTATACATTGAAGCTTTGAGATTTCTCAAACCAACTTCACTTAATGCTGATCACGAACACCCAGCCCTGCTTTGATTGCTAAATATGGTAGTCAGAACTACAATAACTTATCAATCAAATCTTCTCTCTCCTCTTCCGACAAAAATTCTATTCACACTATGTTAGCATCTTGCCACTTGTATCAACATTAAATAATAAATAATAAATAAAAACCAAGCCGGCCCCCCCCCCATTTGTACAGTTTGTAGGTTGCACGACTGTGCCAACATATGTTTGAGTGGATCTGAAAACAAAACAGGTCCACATGATCCAGGTTGTGCGAACCTTCTGAGGACTAAGCCAGATCCACACAAGGTTTCACCGAGCTTTGGAAAACAGGTTTAGAGGCATTTTTGAGTTAGGTTTATCCGTCGCAAAATGAAGAGGAACACTCAAGAAATCATGCTTGAAAAAAATGGGTTGATGAGTATTCGCATTGTTTCTCCGGTTTTTCTTAACTACACGAAGGCGAGGGAAAGAAATGTCCACACTAGGTAATAAGGCAGGCCTGGGTGCACGTTTGTGGATCACTGCCTCAGCTTGTATGTGGTTACAATCCGACCATTAACGATCCAATCACTGACGAGCCCAGGCAACCTTGACTAATCAGGTGACAGCCTAAGCAAGTTAAAGTTTTCACTCAACTGATCATTCTCCAACCCCCCCCCCCCCCACCACCTGTACGTCGCATTTTAATGTAAATGTCACACGGTTACATGTTATTCCAACTACATCCAATTCAACTATTATTGGGTTAGCTGGTTTTTGTGGAAAACGAAATGTCAGAAAAACGAGACGTGACATTTTAACAAGGTTTCAAGACTGGAATGTATAAATGTGAAAATAAAATCAAGTCAACGAAGCCAAAAGTGTTCCCTTTTTCTTTTTTAACCTAGATTCTAGTTCATTCATTTGATAAAAAAAAAATTCATCTTAATTTTATTTTGCCATAGAAAACCACAAATACCGGTGCGACTGATGTACATCGTAATTTTCACAAAAAGGTCAATTTCTGGCTAATTTTGAAAAGTGGGTTTTCAAATTTCAAATTTTCAAATAAAACAGCCCGAGTGCCCCACAACGAAAACAAATCCAAAAATGTATGGGGTAAATGTTTGTACTATATTAACCCAATTTAAAAAAAAAAGGGCAGTATGCTCGTTACTGGAACAAAGTTGTTGTTTTTGTTTCCCTTTGGTTTCAGTCCGTGCATTCATGATTTAATTATGCATTGCCTTGGCTAACGGGATGACATTTTTCTTTTTTTTCCCTTCCTTGTCTGGTTCGTTGGGTGTCGTCACGACTCTTATCAGGCCCCGCCGGGGCAGTAAATAAATTGTGCTTATTGTACAACTACATGTAGTTGGTTTCAAGGCAGCACATAACACATTTCATGTTCATCTTCTCCCACAGCATCATCGAGGCAATAGCTGAACTGTCGCTGAACCAGCTTACACAACGAACAAAAATCCTGATCAATATGAAATTTAAAAACAACTTTTCCAAAATAAGTTTTTTCATTTTTCGTTAAAGGGGGTAGTCCTTTGCAATTTTCAAAGTGTTTTTTTTTTTAATTGGAATTTTTTTTTGGAGGGGGGAGGGATAAAGTACTGTCGAAATAATTAATCGATATTACTTGATTATTCGATATTATTTTGATATGGATATCACCGATAGCAATTATTTAATCAAATTGAAATTTCGAAATTTTCGATATTGAGGAATGATAACGAAAGTGCGTCAGATTATCGTCAAAATAAATCTCCCGTTTGTGTTTTTAATTTTTGTTTAACGTCTGCTGTAGGCCCTATAATAAAATAAAACTCAAAATAAAAACATCGCGAAATGCCAAGTGGCGTTGCTTTGTGCTCTGCGTTTGCTGGAATTCGCAGTCTCCCCAATAAAAAACCTCAAAAGAAACCGCCCGTTTGGACAAACTGCCAATGCTGCGATTTGTTTCTAAAAGTTTGAGCAATATGCTCCTGAGAAAGCTGTAGAAAATTGGGACTTTAATAATGTTAATTTTTTTTAATCAAAGTGTCATCTTCATGGTCTTTAACTTTTACATGGGATAATTGATATAGAATATTCTCGATACTGGATTTCCGATATATCGATAAGTAGGGATGTCATTTGAAAACGCATGATCCACTGTACTTTCCTGGAGTACCATACAACCAAAAAGACACATGGACAAAGTAGTGATGTCATATATGCCTCGTTAGTACAAAGCTGACGACCGACCGCTCACGGGGGAGGTTGGACTACCTTCTGCGGAGCATGTTATCCTGCCCATTTGGCATGACATTCCCATTATGTGACACTGATCCCTCCACAGTGATCTCACATTGCACTGTGTAGTGCAATGTACAGTATTGCTGTACCCGTACTTGTAAGGTATTTTTGCATAATTTTTCACAAAATTTTCATCAGCACCGGTTCAGTTTGTTTGTGCATGGCCCAATTTTAGCAGAAAATATTGTATGGTAAATGTCTGTGTTGTGCAGTGTGCACAAAGCAGCCGAGAACCAGTCGCCAACAGTGTAGATCGCATGGCATTTTAGCTGGTAACCTAGCTGTTTTTGCAAAGCAAATACTATTAGCAAATTTTGAATTAGTAAAAGGGGATTTTATGCGGCACCTCACTCGTCACTTCTTGGTTCTTGGTTGGTTCGTCTCCTAAATACACCCCGCATGGGAGTTTATACAGGAGACCAGAATACCAACTTCTGTTGGTATTTTTTTTGGGGGGGGGGGGGGAACTTCCGGTGAAATCAGATAACTGATTCAGTTTAAATAAAATTAGAATAGCCAGATTTTGAAATCTTCGATTTCCCCCCCCCCCACTTACATTTGGTAATTTTTTTTGATTTTGTTACTATTAGTTCATTTTTATTAATATTAATGTTATTTTTCAAATGTGTCAGTGCAGATCGTCTCATGTTAATTCTTATTATGCATCCTGTCCCCAACCCGCCACCTGAGGTTTGCCATTCCCAAAGCCAAATATATTGTTTATGTATGTATGCGCACTGTAATCGCACCTAGGTGTAACAAGCAAGCGCCTTGCCTCGGCACAAAAATGCCAAGCCCGACACATGTGGCAATCATTCGTTCCCCAAGCACCACAGAGCTACACAGCGCAGCCAAAGTCTGGCACCCAAGGTCCAACCGTCTGACAACGAATATAACAAGAATTAATTAACTGATGTTATCCCGTCTAATCATTCGCGGGCTGCTGAACGAACAGCCATGGATTCTCAGGTTAACGAGCAATCTGCTCGTTATCTCGGACGCGATGCATTTTTCATGGCTGCCTAATAAGTCAGTCTGCGCTCAGTCATCCTTGTGAATTTAATTTTGGCCTTATCTCTTGCAGTAAAAGATGATCTATGGGTGCTGTAACTTGAAGCCACACACATACACCTGTTATTCCCATTTTCATACAAAAATTCTGCAATACGTACGTGACCTTGCAGTCAACAGTGCGTAACGTACAAAATTAATAACGTGCATTCAATTTTAATCAGCTCATATCACTTTACGATCATTTGAGGAAACCAAATTATAAATTTAATTTCTCATACACCGTGTAGCATTGTTGCTTTTAAACAATTGTAACATGATTTTCCAGATATATATAATCTTTAATAAATTATGGCAAAGTCAATGGTTTATGCATATTAGCTCCCACAGTTTTTACGTCGAAATCAGACAGGTTATTATTATTCTTTCTCTACTTCAGAATAAAAAAGAAAATAATGAGACAGGAAAACAATTGGATTTACATTTATTGCAACAGGATTCTAATTTTTACTGAAGATTTGTGATGGTTCGGGAGGTTTTTTTTAATTTATAAATCAACATTGACAATTTTTTTCATGATTCTTTATGTCCTGCCCTATGAATGTTATAATGCAGCAGGTCTACCGGGTATATACCGTATGTCAGCGATGATTGAAAGGCGATAAATAAAATTCTGTCATCAAATGTCAAGGAAGGGGCTCACATTACAGCCGGAAAAAAAAAAAAAACCCAGAAAAAAATGAAGAGTTTTGTTTAAACTCGTCTCTACTCACGTGTAATTCCCTTCTCCAGATCTTCGTAGTAACCATAGCAACAAATCTGTTGCAGCAGGAGAGGATGGATCTTCTCGAAGGCTTTGACATCTTTGAGACGAGAGTAGATAATGTCCAGGTCCTCGCCCGTTCGTTCTGATGGCCTGAATTAAACAAAAAAAGCAGAACGTTGCGTGTGCATCACGAGAGAAAAGAAAAACGCTCTAAATTCAACCGGGCAGACAATATCACACTTTACAAAGTTTGCACATGTTGATATGTGATGCCTAGTTTACATTACTTTGTACATTTAAAATACTAGACTCCACTCAAGAATATGGAGAAAAAAAAAACCAAAAAAGCATGATTGGTTTACAGAAAATTGAATCTCAACTGGGGAAAACAAGCGAGCCGCGTTGAAATTAATTTCTGTAGGGGCCTGAAGCCTTTGACAAACTGAGCACTCGGCTCAAAATGAAATCTTGGAAGCAGCTGTGCATATTGGCCTCACTTGTAGCATCGTAGGCTGTGCAATGAGTGTACCTGAAACACGTCTCCCTACAAAACACTCAAACTAAGAAAAAAAAGGCGATGCAGAAATTGGATGAAAGGAAAGTAATTTTCAAGAGCCTCAATACTTGGAAATGTGCAGTTTTGCAATTAAGAAACGTCAAAATTTAATTTTGGAGGACATGATGCTTGGCAATTTGCCAGTTTTTGAAATGAGGACATTTTTTGGTGTATCGAGTTGGGATTATTTTTATATGTTTTGAGAAAGCTACGTGTATTGGGAAAATGACATTCTCTGGATTGGTAATGGTTGCACAGAACTTTTTAAAACTGTTTATGAATTTGGCAAAAATCCTTTTACCTTGTAGTGTAAAACAACAGTATGGAACTGAGCAACACAAAAGGCTTCATTTTCATACACTTAAACAAAAGTTACACACAAAAAATAACAGTGAATACACAAGGGAAAACCTACAATATTCCTGTAAATTGAACACGTCAGTGAAATGTCAGCAAGAGTAAAAAATATGCATCTTGCTAAGATGGTATCATCTTGATTTATCACCCTCGAAAATCCCTGCCTACAATGTGTGCACATCCAATAATTGCTCGTCAAATAACTAAAGCCTCGGAACTGACGAAATACCAGCCAAATCTGGTCAGAGTACAGCGTCGTCGCTTGGAAACCCATCCACGCAGGCTGCTTTATTCTTAAGTGCCATCTGAAAAGTGTCTAGAGGATTGTACCGTTTAGTAATTGTACGGTTTAGTAATTTCTGGCAAAAGTCTCCGCTTAAAAATACCTCGCCAATCATTTGCCCTTTATGTACTTAATGTGCGAGTGCATATGCTACGTCTAAAATTATTCACTAGTGTATTAGATGATGAAGACATCATTAGACCTGTGGGGTTTTTTTCCCTCCAGATTCAATCATCAACTGCGGTTACTTGTAGGGCAAGATACTTTACCTTCCTGGAAAAGTCGTGACAATTAAATTTGAAAAGGAAAAAAAATCTGGCTGGGGATTTATGAAAGTTTTACATCCCCGGAAAGGAAAATGATATTTTGACTGTGATTGATTGCAATGCCCGTGTCTAATAGCTATTTTTGTCAGCGAGGTACATGTACAATGTATCAAATTCTGGATTATATTTTTAAGATGTGATTTCTCTTTGGCTTGAAATGTATTGCTTAAAGTCCAGTCAGTGCAAGACTATTACTTCTGTTTTCCACATTGTAAGGATCGTCGATATCAGAATTTTCAATAATCGATATCGATAATAATCGGAAATCCAATATCAAGAATATTTGATACATGTATGAAATTATCGATTATCCCATGTGAAAGTTAGACCATAAAGATGACACTTTGGTTTAAAAAAAAAAAAAAAATAAGTCCCAATTTTCCTAGGCTTTCTCTGAAGCATATTGCTAAAACTTTTTGAAACATATCTCAGCACCTGACAGTTTGTCCAGAACGGGCGGTTTCTTTCGAGGTTTTACATTGGAGAGACAGCGAATTCCAGCGAATGCAGAGCACAAAGCGTCGCCACTTGGCATTTCGTAATGTTTTTATTTGAGTCACAATTTTTTTTATTTTACAGCTAATGATAAACACAACGAAGCACAAATGGGAGATATATTTTTTGACGATAATCTGGCGCATTTTCGGTATCATTCCTCAATATTGAACATTTTGATTTGATTACAAAATTGCTATCTGCGATATCCATATCAAAATAATATCGAATAACCAAGTACATTAATATTGATATATCTACCTTGCTTACCACATTGTCATGGTAATTACTAAGTATACAATGTTTAACTGTTTAGCTTGATATGGGCTACCTTCCTGGTATTAAAATTAACCTAGCTGAAATATCTGTCGTGATTCTGTGATAAAAATCACATTACCTTTTTTTCAGCAATATGACAGATCACCAACATCAGAAACCTTTTGTTTTCCCATTTTCGTCTTCTCAAAGCGTTGGCAATTTTCTAATTAAGTGTCTTGCCCCATGTGCACGGGTACCGCTTGGTTACCAGGTAACAGATCGAGAAGCAAAGAGCGAGGAAATAACGCAATACTGGATAAGATCTGTTCGAGGGATCCTTGGAACTGATATTGCCAGTGTGCCCAATTTCACAGGTGAATTAAAGTGGTGTTATCATTTGATGGAGGGGGAAATGCTTCAGGCTTCAGACCGCAATAACATGCTGACATGTTCACAAATCATTCTGGCTGATAGGAGAATTGAAGGGAAAAATACAAATGCTGGGCTCAAAAGTCAAGTTAAAGTTACATGTTGAGTAGATCATTTGTCATTTGAGGATTTTTTTCGTTTGAAAAAAAACCCTCAAACGAAAAAATATTAGACATGAATCTGGGGAAAGAATATAGTTATCCAGATGCCACTTCAGCGGTTGTGTACAAAGTCTATAGAGAGTCAAGAATTTTTTTAAAGTATTTTTCAGTCCCAGATTCATGTATTTTGAACATTTTTGCAATGACTGAGATTTATTCAGATAATATATGAAGAAAAAAGTGGCGTCAGGTTGCAACATTCTTTCTGAATCTGAAACTGAGAAACATTTCCAGTTTTGTTAGGAAATACTCAAAAAAGGTTCTTGTCTCTCCATAGACTTTCTAAATTCTACACAACCGCTGGAGTGGCGTCTGGACTACATTCTTTTCCATCAAAATAGGTAAATTGTAACTAAACCTGATGTGTAGGCCTAAATGTTTTGTGCATTAGGTCATGTAGGTAGAACGGAAAGATTTCCATATACGAAGTTCACTCAACACCCTGTGTACAAACCCCATGAGATTGGACTGAAAAATTCTAAGTGTTTTCTAAGAAAATGCTTGTATTTTCTCACTGCTCAAATTGACTTTGATGACATGAAATTGCTACCTGGGGGCTTGTTACTGTTAGTCAATACAGAGGAAAATTAGTGAACTTCGTATATGGAAATCTTTCCAGGTAGAACTTACTCAGCCTCATGATAGGCGTAAAACAAAGTAAAAACATAAATCTTTCTGCAAATAAACTGCATAGGGTTGTACATTTGGACTGACATGACTGAAGAGTAGAGTATACATTTATTTTAGCACAATCATGACGATATGTTTCGTCAACCGCGTTCTCATATCACCCTAAAGCCCCTAGCAAAACACCAAGCAATGGCCAGTGCGACCCCGAGGAGACCCGGAAAAAAGCAGCGACTTACCGCTTATCCAAGCAGGAAATCCATTCGGCAACCATTTTCCCTTCCGGAGTTCTCGGCGTGATCGAACTGGTGGTAAACCAGACGGTTGAATTTTGGATGATGTGCACCAAAGGTAGCAGTCAGCTGCGACCAAAATAAGCCTCAATAACTAACCATACCGATTTATCTCAAAACAGCATTGAAAAGAGTCAAGAATTTAGTGAAAATGTAGCAGACAAGTAGTTAAGAAATCTAGACAATCCGATTGCAAGTGCACGTCCATGCAAGCACGCCGCACAAACGAATTTGATTACATTGGCGCGCGCGCGCTTTGATGTGCACACACATGTGTCTCGGGCATAAGTATTGTTTATATTCCCTTCCTCGATCCTGTGTCCTATGCATTCGTAGTAAAAAATAATACTTATTTAGGGAGTCCCGGATCGAAGTAGCCCAAACATAGCCCAAAATGTGCACATTGCAATTATCATAAAAAGTCGTTTGGAGCACAATTGGGCGCTAAAACGCGTGTAGTCTGTGAACCTGGTGCCCGGTGTACTTGAGCAATTTCCTTTATTATATGGAAAAGTACCAGTGGGAATCTGATGAGGTTTTTTGGGTCAACTTGAAAGGTCAACTATTTTCAGAAAGTAAATGGGAGGTGATGTCGGAGCTGTGCTGTGTATGTCGTCGCGGTATCAAATATTTCCACCGAAAAGTCAGTTATTTGTTGTGATGATTTGTGTCTTGCTGTAAACAGAAAATGGTAAGTGATATTCCAGGGTCAAGAGCCGGTTTTTTATGTTTGTTGACAAGGTGGTTTGTGGATTGAAATGGCACTTTACCCAGAAATGTTTTGCAGTTTCTGTTTTTCGAATGAATGCCGTTGCAAAAACTAATGCCGTATGCGAATTGCATTCATCGTGTTCACGAAGTTCGTCATTTTTCACTGATTTAAAGTTTGTCTGTCAAGTGTCAGTGTCAGTGTCCTTTTTTTCATGGTTTGACTTATCGACATGATAAGTAAATATTTCAGTTGTGAAAATGATGTCGGTGAATGTCTACATCTTACATGTCTTACAAAATAAGTAGTTAAAATTGAGATGTTTTTTTTTATAGAGCCTGAGTAGTGAGCTCACCCCTGCCCTAGTAGCGTGCTTCTTGAACCCTTCAAGTTGAATATTTAACTTGAAGTTGAATAGGAAAATTAACGTGCACAAATTCTAAAATTTGCAATAAGCACTTTTCACGGTAATATGCGCCATCTTGTTCACATAAATCACAGGGCAAAAAGAACATGCATTGCTGAGCACAGCATGTACGTCAATCATTGTCAATCAAAACTTTTGCGTTTCCAAGTCATTAGCGATTTATCCAAAATGCGCTCGCGTCTAGCAACGCGTGTTCAGGAAAAGATGTCTTCACGACAGTAAAAATATGTTTTTCTCTCTTTTTACTCACTATACTTGAACGTGTGTTGTTAATTTGTTTGATCAATGATGATTCATTGTTATCAGTCATGTGAGTGTGTTTAGACTGACCTGCATTCTGCAAGTTTGAAGCTGGACGTTAGTCATAAGCAATCAAGCGATGCGTGATAAAAGTTAGGGGGAGAAGTTCCAACACTGTTCTCAATTAAACATCAGAAAAATCCTGTTGCATTTTATTGCTAACATCAGGAACAAAAATTCCACAGCTGAGTTGGTCAATTTTTGTAAAGGTTTTGAGCAAACTATCCCAATTTTCACCATGGGCTCTGTGCACAAGTACTTCTTCAAAGTGTAACGGCCAGAGAAGGAGAGTTGGGGGAGATCTAGACTGGTTCCTGGACCATCCACTGCGTATTTCGAATGATCCAAAGTTATTTGGGGCGGGGATTAGTCTGGGAGACCATCGCAAGTTCAATTCGAACGTATTCGCGCGCCGACGATGCTTGACGCTCTAGCATTTGCTATAGCAAATATTGTTAAAATCACTTGTTTCACGTTTTGGGCTTGTAGGTGCTGGAACAACCAAGAAAACCAATCATGTCCTTGTAGTCTGGTTCCCAGACCCCACTCAAGATGAAACACAGCAATTTATAGACTTTGGGGAATTTTAAGGTCAGAGAATCAGTCTAGCAGGCTTAAACCCCTTCACAGGTGTGTAATCAATTGCAAAGAAAATGCGGAATAACTAAATATGAAAAAGTAGGAGCAGGTTTTGAAAAAAAGCCAGTTTTCTCCAACGCTGGTCGGCCGACCAGCATTGGAAAAATACTATTTTTTGAAACACCAGGATGCTTTAGACTGTCATTCCCTAACAATCCAGTAAATTATTTCGTGATAACTTGATCATTTCGCTTGTTGATTTTTGCAAATGTTGTATCTTCCCTTTAACTGACAGATTGATTTTAATCTTTAAATCCCTCTATAATGGATACAAAGGACATGTAGTGTACATAGTTTTAGAGGGCAGCCTTGAGACAGTGTTTAAACGCTTTTTATTGACATTTGTACAATGTATCATGGACAGTGATTTCACCGGTCATGCAGTATGTTTATGTTTGGACAGTTGCTGTTTCAATCAATGATTCCGTGGATGTGTTCAGAGGCCAACGACATTGAGCATCACAGCATAAAAATCAGTTAAGCATGGCAACAATCTGCTTAGCAATAACAGGGTACCAGGCAAGCTATCATGGGTTGTATTACTTGTATATGATTGTGACTGGTTCCCACAGTTTTCTTTGCTTAGGAGAGTGTTGTGCTTTGAAACTCTGTAAAATTTGGCATAATAAGGGCAGATCCAACACCAAATTTTCCCGGGGGGGGGGGGGGGGCTCAAGTATTTTTTTTTTTCAAAAAGGGGAAGGGATTATTAAGTAGTATCGTACGCTACTTCCACATTGTGATATTAAATTTAAAAGTAACTGATAGCTTGCGAGAGAGATACCCAGTGGTTTACTTTATTTCCTGAAAATTTAAGACCAAAAAAACCCCAACAAACAATTGGTGTGTGTGAGTTTGTTTCTGCATTAGGGGACATTGAACAATAGAGGACAATAGGGTCCCCAATTCCCGAAAGGTCCCCAATTTGGCGATGTGTACAAAACATAGGGGAGGTCTTTTTAAAAAGTACAAACAAAAGAGGGACAATAGAGGGTCCCCAATTGCAGGCAAATACACATTTGTGTGTGTGTGGGGGGGGGGGGGAATGGCACCCATTGCCCCCCCCCCCCCCCATCCACCAATGGCCAAACAAAACCTAGGCCTGGATTTGCCAATCACAAAAATTCACTTAGTAAAGAAAATATGTCTTGAGCAAAACAAGGTTTCTAGCCTAAAATTTTTTGCATATCAGCTGTTTTATTTTTTTCTCATAATACATTTTTTTAATGCATGTAGGTGTATCTAGAATATTGTTATGAATGCCGTCAAATTTAATTTCTCAGAATATCAATTTGTGAGCAGCTATTTTCAGCTTCAAAGCAGCCACGAAATCAGACCCATTATGATACACTATCCGAATGTGATTAGTCAATGTGCAAGCTACTGCACTTGTTAGAATAGTAATAAATTGGATTGAAACAGGAATAGACGAGGAACTGATTTAATTATGGACTGCTCGTGGGATCGAATTCTACGTGGGTTGGGACAATTCAGTGATGGAACTGTCGTGTAATTTCTCCTGTTACTAGCAGGAAAATTGAACTTTATGTAACATTGCTGAAAAGGTATTGTGCTTATTTTGTAAAGTGTATTCACATTTCTTGTGGGTTTCTGTTTGCATGGGCTATGCGGGTGGCTGTAGCGGACCCAGGATTTCGTAAAGGGGTGGCTGGGGTGTTGAGGGGGGGAGGGGGGGGGGGAGGAGGCATTGCTTTCAACACAAATACATCTGTAATATAGCCAGAAACAATGAACAAAGATGTTCAGTTTTGAGTGATTACTCACCTAGGGGATTTCAGGGAACTGAAGCAAACTTTGTGATTTTTTCCTATTAAAAATTTTGTCAGTCATGGGGGTGGGGGCGGAAAGGGTGGAAAGCCACCCCAACCACCCCTCTTTGATCCACCCTTGGGTAGAGCAGTTCCACAGAACTGCTGGTAAGGGTACATGGAGAACTACTGGTGTTGCGCAGTAAAAGCATGCTCACGTACCAGTACGTAAATGAGCGTGGCTGCGTATTGTACAGAATCTAATCTTACGTACTAGTGTTGTTGGTAAGCTAATAGAATTAACCTTAGCTAATAGAATTAACAGTAATCCCCCCCCCCCCCCAAGTCAAAATGTGTACACTGTCTTGTATGCATACATGTACATAGGCAAGTGAATCAGTTTTGCTTTGATTTTTTTTTATGAGCCACAGATGTGCTTCCACGTCATAAAACATTTTTAGGTCCGCCTGTATTGTGCATCATTCTTTACACATTGGCTTCAACAGGAAACAAGTCCTGCGTTTATGTACTGCATGCCTAACTGCACATTGTATGCTCAATTCAATTGTTCAAATTTATCCTGGCGTCATGGCGTTCCGTTGCTTAAGTTGAAATTGTATACGTGTACACACTAACAAAAGCCTGGTTAAGTACATGTACACGTATAGTCGGAATCATTACACATGTACATGAATACCAACATTTAATTTATTTTTTTTGTGGTAAATATACCGTAGTATACATTGGACGTATTCACGGAAGCATGCTACAGTACATATCAGCCAAAGTGTGTTTACATGTACATTCAAAAACGTTACTCTGTGTATCCGCTTGCAGGCTTCCGCACCGAATTCATTTGTCCGTTACGCCCCGTGGCGTCCATTTCACACCGTGTGGTGCACGGAGATTTAATCATGAGCCACAGTCTTAAAAGCTTTATGTTGACAGGGCTGGGGAGCTAATTACCAATATGTCCCTGCAGGTCCCCCCCCCCCCCTTCCCGGACCGCTGTAATGAATAAAAGTTGCAGAAATGAGCAATAATTGGATTGGTCTTGCAGGAAAAAAAATCAATTTTACGGGCGTGAGCTTGGGTTGTTGTGCAGTACAGTGTAAAGATCTGCATATATTTTCAGAACCATCCTCTTAGTTGAAAAAATTACTCCCACATGGTGTTTCTGCAAACCTTTCGTTCATTACGCTAAGTAAAGAAAATTACATGTTTACATTGAATATACTTGTGCCAAGGTGGGTCTTTGTGTTATCTCAGAAACCCAGCGGTAATGAGTTGAAGTGTTGCAAAGTTCAGCTGTTAGTAGTGGTGGGAGAAACCAGAGATTTGAAATCCGGTTATCCTAATTTTTTCAAACCGAATATCGGTATATCCAGAAGTTCCCATCCAGCTCACAGTTATGCCAACAAAAAGTGACGAGTGAGGTGCTGCATGAAATGCCCTCCCAATGACTGGGTACAGTTTGCAGGATTCAGTGACCACTGGGCCTTTACAAAAACACTCCAGAGCTGTAATGTTGAAAACAAAAATGGATGGGAACTCTCTGATAACTCAAATATGAGCAGGCTATTCATATATCAAGAAGACCGCAAGCAAGCGTTTGCAATTGCAGTCAGAGACCATGGAGCAATTTGGGGGAAGTTACAGTTGTCTTTAGCCTGTGTTTTATACAAAATGTGGAAGGCTTAATTATTTTAAGGTTGGTTCTGCATATCCAGTGCAATTCAAACCAAATGTGAACAAATCCGGGTTTAAAGGGAAAATACAACATTTGCAAACATCAAAAAATAAAACTACCACATCATTTTGAAATACATGTACCGTACCTTGCTGGACTGTTAGTGAATGACAGTGTAAAGCATCCTGTAAAATCATGGCACCTGGTATACTGTCGTTTTCAAGAAAAATTGGTACTTTTGTATCAATTTCCAACGCTGTTTGGCCGATCAGCGGTGGAAAAAACTTTTTTTTTTCTCAAATACTGGCCCCAGTTGACCATCGCACTTGTTTGCAATCAATTACACACCTATGAACGGGTACAAGCCAGCTAGACTGGTTCCCTGACCTTACAATTCCCCAATATATGTAAACTGCTCTGTTTCTTCTTAAATGGAGTCAGGGAACCAGACTACAGGAAAATGATTGTTTTTCTTGGTTTTTATAGCATTTTCGAACCCAAAACCTCAAAAGAGTCAGTGTAACTATATTTGCTATATATTTCCAACCCCCCAATTCCATCCATTTCTGAAAATTACAGCCAAAGCAAATGATGTATATTCCCTTTAAATCCATTTTGAGAAACAGTCAAAACCACAAGAGCTGTTTTGTTTACCTACATGTACATTGTAAAGGGAAGGAAAATGCAAAAAATAATATCCTGCCCAGATCAGGAAGAAAAATGACAATGCATTTCTCTACCTATCCAAAGGTGTTAAAGCATCCATTTCATCGCGTCAAAGTGTCCGACGTTTTGCACCAGCAAGACATTAATATACCTTTAAGCATATTTTTGTTTGAGACCAGTTGGATTACAACGGCAGATAAGAAGGCGGCCTACATGTAGGGTGTCAAAGCAAACAAGAGTGTAGAAAGAAGACGCCTACCAGTACATGTTGGTCGTGGTTTTGCCAGTATGAAAATATATTGCTTGGTAAAACAAAGTGTATTTGCATAGTCTAGACATACATCATGTACATTCATTCAGTTGTTTACACATGTACAGTGTAGCACTGGTGTACATGTACATGTACAATGTATACAGACCCATTAATTCAAGCATTAATAACCCTCCTCTGCAAACATACATTTTGTGCAAACTTGTATTTTGTATTGTGTGACTGTGTTTATGTTTATGTTCTGTTGATATAGTTGCTGGCCAGTAAATAGGCCTGAAATTGCATACGCCGGCCAAATCACAATTTGCATGCCCTCATTTTGGTTTTTTTTTTGTGGCTAATAAGAGTACATGTATTTTGTGGTTCATGAATTTGAGGGTTTGTAAGAAAGAAACATGGAAGCCATACACAGGACTGTGAGCTCGTACTTCTGTGAAATTCCGATGAAATTGGGCCCTAAAATTGCTCTAATTTGCAACGGAGCCGCATGTACTTTTTAGTGGTGATCATCTTTGGATGGAATTTTATCCCCCCAAAAATTGAACAGGAAATGAAAGATGACGAAATGAGCTTTAATTTGATGCATGTCTCAAACACCTTCAAGAGTTGCGAGTATCTTTCCTGAATTTCAGAGGTTGGCATATTTATCACTGGGGTCTATGGCAGTTAATAAATGTACTGGTTGCAACTGCATGTATGTACATGTACATATTCGTCAGAACATTGAGTGCACACACTGTGCATGTATCCATACAATGACCATGTTTTGATTAAATTCCCCTGCATTATACATTGTAACAAGGAAACAACACACACACGATGCAGTAAGCCAGGGCGACACGTCGCGGGGAAATTAATTTATCTGGAGGCATTTGCTTCCAGTGCGGTCATGTGTGAGATTAGATCGGAAGGGGTACGATACATCACAGCCATGAAAATATCCAGGGTCAAGGTATTAATATTGGGCAGATAAAGCATTGCGGCGCTGCGCGCAGGTATTAAACACAGTTGTATGCATAAACACAGTTGACCGTGTTATTAAATATATGTGTACATGTTTATGTACCTTTTATGATGTACTGTGGTACTGTACATGTACATGTGTGTACATGTACCTATTGGCTTCTTTGAAAGCCATGGTACAAAATGTGTTTCAATTTTTGAGTCTGGTACCCTATGTCAGCTTGTTATAATGCAGTGTGCTTCAGTGTGTTTTATTTTTCTGTTTCAATTTTTGAGTCTGGTACCCTATGTCAGCTTGTTATAATGCAGTGTGCTTCAATGTGTTTTATTTGTTTCTGCAGGGTGAGGTCGGCACCATGTCGTGGGTCGTTCTGGCCGTAGTGCTGTTTCTAACCACCTTCGGGGTCCTGTCGCCATTTCTGCTTGTCTTCTACGTCGTGGCTTTCTTTGGAGGGTAAGAAAATATATTGCTTCGAACACAGTGGTCCATTGGGTACGGTGTTCGACTCACTTGCTATGGTACTGTGGTTTGAACCCTGACGGGAACATTGTGCTTGTGTTCTTGGGCAAGACACTTTACTACAATTGCTCTCTCCACCTACGAGCATAAATGTGTACTTGGAACATAGAGACCAGAATGCGCTGATCTCAAGCTGCTGCAAAAACCAGTCTCATGACCTGATGAACAGGGGTAATAATTATAAAGCGCTTTGAGACCTTTGCTTTAAAGCGCTATATAACCACAACAATATTATTATTATTATTATGACATTCTGTTTTTTAAGTTGACCAATACTTGAGACTCAAAACCGAAAAAACATTTCTTGATTTGTGAGCAAAGTAATTGTTGCCAACTAAATTTACAACGTATTACAACAAAACTTTGACACATTCTAAGTTTGCTTTTAAGTATTGATCAACCGTGGATGTGTTTCATGCAGTGTGTTATTTTATTGCAGCGGTGTGACTATTCTGTATACCATCTTTTCTAAGAGGGAAAGCGAGGTGGCCCTCGATAGAATCACGCCCAACTTGAAGCTGGAAAACAAGACGATAGGCGTAGCAATGGTGAGATGACGGCCGGTTTCTCAATCTTTCCTCCCTGTCTTTCCTTGCCCCGCCCACATTTTCCTTCCTTCCATTCTAAGACGAGAAGTAAAATAACCTCGGCACACATCATGGGGAAGTTTTCAAGTTGAAATCCAGAAATTTTGAAAAAGCTACCTTTCTGTTTCACTTTCTCTTTGTCGCACCCTGTATTCTAGTAAAAATGCCCGCTGAATTATGGTTCTACAAAAATCTTTTCTCAAATGATGTACATATGTTAATATTGATCTTTGCCCTTGACGTTAAAGGTTAAACCCATGTTGCATCATTCACATGTAAAATTCTATCAGTAGGCAAAGCTGTAATTTTTGCAAAACCATTTGCTGGACTTTTTTTAAGTTTTCATCTTTGTTTGCAATTTTTTTGTGGAAACACTGACATTGGTTCTGTTCTGCTTCCTCTTGTTTAAGATCGTTGAAAAGTTGCAACAAACCCCTACAACGTACAAGAGCGATAAACGACTAACGGGAGCCAAGATAATTGATGGTCAATTACAAGAGGTAAACACAGTGAACATTGGAAATCATTTTTGGTAGGATGTAACCTCAATCCTGCAAAATCCTCCAACTGCCTCCATGTAAAAATAACATACAGCCTCAGTCCTCCAAATCACTCGTTATTTCTTGATTGTGGCCCTTGGAGGGGTGACCACTGCCTCAATCCTGCAAAATCCTCCAGCAATCACTGTCAATATGTTGAGGCAGAGCCAGTGACATCCTGGAGCAGTGCGGAGGATTTCAAGTATAATCTAGGTCTAAATTTATGCACGGCTGAGCATAAACAACACAAGGTCCGGCCTAAGACACAGTGCATCCTCCAAAGTCAGCCACACGTTTTTGCCATATAGCCTCTATCCTGCAAAATCCTCCATTTTGCAAAGAGGATTTTGGAGGATTTGGGAAAGTTAGAGTTAAAACCAACTAAGGAAACGTTTTTTGTAATGGACTGTTTCAGGTCTTATATCTTGGTTTCCGTGATTACATCCACCCTTGGTATCACCAACTCAGCGACGAGGGACAGTTCTTGTACGAGGTCAGGCAGTGCCTACAGAGCTGCATCATCAACTTTGCCACAAAGTAAGCAAGTACTTCACGATTTTAGTGGTTTTCCTACGTCTGAAAGTTTGAATTCATTTTTAATTTGGATAAGGTGATTTTTTTTTTAACCCTCATATTCAAACATACATTCTGTGCAAAGTTGTCCTGTCAGTCAATATCAATCAAGTGACTGTTTTTAACCATTAAGAGCTCCCAGCCTACATAAAGCAGGATTGACTGGCTGTGACTGTTTGTGTATCTTGTTGCAGCTACCGGTATGCTTTGACTGTAGGTGATTGATATGCCAGCTGTGCTGACCACTTGCCTGTTTTTGTCTGTTGACTGAATTTGACTAGTCACAGTGCTTGCTTGAAATATGATCTGACTGTTTCTTAGAGTTTAGGCATTCTCCTGAAGACGGTCAGAGCATACTGACCGGAACGTCGAGTTTATACCTCTGGTTCTTTTCAGAACCATTCTCTTAGTTGAGAAATTATTCGCACATGGTGTTTCCGCAACTCTTTTATTATTTAGTATCTCCACCATGCAAAGCCTCAAATCTTACTGATCAGACTGTTGGTGACTAGCATGTGTAAAAGGCATGGCAGGGGAGATGATTGATTTCTTTGACTGTTTGTGGCTGTTCAGATAGCAGGAGGGTTAATGAAATGTGTTATGGATGACTTCGATGTTTTTGCAAATCACAGATCCAAAGAGGTCGACTGGGTCCACTTTTTTACCCGGACCATGGTGGACGACTTTGCCACTCATGTACGGATGTTTCGCAAGGCCCAGGACAAAGTGAAGAAGATGTCACTGCCTAAAGGTAAGCAGGAATCCAAAGTATTTGCTGGAGCAGTTGTGGGCTAGATTTACCTACGTCTAAATCTCTTTGTGTTCCCTTTGTTTTTATAACAAGATGTCTTTATGATTTGCACAAGCAGTTTTCCCACCTTGCTCCTAAGGCCAAAAAAAAATAAGTCTCCGGTTTTTGGTATGGAGCTTTTCCAAAAAGTGGTGCGGCGACGCGGCTTTTTTTTTTTTTTTACCTGACTTTTTTGCTTCAAATGTCGGCTAATGACTGCAAATGGTGCCTGACTAAACTTAGTGCAAATATATGGGAGTCCAGAGAGGCCACATAAAGGTTATTCTCGATCATAATCGCATCTAAAAACATGTTAAAATAGTGCAGTAGCAGGATTTCAGTCAAACCAGTGAGTTTGGCGGTTTTGAGACATCATCTTTCATTGAAAAAAAAACTTTTTCATTTTGCCGACGCGCGCGCATACCAGAAACCGGAAACTTTTTTTTTTGGCCTAACTAGAGTGAGCGCAAAATAGTTTAACAGGGTGTATAATCTTTACAAGTACACTTCCATTAAAAGTGTTAATCCTTCTGTCGTTGAATATTTTGTTATTTTGGCTGATTATTTTCCAGACCCCTCAGAGCCACTTCCGAGTCTAGAGTCCATCTTCTTTGACTTTGAGGTGGAAGTTGAGAACGATGTATGCCGGGAACTGATCAGCATGGATGAGGGAAAAGAACAAGGTATGGGATTTCATTCAAATGAAATTTGAAAAGGCATTTCTCTTTTGCAATTTGTGAGCTTTTAAAAAAGTTGCATTTGTTATTTCTCTACAGAATATCTTCAGAGCATCAGTGAGATCCTACTATTCCTACTAGTACCAAACACCGATTTCAGGTGTAAGCCATTCCGGTTACTGATGCGTGAAATCATCGTCTGCGAGGGCATCAGACCGCTGATTGAGATGGTGACCGATCCGGATTATATCAATCAGACGATTATTTGGTTTGTAAGTATCACCAGGAAAAAAATTAATTGTGATCAAAAATGTTATGTTGAGCTGGTAAGGAGGAGTTATGAGGATTGACGGAGGAATTATGAGGACTTGTGATGGAGTTATGAGGACTGGCGAAGGACTTATGAGGACTTGTGATGGAGTTATGAGGACTGGCGAAGGACTTAAGAGGACATGTGATGGAGTTATGAGGACTGGCGAAGGACTTATGAGGGCTGGTGAATTGAGGACTTGTGATGGACTTATGAGGACTGGCAAAGGACTTATGAGGACTTGTGATGGAGTTATGAGGACTGTGAATGACTTATGAGGACTTGTGATGGACTTAAAAGGACTGGTGAAGGACTTATGAGGACTTGTGATGGAGTTATGAGGACTGGCGAAGAACTTATGAGGACTTGAAATGGAGTTGTGAGGACTTTAGATGGACTTGTGAGGACTTGTGATGGACTTGTGATGGACTTGTGATGGACTTGTGAGGACTGCCAAAGGACTTATGGGACTTGTGATGGACTTATTAGGACTTGTGATGGACTTGTGATGGACTTGTGAGGACTTGTGACGGACTTGACTTGACTAAAACACTTCATGTGTATCTTAATTTCAGTTGGTAACCATGCTGCTTTTCCATTCTCCCTGGTCTGTTTTTAGTGTGGCGACATACCGGTGACGACGGAGGCTTTTCTGACAGTCATCAAGATGTGTTGCAGCATCGAGGAGCTGGATGCGGTCATTGAGATCCTGGAGAGTGAGATTCATAAACAGCGATCCCGAGACGCTAACAGATCTTACAAGGATGGTAAGTTGTAAAAATTGTCTCATAGCGCCCTCTATTGGCCATGGTGAAATGTGATCATGTGACCTTTTACGTGATCCGATCTTTAAAAAATCCTTCCCAAAGTGTAGATTAGGCCCCCCCCAAAAAGTCTCCGGTTTCTGGTATGCGCGCGCGTCGCCGTAGCCATGCGCGTCGGCAAAATGAAAAAGGTTTTTTTTCAATGAAAGATGATGTCTAAAAACCGCCAAACTCACTGGTTTGACTGGAATCCTGCTGCTGCACAATTTTAATGTGTTTTTAGATTGGGTTATGGTCAAGAACAAGCTTTATGTGGCCTCTCTGGACTCCCATATATTTGCATTAAGTTTAGTCAGGCACCATTTGCAGTCATCAGCCAACATTTGAAGCAAAAAAATCAGGTAAAAAAAAAAAAAAAAAAGCCGCGTCGCCGCACCACTTTTTGGGTAAGCTCCATACCAGAAACCGGAGACTTTTTTTTTTGGCCTTAAATGAATGATCTTGTAAATATCAGTTTCAAATTGCCTGACAAATATAGAAATGTACTATTGAACCACATTTGGTAGCACTTGTATTAACTACAGGGTTTGAAAACTTCAGTGTCTATGGTAAATGTGGATCAGGTGTACGCTTCACGATAAGTACGCCATTAGTGCAGATAATGCAAATGAGATGTATTCATGATTTCAGAGTCGGATTCCAAACAGCAGCTGAACAGTTTACAGTATTTGAAGCAGACGTGCAATGAGACAATCGCAAGGATCTTAGCCGGAGAAGACATCGACACTGCCGAAGAAGCGGTAAGACTGTACCCATAATGCACCACTGTACATAAATACCCATGATTCCCTGTTAACTACCCGTCATGCCCTGTTATTCTCATAATTCCCTGTTACCCATAATTCTCTGTTACCCATAACTCCCTTTTACCCATAATTCTCTGTTACCCATAACTCCCTGTTACCCATAATTCCCTGTTACCCATAATTCCCTGTTACCCATCATGCCCTGTTACCCATCATGCCCCGTTACCCATCATGCCCTGTTATTTAGCATCTTAAAAATAATGAGATCTTTTTGACCTGTGTTACAGGTTCATGGATGGAAATGCTGGAGATTGTTTCCCTTTTTTTCGGGTTTTTTTTTTTTGGTGAATTTGAAAGGGAAAGGAATTTCATGTTGTCAATACTGGTCGTCATACTCCAACATTCACTTTCATCTGACCAATTTGCTTCACTTTATCTCGCCTTTTAGACAATTTTAGACTTTGCTCATTTCTTCTGCCCTTTCAGAACATCATTTGTGATGCGATCAAGCTAAATGAGTCGTTTGTTGGGAATTTTCATTTGGAGATTCTGGCCAAAATAGGGCCACTTCATCACATCACTTCATCACATCTCTTGGTGTTCCGACTTTCATAGTTTTTGAACTAAAGATGGTATCAGCATGCGGTTTTCACAGCAGTAATGCTGAGATTGTGCTCTTTTCAAATCTGTAAAAAAAATGACCAGGGTCGACAAGAACTCATTTAGCTTGATCGCCTCATATTTGCTCATGCAAAACATTTTATCTTTATACATTTTTACCTGGAATTTGTACTAAAGAATGCACGACTAGTTGGGGTTTTCATTGAAAAATCAATTTTGTCTGCGTATTTTTGTAAGGTAGTATGAACTTGCTTTAAAAATTCATTTAATGACCGTACTTTTTACAAGGTTTTCGTTAGACAGGCAAATCTTTAGTAGAATGGCTTTTGATAAAACAGATTGTGAACACATGTAGTTATACCTTTCATGTCGTCTCCTACTTTTTGTCTCCTTTTGTTGCTATGGCGACCACAGAAAGACCTAGTTGATTCCGAGAGGCCTGGTCAGGGTGACGCTAGCAACACGCTATCACAGGTTGGACCGCGGTGGAGGGATATTTTTGTATTTCTAATCGTCTCGATATTAACATGTATATCTACGCTCATTAATTAATAAAACATTCTCAAAACAATTAGACCGCTGGCAAATATGACATGAATTCAAAGGTTATGTACAACATTTGCACAATCAAAAACAAAACCTACCAAATTACTATGAAATACCTGTACCTGACTGTAAGTGAATAACAGTCTCAAGCATCTTGATAATTCTGGTAATTCTGTCATTTTCAAAAAGAGTGGAATTTTTGTATCAATTTCCAACGCTGGTCAGCCGACCAGCGTTGGAAAAATACCATTTTTCTTGAAGATGTCAGCACACCAGGAGCCACGATTTTACAGGATGCTTTACACTGTCATTCCCTAACAATCCAGTAAGGTATTTTGTGATAATTTGATCATTTCGTAAATTGTGATGTTTCCTTTAAGATTAGCAGCCTAGCTTAGGCATGCTAAGCTATTGTATGACATGGCAGACAATGTCTCCTTTTTATCTTCACCTGAAAAGGAAACACCGATCATAAGGGCCTTACTGTCCATGAAAGTTGAAACTCATCTATCTCATGTTTATGTTGTTGGACATTCACTTCATTCATCCAACTAACTGTTTTGTAATTGACAGGTTAAACTTTCTAACAAGTAAAATCTTCCTTCCTGTTTTAGCTTTCTCTCTGTCTGCGATTTTTCTGTTTGGGAGAATAAATTACAGTGTGGCGTGATTGATTCATTAACTGCAGCATGTTTCTATCTTTGTTCTCTGTCGATGCCGTTATCTGAAAACAGCAACTATTAACTTTAATAAGGCAAAAAAACCCAAATGTCTGCTTCCGGTTACCCGACCAACCCAATTTTTAGGCCGCTACCCTAAAAATGTTATCGGCAAGTCGAAAAAAAAATATATAATAATGAATAAACAATTTTTATAAAATCCTGTTGTCTTTTCTGTCTTCACAAAACACCTCTCAACAACCCTTTTGTGTCAAAAATGCTTGTATTTATTTGTTTGCCTACTTACATTCGCTATTTTTTGTAGAAGAAACCTCTTTTGTTTTTACAAGTTCACTTCGCGACAACTAGTTCGCAATTCGATGTGGCGGTGAAGATATGAAAACACGTGCGTAATGCCCAATGCAGTGATGACTGGTTCCCGCCGCACCGCTCACTGAAAGGGCCAAAGACGGCATGATGGAAATGCAGTAACCAGTCTATGCATAAATACAAATTCCTACTTACCCATTTTTGAAAGGCATGTAATCGGAAGCAGTATTTTTTTTTGGCCTAATTATATTTAACTATAAATAACTGTTGTTAGAGGTCGCTTGATAAGCAACGTTTGAAGCAGATGATGCTGTCATGCATTTACGCTGTTCATTTCATTCAGCATAACTATGAATGCCGCTCTATTTCTCACATGTACCAGTAGTCCTTTCCACTTTTTCTAACATCTAACTTGTAATTTCTTTCCAACTAGCACATCTAGACAACTTTAGACAAGTGCACTGTATTTGGCAGGATTGAGGCTATATGGCAAAAGTGTGTGGCTGATTTTTGAGGATGCACTGTGTCAAGGTCTTGGGCCGGACCTTGTGTTGTTTATGCTCAGCTTTGCATAAATTTAGGCCTAAACTATACTTGAAATCTTCCGTATGAAATCTTGAAATCTTCCAATATGTCACTGACTCTGCCTCAACATATTGACAGTGATTGCTGGAGGATTTTGCAGGATTGAGGCAGTGGTCACCCCTCCAAGGACCACATTCAAGAAATAACAGAGGATTTTGGAGGATTGAGGCTGTATGCAATTTTTACATGGAGGCAGTTGGAGGGTTTTGCAGGATTGAGGTTGCATCCTAGCAAAAATGCCTTGGGAGTTAGGATTAAAGCTGTTACTGCTTGCAAGAAATGCTGAACTTATAGCTATCTAAGTTGTAGTTTAAAACCTTTCAAAAAAATACCCAAGCTTTTCTTTAAAAACCTGAATTTCTTAGGCCAATGTCGGCTTCAACTTAATTCCTTATTTACAATTTTCTCTTCTAAATTTCTTTTTCTTTTGTTTGCAACTCCTGAGAAATTGTCGCAAAGCAAGGCAACACTAAATGGCAATAAAAAATAAAAATATATTTTCCAAAGCCTCAAGTTCTTAATTATCTTATTGTTTCCCATTTGTATTTGTTTTCTACTTTTCAGCAGAATTCAGAGGATGGCTTGGCATTCAATAGTCTGTATTCCTTGCCTCTCAACATCATCCTTGTTAATAACATAGCTGTATCGCATTTCATCGGTAAGTCATTTTATTGTCTTACGTGATAATAACACCATGGAATATTATGCAAATATTGAGTGGCTCAGAGTGAAAAGGAAAGAATATTATTGCAAGGTAAAATCTGGACTTTTCCATTTTTTTATGAGGCGAAGCCGAGTGACTTGGGAAATGTATTTCTCTCTTCCAAACCACCCCTACACGAAAATGTTTGAACCCAACTCTGTAGCGCTGGCTCTTTGGAACAATACGCGCTGCGTGCAACGCTGAATGCGCAATGCTGAACGCGCACACCGTGGAACAAGAATGATCCTAACTGTTGAATAGTAAATCCCATTCACCGTGGGCGAATGGGACTTTTTGAGCCCCTGCGTGAATTGCAGCAATAACGAACGTCACGTGATGTGAGTTCCACCAATCAAATGACAACGATCTGTATGTCAGTTATATAAAATTTGTTTTTATCGGTGCTGTCTGCTTTGCCTTTGATGACCATGTGAGAAAAAAAATTCTCCAAAATTTTGCATTCGCTCTTTCCCCTCTGTCTGTCAGATTTCATGCGGAATGTTAGCGGCCAGGCTTACGTCTTCTTCTGGCACACGGTGGAAGGCTTCCGAGTCATGGCGGAGCAGCAACTCTCAGAGATTCACCTCCAGAGTCTACAGCCGGCCAACAAGAAGAAACAAGAACAAAACGCTAGCTTGGACATGATACGCAAAGCAGCGCTAAATATCTTCCAAGAGTATCTCGCTGAAGATGTAAGTAGAGTCATTCCCTCGTAGAGTCATGTTCAGGCGTGATATGTGTATATTGACCAGCAGTGAGGGCACTAGTAACAAAGAGTCACATGTTAGCCTGGATATGATATGCAAAGCGGCGCTTAATATTTTCCAGGAGTATCTTGCTGAAGATGCTAGTACAGTCATTTGGGGGGCAATATTCATATATTGACTGGCAGTGGGGGCACTAGTTACAAGAAAAACTACATGTATGAGTCGCATGCTCGCCTGGATATGGTACGCAAAACGGCGCTTATTATGTTTCGAGAATATTTTGCTGAAGATGCAAGTACAGTCGTTTGGGGGGCAATATTCATATATTGACTGGCAGTGAGGGCACTAGTTACAAGAAGAACTACATGTATGAGTCGCATGCTCGTCTGGATATGATACGCAAAACATCGCTTGTTATGTTTCGAGAATATCTTGCTGAAGATGCAAGTGCAGTCATTTTGGGGGCAATATGCATATATACAATGGTAGTGAGGGCACTAATATTCTTTCAGCAGGAGCAAGAAGACAATCATTACATAACATAGAACAGTCGTTTGTGCCCTTCCACGAATACAAATCTGCAATAATCAGATGGCTGTTTCATGTCTGTTTTTCTTCAGGCAACAAACCGAGTGAAACTCGAGAAGCAAATCGTCCAGAGGACAAACCAAAGAATCAAATCTGACGAGCAGTCAGACACTGTGTTTGACGAAGCCCAGAGAAGGGTGAGTAAATCTCGCTGGTTTCCATAGCAACACCAGTCTTGGCATTCTGGTTAATTTGACACGGTTACTCATAGTAAAAAGATAAGTCAACTGATTAAAGAGTTAAATACCGCTGAGCTTAACAATTATGATGACTGGAGTTCACATGATGTCGTTAACCCTGATCGTCATCATCATCATCACTTCCATTTAACGTCCATTTTTCCCACGTTGTGGGGTGAGACGTTGTCTTTCCTTAATGGCCCTGTTCCACGCAGTCCGATTTCTGACATCCACATTGGCGAGGTTGGACAGTCTGAGGTTTTCTGCCAGTGTCTCATCCTAGGTCTTCCGTGGCCTGCCTCGTGGTCTCGAACCGACTCTTTCCAAGTTCCATGCTTTCTTTAGCCAATGGCTTTCCTCCCTTCTTACTACATGTCCATACCATCTCGATTTGCCTTGCCTGATCTCGTCTGTTATCGGCAAGCTTATATACATTCCTGACTTAATTGATTGGTTTTTTTTTGATGCGACAGGTGTATGGGATCCTGCAACAGGACCGGTTCTTCCCAGCCTTCAAGCAGAGCAACTACTACGTCAAATGCTTAGAGGAGCTAGACCTCCTGAAGCCTGACGACAACAGCGGACGGTTGGGAGACGACGACATGACACAGGTGGATTCCTCGCCTGACATCAGCAATGCTGGGGTAAGAAACAAATTCAATTTCATTCCCAGAGGTGCAACTTTTCCGATTTTAATCGGAAAATCCGACTTTTCAAATTTCCAAAATTCTGATTTTCCTGATGAACGTGCCCCTGCAAAATCTGAGTTTTAAAATTATATGGAAATGGAATTTGATATAAACAGCACCGCGACATCTGTATTGGGAGTGCAATTTTAATCTGTTCTGCCAGTTGTCAGTGCTCAGATTGTACCGTAGACACACATAAAGCCTGTATTGTGAATTGATTTTTTTAGAATTTTTTTTAGAACCACAGGAATAGATTAAACAAAAGATACAATACCCATATATTCGTGTTGTGATGTTAGTCCTGAATAATTTGAAATAATTGATCAAACTTTTTGGGTTTTTTTTTTTGCTTGCAGTCATCTGAGGATTTGTCATCCATAGGCAGCCAGGGCTCACTGGAGCAAGTAGGCCTACAAACAAACAACTCTTCCCCCGACAGCACACCTAACATCACGGCGATCATCACACACTCAAGTTGGTATCATTCAAATAAATCGAAAACATTCTAAATACAGTCAGTTTTATTTTATAGTAACCGTCCTATGCAAACATACATTCTGTGCCAAGTGGTCCTTTCAGTCAAAATCAATCAAGTGACTGTTTTCAATGGTTAAGAGCTCCCTGCCTACATAGAGCAGGATTGACTGGCTGTAACTTGATACAGCTTTGCTTTGGCTGTTGGTAATTGATAAGCCAGCTGTGCCCACAACTTGCCTGCTTTGTCTGTTCATGTCTGTTGACTAGGTTTATTTATTTATTTATTTATTTATTTATTAGATAATTTCTCAGGCAGGAGACAGTTGAAATATAAAAATATAAGCCTAGTCACAGTGCTTGCTTGACATATGATCTGACTGCTGGTGACTAGCCTGTGTTAAAAGTATAGCAGAGGAAGTGGATGGAAATTTTGACCGTCTGCGACTGTTTAAATAGCAGGAGGGTTAACCTGCAGACTTTTCCGTATATGCCACCAGCTGCAAACTTTGATGCAATGCAGTTTTTCAACTCTTTGATAATGACAGAAAGGAAGTTTTTGGAGGGCGAACGGAAGGCGGATTCATGTAAATTTGAATTTCTTTAATTTGCAGCTCTAGTCAAAGAAAAAGGCACACCGTACGCGGTGTACGCGATCCACGTCACGCGGACGGACAGCAAAGGAGTGACTGAAATATGGGACGTGTTCAGACGTTTCAGCGATTTCCACGACCTGCACATGTGTCTGACGGAACGCTTTGAGAGTCTGTCGTCGCTGACGCTACCAAGCAAGCGAGCCATCCGTAATACCACCAAGAGTTTTATCGACAAGAGGGGGAAGGCTCTGACTGTCTATCTACATGTAATTTGCTCAATCTTTTTAAGTCAGACATCTGTACTAATGCTGTGCATCGGGTTGGTTGACCAGGCCAAACCGACTCAAAACGTTACAGATATAAACCCAATCCGAACCGAAACTGATCCCTAACCAACCTGACCCAACAAAAATTCGAGCAAAAACTGGCCCGAATCCACGCGACCCGAAATAATCCAAATATCTGGCTGGGGCAACTGTGTCCGCTTTTTCACTGCGTCGCTTGAAAATTGTAGTCTCTCATTAAAGAATTGTATCGTTGGGTAGGGTGACAACTCATAATGTTACCTACTGGTGGGCCTATATACATGTACACATTATAGATAGTGTGTGATAGACCGCAAACCACATGCACATTTGTGCAGTGGGTTGAGGTTGGTCGTACCAGGCACAGGAACTCTGCAATAATTATTGCATCGCGTGAATTTCCGAACTGTGTCAGGTTTTTTTGGGGGGTTTATTTCGGGTTTTCACAAGATGGCTTAACCGACCCGACCCGACCCGAAAATCGCAAAAGCAAAAGAACACCTGAAATACAATGTATGGCTGCAATGGATCTTCACAGTGATTAGGCATTAAGACGTAGAAGGCAAACGTCAAGATTCAACTTTGGAACAGCTGTTTGGTGTTGCGCTTGTCTATTAGGTTTTTTAATATCAAATGCTATTCTCAATATTTTAAAAAATCTTAAAAAATAACACCTTGTTTTTATTTTGCTGTTCAGACGCTACTTAATGCCGACGTGCACAGCAGCAACCCGGGCATTCAAGCCATCATCTGTAACTTCCTAGAACCGGGGGTGTACAACCGAAGCAAGGGACAGCTGGCAAGAAAGGTACACTGAAATGGTCCATGAGAAGAGTTTGCTCATTAGCTTACTGCCATGTGCTGACAGGACAAATCACCAAAGAAAAGAAAACTCACGATGGCAAAATATCCAAAATTCTGGCAATTTTTGGTGCTGAAATAGCTGCCTGAAATGACATCACATTTTTGCTCAGGAATACGGAAATTCGCATTAACATAGTAATCAAAATGTTACCAAAGTACCCTTTAAAATGGCAAAATGAAAATTGAAAATAAGGTTAAATGGGACACAAATGTGCATTTTCATTTATTGCATTAAAACAATTACATTGCACGTGCCCTTTAAACCTCCCCCCTTCTCCATCCAAGACCACTCCCCCGACTTATTACAAACCAAGAGTTGTTAGTCATAAATACATTCGCTTTCTAACTCGACACAGATGGATCACCTTGTGAATCCATTCAAGACCGGAGTGCGTAACGTGGCCCACACCGTGCGCTCGGTACCCAGCAACCTGGTCGACGGTGTCAACCTGGTATCCGATAAGATGACGGACAGCATCAACAAAGTCTTCACCAACAAGGTGAGACCCATAACGTAAATAAAAGTATTTCTGGTAGCTACCAGATTTGAAAGATCTCTGTCTTAATTTTGATGCTACTTGTTCATTCTCTGTCTTTATGTAAGAGGCTAATACTTGTTTGGTGTTTCTTTGACAGTCTCGTGATGAGGATCTGGAAGACTTTGGTCGGGTCTCGGACGTCATCAAGGCAGACGTGAGTCGATCAGTTTTTTTTTAAACCCTTGCACCAACTCCATTCTGTGATTCCAGGAGCCCATTTCACTTTCACGCAACAATGCGTCTTAGCTTGGGTAGCTCATCTTATCTCACGACTTGTCCTTGGATCGATTTCACCAAACTTAAGATGCGTTCAACACGTCCTAACTTCCTTAGCAACACAGCTGAACTCGTCTTAACTTAAGATCAGATCTAGGAGCGTCTTATCTTATGAACAGTGTGTTGATTTGTGTATATAATTTTTTTCATCAAGCCTTTAAAACAACATTGAAACGGCCATCAAGTCGGTAATTGTGATGCGTCTTGCTTAAGATGCGTTGAGTGAAATCGGTCTAAGGATGCATCTAGGATCAATCTTAGAGCGGGGACTCGTCTTAAGTCCCAAGATGAGTCGTAAGATTAAGACGAGTTTCGTGAAGTCAGCTCCAGGGGTACTTCAGTGAAATCCCAACCATACCAAATAACAGGCTGCTTGCTAAGGTCTGTCACAAAACCTCCATTCTGTGACTGAACTTTTTTGAATTTTTTTAATCACTGACAGGACGACGACAACATTCCACTGAGAATCATGCTGCTTCTGATGGACGAGGTCTTTGATTTGAAGAGCAAGGATCAGTGGTTACGACGTCAGGTGGCCACACTGCTCAGACAGATCATCAAGGCAGCATTCGGGAGCAAGATTAACAGGTAGGTAGACAGAGAGGTTGACTGACTGACAGACAAACGAGCAACAGGCAGGTAGGCAAAGAGATAGACAGACAAACAAGCAGGATGTGCCTCGAGCAGCAATAGTCAGGAACCACCAACTTACAAGTAGGGCCGGATAACTCGGTTGGTAGAGCACCTGAGTGGCAACCCGGAGGTCGCAGGTTCAAACTCTCTCTGGTCAATTTCTTTGTTCAACTGAAAAAAAAAGGATATCCGATGGACATTTGTGTTTGGAAGGATGTGTATATTGAATATTGGGTTTTGTTCCATAATACAAAATGTATTAAGCATTGTATAGTCAGCGCTGTCTGAAGGCTAGAAAGAAAAATTCACCAGTTTTTCAGATGGGACTCGAACCCACAACCTCCTGCTTACTAGTGCAGATGTCTTACCACTCGACCACCAAGCTTGCTGGTTGGAAAGTAACATATAAGCAGCTACTTGAATCTAGATGAGTTGCAAGATTTTCTGAAGCACTTCAATAAAGTAAAGACTGTTGTTTTCATTCCATAGCAAAATTGTGGAGAGTGTGGAGGGGTTGACATCACCGGAGCAAGTGGCTGATTATGCCAAACAATTCAGGTGGGTGATTCCTTGTTACATAATGGACAGGTGCAAAGACAAAACAGGTGTAAACAGCAATTAGATAATTGCTTTGCTCAGAATTTGTTTATGCAATTTCTTGACATTGCATCTTCTGTTAACAGTTTTTTTGTTTTTTTTATCCCAGGGAATCTTTCTGGCCTGGCGGTATTTTGGCCGAGTCGGCGCCGGAACGCAGCAAGAACGACAAACTACGGACTCTGGTGGCGGCTAAAGTCAAACTCTTTAGCAGTATACCAGGTAATCATATCTGGAAATTGAAATTGTAATCAGGAACATAATTGCAAATGATTAATCATTATTGTGCCCATTTTCTTTCCCTTGCTTGGGACAGACGAGTTGAAGAATTTCATCGGCAACGACACGAGTCGGCGCGGGATGCTGCGCCTGATGCAGATGCTGCAGAATAAAGTCCTGAACAAACGTCTTCTCTACGTCGTCTTGGAGGGCCTGCTGACCATCATCTTCCGAACCAACAAATTCAAAGAGATCTTCCGCAAGTTGCACAGCCAGTCGCCGCGGTTGCGACAGCGAAGAGAGAACGGCGGCAGCAGCAGCAGCGGCGGCAAGCTGCAGACGCAGATGTCGCAGCCGGCCGCAGCGGTGCGCAGGCGGCACTTGGAGCGATCAGATACAAGGTGACCCCGGAGGGAGGGGGAGGAGTCAGTGGAACAGCCGGCGTAGCATCAAGTTTTTACAGTTGCATTGGCGCGGCACACAGCCTGCCCAAACTGAAGGGCAGGTGATGCCAGAGGGAGGGGGAGTCAAGGATAGCACAGCCAGTCTGATTGAATATCATGTACACAGTGATGTTGGTTCATACTGTTAATCAAATAAGTGACCCCAGAGGGAGGGAGAGTAAACACCAGAACAGCCACACCAGTTTGCATATAACTCACGATGACATTGCCATACAGTCTTGACATTTTGTAGGGGGAGGAGGTATGATTGATTGAACAGGTATTCCAAGTAGTTTGCGTGTTGATTTCCTGGGTTGCATGGAAGGTATGTCCCGATACTGAACCTTAGATCGATTCTCCATCAGAGGGAGGGGGAGTCCAGCATGGAACAGCCATACGAGCTTAGTATTGAATTCAAACTAGACACATTGGCATTGGCGCTCAATCCCAACAAATTTGAGGGCAGTAGGTATAGCTGATGAAATGTTTGGGGGGAAAAAAACAGTCGTAGAGTTTTAAAATGGACCACTTTTTGTAAATTAGACACTGAACAAAAATCCACAAATACTACGATAAAACACCCAGTCTAGCTTTTATATGGAGTCATGAATAACAAAAGAAAGTGAAATTCTGAAGATGACGAAAAGCAAAGTAGAAATTGACACAGATTCCTGAAAAACTAATGGTCTTTAGAATGAACAAAAAAAATATACCAAATTTTTCAATTCTTGACAAATTCCTGAACTCTAAAAAAAAAAATTCCATATCTGTCCAAAGTGAGTGTATATATTTTATACCAGACGTGTTAAATTTTTTGAAAAAAATCATGAATATTTTCAAAAAAGATTATGTCATTCACGGAATTTATTTTGTGAGTACTCTTGCCCTGCGTGTTGTGTTTGTATTTTTAGTCGAAAAATTCTGGCCTGAAAAATAAGCTGTACATAAGAGTGGTGTGGCAAAAATTGTATAAAAATTCTAAAAATTATACCGAGAAGGGTGTAGGAAATAGCGACCAAGCCTGAAACCATTTTTGAACGTTCCTCCATCAGGAATTTTTAAAAGGAGTCTTACTTAGGAACAAAATCAGTATTTTTTTTTTTTTTTTTAAAAGGAGTGTTGTGTGTGACAAGTTTTCTGAATGAGAAAGTGAGAGCGTTTGTAATTTGAGTGTCGCCCTCTAGTGTCGAATCCTGATTACTTTTTCCCACAACAAAGGGAGAGGGTTTAATTACAGGAACGATCGATAAAAAAAATGAAAAATATGAGAAAATGCAATAATCAAGTGGTGCAGCATGTATATACATTTTTCAGCCATGTTTTCTTGTACCGACACACATTTTTTGTGGGAGGAACTATTTTGTAACGCACAATGTTTAAATCGGTGTGTCCACAATTCCAAATGTTTTCTGTAGACGACCAAAAGCATTTCTATCACTTCTGTTTTTAATCGGGCCGGGGAAATAATTTCTTTTGTATTGTAGACAATTCGGGGGCCAATTTGTATGGAGCTGTAGACACAAATTAATGTCAACACTGAAAAGTTTCGGTTAACAAAAAATGTACTGCACCTTTAAAAAATTTTTTTAAATCTCCAGACACTGAGTCCCTTTAACATCATATTCAAGGTTACTTGTTTACACAATTGAAGTAATTTTGTTTTTCCTTGGTTTAAGAACAAAATGGAACGATTTTCAGCATTTTAAAAAGTAACTCATATTCTGTATTACTATTTTTATGCATCATTTTACAGCTTAGCTATGCAAACAAGGCCAAACTATCATCCCACCTTTGAAACACTGCAAAGCAAATATGAAATCACTGCACTGTGACTACACGTAGTTGATGCGCGTCATTCCCAATGCATTATGGGATTTTTACAGCAAGGTAATTTCTCGAAAACTTTAGCCGTTGGATAAACTGTTCGGCGCATTCCCAAATTAAAGCATTGCGCATTTGAATATACACAGTGTTTTTTACATTAAAGCGCATATATTTGCGCAAAAATATTTGAGCAATGATGCACAAATACAACTAGAGGCATTGGCCTTTCCCTCTCATAACCAAAAGAGGGTTTTGTTACGTATTACACTCGCCAATACAATGTGACAAGTATTAAACCACAACCCTAATTAAAAGTACAGTACATCATATTTGTGAATTTTTTTTTTCGTTTGAAGCAACAAAAGCGGTCAAAATCTGAAGGAGGGTGCTTAACAACTAACCTGATAGAGTTTTAGCTCAGTGAATGCTGTGTATTCCGAGAAAACAATATTCTAGGATCTTGATTTCAATTGCAAAGTTGCCGAGTCATGTTTTGAATTGCACCCGAAATCAGCGTCTGGGACACGTTCTCATTCAGCTGATTGCAGCTACGCGATATCACGCACCGAACTGATAAATTGTAGCAACGGTGCGGGGTGTGTGCATTGTGTCAACGCTTGCGTGCACCACTCACCGAATTAAAAACAAATTACTAAATGGAAATTTCCAAAAATGCATCGTCAGATGCATCTTTGGAAACGACCTTCTCTTGTCATTTTCTTCAAAATGACAGCATGCCAGAAAGAATAATTTCACAGGGACTTTAGTGCCATTACTATCTTTAAACCAAAGTAACCATGTCAACAATAATTTTGACAGTTACTTTTTGGATAGCTGCAAAAGGATGTACTACCTTTAAACGAAGTTGTGATTGAAACAAGAGTGCAGTATATTTCCGACACTCAAATGTGACTGGTATGTGTTAAAATGAATTTTATTTATGATTAGATGACAAAAAAGAAAAGTGCAATAAGTTAATTTGCTATTGTGTACGCTTTGCGCTGCCCCCTAGAGTCGGGGAAACAAAATGTCGGAGTGAGGAATCATAGTCTACTAGTTTCATGATTTAATTTCAAAAGAGCTCGGATTGAATTTCAATCTGCGATTTGAACAATCAGAGAAATTCCCCTAATGGGCACTTTGTGTTATTAGTTGGTTCCGAGTTTTTACTTACTGGAAAAATGTAGGCTTTACTCCTGAAATATTTGTGTTTAAACCAAAATGTTGGCAGAGATTTAGAGCCTCAAAATTTTAGTTCGGATGATGGGTTTGGTTGATTATTGGGAGGGTTAAAACTTGCTTGTTTTTTTTTTGTTTTTTTTTGGTCACCAAAACAGAAAAGGAGAATGAACTTTGATTTCTCATAATTTTATCCAAAATACACGTGTGACCACTTTCAAGCTTGACACATGCTATTCTTGATTATACTTCACAGAATGTAACTTTGATATTTTTGTACACGGAATTAAATGTCATTCAAAATGGACTTTCATTTTCTGGACTTATTCTTTCGCTGAATTTTACTCGTATAGTCATAATGATGTATTTGTATATTTGTTATCAATATATCAGGTTTATATATTGCCATGGCTTGTATTAAGTTTACTACTTTCATGCTTTCATATACCCAGAGATTGCCTAATAAGCCCCTGTACTAATGACGTCACACTTGGTTTACATGTGCACTTTCCTATGGAGCCAGTGGGGGCCCACGGTCCACTGAGCACCACCATAGGAAAGCACACACGTAAACAAAGTGTGACGTCATTAGTACAGAGGCTTATTCTATGGTAACATATCAGCAGGTTTCTTGTGTATGTTTTGGGCTCGGTTAGGCAAGCGGGGAGAGGGCAGACTAGTCTATGAAATAGATTTTTGCAAAGGTCAATGATATGCGTGCAGATTCGGCGATTAATTATGCAAAATAAGACTGTCTTGACCTCGAGATTCTGACCATTCAGTGGGCGCCTTGTATCGGGTCTTCGGTATATCAACAGCTTAGTCCACATTTCTGATCGAATTGATGTCATAATTTCTAAACTCGACTCTGATTGGCTGGTGCGCGGGTCGCATAAAATTTGCAATGCAAACGTTAACTTCGTACCATTGCTCTGTACACGTGAATGTCTCAGCCTGAGACTAAGGGAAAACACCCCCCCCCCCCCTCGAAAAAAAAGAAAGAAACCCAAAACACCCAACCTACCTGAAACTGCCCCTGGGGGGGGGGGGGGGGGGATTATCCCCAAATTTAGGCCCGACGCACTGTTTCATGTCAGTGTCTAATGTCTCTTCGTAAAAACCTCTTCGAATTTGGATTTTCTAAACTACTGCCGATTTTGTGTACGCCGATATTTCCACTTAACGCCCGATCAGATTTCAACATTTTCACAGACCAACATTTAGTAAACAATGTGTCAGTGATGTTTGGAAACGTCGGTCACAAAATTGGGGTAATGATGTTGAACTTTTTACTGTGAAACGTTGTGTTAATCCGTGTATGGAATTATACCATATATAGCGTCATTCATGTATTATATGTTGTCTATTTTCAAATAGAATGTAAGAAAATGTGATTTATTTTTATAAATTAACGTCAAGCCACCCCTTTTCCGAGGCACAATGCAGTATAAATGGTGAATAAACAATTGAATATGAAAGATCTAAATTATTACAATGTGTGTAACATGTTCATGTAATATCAGTAATTTGAAATTACCCTCATTTGCATAATTATACATATGTATCGTCATTTGTGTAATTATTCATAAAATGTTGCGAATGTGTGTAGCAGATGTTATGTTTGATGCCATAATTATACTGATGTAGATTTTTTTTTGTACCGGAAAAAATTGAACACAACATAAACTAATATATATTTGGAGGGCCAAGAAATAAAGAAAATAAACACGGTGCATGTTTCATTTGCATGCAAAATCTTGACTTACTTGAATGTTAATTAACTGTTGAAATATTTACAGTTGAAATCTTGACTTCATATAAAAATTGTTACAGCAAGACAAATGATTAAAACACATTCTGCGGTTTTTAATTACAACTTGCACAACAATGCCAAATCAATATCACGCTATGACCTTTCGTTTCCTTGTAAGAAAAAGGAACACTTTTATGAAGATGTCTTCAGAAACTCTTGAACTTTGTAGAATTTTAACCGAGTCTAGACATGGAGAGGACTGTTGAAGTTGCAGAACATGTAGTCAATCAATGAACTATCCTGATATGTCTGAATTATTTTGCCCAACAAGAATAACTATTTTCATGTACATACATGTAAATTTTTGATATAATTACCATATGCTTCTGAAGTGCAATATTATCATTTTATTATCACGTTTTAATCATAAACCGTTCCATAAAGAAAAGCTTTCTTTTTTAAACAAGCTTGAGGAAACTCCAACATGCATGCCCCCAAAGAAATTCAATTGCTACATTTAAGATGTCAATCTTGATGTGTACAATAAATTAAAATTTAAGACTTTAACAATGCACGGTAAAATGGTTGAAGCCTCTGATGGAAAAAAGTTAACACTCGTAATAAAGTGACTAAAGTAATATGGCAATGGCTGCATCCAGCAATGGCCAATGGCCAGTGCATCTCACAAACTTTGTTAAGTTCCTAGTGGAAACTTAGTTAAGTTCCTAGTGGAACTTGGTTAAGTTCCTAGTGGAAATCTAGTTAAGTTCCTAGTGGGAAGTTAGTTAAGTTCCTAGTGGAAACTTAGTTAAGTTCCTAGTGGAAACTCGGTTCAGTTCCTAGTGGAAACCTAGTTAAGTTCCCAGTGGAAATCTAGTTAAGTTCCTAGTGGGAAGTTAGTTTAGTGCCTAGTGGAAACTTAGTTAAGTTCCTAGTGGAAACTTGGTTAAGTTCCTAGTGGAAACTTGGTTAAGTTCCTAGTGGAAACTTGGTTAAGTTCCTAGTGGAAACTTGGTTAAGTTCCTAGTGGAAATCTAGTTAAGTTCCTAGTGGGAAGTTAGTTAAGTTCCTAGTGGAAACTTAGTTGAGTTCCTAGTGGAAACTCGGTTCAGTTCCTAGTGGAAACCTAGTTAAAAACCTAGTTAAGTTCCCAGTGGAAACTTAGTTAAGTAACTTAGTTAAGTTCCTTGCAGGAATTTTGCTAAGTTCCTAGTAGGAACTTCGCTACATTCCTAGTGGCAACTTCACTTGGTACCTAGTGGTAACTTCGCCAAGTTCCTAGTGGCAACTTCGCCAAGTTCCTAGTGGCAACTTTGCTAAGTTCCTAGTGGCAACTTTGCTAAGTTCCTAGTGAGAGCTTAGGCCCCCTGAGGTACAACCTCTCAACACGATATTGTTTTGAAACGTTTCCAAGTGTGTTCTGTATTAAATTTCTTTATTACAATCTGTGCTATACAATGTATTAGAGGCGCGGAGGTTGATTGTGATCACTTGAAGAGCAGTTTCCATTTCGATTCGCCTTCCTTCAAGTTGTAGCTGGGACTGTAACTCCTGTCGTGATTCTGAAATTCAGAGAAACAAAACGATGGAATAACTCCCAGGAATTCACTTTTTGATGGACAACAGGTATGTGTTAACCAAGTAGTAGCACCTGTAAACTGTATCTGTATCACATTGTATTTTCTCCCTGAAAAAAAAATGTTAAAACCATAGAGTGCTCGGCAGTTTCTGGCAGTACAGGGAGTAGTAGGCAGGGTGCTTTGGGGTGGAACAGGGAGGAAATGGTTAACGATTAGGTACAGGAGAACGTGTGGTCCAGCGGTGGAGCACAGGATTCATGATCGTGAGGTTGTGGGTTCGAGCCCCGCCGCGGCCATGCGTGTTATGCCCTTGAGTAAGGCGCTTTACCTGAATTACTCCTCTCAACCCAAGTGTTAAATGGGCACCGGCATTATTCAATGCTGGGAAGGTAACAGACTCGCTGTGGAGGTGGTGTGGCGATCCCCCACAGCAGCATATGAGTCTTGCCCAATCGCTGAATGAATGAGAGGTGGGCACTCCGTTCCTGTGAACACGGGTTCGTCCCCTTTACCTTTACTTTTACAGGAGAACTGTTTTTGTTTTCTTTACAATTAGAACGGATGAAAAACGTGGTACTGTGGTTGCACTTAAAACTCAAATCCATGACAAGGAACCACATTTTGATTTTAAGGTTTTATCATAATTATATACAAAATTTATAATTTTAATATTTAAATGTCAAAACAGACATATTCCTACAGTAGTCTGATTTCACAAAAGGGATATTTCAACTTCTTTTAGGTATTACCTACCTCTTCGAATTCCCTCGTCATGTCATAGAACTCCTGGGCCCCGAATGTCAACTCGGGAAGATATTTGGGGATGTCCATGCAGCGTGCAACATGGAACTTGTTGAAGACACTACACAAATGTACAGAACACAGTTAAATAGTATTGAACCAAAGCCCTAGATGAAATGATCCATTTCAGAAACGTAGCCTAACTCACATTAACCCTAACCTTCCCAATTTTCTGTGGATCCCGAGATGTTCGTTATAGCGGCGTCCCACTGTACAGACGGGGCTGTCTACATAAATACGCAGAGAATTTGTTTTTATAGTATTAAACATGTGACACTCACAATCTGTAGAGCCTGTCTAGGGTGATGTCGTCGTCATCGTTCCAGGGAAGATGCTTAAACTTCAGCATCTGGATTTCATCCACGACCTTGAGAGATTAAACCATCAGAGTTTGCGTGGCGTCAGTTCTCAGCTCGGAGATATTATATTCATAATTATAGAAGCCTTGAAAACCCACCTGTGCAAAACTTACGGAAATAATCATGTGCTTTCATGTATTGACCTCAGTGTGTATGAAACAATGGAAAGTTAAATACTGCTTTAACCCTTGCCCTGCCAGACGCAATACGGTGCATCAGGTGGAAAAGTCTGGTGCACTTTGATGCATTCTGCTATCAACACCGGTGCATAAACGGCCAGTTTGGAGACAATAAGAGCTAGGCCCATTGAACAATGCCACAGTTGTATCCTGCTGCATTTGGTGACCATGGACAGAGACTTTTGGCCTGATGGATCTTGCTACACCGGGCAGGCTTGTTATTGTGACAAGTGTTGCATAGTGCTGCGTTTGGCAGGGTTTCTAGCCAAAATACCCTGGAGGGATAGGGTTTACACAATTTTATCCTCAGACTAAATGCACTGTTGCTTTATTGACATTTTGTGTGCACTGTGTCGAACAGCAGTTCCGGTGTGTTTAATATCTTTGGGTTCTTTGAGGATTAACAGGTTTTATTCAATCAATTTGATTCGCTGACCTGGTCGACTTCCCCGTACTCGCTCCAGTCGTACCGGAGGACCTCGGAGGTTTCGCTGATCTCTGGCAGGAAGTTGTTCTTGTAGCCGTCTTCGATGTGCTGCAAGTACTCGCCAGGAATCTTAGCCTCCATCTCCTAAAATACAGCGTTAACCAACAATGAAAACTGAAGAAATGTCTGTGGTCAGGGTTCGTCCTTGGCGAGTACTGGCCAAAAATGTACTCGTGAGTATTCGATACTCCCAAATTTTTACCAAATTCTCACAAACGTATGTTTTGTTTCGGAGCACTCAGGGAATCTAAGATAGTCATCCAGTGACCTCTGACCCGAAAATCAGGTTTTTTCTCTCCATCAATTGTTATGGGATCAATGATTAAGTGTCTCGCGTACAAGATTATTATTTGCTTCAAAATCCAAAGAACTCGTTTACCCTTCCTCTTTCCTGGATTCTCTTCTGAAGGACGTCAACGGGGACATCTAAGTAGACTACTAGGTGAGGCGGGCGTAGGCGGTACAGTGAGATGGCTTTGATCTCATTGTAGTAATCATGACCTGCACAGGGAAATAAATGGGTCAAATATATTTCACTAGCCATGTTATATACATATACTGACTGGTAATGAGGGCACTAAGTACACATATTGACCGGTATTGAGGGCACTAGTATACATATTGACCAGTATCGAGGGCACTAGTACACATATTGACCGGTATTGAGGGCACTAGTAGACATATTGACCGGTATTGAGGGCACTAGTAGACATATTGACTGGTATTGAGGGCACTAGTACACATATTGACCAGTAATAAGGGCACTAGTACACAAATACTGACTGGATATAGATTGATTACTCACATGCTCTCCTGAAGTATCCCATTTTCAGCATAGCTTCCATGAAGACGTAGTCGCTGTACACAGATCGCTCCATGACCAAACCCTGACCTAGAAGCAAACAAAAATACTCAAAGGTCAAATAGTAAGGTCAAATAGTAAGGATCAAAATGGTACAGCCCGGTCACTTACAACTTTTAGCTACAATGTGTCATAGTTTTTTATATACCCACAGCAGTAGGTTTTAGTGGATTCTATTATTTTTTCAACCACGCATTATGTTACCTGTTTTTAGAAGGTGCTCAATGACATCGGAATACTGCCTGAATCTCATGGCATACATCATCATCTGCAAGCGGAAGGAATGACCATCCTTGGCGAAGGGGTCCTTGTAGAATTGCTCCAGTGAGACATTACCTGTGAGCGTGAACATCCACGAGAAGAAATTCAACTTATGTCCATGCGAGTTTTTAAAACATTATAATCACTTCAAGAAGTTCAAGGTTACATGTAAACATGGGTGCAGACTCAGACTGGGACCGTGGATGCAGAAAAACATGCAAAACAAATTCAGGCCGACTTGACTCACTCTTAAGCTGACTTGTGATGGACTTGTGATGGATTTGTAATGTATTTGTGAGGACTTGTGTGGACTTGTGATGTATTTGTGAGGACTTGTGATGGATTTGTGATGGACTTTTGAGGACTTTTGAGGACTTTTGAGGACTTGTGATGATTTGTGACAATTTGTGAGGACTTGTGATGGATTTGTGAGGACTTGTGATAAATGTGTGAGTTCTTGTGAGGACTTGCGAATGACTTGTGATGATTTGTGATGAACTTGTGAGAACTTGTGAGGACATGCGATTAACTTGTGAGGACTTGTGAATTTTAGTGATGAATTTTGACCAAACACTGGCACATACTCTTACCGATGAATTTGGGGTCGTATTTCTTTCCCGGTCCCAGTTCCAGCTCATCTAGGTAATGGAGATGAGCCTCGGGGACGTATTTCATTCCCAGCTTCTCAGCCAGCTCCTTGCTGAACTTGCTCTTCCCGCATCCGATGTTGCCGTCAACGACGATGATCTTGCTCCGCTCGTCAAACTTGTGCATGAACTTGTGACCCATGAAGAAGGTGACGATGTTGTCGGTGGAGGTGAACAGGCCTCGGTTCGATGGCTGACGTTTGATGAAGAACAAAGATGTGAGGTTTTATTTCAAGTTGAAGCAACAGTAAATCGAGTAGTTTAGGACCCCATTCCGATTCCGTTATAAGAAGAGAGCGAAGACACATAGGCCTACGGGCCGTACGGGCCCTACCTTAACATTTGGCATCAAATGCACTACATACTAGTACTAGCAGGAAATCGTCACTTTATGTGTTTGGATGGGGATCACTGCGAACTAAACTGACAGGGGGCCTGAACTACATGATCGCCAAAGATAAGGCCAACGCGACCAGGATAGTTTATTCATTACACCCACAAACCTCCCCCCCCCCCCCCAAAAAAAATGAAAAACAAAAGTCAAAACAAATGAAATAGGCATAGGGCGTTATAATAATGTATCAATTGATTGAATTCACGTCTATAAGCCTCCTCTAAACATAACGCTACAGTTACTACGCTAATCTTGCTAAATAAGTGTAAACATCACCAAACATGAAACAGTTACCTGTATCAACGCCAACGGCGCCATTTTGGAAGCCATTCCAACAAATCCACCCAACTTTGTGGCCGACAATTTCAGCTGGGCACCCTGCCGCAGACCGATCCTGCAGATGTGGAAAACCATGACTTGTCTCGAAATGCTTGGCAGCTACTCGTGTCTACCTGAAACACAGAAAACCATGAAATCCGACCATTCTTTGGGTTACCGATCCTGGTCTAGTTAAAAACCGTTCTTGGATTAGGAACTCCACTGGACTTGAACAGCGCCCTCCAGTGGCGACACACTCAGAAAGTCAACTGCCCCCCGCCCCCCCCCCCCCCCCCCCCCCCCCCCCCCCCCGGCCGGCCCCGCGCGCGCCCCCGTAATGATTCCTGTGTAATAATGTATTCTTTAGGCAACTTATGCACATTTGCGAGGGGGGGGGGACACTTTTGCCTTGGACAAGCCCCCCCCCCCCCAAAAAAAAAAAAGAGGTGCGAAATCATATTGTTGCTTAATTTAATGGTTGGGGGGGATGTCCCTGCCCACCCTTGAAAAAATTATCAATCGGGAAAATGCTGGGAAATGGGGGGGGGGGGGGAATTCGAAAATGTACTGTTGTCCCCCTCTAGAAAAAAATCCTGGTGATACACGTTCATATTCACACCTGTCCTTGAAGTTTGTTGGCCTTTTAATATTTTTTTTTATTCGGAGACGTGTAGCTTAAGTGCAGTGGCCTGCAGGAGACTTGAATGTTTTACAATTAACAATATCTGTGAAATGATTTATTTTGTCCTACAAAATACATACATGTACCATGGATGTACATAGCTCTATGGTAAATGTATATGTATTTTTTACGCCTTTTCCGAGAAATTCGTGCAGCAAAATAGTTCCAACTTCGACTGGCAAATTATAGTGCGTCAGGATGACGTCATCGGTCGAAATCCACCGATCATTGGTGGAAATAAATCAGGATATGAATAATTCATGATTATGCTGCTTTTTAATTCCCCGTTTTCCTCGTAAATCGTGCATGATTTTCTCCATTTTCTCCCCAGTATATGTTCTCTAGTTTCGGTTAGATTCGTTTCACAGCAAAGTTGCAGTTGAAAACGTGAAAAAAATCTGCAAATTGGGTTAATATTGTGCTCAGTCATGAATATTCATGACGACGCGGATGGATAACCCTAAATGCCCTTTTGATGCTGCTGCTGATGATGATGACGACGATGACGAAGTCGGCCATGCTTTTGTTGTTCGCCTGCTGTGTTTTGTGTATGTAGTGTGTGCAGTATATGCTGCATGCACTGTGTGTGTATGTGAATGACGCTACGTCGCGTATTTTGACGTGTGTCTACGTAGCAGTCGGGGCGTCCATTCCGATCGCGTCACCGGTGTGACGAGAAATACGTAACCCGGTAAGTACTCGCTCATCTGATCGCCCGTTCACCGGACTGGGTACCAAAACAACAAAGCGTGGCTCTCTACCAACTCTTCCAGGGATCCATGCTTGTTCTTTTGGTTCCCATCGACCCAAAATGGAGGGTAATTTGGGCAGACACGGGAAGGGGAAATGTTGGCAGACGGCCGGTTCCAGCCATCGGAGAACGACTCTCGACATTGCAAATCGTGAGATCACGTTTGCTATGTGCCTTGTGTCTTGATACACTAGCGAAATTTGCTTGCGTTTCTTTGCGGTCTGGTTCGTTTGTCTTGGTTTACAAGCAAGCTGAACAGTCAGTGATGATAAGATTATGAGCAAGTCTTAGTCACACCATGGAGGTAGACATGACATAACGTTTGCGCAGGGAAAATGGGTAGAAAATTGAGCACTGTTTATTAAAAAGTACATGATGAAACCTTGAAACTGAATGACATACTTTTTTATTTCAATTTAGGCCTACATGTTCTAACTTCATAGATTTATAGGCCTAAATCAGCTAATGTATATCGTCAGTCCACCTAAAACAACGAGGATCTATTTTGACGCACTCTCATTCAATTTGCGTTGGACAATGCGCAAGCGTTACCTGCGCCGATTTATATGGTGACTCAAGGATAATGACACAGTCAATTTCAACTTCAAGTTCAAGTCCAGTTGTTCAGTTTTACATTTCAACGGATCCCCGTTTCAACAATTGTATAAAGATTTAAGAAAGCTGATCACAGATCAGGACAGGAGTTTATTGCATTATTTGCAACCAAATTTGCTACGAAGACATTTTGCATGTTAAAAAAATGCAACAGTCGTAATGTTAAACCATCCTTTTTATAGCTCCATGGTTAAACTAATGTTAGATCTATGTCTGTTCGATGAACAGAGCAGGGATTTTCCGCATAATGATTTCATTGTGAGTTTACATGCACAAACAGTTCCATGAAATATTAGCTGTTTCGGCAAATCTTTGTACTGTTGTAGTTCTCTAGATAGATAATTTAAAATACAAACGGGTATGCACCTTTAAGATGACATCTCATGACCCATTATGAGTACGACGTCATCATGACAATTGACATCATCCTAATTTTTACCTATAACACATCCCTGTCTAAGTACATACCTCGTTTCAACCCAATCGCACTTGTAGCTTTCTAGATGTAGGATGCACCTTTAAGATAACATCACATGACCCATGATGATGTCATCATAATGCTATCCATTTAATTCGAACTGTACCTTGGGGTCTGGCACCTTGTCTGTGCGTAGTTTAAAGTAAATCTGACTTAATTTTATGAAGAAGTAGTAGAAAAAATGTAAACAAGTTTTAAAATTTCTAAAATCTCTCAAAAAACATACTATGTACAAAGTCTATTGGATGTCGATTAATAGATCAAAAAGGGTTAAAAAAAAAAGGGGGGGGGAAATCAGAACAAAAACAAACGTTTTTCTGCCCTAAAAAAGGGAAAAAGTACATTAAAGTGAAATCTCGATAAGTCATAACCCGATAACTGGAAAACCCTTCTAACTCAAAGAAAGAACTTATTACTCCTGTCAATTGTTGTTGAAAAGAAGGTCTAATTTGTTGACTCAAAACTCTGCTTAAATTAAAATTTGAGCCAATCCCCCTGAAGTTTGACTTAAGAAGTATCGAGATTTCACTGTACTTTCAGAAAATGAGCAGAGCGGAGTAAGCAGCAAAGTTTCCACATGAATTACAATGATTGACCCTCCTATGCAAATAAACATTCTGTGCCAAGTAGTCCTTTCACCAGTCAAGATCAATCAAGTGACTGTTTTCAACAGTTATGAATTCCCAGCCTATACATCAAGCAGGATTGACTGGCTGGGACTGTTTAAGCACGTTGTAACTTGATACAGCTATGCTTTGACTCCCAGTGAGTGATAAAACAGCTGTGACCACAACTTGCCTGCTTTGTCTGTTGACCCAGTCTGACTAGTCACAGTGCTTGCTTGCTTGACAAGTGATCTGACTGCTGGTGACTAGCCTTTGTATAAAAGAATAGCAGGGGAAGTGGAAGTGAATTTTGACTGTCTGTGACTGTTTAAATAGAAGGAGGGTTAACCCTTCACAGAGACAGCACTATTGCATCTTATTGAGCATGATGCTTTTTAAAAATGTCCTGCTCTAATTTTGATTCCATAGAGCCTACTTGGCAATAGTGTACAAATGTGGCTGAATATATACAAAGAATTTTCATAAGAACAATTGGTCGTGACTGTGTAAACAACAGTTTCACTGAAAAAAAAATTGGTATGAATAGGCCTGGGCCACAGACCATGAACTTACTTCCTGATTGAAATTGTTTTCATTTCAAAAGCTTCCTTTTGTATGAGAAGTGCTGTGGACTTTTCTAGGAAGTGACAGAAAAAAAAACCCGGAGTTGTATATTTAAAGATATAGTCTATCATTTGTAATTTCTGCATTTTGTACATTTAAAGCAACTAAAGTACTCAAAATCTAAAGAAGGGTGCTGAACAACTAACCTGATGAAATTTCAGCTCAGCTTCAGCTGTATATTCCGAGAAAACCAGCATTCTAGGATCTCAATTTCAAATCAAAAGTTGCTGAATCATGTTTTGAATTGGGCCTGAATTCAGTGTCCGAGACACGTTCTCACTGAGCCGATTGCAGCTATGCGATGTTGTGCACCAATCCGACAAATTATAGCAACCGCGCGCGTGTGTGCATCGTGCCAAAGCTTGCACTACTTTGCCAAATAAAAAAATGAATTACTGTCGGAAATTTTCAATGGTCAATGGTTTCCAATGGTTCCGACATCACAATTGTGTTTATCAGTATATAAACAATGATAAATATGTATTGACCAGTTCAAAAACTTCCAAATAGCAGTAAGAACAGAATGAAATAAGTGAGTTGTCTTTTGAGTCCATTTTTAAGCATTCAGGTATAAGGCATAAATTTCCTGTTTAAATCCTAAAGCTCCTGCACATTTTGCATAAAAGAAATAATTGATACAATTTGTGAAGAATTCTCACTATTTCTAAACTGTATTTGACACTCAACTTTGTTACTAAATGGTGATTTTATGACTACTCGTTATTTCACTAAAACAGAAATCACTTTAACTTTCTGCTGTACAAACAGCTTCTATGCATAGTGGTCAGTTCAAAGTTACTTGTATTCTCTTACCCGTTTTTTTTTCTTCTAAGAAGGTAAGATGGTAAAGACTTCAAATTTTTTGTAAAAGAGTAAAAATTTGCAAACCGTCGGCAGTATCACGTTTCCAAGTTTCAGGCCTCATCATTTCTTCAAGCCAACAAAACCCCTGAATGAGGAGTTATCCTGGTCAGTCGCTGAGCTCCCACGACTGACAGCCCCGATGATCGGCTGTTAGATATATCGAGTCTCCAATATCAATACATTTTTATCCTCGTTTCTTTGGATAAAGGCCAGCTTTTTGTAACGCATTGCCGGCCACTTCAGGATTCTACTTTGTGAAATTGTTAACCGATATCGTCGCTTTGTGCTGACATTTTCATAGAATATCAGTTTGTGAGACCCCCCCCCCCTTGAAACCGTGGATGTAATTTACAAACAACATGTACATTTATAAAATTTGATAATTGCGTAAACTAGTCAAAGCATTTCTTTGAAAATAATGTTATATATTCCTTGTAAGCCCTTCGTGTTGAACTGAAAGTTTAACAGTTTATTCAATTTGTTCAGTGTTGGGTATTTAAAAAGGTAACTTTGGTTTTCAAAAATCTACAGAACCGGTGATAAATTTAGCATTATATATTTACATGACTGGAACCTAGACGATGTGATTCATAAATTTGACAGTTGTAGATTGAGAAACCTATCATCGTTTTTTTAAGCACTTCCCAAGTACTTGCTTGGAAAGCTGAAATTATGACTTCTATGTCTGTACATGTATTCTTTAGTTTCAGACTTTCATAGTGTAATGCATACACTGTCTGAGTATGACTGACGTCATAACCTTTACCTTTCTGACGAAGGTGTCCTCACAGGATGTGCAGATTAAACCCTCTGACTTGTAAGAAATCCACAAAATTATCTCCCTTTCCTGAGACCCAAAAGCAGCAAAGTTCAACTCTCCGCACCAAACTGGGATTAGCATAATGCGTAGTTTATGCCCAACGCTATTGAATGACATTAGAACTTGTTTCATGCCATTTGAATAAATCTTGGTTGTGAATTGGTTGTTTAATAAAAAGGATTTTTTTTCTCTCTGACGGCACCCCCCCCCCCCCCAACATACACACCCTTGGGAAGAGTTGGGGGATAGATGAGTAATCATTATCTCGCAGTAACAGGGTTTTTTGCCGATGATTTTGGTACATTGACATACATGTATGGAAGTACATGTATAGTACCCACTCAACTAATCAATTTGTTCTTCTGTCAGGGATCTGCCTAGCAAACTGGAATAATTTTGTTTTATATAAATTGGTTCGGTTCAATTGAACATTTTTATCTGCTCACAGCTAGATTGAAAGGTAGATGACTATGAATTAAGGAAAGATATAATTAAAAAGCCTCCATAAGCTTTGTCAGTCACTTACCGTTAAAAACCTGAAATTTTACAAAATATTTTATCAAATAGCAATCAGTAAAAGGAAATGAAAGTCTAAAGTTCAAATGAAAACTCAATTGCACAAAACACTTTTTTTTAAATTCCACTTGATAAATTGACTTTGTGAGCAACATAAGTTTAGTTTTTGCCTTTTTGTTAGAATTTAACAGGGTATGTAACTGACTCAATATGATCATATTTCAAACCGTATTTTTTTTTTTTGTTCTTTCTCTTGGTTTTAGAATTAGTTCATATTTGGAGAACTCCAAGTAAAACATGGAGGATGAGAACAATAGCACAGAGCAAAATAACGCTGCCATCAGTGCTGCCGAGGAAAAACTACAGGTCAGCATAGCACGGGTTAAACGTGATGTTGTAACGTTCTTCCATTCAAATTTGTCATTGTATGGTGATACGCATTCTATAAAAATACAATCTGTTGTGTGGCGAAGGGCCATTCTTTGGTCTTAAATTGGGCTTGTCTGATTTTTGAAGCTTTACCCCTTGTTGACTACATCTGACATTTTACTTTAACTGATTCATCAGGTTAGTAGTATTTACTTCCTACCTCAGAGTATAGTTTCTACCTTAACAAATTGTGTCGAAATATGAGGAGGGGTCATCAAAGTTTGGTCACGTGTGTGACATCTGACGAAAAAATGTTATCCGGCACATATCGGATATTCACGCTTTTCTCCAGAGTTCTAAGGACACGCACACCCATACTTATTTTGAAGTAAGACTAGTCTTTTGTGATTTACAGAAGTCCTAAACAATGTACACCCTCTGCTTTAGTTTTAATAAATGGGAATTGGTCACGTGTGTGACATTTTGATCGGTCACGTGTGTGACATTTTGTAATTAAAATTGTGCTAATTTATTCACGGAAAGAAAATGCACCGAAGAAATGTTTATCTTGACTTAATACTAGCAACACTTTAGAGAACAATAATCATTTGTATTAAAACTAATTTAAAAAAATGATAATTTAGGTTCAGTTTTCTGAATCGCCCTGAAGAGCATTTATCGGGAAACTGTCCACAGTGTTGCAGTATGAACTATATTTAGGATAAGATTTGTCAGGATTTTTCCTGATTTCGTGGGTTTTTTTGGCCGGATTTTTCCTGATTTCAAGAGTTGTGGTCGGAATTTTTCTTAGTTTCAGGATTGTTTTGTCAGGATTTGTCCCGATTTCAGGATTTATAAAGAATCCCCTTTGAAATCAGGAATTCCTGAGGTGTTTAATTCCTGAAGGTATAATTACCTGTAAAAGTTTATATAGGACAAAACAAATTGGTATTTTATTGGGTGCCTTTAGGCAAAAATAACAAACATATCGTAGACCCACCATTGGAGACCTTAGGGACCTTCCAAGCCTCTGCCAATTTATTTCATGGATTTTTCATTCCCCCCAATCTAACCCCTGATTTATTTCTTGATTTCCAGCTCATTACAACTCAAGCCTTGCCTGTGTCTGTGGTCATGTCTGGGATGTCCAGCCAACCTGTCGCCGTGTCCTCGGTCATCCAGTCCAACAACACGCAACCTTCTGTCATTCAGACAACCCCATTGCACACGGTCCAAGTCCAAGTGAGTTCCCTTAACGCTACACCCCCCCCCCCCCCCTTGTGTGATTTACTAGGAACCTTCCTCATTCTTACAAAATCCAACACCATATGGTAAATCAACATACAAATTGTTGGACTCTGATTATGGTTGTATGCCTGACCCATGCCTGACCCAGTTTACCAGTGCAGTCCTCACTCCAGCAGAATCCAACAAAACATGCAGTTGGGTTTTGAAGGGTTGGGGTGAAGGTTTATCGTCACTTTTTCTTGTGAAGAGTTGGACAAAGAAATTGACTGGAGCGGGGCTTGATAGATTTAATTTAAATTTTTGAATTTTTTTTTTTTTAGGTGACCCCAGTGCAGGACGGAGAAGAACAAACGACGACGACAACAGTGGTAGCGGACACTGAGGTGGATCGTAAGAGGCGGCAGGATATTCTCTCACGTAGACCCTCATACAGGTACGTGGCCGAGACTAACGGGTTCAAATTAACAGGTGCTATGTTTCTTTAGAATTGTCAGTGACCATGTTAATTTATCATATCAGCATGAGATTCTTATTTTTTGGGATGCTATTCATCAAAATTCTGTTATTTGATATTTTCCTCACGCAGGAAGATTCTGAATGACCTGTCATCCACAGACACTCCCGGAGTGGCCAGGATTGAAGAGGAAACCACAGAGGAAGACAACACTGGCACTATCACCTTAGCAGGCGCAGCGGGCCTACATGGATTCCCAACAGGTACTGGAACCATGCAGTATTTAAGTTATACAGACACCTTACATTATCACCTAGGCGTCTGGGTCCGGTCACTGTCAAAAAAATCCCTGTGCAAACTGGTCAATCTTCCAATCTTCACATCTGTAAATAACGTAGCAGTGCTAAAGAAAAAATTAACGGACGCGTCTTTCTTTTCTTTAACCAGTGATGACAACAGGTGGTGCCACCATCCAGATTGCCAATCCTGCCGAGATGCCCAGCCTGCAGACCCTGACGATGACCAACGCCGGTGCCCCGGCGGGAACCATAGTCCAGTCCATACAGACACAGGATGGTACCCAGCAGTTCTTTGTTCCTACTGCTTCAGGTGAGCACTGGCACATACCTCTAAACCACAGAGAAGTCGGCTGTCACTGATGCACCTGTAATACAGACTTCTTATGAAACTGATAACTCCTGAAGTTTTGTTGTCAACAAATCTGCTTGTCAAATTGCTGTCTTGAGTTTTATGCTGCATCAGAAATGGATGTCAGATCCTCGGTTACATCTTACGTAGTGTCAGCATGTACATGTGCACACATAGTTGTAATCTTCAAAGACCTAAGTTGTAGCTCTTAACAAGCACGTTGATGTGACCTCTAAGGTTTTTTTGCCCGGATGCAAAAAGCTGATCAGCCACATTCCAGAGTGTGAAGAGTGTGTCAAATGACAGCAGGGAGCACTCATTTGCTTATCCGAAGATTGTTAACTTGGCATTTCTTGGAGTTTTCTTCTTTCTTGCCTCTGTTACAATTTGACAGATGTTGTGTGTCATTTTCCTAACAGCAAGTATTGAGATGTTTAATGTCTGGCAGAGCTGAAGTAAAGTGGTCCTCAAGTTGACGCCTCACCGATTGTTTCTGTTTCAGGTGATATCCAGGCGTACCAGATCCGACCGGCTACCAGTCTCCCCCAGGGAGTAGTGATGGCCAGCACAAATCTCCAGTCATCTGGACACTTACATGTTCATGAAGAGGCTGGCAGAAAGAGGGAACTCAGGCTCATGAAAAACAGGCAAGTTTTCTGTCAGAAACTTACCCCCACCAGGATATCCTCTGGATGAGGGAGGTAACTTTTTTTTTAACACGCCAGTGCATTTTTAATACTTGGCTAAGCTTGGGTACCATCTTCCTCTGGCCCTTTGCTGACACGCCTTACCACCCACCCACACAACGTTAACCCTCCTATGCATACGTACGTTCTGCGCCAAGTCGTCCTTTCAGTCCAAATCAAACAAGTTACTGTTGTCAACAGTTAAGAATTCCCTGCCTTCATAAGGCAGGATCGACTGGCAGGGACTGTTTAAGTAACTTGATACAGCTATGCTTGGACTTATAACAGCTGTGACCACAACTTGCCTGCTTTGTCTGTTGACCCAATTTGACTAGTCACAGTATTTGCTTGACATATGATCTGACTGCTGGTGACTAGCCTTTGTTAAAGGTATAGCTGGGGAAGTGAAAGTGAATTTTGACTGTCTGTGACTGTTTAAATAGCAGGAGGGCTAGTATTTTCTCTTAGTCCATCCAACCTCTTCCCTTTATCACCCATGGGTGGCGTAAAGCGCTCGCCTCCTACCGCTGTGGCCCAGGTTCGATTCCCGGCTCGGGCCAAGTGTGAGTAGAGTTGTTCATCTGTCTTGTGCAAAGGAAGGTTATTCTCAGGGTTGTCGATTTTCCTCTCGCCCTAACTCAACATTTTCGATCAGGCTGTGCTCCGTGGTAAGACATGGGTCGTTTGGCGGCTAAGGTGCCTATACATGCCTTCATCTTTGTAGCTGCGTCCTTCGCAATTCAGCTTCCGTTGCAAGTAAGGCATATTAGCTCCCCAAATTTTTGTAGTAATTTTTGTCCCGTCTGCATAGTTCAGCTGCCACCATTCCTAAAACTCTTGGCTTATGAAAGACTTGTTCATTTATCTCCTACCTGTCAAGACTTAGATTCCCTCCACCCAAAAGAAATACAACAAGAATAAGCACCACGGTGATAGGTGTATCCCTCTTCAATCTCTGCTGGTCTAATTGCCCATTTGCTGTTTTTAATTTTTTAGGGAAGCAGCCAAGGAGTGTCGGCGGAAGAAGAAGGAATACATCAAGTGTCTGGAGAACCGAGTGGCCGTCTTGGAGAACCAGAACAAGACACTCATTGAGGAACTGAAATCTCTGAAAGAACTCTACTGCCACAAATCAGAATGAAAAAAATCCACGCCATCATCTTGAAGTGTGTATGTCCTGGTTGTTTTAAGAATGGATCCTATTCTTATGGTCTGTTGCGCTCCTTGTCTGCAAAGAGAATCATTTTAGACGGTGATTTCTGTCTTAGTGGGCAAGCATTCTAAGTCTTTGGGCTGTACATTCTGAGGCTGCATATGATAGTCCATAAACCATCACTTGTAGGGCACAACCGGACTCTAGTTTTTTGGGAGGGACTTCTCTGGAATACCTCAAAGTTTGGTTTAGGCATCTGGGCATCTCAACTCGCATTTGACATCGTCTCGGCAATGTCAACATGAAAAGGTCCCATTTGCTGGTTTTGCTGTTTTTTGTTTCTTATGTCCAAAGTTGTAACTTTTAAAGTTGTGTATGTTGTGTCTTTCTTTGTGGATGGTGATCAAGCGTAGGTGATGTTCCACTTTCAGGTTGCTTTCGATTCATTTACTTTTTATTTGAGCGTAAAGTCTGATACCATTTTTCTCTCGATTCGATGAATAGGTTCGACAACTTTTACATTATGGAATCCATAATGAGTATGCCACGCAGCGTTGTATGTTTCTTCGGAAGACATTCGTGTTTGGAAGACATTTGTGTTAATAGCTGAATACACAAGAATGAGTGCATTTTAAGTTCAATTTCCGTGTACAAATTAAAACTGTTGGTGTACATGTATATAAAAATGCGAGATAATTATACGTTCTATTTTGGATTCTAAATTTTTAATCTGCACGAACATTTTTTTAGGCCCTACTACCTTGCTTTTAATTTGCACTGTTTTTGTCTCTGCAAGATTATTTGTTGGAAATTAAAATTTTGCCCAAACTGTCTTTGTCCAACCCTGTATTTGCAGATATAAACTACGGAATAATTTTTTTTAAAAATCAATTACCCATGGGAAATAGTACTGGACATTGAAACAAGCTTTTAGGGAACTTAACATTTTAGAAAACGAATTTAGAATGGATTATAACCATAGTATGTTTATATTCAGATTCATATGATGCATTTATTAGAATGAAAATCAGCTGATATTTTCTCAACATCCAATATATTTTTTTTTCAAAAATAGCCAATTGCTTACAGTAAACAATAATTGACAGACAGGCCCTGTTCGTTATCTGTAATGCGAGTAATGCTTGGAGAGACCAATCCATTAGGCTCCGCCCAATTTGTTTTTGGACCAATCACAGCTTTGGTTAATGTCCATCGTGCGTGCGTGCACCGTGCGCGCGTAACGCGCTCGCGTAACGCGCACGTACAGTGTGGCATTGGAGAATGATTGTGCACGTGATTTTGCGCTGGGCGGGGCCTAAAGTATCGATTTGGTCAACTCCAAGTAATTTTGTCTTCTTACTGCTTTGTAAATAGCCATATAAATACTCGTGTATATGGAGACTTCATGCTAAATTACTTCAGTGTATATATTGACAATTCTTCCAACACAAGTCATGTCAGTGCAGCATTAGATATTTAGGCTAGCCTTTGATGTTAATCCGTGTGGCTTTTGATTTTAAGTGTTTTACTTTCTGAATTAAATGTTTTAACCAAGAAAAAAAAAACTACATAAAGGAACCGTGCAGGTCGCCATATCAGTGTTCTACATTACATGTAGTCAAGTACCTTTGAGTGTACACGTTAAAATACAAGAACTTTCATGTACACCTCAAAAAGGCATGTATAGAAGATGTAAGCATGTACAGGAAGATCTTTTTTCCATTGTTGAATACTTTGTGGTATATGAACTGAGACTTGTGTATCCATAATTCTCTTGTACATGTACATGATTTGTTCGAAAAGCTGTACGATTAAACATGAAAAGAGCCAATGCTATAATTATTGGTTATGAACCTGCCTTGCCTATGCAGTATGTACATGCATTGGTGTTTGCTTTGCTTCGAACTGGCTGCGCTTCAAGATTTTCGAAGGGAATTTAATGACATTTGTCTTTACTACAGGCAACTAAGGCGCATGGGCGTCGCGGGGGGCAAGGGCCCCCCTCCCCTGGGTTAGGGGAAAAAACTGGGGGGAGGGGAAAGGAAAAAGAGGTGCGAAGCCATTGCTGTCAATTTGATGGGGGGGGGGGGTTAGGGTAGGGCAAATGTTCCCCTGCCCACGCTCGGAAAATGATAAATTGAGTGTTGAAAAAGTTGAGAAATTTTGGGGAAAAATATGTGTTTTGCCCCCCCCCGGAAAAAATCCTGGCGACGCCCATGTTAAGGCGCATGAGCACATAAGGCAAGCTTGAAATTTAATGCACAATACCAATTGGTGTTTAATACACTATAAAGCTCGTTTTTCATATCCTTTAATTCCAACGTTTCTTCGTGCTTCGGTTAAAAGTGTATTGGTTGCATTCGATAGTAACCACAGGAGTCCAAAGAATTTACAAGCCCTTTTTGTTGAATAGGTTTTCCACATTTGAACAAATTATTATAAAATAACAGGCATGCTCTCAACTTAAAAAATAGAATTTGTGACTTTGATTTTTTTCCCCACAGGCTAATCTTGTGTATAATTATTTTTTGAACGGACTTACTGTGCGATTATAATTATAGCGGTTCCCGCCCAAATGCCAATCTTGCATCTTTTAACGGGAGAGGGCGCTCTCCCCTAACAACGTCTCTGAGAATGTCTTGGGTTTGAGACTGGAGTTATTTCGGTCAGATCACGGACCATGTGAAAATGGTCCGTGGTCAGGTCGACGCAGCGGCCAGAGCATGTTCTCCAGCCCTTTCCTGTCTGTTTTCCTCTCGACAATAAAGAACAGGAAGATGGCGAGGTCAACGAGTGAGTTAAGAACGGCAAAACTCCGATATGTACGTATACCTTAGCCAAGTCGCCCCATAGGCCCAGCAGCTGCTGCTGCTGACTCATGGAAAGCGTGTGGCGACCAGGCGAATGAAGTGTCTTTAATATTATTGAGACATTGTTAAGTAGAAACGAAAGCAGGTTCAGGCGCAAAAATAACCATAGTTCTACTAACCTTGCTGGAAAGACCTTTGAACTACTTTATTTGGAACGGGACATGGTTGCATCGCTGGTGACCAATAGAGCCTGAAAGTACGCCATTTTCTACGGGAATTTTACACGGGATTGTCCTTTCTCTTGCTATAATGTTTGACATAGGCTAATGATTTCTAATCGTAATCACCCCAGGAATCATTCATGTTGGAATTTTATCTTGGCATTCAATAAGAACAAATTATGAGAAATCAGTATGAGGAGATGGGTGAACTACGAAATGTACTCACATCCGGATTTTCGTACCTAGGTCTGCTTGTTCGATCACGTTTGTTTTCACTTCGCGTACTTGCGTGAGAACGAAAATGATAACGACGCGAAGATTTCACCTACCTACATCCGATGGATTCTAGTTTAGTCGGGCTTGCTTGAATACAGTTCTCCAACGGTCCTTTTAGATTTGTTTGTCCTTGACACCTAGTCGTTCAAGTTAACTAAAAATAATGTGTGTTCCAAAAGACATTTCAGTCTCCTATTTAAGTTTCAGTTTTTACCCAGTGACCAACACAAAATTATTTCATGAATTTTCATCTTTTTACTTGCTCCGAGTTCCACGTGCTTTAGATTTTCGGAAGTGAGAGGTCAATCTTTGGATGGAATTAACGATATATCTCCTTTCAAGTCATGCGGTTTTTCAGTTTTCATGCTAGTAATACTAATAATTTTACCTAGATCTTTTCCGAGGGTGATTTTCTTAAGAAATCAATGTAAATCAAAGTTCATTTTCACCGAAAAATGTCTTAACTTTTGTAACCTATTCTCAATATATCATTTTCCGAGCGTGGGCAGGGGTTTGCCCTAAACCCTCCCCCAATCAAATTAACAGCAAATAATGTGGCTTCGCACCTCTTCCCCCTTTTTTCCTTTTCCGGGGGGGGGGGGGGGCAAGTGCCCCCTCCAGGGCCAGGTCAATTTTCAAGCTTTATAGCCGCGCACATCAAAAACACAACCATGACAAGCGCTTGACAGATGTTCGCACGTTGCCAATAGTGCCCAGCCGTAATTCACGTCACAAATCAACCACTACACTAAGGCCCCCCAAAAAGTCTCCGGTTTCTGGTATGGAGCTTGCCCAAAAAGTGGTGCGGCGACGCGGCTTTTTTTTTTTTTTTACCTGATTTTATTGCTTCAAATGTCGGCTGATGACTGCAAATGGTGCCCGACTAAACTTAGTGCAAATATGTGGGAGTCCAGAGAGGCCACATAAAGCTTATTCTCGACCATAACCCAATCTAAAACACGTTAAAATTGTGCAGCAGCAGGATTCCAGTCAATTCAAACCAGTGAGTTTGGCGGTTTTAAAACATCTTTCATTGAAAAACACAACTTTTTCATTTTGCCGACGCACATGGCTACGGCGACGCGCGCATACCAGAAACCGGAGACTTGTTTTTTTTTGGGCCTAATCATGGTTCTTGCCCGAATTTGCTATTCCAAATAGCGCCCTCAAATTGTGTCCACCATAATCCAAAAATGTCACTGTAGGACTATGTGTGTTCTGTTTTCAGTTCGATGCATCAGCAACTGCATGCTCTCGTTGGCAAGAACACAAACGTCGACACGACCAGAGAGTGCCATGCAAACGTTTCCTCAGGTCTCTATTCCTAAAACTGTAGATGACAACATTCAACCAACTGTTCGTCATGAGCAGTGTGTCCGTGAACACTCTGGTCTCCCTGGAGGTTTGTAAATCGGTAGCACCGATGACAATCTGAGGAATCCAGCTTAGACTGACGGCGCCGGTGATGATGAAGACAGTTGTGGCGGACTTGAGGCGGAGTCTCAGCCCGTTGTCCCGGCGGGGTCCTAGCGGCTGCGTCTCGCTGGCAATGCGCCGTGCCTGACGGCGCGCGATGACCAAGATGTGCGCGTACAGACCCAGCATGATCACCAGCGAAGTGAAGAGGATACTGACCACAGCCAGTTGGTGTAAACCATCCTCCTTCCAGACGCAGAGATGCGGCGGTGTCGCCGACACAACGCGGTAAATGACGAAGCCGAACGCACTCACCCCGCTCGTAAAACTCACCACCCAAGTCACCGCAATGACTATCTTGGTTCTCTTCACCGTGACAATCCTGAAGTATTGCAGTGAGTACACGATCGCGATGTAACGGTCAATGTTCAGCAAGACGAGAGAGAAGACACTCAGCGAGACGAAAGTTCGGTAGCCGACTCCGTACATCTTACACATACCGTCACCCAGCACCCAGGACCCGGCGATATTCTCAGTGAGTTTCGGCAAAGCCCAGAACAATCCGTTCCCGAGATCGGCCACAGTCAGCGAAGTCATGAACAACTTGGTGGTTTGCTGGATGCTGGGGACTTGATAGATGACGACCAGGCTGATTGGAGTGAAGGTAAGGATTAATATGACAGTCAGTGTCATCCAGATGCACCCGATTATTGAGAATGCATTGTGCGGTAAAGCCAGGTCGAAATCAAAACTGACCGTGCTATTTATTGCGTTGTGCGACATTCTCACATCGCTTACTCTTTCAAGTCAAGCACGTTCTAATTAACACTCAGCAAGCAGACTGAACAGTTAAAATTGAGTTTCTTGTATGGTTTCTACCACTGCAGGTCTACTTGTAGAACTGTTAGTTAATCAGTAATGACAAAGGATCTAGCTAAAGATAAAAAACATCTGCCTCTTTCAAGTTTTTTTCTTAGGATCACAGATATAACACATTTACAAGCTCAAAAAGGTATTCAGCAAATTCTAAAAACACAACAAATATCTTGATAATAGAAAATAAATACATAACGCTATGCTCCTTTTTGTACATTTTTGTCCCATTCACACCATTTAAACATTTCGACAATTTTAATCTACCAGGGTAAACCTTATCCACAAATTTCCATGGTGGGTTCTGCCAATAATGGTGACTGAAATCATTGTTGTATTGAATCTTCCTACCGACAGGTGTTTCGTGTGATATGGATATCAATGCATATACCATTGTTACGGAAAACTGTAGAAAAGGCAGTATAATGTGAATCGTATTTAGCAAACAGTACTGTGCTCAACAAATATGTTAGCTTAGCAAAGCTCCATTTTAATTGGTCCTGGGCTTAACAGAAAACAGTCAACATTTTCCAATAGTGAATTGGGGAAAAAGTAGCGTCTACATGTTTTCACAACGATAGCAAAAGGTCCTGGGGTACATGCGGTATCAGTCAAGTCACTACCACTAAAAAAATATGTAAAAGCATTCAGCACTAATGCTAAAAATAGAAGCTGAACATGATGACGTCACGCAATAAAATTATTTGTACTTGGGTGGGCTTAGTGCCACTGATATAATTTCAATGCGCAAAACGATTATGTAGCACGTGTTTTTGTATCTTCAATTAAATAATTTCGACATAAAGAGACGCAGCAAAATTCACAAACTAGACTTAAATTACATCGCGCGCAGATATTTTGAAACATTGCTCTGGAAAAATGCGCACCCAATCCAGGCTCAACGCAAAGCTCGTCTGTAAAGTTGAACTTGGTTGAACTTTGCTGACTGCGTGTGCTGAGTCGAGGCCCATACAAAATGCACGAATTGGCAAGCTGTGTTTACAACAATGTCACACTGGGGTGAGTTCATGAATTTGGTTCATTTTTTGCTTTTGACTGCATGACTAATACTACCAAAAATGTAAAAAAAAAAGAGATGTAAAAACAGCAGATTGTACAACAAAACAAACCTGATAGTTTCAAAGAAATTGTCCCTTTGATTGTTTGGTCCAATGATAGTTATCTGTGTGGTCTTGACATACAGGGTGAGTAAAAAAAACGAGACCCACATGTCGGGACCATCATTTTATAGTGAAGTTCTTCACGTAGTACTTTCAAAATCTAGGATATAAAAGCCCAATTTATTAGCTTTCTTTAGTACAAGAGTCATTCAAATCACTCATGTACTTTTTAAGTTACGGAATTTTAAACACAACCACCGTTTAAAGTTCTGTCCACGGATCACAGTAAGGTTAGTGTTCTTTCAGCCAAACGAAAGCAAATAACAAAGGGATGTGTGTAAATTGTTTTCGTTTTGCTGAAAGAACGCACAACTGTCGGCGTTCGTCATATCCGTATGGAACTTAGTGTCCAAATCTCTATTTTTGGCGTGAAAATGAATAGGACTGCTGCAAACTGCTTTCTGACTGGATTGACCTTAATTATGCAAATATAAAGATAAGGCGACCTGACGTACCAATCTTAAGCCTAGTTTAATATCGACGTCAGACTGCGCAGTGCTCGGAACCGTCGGCAAAGTTGAACCGGGTTTGGGTTCAACTTTGCCGATCGTGTGCAAGATAGACGTCTAGGTTGTCGATGACATTTGCGGATGAAATGTTTCCAAATGTCTGCGTTGCAATTTGGGTCTTGTTTGCGTTGCTCTCTGAGTTTGTTATATCGCTATGGAAACTAGGCTTTAACAAGATCGTCTTCAGAGGTAAATGTTCATCTCTAATTTTTGTGTGAAAGATCAAGTTGTTTTTGCCCGCACTTTAAAGTCAGGACTAAAGAAATTCGGCAAACACATGAACGTAAGATACTAATCAAGTGCAGTTTTATTTGTTATAGCACAGTCAACCTACTGGCGCCAAGGATCGATGGTTTGAATCCGTACCGAATCAAGTCGCGGACGCCCTTCAATTCTGGGCGCATTCGAACCCTGATAAGACGAGCACTGTTAATACAAAATCCTGCTTGTAACAAGGAAAACTGTAGTTTCCAAGACTCTGTTTTTCTTTGTTTTCCATAACTGATAACACAAGGTACCTGTTGCAAGTCCCAAAGATCTTGTTATAAAGGTGCTCGACTGTATTAATTAGGACTTGCGCAATATACAATAACGTCCCTCCCAGCATGAGTCATTCTTTCACAATTCGTAATTTTGTCAGTTCATTCTAATGCTATCATCAATTTAACTACACTATGAACTACCGACCTTTCGTCATGCTTGCATTTGCACCTGAAAAAGGTGTTGAATGCGACAAAAGCAATACCCTGATGTTGATATTTCTGAGGAACCATTCTTGCATAAACAAGGAAATAGATGGTTCATGCATTGTGTGTATGATACATAGGCCCAATAGGTACACGGTATTCGTGCTGCTTATAGCAAGGCAAGTTTACATGCTGTATAACGATACAATTTGGTGGGAGCCATTTCAAGAACCTTCTCATGGTCATTGCTACTTCATCCTTTATAGCAAAACATCTCTGTTGTTGAATTGTCCAGTATGACAATCACATCTACTGTGGAATAGGGTTAATATTTTCCGCGGAGTTTGTTTCGGAAGTGATTTGAGGATGCAGAGCCTACAGTACATTTTAATTGTTCTGGTCTTGGCCGTGGACTGGTCGGTCGCACAAGGTAAGTGACAGCCGGCTTTTGTCCGCATCTTTTTCAGATGTTAGGCCTATAGGGCCTTTGTGTGCGTTGTGGTTATTACTATTTTTTTAATTGAGGAAGGCCTGTTTCACCTACAAAATCTGTTCGACCTGGATTATCCGGATCAGAACAGTTATTTAGTCTCAACTGTGCACATTATTCTTTTGATTTTTCATATTTATTGATAATTAATTTTGTGGTACATATATTATTTTTCTGAACGCCATTGTTTATTGGTCTATGTAATTATCGTGATAATCAAAGACAATGGATTATTTCATTAGTCATGATTTTTTTCAAATATTCGTTTTTATGCATAATGTTATTGGTCTACTAAATTATCTCCTGACAAGTTGTGTTAAAGGTATAGACCTACTGAATTTTAAATCCCAAAATTCTTAAATATGATTCAACCGATATTATTGATTAAGTGGACATCTACAGGGTAAGTAAAAAAAAGCGGAACCCAAACCCCAAAATTATATTTCATATTTAAAAAATTATGTAGCACCAAAAACAATAATGACTGGAAACCCAATTTCATAAGCTACTTTTAGATGAAAAAAATTCTGAAATTGCTCAATCCGTTCAAAGGATATCACCGTTTAAACACAATGACCCTAAAAGCTGTCTCGTCCAAAAATTCGATTTCAAGAAGCGTCGTCACAATGTCTTCAAACATCACCAGCGATAAAACCTCAGTTTAAAAGTAACAATTATTCAACAAGGTCCCTTTGAAGGCCCGTCTTTAAAAAAAGTGGATTTTAGAAATCAGAGTTGTCTTTTAAAGATATTGTGTACTACAGTTGTTGACAGTTGTTGATTGACAGATTTTTTGGCTGATGACCCCCCCCCCCCGCGAAAATTCCTGGATCCGCCCCTGTATAAAGATAAGGCGACCTGACGTACCAATCTTAAGCCTAGTTTAATATCGACGTCAGACTGCGCAGTGCTCGGAACCGTCGGCAAAGTTGAACCGGGTTTGGGTTCAACTTTGCCGATCGTGTGCAAGATAGACGTCTAGGTTGTCGATGACATTTGCGGATGAAATGTTTCCAAATGTCTGCGTTGCAATTTGGGTCTTGTTTGCGTTGCTCTCTGCGTTTGTTATATCGCTATGGAAACTAGGCTTTAACAAGATCGTCTTCAGAGGTAAATGTTCATCTCAAATTTTTGTGTGAAAGATCAAGTTGTTTTTGCCCGCACTTTAAAGTCAGGACTAAAGAAATTCGGCAAACACATGAACGTAAGATACTAATCAAGTGCAGTTTTATTTGTAATAGCACGGTAAACCTACTGGCGCCAAGGATCGATGGTTTGAATCCGTACCGAAACAAGCTCGCGGACGCCCTTCAATTCTGGGCACATTCGAGATTCCAAGTCTCTGTTTTTCTTTGTTTTCTATTACTGATAACACAAGGTACCTGTTGCAAGTCCCAAAGATCTTGTTGTAAAGTTGCTCGACTGTATTAGGACCGTCGCGCAATATGCAATAAAGTCTCTTCAGCATGAGTCATTCTGTCACAATTCGTGATTTTGTCAGTTCATTCTAATTTTATCATCAGTTTAACTACACTATGAACTACCGACCTTTCGCCATGCTTGTATTTGCATCTAAAAAGGTGTTGAATAAGGGAAAAGCAACATTTTGATGTCGATATTTCTGAGAAACCATTCAGGCATAAACAAGGAAATTAAGGTTCATGTGTTGTGTGTATGATACATAGGCCCAATAGGTACACGGTATTCGTGCTGCTTATAGCAAGGCAAGTTTACATGTACATGCTGTATAACGATACAATTTGGTGGGAGCCATTTCAAGAACCTTCTCATGGTCATTACTACTTCATCTTTAATAGCAACACATCTCTCTTGTTGAACTAATTGTCCAGTATGACAATCGCATCTACTGTGGAATAGGGTTAATATTTTCCCTGGAGTTTTTTTCGGAAGTGATTTGAGGATGCAGAACTTTCCGCACATTTTAATTGTTCTGGTCTTGGCCCTGGATTGGTCGTTCGCACAAGGTAAGTTACAGCCGGCTTTTGCCCGCAATTTTTGCTGTTGTTCGGCCTATAATGTGTGCGTTGTGGTTATTACTTTTGTTTTAATTTGGGAAGGCCTGTTTCACCTACAAAATCTGTTCGAATGGGATGAGAAAGGTTATTTAGTCTTAATTGTGCACATCATTCTATTGATTTTTCATATTTATTCATCTTTTTTGGTACATATTTTTCGGAACTCCATTGTTTATTGGTCTTTGTAATTATTATGATAATCAAGGACAATGGATTATATTACGAAATGTATCATTAGGGAGAAACGTTATCGTGATTTCTTTGATAATTAGGGAGACACCGGTCATTAGGGAGACACATATTACTGTCTCCCCAATGGCACAGCCCCCCTTTAGGGGCAAAATGTAATTTGTTGCTCGTGGTCTAATTAGTAAACATACTTAAATTCGTGGAAAAAGGACAGCGGAGTATTGGGTGAGGCACCTTTAAGTTGGAAATAATATTGTGCACAAGTCTATGGAAAAGTCTCCCTAATGACCTATTTCCCGTAATTATTATTTCATTAGTTATGATTTCTCAAATATTCGTTTTCGTGCATAATGTTATTAGTCTACTAAATTATTTCCTGGCTAAGTTGTGTTAAAGGCATAGGCATATTGAATTTTAAATCCAAAAATCCAATGTGATTCAACCGATATTTTTGTGGACATTCTATTACTATTTCGTTAGCAGCTAGGCCTATTGTATTTAGTCCATTCTATATTGTGTATAGCACGTAAAATATCTGGTGACGTCTTCTGTTCAAGTTGGCTTATTCGACTGATAATGCCTTCTTCTCTGGAATATTTATTATTTTCGTCAAAAGCAATCTGCCTCTGTACCTGCTCCAGGGATCAGATCTCTGTTTCGAGGATGTATCTGAACATGGAGCTATAGCTCCATGATCTGAAGCAGTACATTTAACCAGGACAAATCGAATTCCAAACCTTCGAATGTGTAGTTGTCCTGTAATATTTGGAGTGAGTTTACAAGTCCAAAATAACAATGACACACATCTGTGTACGTCAAACAAAATACAATGTATGATTGTATTTTTGCTTTCCTAAAAAGTTGTGTGCCTTAAGTCTAAAATCTAGACTGCTTTTTCACTTGATACGAACTATGGAAGCTACTATTTTTAAAATGGTTTTTAATTTAGGTTTTTATTTTATTTTAAAGATATGGTGCCACCACAAGTATTTGGCTGTCCTGGTACAGATATAGCAGGAACAACTTTGACCACCACATCACAGACGTCAACTGCTATGTGGAACACACCCAGTGGCTTCAATATTCAGCCCGGACCAATTTTTGCACCCGTATTTGAGTTTTCCAACGTCTATGGTCAGACGTCAGAGTCCACCCAATTCAATTATGGCTTCACTACCGTTGGTTATCGGTTTGTAGATAACGGTCCAACAAGTCCTCCGCAAAACAGTGCTTTCTGCACCTTCTTTGTGAGGACTGGAGGTACGTATTGGGAAAGGCTTTTGAATATTTTGTATGGGATTCAGGGACAGAGAAATTGCCTGCAGTCTGACAGGATCCATTTCCTTAAAGTGCAATAACGATTGTGTGAAAACTTTTTATTCTATACATTAATTTATCACATAGTAGTGTTTCATAATTTTTTTGAAATACACTCAACCAAAGAAGAAAGTCCCCCCTAATACTTTTTTTTTGTCTGGCTCAAAAACTACTGAGCATCTTTTGCTCAAATAACAACTACTCCGTACAGAAATCCTTAGCAATCGACACTCTTAATTTGGCGCAAAAGAGCGATAATTTGTACAAAATTATGGAATTTATGACGAATGAATGATACCGAAAACAAGTTGCACTTTTGTCTACGTGCAAGTTGAGTGTGAACATCTCGTCTCTAACGCAATCTTCCAACAGAAATTACTTCAAATTATTCAAGTTTTGTTCGTTATGTTTGTACCCTTTCCTTTACTGAATCTCCAAGAACAGGAAAAGTATGCGATAAGGGTGAAATGATCGATTTGAAGAAATCACTTTTAAGAAATCTATGTTGGAAGTTTGCGTTAGAGTAGAAATGTTCCTGCTCAACTTGCACGTATACAAAAGTGCAACTGTTTTCGGTATCATTTTTAATGGATTGCATAATTTCGTACACATTATCACTGTATTGTGCCAAGTAAAGAGTATGGCTGGATTGCTAAGGAAATCCTTTACTGCGTGATTAGTTGTTATTTGAGCGAGAGGTGCCCAGTAGTTTTTGAGTTAAACAAAAAAGTATTAGGGGGACTTTCTTTTTTAAGTTGAGTGTATAATGACGATCTATTATTTTATTGGTTTATTGGTGTATTTCATAAGAAATTATGCTGAATTAAATGAAATTCACATTGTTGAATACAAAGACAGCTAAAAAAAAAGTATTTATTAAAAAAAAAGGGAAATTACATTTACAATGGATAATAAGATTTTTGTTCAATTGGAGATAAAAATTCTCTGTTAAATAGAATAACCTTGTCCTATGTTTTGTGTTTCGTTTACCAGTCAACAATGATGGTACCATACCAACAGTGCTCAACTGTCCAGGGAGTATCACTCAGCCTATAGCATCCAGCCAGACTACTGTAGTTGTAAGCTGGACTGAGCCAAGAGCCACTGACAATAATGGTGTGCTGCGACGTTCCTGGCGGTCACATGCCCCCAACACTGCCTTTCCTGTTGGAACTACCCAGGTTACTTATCAGTGGATCGACCCAAGCAATGCCAACTCGCCGGCTGAGTGCATGTTCACGGTGACTGTTTCCACTACAGGTATGCATTTTTCTCAACACTGTAGTCCTCAGAGATTCTCTTTAAGAGAATTCCAAATAGCCCGATCTTGTTTTAGAGTCTGCACGTCTGTTTAGCATACTACATTTTGACTTTGTGTTTGATCTATCCTTCATTTATGCAAATAAGGGTTGACTTGGGAAATGTAGGTCAAAACCAATTATCGCTGGATTGTAAAGGAATATTATCCTCTTTGAAAAACAGTAATGTAGCTGTGGCTAGATATCCCACTTCTTATTGAATACATAGAGAGTTTTGTTAAAAAGGGTGGCTGTTGATGACATTTAAACTAACAAAATAATCTTTGGTCAATCAGGAACGGATGGTGTGGTGCCTTCTTTGACCTGCCCTGCTGATGAGGTTGCTAGTGCAAGTGGCATTGCCACCTGGACTCCACCAACACCAACTGATGCTTCAGGGATCGCTTCCACAACCTCAACTTTAACCCCAGGATCAGTAGTCCAGGAGGGTTTCACCACTGTCACCTACAATACTGTTGATGGTTCTGGCAACCGAGCCTCCTGTTCTTTCCTAGTGCGAAGAGCAGGTAAGTTCAATGACTACCGGTATTTAAAATTGACTTGAGTTGCCACATGTCTGTTTTAAAGCACATTTCATATCTCACAATATGTTGAGAGCTTTCTTTTTGTTTTGTGCCTCTTAATTTATACAGTAACCGGCGCTTACGGGCCGGTCATCACAAGCTGTCCAAATAATATCCAGCAGACAGTGACCAGTGGCACCAGTGGTTTTGTGACATGGACAGAACCAACAGCTTACGATGACGGTGGGTATGTGCGGCTCGTTATGCAGACTCACTCTCCCAACACTGCTTTCCCTGTTGGCACAACACCAGTGGAATACCTCTTCCAAGATCCAACAGGGAGCACTGCTAGATGTGTCTTCACGGTTGAACTCACTGTCACAGGTCAGTTTAGGCACATGGGTCTAGTGTCTGTATCTGTTAGCTTCTGTACAAACGCCTGGTGTGGCTATCCTGTACAGCCTCACACTGTATGTATGAGAATAACTGCCAGAAACACCGGGGCGAACCCTTCTCTTAGCGATAAGTGTTTGCTGGGTTCTTTTACGGGCATTTATACAACACACGGGACCTACAGCTTTACGTCCCGTACGAAGGACGAAGCAATAATGGTTAAGTGCCTTGCTCAAGGGCACAAGTGTCCGGGCCCGGGCTTGAACCCACGCCAGACAAACCTTTACCAATGCTCCCTTAAGAGTCACCTGGCCAGCTATAACAGCAACAGATGCGTCTGCCTTCACTGTCGCTGCATCCCACGCATCTGGAGATCTCTTTCCTATAGGCACAACACCTGTGACCTTTACATTCGTGGACGCGGGCGGTCTATCCTCCATTTGCCAATTTTCTGTCATAGTTACCTCAGGTATGTGATGTTGTTGATTACGGAAGCGTTCAAGGGTACTGAAACGAAACGTGGGCCTCACTTTTTTCCCCTCTGCTGGTCTTGAGGACCTATTTTATTGTGATTAACTCGAGTACATAATCACGTTTTGTTACTCAAACCTTATTAACTCCTTTTACAAAATAGTTACAATAATTCCTTTTCTGTTTTTATTTTGTTTTGCCCTTTTGTTTCTGCCTCAACCTATATAAAGCAAAATGCACACGAATTTTGATTCCAAGTGACACATTTTTAGAAACATTTCAGCAAAGTGAATCGAGATTTAAACTTGGCTAAATGAACTCAACTTATCAAAATCAGAAAGGATAGGTTATGAACTGGTGAAAGCTCATCAGGACTCTAGCATATGAAATCGCTCTGAAGTGATAGGAATCCCTTTTTCAAAAAGGGAAAAGTTTCATAATGCTCGTCTCATTTCTCTGCAGAACATTTATTGAATTTTTTTGTATCTCTGTTACAGTTGACAATGATCCACCTGTGATCTCCGGTTGTCCTGATGATTTCTCTAGGACAACCTCAAATATGCAAGGCCTCGCTGTCTTCTGGACACCACCGACTGCAACAGACGTTAGTTCTTTTGACACACGGTCAACACGTACACCGGGACAACTTTTTCCTGTTGCAGCAACTCAAGTTACATACACTTTTACTGACGTAAATGGGCTTTCCTCAACATGCGACTTTACTGTCACTGTCGTAATTGGTAACTAGAACTGATAACTAGCTTGAAAAGAAATATGTTCTTGATTTATTGATTATATGTTGTTGCACGTGTGTTGGTGATAACATCAAATATTGTAATATTAAGCTTTTTATCTTTTTTTTACCAGAAGAGCACTCTTAAAAGAGTATTTTTTTCTGTAATAAAAGAAAAGAAAAAAGGAGAAAAAGAACTAGATGAGGGTCAGATGAGGTTGCTTTTGAGGTCGCTATTTTTGCCATTTTAAACCAAACAGCTAGAAAGCAAAACAAAAAGTTTTGAAATCATTTACACACGCTGAATAGAAAAAATGAAACTAATGAAAATTGGACAGTTTTTTGTATGCTATTCTTTTTAATATACATTTTTCTTCTGTTATTATTTCTATGGTTTCTTGATCATTCAATGTGAGTCTCTTTGATAGGACAAACGTAAATGTGGTCACTTTAAATGGTACACCATTTCATGTTGACAATGTAATGACACAGCTTACACATTTGCTTGGCTTTCCTTTCCTTGCAGTTGACAATACGCCACCAGTGATTTCGGGATGCCCAAGCAATTTAGTATTCACCACCAATACTTTCGGAGGGACTGCTTTTGTCACCTGGACACCACCAACTGCAACAGATGACAGTCAAGTTGTACAAACTTCCACTCATAATCCCGGGCAACAACTTCCCGTTGGCAGAACTGAAGTTGTGTATACTTTCACCGATACCAATAACCAGGCATCTATGTGTTCATTCTTTGTGGAGGTAGTATTTGGTAAGAGTAAAGACTTCTGAAGTTACAGAGGACTACGTTTATTGCAAAACACAAAGATGATTTGGTAACACTAATGATTAATGCCCATTTCTGGTTTTCAGTAGAAGCAAGTTTCGGATAGGATGTATAAGTTTAGATAATCCTGAAATTATCAGTCTGCTCTTGAAATAAAATCAATCAAATTTAAGAAGACATGGACAGGGATTTGCATTGATATCAAATAGTATTGTAATGTTAAGAAAGGCACAGAAGTTTGGCATTTATCGCAAAATCGTACGGTTGTGAACACAAATAAGTGTCTGTAATGACTTGTTTTTTTTCTTTTCTAAGATGTATAGTTACGAAAAGGTCAGAATACGGAGATCCATCCAATTTGCTCAGGCATGGGCAACTAATAATGAAGCAAATTGCTTTTCTTGGGTTATCCCTGCGCAGATTAAGTGCACACACTATTACTCTTTAAAGGTCTCACCAAATTTACAAACGGTTTCTTCCTTCTTTTTGAAACATCCACAAACATATAAATAATGTCATGCATTAATTATCGCAATCCGATACGTCAAACACGTTTGTTTTTGCAGTTGACATTGATGATCCATTCTTTGTGGGCTGTCCCACTTCGCTCACTGTGACGGCCCCTTTTAATGCTGGTGCAGACATTGAGGTGACATGGACAGCACCTACGGCTACGGATAATGCTGGAACACCAACAGCTATTCTGATATCCCATAATCCGGGGGACAGGTTTCTTGTTGGCCAAGTGACCACTGTCCTCTACAGTTACACCGATGCGGCTGGCAACAGAGGCGACTGTCGGTTTGATGTGACCGTTACACGTGCTGGTTGGTAGTTCATTTCATCTATAAATATATATATGAAGAATATAAGAGATACCCTAACAACTACAATGACAACAAAATATAGTGTTTCAAATTAACTATTCTGGCAACCATGATCAGAGTCATTACTGGAATATGGTACCCATGTTCAACATAGCAGGTCAACTTGCACATTACATGCTATTAATTTAAAAATGAAAGTGCGGTTACAGTCTTCAAAAATACAAATTCATGCCGAACCATGGACAAATTTGACAAAAAGAATAACTATCAAGATCATTGTTCGGAAATATCTGCAAACTTTGAAAATTTTATTCTAAATTGTTTTTTAAGTACTTTTTTATTCAGTGCACGGCATTAAATAAAAATACCAAAAACAAAAAATATCTTTTTTTTTCTGTAGAATTTTCCAGGGCAAAAGATGAAATCACAATGTCATTGATGGGCTATACATATAGTCTTACTTATAATCTCGGCTCAACTGCAATATTCTATGGCATAATAGAAACTTCAAAGGCTGACGTAGTTGTGTGGTTTTATTGTGAAAGGTTCAACTTTGTCATTTTGTATTGAGGTCGATAGGCCTACACTCTTTAGATGATCTGTCATAATTTCATTTCAGTTGACAATGTGCATCCTGTGATCAACTGCCCAGCCAACATCATTCAAGAAGTCACGACTGGCAATCGGAATGGAGTTGAAGTAACGTGGAATTTACCCATAGCCACAGACAACACTGGATCTACGCTAATTGTCATTCTGACCTCAGATCAACAGCTGGGTCCCGGTGCCTTCTTCCAGTTCGGAAGTTACACCATTGCTTATAGCGCCGTTGATGGGGCAAGCAATTCGGCTCAATGTTCCTTTACTGTAACTGTTGGTAAGTTTCCATTTCTACATTAGTTGGAATAAATCTGTATTGAAATAATGTAAAAGAACATCTCTTTGATTCTCAATTATTCTGGTCAATCCTAAACGCCGCTATAACTGTTTGTTTAATTACACGGTAAATAAGTCCACAAATAAGTATATAAATGAATAAATAGCAAAATCGCAAAATCTTTCCGGATAGATAACATCAAGGGGAACGGGATGTCGGATCTTACCAATAGCAACTGATTGACCAAAGCTGAATCAGATAATACACCATCGTAAAAGAGAGTGAGAAAGAGAGAGAGAGAGAGAGAGAGAGGGGGGGGGGGGGACAGAGATGTCCATTGATGATGTACAAAATGCAATTAGAGGTTTGCGTTTGTTGAGTAACCAACGCAGAGTGGTCGGGCAGGCAATGTTTTCATTAAACACTGCCGAGAGCTATGAATATGTTTATGTTAGAACAAAGGATCACGATTGTTTGAAAAGTGCATCTTTAACGGTGTGATAAATTTCAGTAAACATGAGTCCAGTGCTCTTAACTGCTAGGCCATCTTACCCCATCATCAGATCATCAGCATGGTCAGATTCAACAAATCTAGCGGTGCTCCCTGTTGGATCTTGGACGAGGTATTCCACTGGTGTTGTGGCAACAGGGAAAGCGGTGTTGGGAGAGTGAGTCTGCATGACGAGCCGCACATGGCCACTGTCATCATAAGCTGTTGGTTCTGTCCATGTCACAATACAATGTACCTCATTATACATAATGAAGGACGAATCAATAATGGTTAAGTGCCTTGCTCAAGGGCACAAGTGTCCAGGCCCGGGCTTCAACCCACGCCACTGTTGCCTCTGAAACACCAGAGCATGAGTCCAGCAGCAGCCGATTTCACGAAACTGTGCGTAACTTACGCCTTAATTGCTTATAGCGCAAGACTTACGCCATGAACTAAAGTTTCGTGAAATCGGCTGGAAGTGTACAATTAAATTAAGAGATGTCTCTTAATTTCAGTGGATCGTTCAGTGGATCGATATTTTCTTCATAATATGTTGTTATTTTGCTTCTGTTTTCAATTAAATCATCCATTGTTGTTAATTTTCAGTGGATCGAGTACCACCTGTACTCAATTGCCCACCCAACCTTGTAAGAGAAGTCACCAGTGGCAGTCAGAATGGAATTCAAGTGTCATGGAATGTTCCTACAGCTACAGACAACAGTGGAGCTGCACCAAATGTCCTCCTGACCTCAAATTCACAGCAAACTCCGGGTTCCTTCTTTGCATTTGGAACGTACACTATAACATATACTGCCAGTGATGGTGCAGGCAATTCCTTCTCATGTTCTTTCACTGTTAATGTTGGTAAGTTTTGAATTCCATTGTTAGAAATGTAGGCAATTGATAATGTTAAATGGGGAAATTAACATCAGCAACATTTGACAGTGCATGGACACATTTCCACTGCAATCAATTCCTTATTGATAAGAACTGTACTGACTTGCCCATCCAACCTTGTTGAAGAAGTCTCAAGTGGCGTTCAGAATGGAATTCAAGTGCCATGGAATGTTCCTTCAGCTGCAAACAACAGTTTCCCTCTAGCAATCATCGGTTGGAAGTGTACAATTAAATTAAAAGATGTCTCTTAATATCAGTGGATCGTGTACCACCTGTGATCACTTGCCCAGCTGACATCACCCAACGAGTCACGACTGGCAATCGGAATGGAATTGAAGTACAATGGAGTCCTGCAACAGCCACAGACAACAGTGGAGCTGTACCAATTGTCTTTCTGGGCTGAAATTCACAACAAGGACCTGGTTCCTTCTTCCAGTTTGGAACCTACACCATTACCTATTTTGCCACAGATGGGACAAGCAATTCCATTCCATGTTCTTTTACTGTGACAGTTGTTAAGGTTTTTTTCATCAAGGATGTTTGTTCCTAAAATCAAGATAAAGTGTGTCAGTTGTGTGAAGTGATTCATTTAGTCTCATTTAGAGAAGATAATTGTTTTGGATTTGGGACATTTAACATTCCTGCTATAATGTTTTTTTTTTATGTATCTGCTGCTGTTTATATCGCTTGTGTGCTAAGAGATTTGAGGTTAATTGGATGTGTCCCATTTTCTTGACTTGGAAGATATTCCAAATAAACTCGATTGATGTGTTATTTGTCTCTAGTTGACGGAGTACCACCTTCAGTCCAATGCCCAGGGAATGTGGAGTTTACCATACCATTTACAGCTAATGATAGGGAGGTGACCTGGAGTGAGCCAGTTGTATCTGACAATTCTGGAACTGTCAGTTTCGTCTCAAGGACCCGTGAACCTAATACCCGTTTCCTACCTGGTATTACTACTGTAATGTATACCTACCGTGACCCATCAGGCAACACGGAATCCTGTTCTTTCACTGTGACAATAACCCGACGTAAGTCTTGTGGGCAGTTGATTTGTTGTTTGTTTTATTTCTCTGAAAGATTGTACGATTGGTTTCCTGACGAATATTTGTGTACTTGTTTGTATCTTTGCTGTGAAAACTGAAGAAAATTTGGACGTTTAAATTGTAAGCCACAGGTACATGTGGATGTATTTAAATCTTGTCATTATATGATCCTGAGCGAATTATTGTTAACAGTTCTCAACAAATTGTTTTCAAATTGCAATAATGTGGAAAACAGATTGTTGTTATCAAAGATATCCTCCTTGTTTAATGGACGAACACTCATGATAACCAAGTATTTGTAGGGGTTCAAATATTCATGTCATTTTGAATGAAGCACAATTTTCTGAACGGCAGATGTTGCGGTAGTCTGTTGATACACAGATAGAGTTACCTTTGTCTCATTGCTAATGGTCAGATATTAATATTCTATTAAGGTTGAAACATTTGTCAGATGGAGGATCTTTTCTTATTTTTTGTACAGTGGATGGCGTGCCGCCTGTGATTAACTGCCCAGCCAACATCTTACAAGAAGTCACGACTGGCAATCGGAATGGAATTGAAGTGACATGGAATTTACCCACAGCCACAGACAACAGTGGAATACAACCAACTATCTCCTTGGCATCAAATGCACAGTTAGGACCTGGTTCGTTCTTTCCATTTGGAAGCTACACAATTACCTATAGAGCTACTGATGCGGAAGGGAATTCCGAGTCATGTTCCTTTACTGTCACTGTTGGTAAGTTTTTCAGTAAATGATTCAGCAATATGAATAAGGAAAAGTAGGTTACTTTACTAATGCTATGATATTTTTGAAACTGAATCAAGCTATATTTGGCAAATGGAGAAAAGGATTAAAAACTTAATTTGTAATCAGGTTGATACATTATTTAGCAGAAAGGACATTTGACAGCCGATACAGGAACAAAAGCGCTAGTAGTTTACTTTCAAGTCATCGTGACACCCATATCTAATTTTGATTACTGTATTGGTCGAGTACATGCATCTGTTTATGTTTCACATGATGTTTTGCTGTTTTTCTTCTGTTTTCAATTAAATCATCCATTGTTTTTATTTTTCAGTGGATCGAGTACCACCTGTACTTAATTGCCCATCCAATATTATACGAGAAGTCACCAGTGGCAGTCAGAATGGAATTCAAGTGTCATGGAATGTTCCTACAGCTACAGACAACAGTGGAGCTGCACCAAATGTCTTCCTGACCTCAAATTCACAGCAAACTCCGGGTTCCTTCTTTGCATTTGGAACGTACACTATAACATATACTGCCAGTGATGGTTTAGGCAATTCCATGTCCTGTTCTTTTACTTTGACAGTTGGTAAGTTTTGAATTCCATTGTTAGAAATGTAGGCAATTGATAATGTTAAATGGGGAAATTAACATCAGCAACATTTGATAGTGCATGGGCACATTTCCACTGCAATCAATTCCTTATTGACAAGAACTGTACTCACTTGCCCATCCAACTTTGTTGAAGAAGTCTCAAGTGGCGTTCAGAATGGAATTCAAGTGCCATGGAATGTTCCTTCAGCTGCAAACAACAGTTTCCCTTTCCCAATCATCGGTTGGAAGTGTACAATTAAATTAAAAGATGTCTCTTAATTTCAGTGGATCGTGTACCACCTGTGATCACTTGCCCAGCTGACATCACCCAACGAGTCACGACTGGTAATCGGAATGGAATTGAAGTACAATGGAGTCCTGCAACAGCCACAGACAACAGTGGAGCTGAACCAAATGTCTTTCTGGGCTCAAATTCACAACAAGGACCTGGCTCCTTCTTTCAGTTTGGAACCTACAGCATTCTCTACATTGCCTCAGATGGGCCAGGCAATTCCATGACATGTTCTTTTACTCTGACAGTTGGTAAGTTTTTTTTTTCATGAAAGATTTATGTTTCTGAAATCAAGATTAAGTGTGTCAGTTGTGTAAAGTGATTCATTAAGTCTCATTTGAAGAAATATTTTTTTTTTGATTGGGGTCATTTATGATTTAACATTCCTGCTGTAATGTTTGTTTGATGTGTCTGCTGCTGTTTAGTGACGTGTGTGGTATAAGATCTGCGATGAATTGGAATATGGCACATTTTGTAGACTTGGAAGATATTCCAAATAAACATGACTGAAACGATTGATGTTTTATTTGTTTGTAGTTGACGGAGTACCACCTTCAGTCCAATGCCCAGGGAATGTGGAGTTTACCATACCATTTACAGCTAATGATAGGGAGGTGACCTGGAGTGAGCCAGTTGTATCTGACAATTCTGGAACTGTCAGTTTCGTCTCCAGGACCCGTGAACCTAATAGCCGTTTCCAACCTGGTATTACTACTGTAATGTATACCTACCGTGACCCAGCAGGCAACACGGAATCCTGTTCTTTCACTGTGACAATAACCCGACGTAAGTCTTGTGGGCAGTTGATTTGTTGTTTTCTTTTATTTCTCTGAAAGATTGTACAATTGAATTGGTTTCCTGAAAAATATTTGTGTACTTGTTTTTATCTTTCCTTTGAAAACTGAAGACAATTTGGTCGGTTAAAATGTAAGCCACAGGTACATGTGGATGTATTTAAACCTTGTCATTATATGATCCTGAGTGAATTATTATTAAAACTTCTCAACAAATTGTTTTCAAATTGCAATATGTGGAAAACAGATTGTTGTTATCAAAGATATCCTCCTTGTTTAATGGACGAAGACTCACGATAACCAAGTATTTGTAGGGGTCAAATATTCATGTCATTTTGAAAGAAGCACAATTTTCTGAACGGCAGATGTTGCAGTAATCTGTTGATACACAGATAGAGTTACCTTTGTCTCATTGCTAATGGTCAGATATTAATATTCTATTAAGGTTGAAACATTTGTCAGATGGAGGATCTTTTCTTATTTTTTGTACAGTGGATGGCGTGCCGCCTGTGATTAACTGCCCAGCCAACATCTTACAAGAAGTCAGGACTGGCAATCGGAATGGAATTGAAGTGACATGGAATTTACCCACAGCCACAGACAACAGTGGAATACAACCAACTATCTCCTTGACATCAAATGCACAGTTAGGACCTGGTTCGTTCTTTCCATTTGGAAGCTACACAATTACCTACAGAGCTACTGATGCGGAAGGGAATTCCGAGTCATGTTCCTTTACTGTCACTGTTGGTAAGTTTTCATATCATATGTTTGCAATACACAAAAGGACGACAAGCTACTTTATTAGTGCTATAATATTTTTTTGTTTAACTTAATCAAATAATATTTGACAAATTAAAGCCTTGTCGTCAGGTTGATGCGCAATGTCCAAGAAATAAAGCAGACACAAAATACTGCAACAGATTCAGAAGCATAGTTGGCAGGTGGTTAATTTCACATCACCATAACTTCCTGTTTAAAACACTTTGTTTTTAATTTCGACTGTTAGAGGAGTCTGTTTATTTCTCACATGCAATCTTGTTATTTTGCTTCTGTTTTCAATTAAATCATCCGTTGTTAATTTTCAGTGGATCGAGTACCACCTGTACTCAATTGCCCATCCAATATTATACAAGAAGTCACCAGTGGCAATCGGAATGGAATTGAAGTGTCATGGAATGTTCCTACAGCTACAGACAACAGTGGAGCTGCACCAAATGTTTTCCTGACCTCAAATTCACAGCAAACTCCGGGTTCCTTCTTTGCATTTGGAACGTACACTATAACATATACTGCCAGTGATGGTGCAGGCAATTCCATGCCCTGTTCTTTTACTTTGACAGTTGGTAAGTTTTGAATTCCATTGTTAGAAATGTAGGCAATTGATAATGTTAAAAGGGGAAATTAACATCAGCAACATTTGACTGTGCATGGACACATTTTCACTGCAATCAATTCCTTATTGATAAGAACTGTACTCACTTGCCCATCCAACCTTGTTGAAGAAGTCTCAAGTGGCGTTCAGAATGGAATTCAAGTGCCATGGAATGTTCCTTCAGCTGCAAACAACAGTTTCCCTTTCCCAATCATCGGTTGGAAGTGTACAATTAAATTAAGAGATGTCTCTTAATTTCAGTGGATCGTGTACCACCTGTGATCACTTGCCCAGCTGACATCACCCAACGAGTCACGACTGGTAATCGGAATGGAATTGAAGTACAATGGAGTCCTGCAACAGCCACAGACAACAGTGGAGCTGAACCAAATGTCTTTCTGGGCTCAAATTCACAACAAGGACCTGGTTCCTTCTTTCAGTTTGGAACCTACAGCATTCTCTACATTGCCTCAGATGGGGCAGGCAATTCCATGACATGTTCTTTTACTGTGACAGTTGGTAAGTGTTTTTTTTCATGAAAGATTTATGTTTCTGAAATCAAGGTTAAGTGTGTCAGTTGTGTAAAGTGATTCATTAAGTCTCATTTGAAGAAATATTTTTTTTTTGGATTGGGGTCATTTATGATTTTACATTCCTGCTGTAATGTTTGTTTGATGTGTCTGCTGCTGTTTAGTGACGTGTGTGGTATAAGAGCTGAGATTAATTGGAATATGGCACATTTTCTTGACTTGGAAGATATTCCAAATAAACATGACTGAAACGATTGATGTTTTATTTGTTTGTAGTTGACGAAGTACCACCTTCAGTCCAATGCCCATGGAATGTGGAGTTTACCATACCATTTACAGCTAATGATAGGGTGGTGACCTGGAGTGAGCCAGTTGTATCTGACAATTCTGGAACTGTCAGTTTTGTCTCAAGGACCCGTGAACCTAATAGCCGTTTTCAACCTGGTATTACTACTGTAATGTATACCTACCGTGACCCAGCAGGCAACACGGAATCCTGTTCTTTCACTGTGACAATAACCCGACGTAAGTCTTGTGGGCAGTTGATTTGTTGTTTTCTTTTATTTCTCTGAAAGATTGTACAATTGAATTGGTTTCCTGAAAAATATTTGTGTACTTGTTTTTATCTTTCCTTTGAAAACTGAAGACAATTTGGTCGGTTAAAATGTAAGCCACAGGTACATGTGGATGTATTTAAACCTTGTCATTATATGATCCTGAGTGAATTATTATTAAAACTTCTCAACAAATTGTTTTCAAATTGCAATATGTGGAAAACAGATTGTTGTTATCAAAGATATCCTCCTTGTTTAATGGACGAAGACTCACGATAACCAAGTATTTGTAGGGGTCAAATATTCATGTAATTTTGAAAGAAGCACAATTTTCTGAACGGCAGATGTTGCAGTAGTCTGTTGATACACAGATAGATTTACATTTGTCTCATTGCTAATGATCAGATATTAATATTCTATTAAGGTTGAAACATTTGTCAGATGGGGGATCTTTTCTTATTTTTTTTGTTTTATAGTGGATGGCGTGCCGCCTGTGATTAACTGCGCAGCCAACATCTTACAAGAAGTCAGGACTGGCAATCGGAATGGAATTGAAGTGACATGGAATTTACCCACAGCCACAGACAACAGTGGAATACAACCAACTATCTCCTTGACATCAAATGCACAGTTAGGACCTGGTTCGTTCTTTCCATTTGGAAGCTACACAATTACTTACAGAGCTACTGATGCGGAAGGGAATTCTGAGTCATGTTCCTTTACTGTTACTGTTGGTAAGTTTTTCAGTAAATGATTCAGCAATATGCATAAGGAAAAGTAGGGTTCTTTACTAAAGCTATGATATTTCTGAAACTGAATCAAGTAATATCTGGCAAATGGAGAAAAGGATTAAAAACTTAATTTGTAATCAAGTTGATACATTATTTAGCAGAAAGGAGATTTGACAGCCGATACAGGAACAAAAGCGCTAGTAGTTTACTTTCAAGTCATCATAACGCCCATATCTAATTTTGATTACTATATTGGTTGAGTACATGAGTCTGTTTATTTTTCACATGATGTTTTGCTGTTTTTCTTCTGTTTTCAATTAAATCATCCATTGTTGTTAATTTTCAGTGGATCGAGTACCACCTGTACTCAATTGCCCGTCCAATATTATACAAGAAGTCACCAGTGGCAGTCGGAATGGAATTCAAGTGTCATGGAATGTTCCTACAGCTACAGACAACAGTGGAGCTGCACCAAATGTCTTCCTGACCTCAAATTCACAGCAAACTCCGGGTTCCTTCTTTGCATTTGGAACGTACACTATAAGATATACTGCCAGTGATGGTGCAGGCAATTCCTTCTCATGTTCTTTTACTGTTAATGTTGGTAAGTTTTGAATTCCATTGTTAGAAATGTAGGCAATTGATAATGTTAACTGGGGAAATTAACATCAGCAACATTTGACAGTGCATGGACACATTTCCACTGCAATCAATTCCTTATTGATAAGAACTGTACTGACTTGCCCATCCAACCTTGTTGAAGAAGTCTCAAGTGGCGTTCAGAATGGAATTCAAGTGCCATGGAATGTTCCTTCAGCTGCAAACAACAGTTTCCTTTTCCCAATCATCGGTTGGAAGTGTACAATTAAATTAAGAGATGTCTCTTAATTTCAGTGGATCGTGTACCACCTGTGATCACTTGCCCAGCTGACATCACCCAACGAGTCACGACTGGTAATCGGAATGGAATTGAAGTACAATGGAGTCCTGCAACAGCCATAGACAACAGTGGAGCTGAACCAAATGTCTTCCTGAGCTCAAATTCACAACAAGGACCTGGTTCCTTCTTCCAGTTTGGAACCTACACCATTATTTATTTTGCCACAGATGGGGCAAGCAATTCCATTCCATGTTCTTTTACTGTGACAGTTGGTAAGATTTTTTCATCAGGGATGTTTGTTCCTAAAATCAAGATAAAGTGTGTCAGTAGTGAAAAGTGATTCATTTAGTCTCATTTAGAGAAGATAATTGTTTTAGATTTGGGACATTTTACATTTCTGCTATATTGGATTTTTTATGTATCTGCTGCTGTTTATATCGCTTGTGTGCTAAGAGATCTGAGATGAATTGGATATGTCATTTCCTTGACTTGGATGACATTCCAAATAAACTCGACTGAAACGATTGATGTTTTATTTGTTTGTAGTTGACGAAGTACCGCCTTCAGTTCTATGCCCAGCGAATCTGGAGTTAACCGTACCATTTACAGCTAATGATAGAACAGTGACCTGGAGTGAGCCAGTTGTATCTGACAATTCTGGAACTGTTACTTTCGTCTCAAGGACCCATGAACCTAATAGCCGTTTCCAACCTGGTATTGCTACTGTAATGTATACCTACCGTGACCCATCAGGCAACAGGGAATCCTGTTCTTTCACTGTAACAATAACCCGACGTAAGTCTTGTGGGCAGTTGATTTGTTGTTTCTTTTATTTCTCTGAAAGATTGTACGATTGTTTTCCTGACAAATATTTGCGTACTTGTTTTTATCTTTCCTTCGAAAACTGAAGAAAATTTGGTCAGTTAAAATGTAAGCCACAGGTACATGTTGATGTATTTAAACCTTGTCATTATCTGATCCTGAGTGAATTATTGTTAAAAGTTCTTAACAAATTGTTTTGAAATTCCAGTATGTGGAAAACAGATTGTTGTTATCAAAGATATCCTCCTTGTTTAATGGACGAACACTCATGATAACCAAGTATTTGTAGGGATTCAAATATTCATGTAATTTTGAATGAAGCATAATTTTCTGAACGGCAGATGTTGCAGTAGTCTGTTGATACACAGATAGAGTTACCTTTGTCTCATTGCTAATGGTCAGATATTAATTTTCTATTAAGGTTGAAACATTTGTCAGATGGGGGATCTTTTCTGATGTTTTTTTTTTCTTTACAGAGGATGGCGTACCACCTGTGATTAACTGCCCATTCAACATCTTACAAGAAGTCACGACTGGCAATCGGAATGGAATTGAAGTGACATGGAACTTACCCACTGCCACAGACCACAGTGGAATACAACCAACTATCGCCTTGACATCAAATGCACAGCTAGAACCTGGTTCTTTCTTTTCATTTGGAAGCTACACAATTACCTACAGAGCTACTAATGTGGAAGGGAATTCCGAATCATGTTCCTTTTTTGTTGTTGTTGGTATGTTTTCATTTCATCTGTAAAGCAATACACAAAAGGAAGACAAGTTTCTGTATTACTGCTATGATATTTTTTGTTTAACTCAATTAAATAATATTTGACAAATTAATGAAAAGGATGAAAGCTTCAATTTGTCGTCAGGTTGATGCGCAACGGTCCCAGAAAAAAAGCAGATACAAAACACTCCAGCAGACACAGAAACATAGCTGGCATGTGCATCATCATAACTCCTTGTTGATAATTTTTTTTGTAATTTCGACTGCCTTATTAGTTGACTACACGAGTCTGTTTATTTTCTACAATATATGTTGTGATTTTGCTTCTGTTTTCAATTAAATCATCCATTGTTGTTAATTTTCAGTGGATCGAGTACCACCTGTACTCAATTGCCCATCCAATATTATACAAGAAGTCACCAGTGGCAGTCAGAATGGAATTCAAGTGTCATGGAATGTTCCTACAGCTACAGACAACAGTGGAGCTGCACCAAATGTCTTCCTGACCTCAAATTCACAGCAAACTCCGGGTTCCTTCTTTGCATTTGGAACGTACACTATAAGATATACTGCCAGTGATGGTGCAGGCAATTCCATGTCGTGTTCTTTTACTATTAATGTTGGTAAGTCTTGAATTCCATTGTCAGAAATATAGGCAATTAATATTTAAAAATGGAAATAAACATCAGTATTATTTGTCAGTACATGGACACATTTCCATTGTAATCAGTTGTTATTGATTAGAACTGCCCCTGCGTTTGTTGTCATTGTGGTATATATGCTATGTACAATTTCATATTAATTATGATGAAAGCCTTTCACCCTACAACTGTAATATTAAAGTCCAAATTACCAGCCTTTTCGAGTCAGAACCAATACCAATATAATTGGTTAAACATTGACATGTCTTTAAAGGGAATAAACAGCTTTTGCTTTAGATGTAATTTTCAGAAACGGATGGATTTTGGGGGTTAGTATTTTATAGCAAAAATTGTTACACTGACTTGTTGAAGTTTTGTGTTGATGCTGGAAAAACAAAGAACAACGATCATGTTCCTGTAGTCTGGTTCCATGACCCCACTTAAGATGAAACAGAGCAATTTGTGGACGTCGGGGAATTGTAAGGTCAGGGAAACAGTCCAGCTGGCCTGTACCCGTTCAAAGGTGTGAAATCGATTGCAAACAAAATATGAACCAACACTTGTCGGCCGACCAGCGTTTGAAATGGATAAAAAGTTCCACCTTTCTTGGAAATGACAACACACCAGGTGCCATGATTTTACAGGAAGCTTAAGACTGTCATTAACTAAATGTCTAGTGAGGTACTTCATAATATTTTGGTAGGTTTTGATATATGCAAATGTTGTAAATTCCCTCTATAGTGCAAAGCATTTTGACTGAATAGATTTATTGAAATGTCATGATATGTGGAACGTTTTTCCTTTCCCAATCACTGGTCGAAAAGCGCACTTTTTAATTACCACTATCTATTCATTTCAGTGGATCGTGTACCACCCGTGATCACTTGCCCAGCTGACATCACCCAACGAGTCACGACTGGCAATCGGAATGGAATTGAAGTACAATGGAGTCCTGCAACAGCCACAGACAACAGTGGAGCTGAAACAAATGTCTTCCTGAGCTCAAATTCACAACAAGGACCTGGTTCCTTCTTCCAGTTTGGAACCTACACCATTACCTATTTTGCCACAGATGGGGCAAGCAATTCCATTCCATGTTCTTTTACTGTGACAGTTGGTAAGATTTTTTTCATCAAGGGTGTTTGTTCCTAAAATCAAGATAAAGTGTGTCAGTTGTGTGAAGTGATTCATTTAGTCTCATTTAGAGAAGATAATTGTTTTGGATTTGGGACATGTAACATTCCTGCTATAATGGTTTTTTATGTATCTGCTGCTGTTTATATCGCTTGTGTGCTAAGAGATTTGAGATTAATTGGATGTGTCCCATTTTTTTGACTTGGAAGACATTCCAAATAAACTCGACTGAAACGATTGATGTTTTATTTGTTTCTAGTTGACGAAGTACCACCTTCAGTCCAATGCCCAGCGAATGTCGCGTTTAGCATACCATTTACAGCTAATGATAGGGCTGTGACCTGGAGTGAGCCAGTTGTATCTGACAATTCTGGGAGTGTTACTTTCGTCTCCAGGACCCGTGAACCTAATAGCCGTTTCCAACCTGGTATTGCTACTGTAATGTATACCTACCGTGACCCATCAGGCAACACGGACTCCTGTACTTTCACTGTAACAATAACTCGACGTAAGTCTTTTTGGCAGTATAATTTTCATTTAAATATTCATTTTATTTTGAGTAAAATGGATTTTTCTGAACAACACAGGCTATTGTTGCAATAGTCTGTTGATACACAGATACAGTTGCCTTTGTCTCATTGCTAATGGTCAGATATTTACATTTGATTAAGTTTGAAACATTTGTCAGATGGGGGATCTTTTTATTTTTTTTAATTTTTTTTTTTACAGTGGATGGCGGGCCACTTATGATTAACTGCCCAGGCAACATCGTTCGAGAAGTCACGACTGGCAATGGGAATGGAATTGAAGTAACATGGAACTTACCCACTGCCACAGACCACAGTGGATTACAACCAACTATCTCCTTGACATCAAATGCACAGCTAGGACCTGGTTCGTTCTTTCCATTTGGAAGCTACACAATAACTTACAGAGCTACTGATGCGGAAGGGAATTCCGAGTCATGTTCCTTTACCGTCACTGTTGGTAAGTTTTCATTTCATTTGTTTGCAATACACAAAATGAAGACATTTAAGCTAATTTATTAGTGCTATGATATTTTTTTGTTTAACTCAATCAAATAATATTTGACAAACAAATGAAAAAGATAAAAGCCTTGTCGTCAGGTTGCTGCGCAATGTCCCAGAAATAAAGCAGACACAAAACACTACAACAGATACAGAAACATAGTTGGCAGGTGATTAATTTCACATCATCATAAAATAAAATTCCATAGACATACATTGAGAAAAATAGTTGATTCCTTTTACTGTTTCTCTTCCTTTTGCGACGGATAAACCCAACCCCAAAATGCCTGTTTTCCAGAGAGGGGGAAAACCTTGTGTGGACGTGGGCAAGTCCACCCAACGTATCTGAAACCTGGTTTATGTGGAAATCTTTTCGTCACCATTTACTAAAGCACTCTGCCAAACACTCGTAACATGTTTTTCCAGAAACCCCTTTGAAGTTGAGACACTTGAATTGCCGGGCCCATAAATCTATAGATTTCTTTTTGAGGTACTTTGCTTGAATATTGTGGTGTGTTTATAATCAACAGTATCATCGAATCCGTGTTCATCTTCACCTTGTCAGAATGGTGGGACTTGTTCCACGAGTTCGTCTGGGGATCAAATCTACTGCAATTGTTCTGAAGGCTTTAAAGGAATTACATGTGAAACATACGGTATGTTTCCCCCAATTTTTAATTAATGAAAATACTAATATATCTGAAAAAAAAATGGAATGTGTAGGGGGGGGGGGCGAATACAGAATATCCGAGGGAGGGGGAGATAGAATCAGCTTTTACACCTGATCCTGCTGTTACCTGCCTTGTATCACTTAGACCCGTTTAATTTTGAACGATGTCTAATCTTCAAAGCTCAATAGTGATTCAACCTTTATATTACGAGGTTTTCGAGAAAAGTGGTATTTATACTAAAATGGTTACTTATCAAGTAGTTCCATAGGAAAATGTAAATTATGTCTATGAAAAAGGGAAAACTAGGGACTACACGATTGAGATAAAAACAAATCACGCTAATTTTAGATTGAAATACACACACACACAAATAATAAAATCGAGTTAAAACTTAATCTATTGAATCGACTGAATTTCACTCGAAATCGTATGGTCCCTAGTTTCAGTCGGCGGGAGTGAATTTTCACTCCTTGGAATTGTATGAGAGAGTGTCAGGTTGTATTGATGTTATTGTGAGAAAGTTTCACTGATCGAATTTCCCATAAAAAAACAATAAATGGGAGGTTTGCGGCAGCCGTGAATGATATCTCTTAGTGAGTTGTGTGGTTCTGCGAAGAACCAGTTGGTTTAACTTGACGTTTCGAACAGTATGCTCTGTTCGTCATCAGTCTCCTGCACGGACAGAGCATACTGTTCGAAACGAAACTAAGAGACTAAATGAAACAAAACTAAGAGATATCAACCACATGGTGTTACCACAACCTTCCATACATTGATAATGTCCACCATGCAAATCTTTAAGTTTTAATTAAATGAAAAAAAATGGATAATAATATGGCATATTATGCGCGTCATGCGTGTGATGTTATGGATGGAAATGAGACGCTTTAATCATCCTTTAGTGTTGACAATTGGCGGATTTTCTCCTTCTGGAAACAACTCTGTTGTTTTAGTTTAGTATGATCGTCTGTAATATGATATAAAGTCTACAGAATCGAAGTGTGACTATATAAGTGTCGATTTAGGTGTAACAGACTAGAGTAGAGTCCTATACAGAATATTTTACCAAATTGATACTGATTCTAAGAGCAAATTTGAATAATATAAAAGAACTACTGTAAAAACACCCAGCAATGAAAGACAGAAATGCAAGAAATTAAATACAAACTCGTTTGGTTTCGAGCGTTGCACAAGTCAAGTTAACAATGACTGTGGAAATACTATTTAAGATCGTTTTGTTTTCAGCGTGCAATTGCCACACCGACTCAACCGGTAAACCGAACGACTGTGAGGTTTCAGCAGAGTGTGACGTTGCTGACATCCTAGAAGTCCTTGCACAGGTAGTTCATATACATCTTGCCTCTTCATCATTACCTATATAAAATTGAAATCAAAACTCATGAGCACACGAAAATAAGTTCTAGTTACAGTTTAGTTAACACATTTTCCCGGTACCCCATGATATCAATGTGTAAACGCACACAATCACGCGCCACATTGGTGTCTGTCTAACTTTTTGGAGTTCGAATGGCGACATAAACATTATTGATGGGATAGACGGATTATTACCAACAAAGTAGTCCAAGTAACTTTGACCCTACTTATCGCCTTTTTTAACATTTGGACATGAGCTGGCGACAGTCTACTGACTTGGTACTTACTTGGTTGGTGGTCCTCCGAAATATTCCATCTAGGGAATTTAAACTGGAGGTGTGGCAAGGTGCTGCGGCCACTGCCAAAAACACCGGGGCGAACCCCTTCTCTTAGCGACAAGTGTTACTGGGTTCTTTAACGTGCATTACACAACACACGGGACCTACGGCTTTACGTCCCATCCGAAGGACGAAGCTACTGACGCCAGATCATGGAATGTTACAAAAGGCGATAAGTAGGGTCAAAGTTACTTGGACTACCAACATAGTAATTTTTCTCGAGATGCCATATGGAATTTGCCCCCTATTTAAACCAAGAACGAAAACAAGTTCAACGACAGCTTAAGTTCGCAATTGGCTTTTGTGGACCACAGTTTTTAGAGACACTGCCCAACCAGTTTATGGTTGGGGTTACGGTTTGTTCAAAGAGTAAACTTATTAATACTTCCATCATGTCTAGAACTTCGAGGGTAGGTAACCTTTGTACTCGAGCCAGGCATTATATACAGTAATAAAATCATGTGATGAGAATCAAAAATTGTTTGGTTTGTACGCATTTGTGGTGATACATGAACTTAATATGAACCATTTGCATTTTTATTCATAGATCGTGGTGAATGAAACCAATGTTCTTTCAGTGTCCGCTACGCTGAAGAACGCGACATCGAGCTTAATCAACGAAGAAGTTGAAGGGGATGAGCTCTCTCTGACGGCAACGGTTCTGGAGAATATAGCAAATGTAACCAGTCCAAGCCTCCAGGTACTAACGTCAAGATATTCAAGATTCACATGCCTCATTCTAAATGATCTTTATATATACTGATTCGTAATTGCAAACGCTTTTTTCCGTTAGTGGATGCCAAAAGCATACGGGTTATAGCTTCATCTGTTGAAAAATGTCAAGTCTTAAAATTAATGTGGCCTGACGTTGCGAACTTAGCAAGTTCTTCTTCAGAGGCTAGAACAGAAATGACAGAGGTACATACATTAACATGGGGATGCACACAAACATGCAGGGCTGAAAGAAGAAACACAAAAGGAGGATTAAGTGGGAAAGGTGTAGAAAGATGCAGGGGAGGGTGGATGAGAGAACAAAGAAACAAAGGGAGATGGCAAACCACAAGGGGTCTGGTGTGAACAGGGGAGGGACCAGAAAGGGGAAGGATCAAAGGTCACAGGGAGTGGGAACGGACAAAAGAATGTGAGAGTGAAGGGATGATGCGGGGGGGGGGGGGACAGTATGGAGGTGGAAAGGGATGAAAGATGGGGGAAGATGGGTAAACACAAACAAGGAAGACCAGATGGATTATCTGTAACAGAAGACAATGGAGGAAAAAAAAGGATTAATCATTTCCAAGTTGGATGTTGAGACCATGTGGTTGAATAGTTCGAAGACGATTCATCCACACTTTCTCTCTACTGAGGCGAACTGAGTCCTTGCGATGGCCAAGAGATTCAATGCCCTGCAAAATCATATCAGAAATGGAGTGGTTAGGCAGGTTGAAGTGATGACCAACAGGGGTGTCTAGTTTCTTGGTGTTGACCGTTGACCGGTGGGCATAGAAACGCTTCTTGAGCGTATTCTTAGTCTCACCTACATACTGCACTCCACAGACCCTGCAAGAAATGAGATATATGACATTAGAGGTGTTACAAGTGATGTTACCAATGGTTCTGTGGGTAGTGATAGAAGAGTGGCCAGAAAAGGAGTCAGACTCCTGGATATGAATCTGGCAGACAACACATCTGGAACTGCACTTGAAAGTACCATGCTGGGTGGGAGGGGATGCATCTAAGGATGGGACTTCAGCTCGAACAATCAAGTCCCGTAGATTTCGAGGACGCCTGTAAGCCAATGTGGGGCCGTTGGGGATGGCGCGGGCAAGGCGATCTGAAGTGCGGAGGATATGATGATTGTCATTAGTGATTTTGCGAAGGGGAGGGAGATTGGGGTGAAACGTGGTAACCAAGGGAATCATGTCAAGGGTAAACATATTTCACTTTTACATTTTTTTGGGAGATTTAATTACGAAGGCAAGAGTGTTTGCCCCTTGGAGGCTCGAAACAATAGATTTGTGTTTTTGATAATTTGTTTCCATATAGGTGACCGTAAACGTTGTCAAGACGGTCGACAACGTTCTCAATCTACGTAACGAAATCTTCGAAGAGAGTGATGATGATGCTGCGGGAAGGATCCTCCAAACCTTCGAGACACAGCTGACGTACGTCAGGGAAAACCTGACGATCGACAACCTGTCGAACCTAGCTGTCGATGTCGTCGTACTTGGCCCAGATTTAAACACCGATTCCGGCATAAGCTACGCAAGCATTCCTATAGGAGGGGTCATTGATAACACGCTTCAGAACAATGAGGGTCAGTTGAGTTCGATGACCGAACCACGGGATGACGCCGAAGCATTCATTGGTCTTCCCGGAGAAGCTCTGAAATTGGATGATGAACAAGGTGAAAAAAAACATACATAAGTATTTCTTTGTAAGAATTGCAAAGAAGGAAATAGGAACAGTTATATCAGGAACTGAAGCGAATTGAATGTTTTAAATCAAAGTATGTGACAATTAATTTGTTTCATGCAGGTTCCATGGTAAATTTGCCTGTTGTTTTCGCCGTGTACCTGACCTCCAAGCTGTTTCAGTTAGCCACACCCGAGTCGCTAAGCTTTCCTGACGGGAAACAACTGTTAGTGAACAGTCGCATCGTATCAGCTATCGTCGGAGACCGAGATCAAATCATTGAAAACCTGATGAGCCCTGTTGTAACGTCTTTCATTTCTCTGAACGTAAGTGACATCGATAACATTCGGACACAAATATGAAAATTTAAAAGAAAACTTAAAATTTATTCCATCCAAGCCAAAAGCATACTAAAAATTTTAATTCGATATTGTTGAATGAGGCAAATATTTTTTGTAAAGAGTTTCTTGGACCCGATCCCCTTGTTTCGTTTACTGCCCAGGTAAGTCTTTTTTGTTTTATTTTCTACAAATACAAACTGAACAAGGTCGCATTTTGATGGTACTCAAGATGTTTTTCATTTGTTTTAGACATCACTCACGGGTGAGTCAATCTGTGTCTTTTGGGACGTTGCTGCCAGTAACTGGTCCACTGAGGGATGTACTCGGTCCACGATCAACCCTGGTCAACGCTCCGTGGCCTGTGACTGCAATCACTTGACTAACTTCGCTATTCTACTGGTGAGTCTAAAGGTGTAATTGATTTAAATTTCATTCTTCTGTTTTTGTGTGTGTGCAAACCTGAGTTTTTGTGTGGCTGTTTATTGCATGCTTTCTGTTTTCGTTTTGTTTTCTCAGAGTTATTATGGTGACATTGACAATTTTGCGTTGGATATCATAAGCAAGGTCGGGTGTGCAGTATCGATTGGGGCGCTGTTTCTGACTATAATGGCCTGCTTGGTGCATAGGTAAGAATTATGTTATGAGGGCTAAGGCCAAAGTATCGACAGTCATATTATTTCAAGTACCAGACATTGAATAACGTGCGTCAAAAAAGTATATTTTCCTCAAGTTTGAGAATTGGGGCAACTTTAGGGATCATAAGATGAATTTTACTTGGGAACATTATTTTGTGCAGCTTTCTACCCCTATTTGACATCCCTTTTTGATTTGACATGTATACTTTGATTGAAAAGTGTCCTTCATAAACATTGAATAATGTCCATGTTTTTCCTGACGACTATGGGGGCGCTGTGGCTGTGTTGTCATTTCAGGGAGAAACTTTTAATTTAAGGATTTTCTGTTCACATTGCGACACACAAAGTTTGTTCATTGGCTGAATACTGTGTTGTACTGAAACAACTACAAATAAACTTTACAACCGCAAAAAATCCGAAATGCTGTCAGCTTTTGGTGCAGAAGTAGCTTTAAGATGCAGGTTTCTGCCTATAAATGAAATCACGCTTTTGCTTATGAATTTGTAAATTTGCATTAAGAAACCACAAAGGCAAAATACCCTTGGAAATGGCAAAACGAAAATTGAAAATAAGGTGAGTGGGACCCAAAGGTGCATTTTCGAGGAATACATTAAAACATTATATTGCATGGGCCCTTTAACTTGTTAAGATTCTTGTCAACCGCATGTTTAAAAATAACGATTCTGCTTTCGATGAAACAGTGAGCTTAGAAACAAACCAGCCAAGAAGTCCGTGATAAACCTGTGCGTATCCCTGCTAGCCTTGTACGCGGTCTTTCTGGCCGGTATAGAACAGGCTCAGTCCCCGGTCACCTGTGTTATCATGGCCGCTCTGATCCACTACTTCTTTCTGACCTCCGTCTGCTGGGCCTCGGCCGAGGCGCTGAATCTTTTCTACCTGCTTGTCCTCACGCGCAGGGGACTGATGACTGGATATCTGTTGAAGATGCTGCTGTTCTGTTGGGGTTAGTTTTAGATTTCCTCATCAATGACATGTACAACAGTCGCCCTCTTAAAAGTATTGTTGAAGGTTAGGCCTTGGTGTCGGCGAGTCAATAAAGTGAGACCATTCTGAACTCATTCTTCATCAGAAGTGTAGATTTGCAGCAAATCTTGGGTTGAGGTCCATGCCTATACAGGTTCAAAACAAAATTGCTGAACGAAACAAAAATCGACATTACAGCTTCAAATGTAGACACTTTGTAAAGCGTTTTTGTTCTTCATTTTCTGGAAACCTAAGTCGTGACACATTTTCGAGGTGCGTTTGAAACTAACTGCTATAAAAGCTTTCAGTTATCAACGTGAAGACGCACCTTATTAAGAGGTGAACTTGCAGTTGCAATGTACTCAGTAGAAACTCACAACTTAAAGGTATTTCTTGTGGTTTATAAGGTATCCCGATGGTGATCGTGGCCTTCACGTTCGTGGTGCCGTATTTTGTCACTGGACACTGGGAACTCGAGGGCGAATAGTAAGTATGAAAGGGTGCTTATGAGATGAATTTTTCTAGGAACACATTTCGTGAAAACTATTTGACATCCCTTTTTTGGGTTAATTTTATCAAAAATTGCCCTTCTTTACGCTTATTTGTTTCTGTGGACAACTGAGGGCGCTATTGTTGTGATGTCATTTCCGCAAGACACTGTTCAGTTGAGGGGTTTTCTGTTCAAATGGTAAACCAAAAGTTTGCTCACTGAAAGCATTTGTGAGAAAAGTTTGCTCATTGGCTTGCTCCCATACACTGACAGATTTACAAGGAATCGTCAAAGAGGAGATTTATGTCAGCGAAACCGAAAAATCCTGGCAACTTTTGATGCTGAAATAGAGCTCTGTAACAGTGAGACCTTTACCTGAGATGACGTCATACTTTAGGTCACGAATACGGAAATTCGCATTAGCATCAAAACCAAAAATACTCTTTAACATGATAATTGGACATAAGGTTATGATCCTTGAAAATGCACCTTTGTGTCCCACAAAGGTGCATTTTCAAGGATTCCATCAAAACGCGTCATCTTTCATAAGGGAATAAATGTGTGCTCCGAAGGTTTTTATCACTCTGTTTAAGACCGCTTAGAGTCTGGGTGCTGATAATTACCCGAGCCGGAGGCGAGGGTAATTATCATCACCCAGGCTCTAAGCGGTCTTAAACAGAGTGATAAATACCGACGGAGCACATATTTATTCCCATTCATAAATACCTTTTCGGTAAAAAAAATCAAATAATTCGTTCAAAAAATCCCAATTTTGTTCAACAAGTTCACTTCATGCTTTTTGAAACATCCCTCTAGCAAAATAATGGAGTGTTCAGCTGGCGAGTAAGATGTAAACAACCCTTTTATGGAGATTGACGCGTGCGTAGCATGTTCTGCGCGATGTCGCGCAGAACGCATCTGGGGCGTTGCGTTTTGAATTTAGAGCTATAAAATTCTGACTCGCTGGTAGTGTTGCGCATGCCTACGTGAGGATTGTGAACGTTCAACCAATAAAACGGTAAGAGGCACTGGATTTTTAGGAGTCCGCATTTTTTTGTGACACTGGAAAAGTGTTTAAGACCAGCTAGCCGTGTCTTTATCATCCGTTTAAGACCGGCCACGTGACGGGCTGTCGACCAATAGGAATAGCTAAACTGTCTGAGGTATTTATGAATTATAGATAATAATTGTTTCTCTTTTGTGTACCTTATCATCTGTCTCTTTTCATTTATGATGTCACGTTCGAGCAAGGTTTCTATAAATGGAAATTCAGTAGACCTTATAGGTATAACTTGGTAACACATAGTTACATGACACAACGTATAGATCAAAATTTGATTGTGCATGAAGATGTCTGACTCTGTAGAAATGAATACTAACTACAGACGGGTTGTATTTTTGTTAATGAGAGCATGTTCTTACTCGACCTTACTTCAGTCAGATTTGCAAATACGCCCTGTGAAACATAACCTACGAGATTTATATATAGGATGGTTAACTTGATATTAACTGGAAGTTAATATGATCGTCTTAAAGATATTTCACACATTGTATCCGCAAACATATCCCAGTGTAATAATCTTCCAAAGAAGAATGGTTAAAACACACTGACCTGCTTTGCTTCATTATCTAGCTGCTTCTTAACACCTGGCAACGCACTCTACTTCGGCGTCCTCCTCCCAGTTGGCATGATGCTGCTCTTCAACGTCTTCATTTTCATCCTCCTCGTGCGTCGTCTCGTCTGTCAGCGCATGGTGTCCTCAGTAACCCGCCGTGAGACCCACCTAGATGCCTCCATCCGTCACGGTAGACTCATGCTACCCATAAGTCTACTGTTGGGGGCGACTTGGTTAGTCGGATTCCTGGCGGTTGAGGGGGCTACCGACGTCTTCCAGTGGATCTTTGCCGTTCTCAACTCATTCCTTGGCCTGGCTATCTTCCTGCTCTTCATTGTTGGGAGGAAGACGGGGAGGAAAGGGCTTGGGAAGCTGATCTGCGTCGATCAGATCAGGAAGATGACAAACACCCAGTGATCATCTACAGTCCGTGGAAGCACGCCTCATGGCGTGCTTCCACGGACATAACATAACTGTTACATAACTGATACAAATGACAAGTATACACATTGAGACATTGTATCAGTTATGTTACATAACTGTAACATAACTGATACAAATGACAAGATATACACATTGAGACGATTGGATATTTGTAAGACCTGCCCCCTCAAAAACAAAATTTACATTTTGATGAGATCACTGTGCAAAGCTTCAAATTGGCAGAAATTGAAAACAAAAACCTGCAAGTTCAAGCATTTTATTAATGTGATGCATGAATTGTACACTGATATAACTCTGTCTGCAGGTTGGCTAGATTATGTTATGTAATCCTATGTAAAGTGTTCTTTTCTTTCGTGTACTAATTCACCATTATCATTTTAATTGGAGTTAGACCAGTCGAACTATATATCGTGAGTTCGGAGATGCCTACAGTTATAGTGGTAACAATAGTAGTAATATTTTATAACCTTTAGCGTTGATATAATGCTTCTGTATTGATATATTATCCAGTCTTTATTTTTTAAAATTTCAACAGCTTTTATGTTAATGAACAAGTTAACTCTACCAATTATGAATAGAGAAAGTATAAAGGAGCTTAAACTTGCTTAAAGTTATATTTTTTTTTATAAAGTTAGTTTTTTTCCAGCATTCTCCGTGGTCTATTACACAAGGGCGGATCCAGAACACAATTTGGGGGGGGGGGGGGCAAAAAATTGGTCCCCAAAAAGTGTGTCCAAAAAAATGACGGCGTGGGTTTCGGTGCCCGCTTAAGGGCCCTGAATTTTTTTGGGATTCTAGATGCTCTGTGGTGCGATCTGAGGCAAATTCTGACCACTTTAACCAATATTTTTTGAGAAAAAGTTGGTGGCGTACTCATTGTCTGCCTTTATTGCGAAGTCACTAAATAAACAATTGATTCGTTTTTTTTTGGGGGGGGCATGGCCCCCTTTGGCCCCCCCCCCGGATCCGCCCTTGCTATTACATAGACTAGGTTTCAGCCGGCGCTTCCTCCTACTTTTCACATTTTTGTTTTTATTTTTTATTTTCAAAGGATGTACGTCTGTTCTTTTTCTGGATTCTCCACCGTAAAGCAACACCACAGTAAATCAAAATATAACATGTGAATTTGCCTACTTAATGTAGCAGTCAAGGTAAATGCCCATGCACCTTACTGGAAATCTAACCAAATGTCTCATCTTACTTGGCATTCCACTATGTTCTCTGTTCGAAGGCCGTCGACTAAACTGCACGCGGAGAAGGATCGCTTTGATTCCAGTTCGGCTGACAACCGTGCTTAGCGCTACGCCGCTGCGGACTGGACCACTGGTGAGGGCGCTCTTGTTAGGCATTGTCGTAAATATACAAATGCAAGAGGGCGCTCTTGCTCGACCCAGCTGAGATCGTTCGGGCAATAACGGCGCGATGAACTGATGACGTGAATTGCTACGCTCATGAATATTTACGAGGTATAAATCTCAAAATAGAGGCTTAATTTTACAATCACAATGCATTACTGGTAAATAGGAAAATGTGTAACAGCATAGGCCGATTCTGCACCGACTAACCAGGATGAACATTGAAAATGCTATCGTAGTTATCCTAATTCATTAAGTCATCAACAATAATCAGTAATTAGTTATCAGTGATTATATAACTTCTATCGTACTTAGTTCAAACTTTTTATTTTCACTTTTTTAAAGAAGGAATTGAAACTGCATGTGTTTGTTAATCTTGTAGCCTATTTTAATCCAGCAAATGAAGGAAGAACATGTCCGAACATGAACAAACCCTAGGAACTAGAAACAGGGGCTTAAGAGAATTAGTTAGATGAGACATAGTTAGAATCGGTAGAGTTTAGTCAATGTCTTAGTCGAATGTGCCAGCTGATGTTGAAGAAAGGATGTTGGTGATTAGCTGAACGTTTAGTTTTGAGCAGTGTCTCAGTGGAATGTGCCAGCTGATGTTGAAGAAAGGATGTTGGTTGATTGGCTGAACGTTTAGTTTTAAGCAGTGTCTCAGTGGAATGTGGCAGCTGATGTTGAAGAAAGGATGTTGGTTGATTGGCTGAACGTTTAGTTTTAAGCAATGTCTCAGTGGAATGTGCCAGCTGATGTTGAAGAAAGGATGTTGGTTGATTGGCTGAACGTTTAGTTTTGAGCAGTGTCTCAGTGGAATGTGGCAGCTGATGTTGAAAAAAGGATGTTGGTGATTGGCTGAACGTTTAGTTTTAAGCAGTGTCTCAGTGGAATGTGCCAGCTGATTTTGAAGAAAAGGATGTTGATTGATTGGCTGAAATTAAAGAGGCCTTGAAAGTTAACTTGTTTTTTTGTACTTATTTTGGATTTGATTTGATTTTTTTGGGGTTTGCTTTATTGCTTAACAGAAAGCTGTAATTACATGTACTCGTTTAATTTTTGTTAATTTTTGTTAATATAATCTGGGTTTGTTATTGTTTTTGTTAATGTTCAATCTGTTTTGGTTTGTTTATTTATATTTCGTACAAAGGGCATATTTTCCTTAATTGTTTAGGTGTTATTACGTTGATTAGTTAAGTTTATTTAGATGCATGTGATGTATTCATCATTCATATATAATTATTTACATCGTGAACATTAGGCCTATCAATTTCCTCTTCATGCCTTTTCCTTGGTTACAAAATTGTTGCGTATTTGTTTCAGTTCGTGTCTCTTCGGTGATAGCTACTGCTGTGCGGAAGCTGTATCGCTGTAATTGTTGTCGTTGTGCCATCTTTGGTTTACTATTAGTTTCTTTTGTTCACCTTTGTCTCCAGCTTACCATCCGTTTTTGTTCAAATTCACTATTGTTACCATTTAGTTTTTACTCGATCTCTCTGGACGACGTGGGTGAAAAACCACCGAGTTATGCAAATGTTCACCTGGACACAACTCTACTTTGAAATTGTTGAATTCCATTTAATTCCTATGTAAACTGGGTAGCCCATTCAGTGGAATCCACTGGTATCCTATACGGCCCAGTAAAGAGAAGAAAATGTGAACAAATTACAGTTTTAGGCACTGGAGGAAAATCTCAGAAGAATATTCTGAGGAAAAACTCACGGAGTCAAGTAGGTACTGCAAACCCAATCATTTTATTGGCCCAGGCAGGAACGGACCCGGGTTACCAGCGGTGACTCCCCCGACAGGCTTGTTGAGGCACAGGCGTAAAGTTCGAACACGTAGGCGTATTGCGTGCCATCATGACATTTGCACAATAAAACCCAAAAGGGTCATTTCAGTTCACACAGTCGGGAGATGAAATGACTTTTTGTTAACTCAGTTGAAAGCAAAACCAGCAAATCTGGTAACACATCGTAACCAGGTTCAATTACATTGTACGATGATGAATCAGCACAAATAGAGCACACTGCTGACGTTGTAAGTAAAGCATAACAATTTTTGAATCACGTCATCCGTCTAGAGCCAACAGCTTTTTGGATGGGGGACGATTTATTTGGAGGTATAAGCTGTCTCTTTGATGCTTGTTCTGTTCAATCGTTTTCTGTGGAATTTAATATGTAATGATAATGATTGTACTCAGATTGTTTTTAATATTTGCATTTTTTGAAATTATTGTTTTAAACCGATGTATTGGTTGATTTTCAAAGCAAACATACGAGATCGTATGTCCACGTCTGAATGCATTACTCAAAGATACGCTGTTCGAGCTCTTCAACATAATCTTTTGGCGATATTTGACACCTGCATAGAAATGTATTCGAAGGGGGAACAACCAACATAATTTTCGTAATTTTGGAGTCTGCAGCCATAATTATGAAAATAAAATCTGGATATTGGGTTGCTTTTGTGTAAAAAAAAAGAGATATTCAAACACCTCCAAAATAGCAATTTAAATACAAGATCTCTTTTTTTTTATCGGGACAAACTAAAAAAACAACAGGCAGTTCATATTCAACACTTCACAACTTGTAGTATCCAGAGTGATATATATATATTTTGTACATGGCCATTTTGATACTACATGTATACTAAAATTAATACATGTATGTATAATCGTATAATCGATGACTGACAATAAAATGAAATACGGTGTTGGGTCAAGTTGCCTGTCCGTCTGCTAAGTCATTGCATGGAATTCACTCTCACGAGTTGACAAGACTAGTTGAATCATTGACCTTGATCTATAAGCAACTTGTTTAAAGAAAAGTCACAAGGTTCGTACACTGCACTGCATCGGCGTCCATTGATATCGTCTGTCCACTCCCTCCTACACCCCCTCCTGTTTCGTCCCCGAAGATGGGTGATTCGAGAAGTGGGGTACGTCGATGGGTAATGGGGACATGTGCCCCCGACATTTTTAAAGTGGAGGATATTATAGCCTTTGTCCCCCTCCCACTTTTTTGTGTCCCCGATTAAAAAAGTGGCATATATTTTTATTCTATAGCTCAGAAAAGCTGATTCCATGACTCCCAACTAGAAAATGATATTGAAATGATGCTCATTTGCTAAAAAAAATCGACTAAAGTGGCCTCAGATTGCACTACAGAGCGTCTAGAATCCAACATTTTCCCGGGCCTTCAGCAGGCTCCAAACCCCACGCCGTTAGGGCCTCGCGCTTCGCGCTGGCATTAATTCTAATCAAGGCATGTCCCCCTCCCCAACTTTTGAGAAGCGGTTGACGCTCTTGCACTGCAGCATATGTTCGTTAACGTCTTCGTATACAAAAAAATAACTGAAAAAAAATTGAGGACAGAAATTGTGCGATACAAACCCGTCCATTTTCCCACTATATGCAAAAAATGACCTTTAAACAGTCCGAAAGGAAGGTACCTGGAAGAGCTAGCGTTAGCAACATGTACGTCATCAGCCCAAAGACCAATTCAATCTATTCTGGTTGAGTTTCCAGGTATATCCAAATGAACCGATGAATGAACTGTTGTTAGAGCTCAGAGCTGTTTTCCAGCAGTTTCCAAATTTGGCCTTGAGCGAGCGGGTACTTTTTGTGTGACTTGGCCCTACTTTTGATTGGGTCCTACGTCACACCCGGAAACTGGTGAGTTAAAAAAAATAAACCCATTTAGACTGTATTATAATCAAATGGTTCGAAAATAGCTTTCCCCTTTCAGCACATTGTTTGGATACCCCTTAACCTTTTTTCCCCCCGAAGAGCTGCTATTGTTGGAAATTCGGGCAGGTGTGCCCCTACACACCAACAAGCGAGGAACTATTCGAAACAGAACAATGTTATGCGAAATGTTTTCCCCACTGTAATTTCCATAACACTTGTTCCATACGTCATGACCACCACAACAATCCCTAGCGATGATTTATATAAAGGTGACATTTTTTTGACAGCTCAGGCTTCAGCAGAGGCGTGGTAGTGCTTTGATCCAATCATGTTTACATAACAATGTTCCCGGATCTGCGTACTGTAGGGGTACGGGTACTGAATTCGCTGGTCCCAACGGCTCGGCCTGGCGTCCTCCCTGTACCTATCTGCACCTATATCACTTGTGACTTCGACGGCATAACCTCCAAGACTCATACGTTAACCTTTGTGACTCAGTCTGGAACTGGGACCAAAGATTAGACTTGCCTAGAGTCTTGCTAGATTTTCGATTGCCGTCATGGCGTGGACATCTTCAGTTCACTTGCCGTTTGAGGTGGCGCTCTGGATATGTTTGATCTTCGGCACCCTGGATTCAGCCTTGTCTCAAGACCAGCAACCTGCCTGTCTGCTCCTAGACAGAGGAGTGGATGTCATAGGAGTATCTGCTTTCATCTCGGTGGCTACGAGGAACATAACCGAGGCTGAGCCAGAAATTGCAGGTCTGTAATTCTCAATCTATAGTATACCATAAAATGCAAAGATCCAGGGTTCAGTTGGGAAAGAATGTTGCAACCTGACGACACTTCCGCAATTGTGTACAATGTCTATGGAGAGTTAAGAACAGTTTCTATAAGTATTTCCTAACAAAATTGGAAATGTTTCTCAGTCCCAGATTCATGTCTTATCATCATTTTTGCAATGAATGACCTTCATTGAGATGATGATTATATGAAGAAAAAATTGTCGTCAGGTTGCAATATTCTTTCCTTTAGTTGCTTTGAAGCTTAACTTTATTTCTACTTGTTTTTTTTTTAACACCGATTAAATTGTCAAACAAATACTGGGATGGTTTCTATGGTGATTAGGCAGCTTTTGATAATGATGGTAATGCATTTTCTGCATCTGATGACGTTAGGGGGGTTTAAATCCCCCACCAAAAAAACTTCTGTGTAGCCCCCCAAAAATCCTTAAACAAAATGGCAGTAGCAAATGTTAGGTGACGTCACATGCGAACGGTCTCCCCTCTAAAAAAATAGTCGTCTGAAGGGGGCATTTTGACACTATTAGGTTATATAGTGTGCATGATTGTAGGATGTTATCAGCTTTCCCCATTGAAAATATATTACCAGCCCCCCCCCCCCCTATTGACTTTCGGAGGCCAAATTGTGCGGAGAAAAAAATGTCTACATTTCAGCACGCCTCCCGGCAAAACTGTCTGGATCCTCGCCTGCTAGCCCCCTCCCTAAATAATAGGCTCTAGAACCGCGCCTGATTGGAACCATTGGAACCGGAAATTAACGCAATGGGCAATAGTAATCAGTTGTGCGCACGCATATGTGACGAAGTCACTAATGAACAAGATCAATCACCATTGATCTCCATATACACTGTGAGATCATATGATGATCACTTGCCAAAATGCGCGCGCGCCCGTCTTTTATAACAACGCGTGCAGTATGCGCGCGAACGCGGAGCCATGTCAACAATGGCTTCTAATTTTGTATGCCTCCACTTTTATACCTTTCTGCACTTGGTTGGCAAACTGCATTTTTGCCAACCACGGCCTGCAAAACTATGTAAGGTCCAACACTGCAAAAATGAAGAATAGTTATTACAGATCACCAAAATATTATTTGATACTTGAAAATACAACATTTTCGACAAAGCTACAAACAAATTCCTACATATGCCTATTTACTATGTGTTAATGGCGTTATGAGGACTTCTTTGGAAAAATATGTTGCCAACCTCGGCTTCAATTTATGCGCTTACGGCAGCCCATACAAAATGGCGCCAATGTTTACAAACAAAAGAAAGGCCTATAGCAGCTGTAGTTTGAGGAGAATTCATTAAGCTAATTATGTTGATTTTTTTTTTCTATACCTCACCCACTGGCAGTTCTAGTTGACTTCGATCGTCAGGCGAGATTCACTCAGTTCACCCTCCAAGCATGGAGCATGCTCGGTGCTCTACTGGTGAAACCAATCGGTAGCTGGTATCCGCCCATTGACACCAACTTTCAGGTCGCTAGCTGCTCATCGGGGGTCGGTAACACCGTGACTTTCGCGCCAAATCTGAACCAGCTTCCTGAGCCGGGAATGAACAGGTTCACATGGTTGAGCCCTAACACTCAGGCCAATGAGACAACAGTCTTCTTCCGGTAATTAAGATAGTTATGATTCTTTCTCTCCCCCCCCCCTACAGCAAATATCATTCACCCAAAAATGTATGGAAGAAAACTAAGCAGTGTGAATTCAGGGGGTCAAAAAAGGAATTTGTGCGAAATAATTATGTTATCGCTTTTTTTTCTTCTTCTGTTTCATAAAATACAAATTTCCAAAGAGTGAAACAGTTAGAATTACTCTCATTTCAGATTGAAATAATCCAGTGGAAACTCGAGTGAAAACTCGATATGTTCGATTCATGAATGAATTTCAATCTAAAAAGTCTGGTTCCCTACTTCCCAATTTCATTCGGTAGGAGTCAATTGGAAATAAGAGAGTAATTTATATCTCGTTTATATGTCTCCAAAACTTGGTCTCGAAACTTGATGAAGATTGCATGTCAGTTTGTGCCTCTATACTATCCAATATTTGAGAATGTGAAAAAAAATGTAATTTTGGAATATTTAGCAACATTTAAACTAACGATGATAACCTTGGTGGTGTTTATAGCGCCCTCATTCGTTTAAAAATCCGGCATATTTGTATGGAGTTCTATGGTGAGTCATAAAAGCCAGACGCTGTCCTGAATAATACATTTCATATTCAAAATGTTTCAGGTGAACGATTAGAGCCAACAAAAGAGACCACTCTTGTGCCTCAAATACTGCCCTGCAATTTTCTGTAACATTTATTGTTGACTAAATCGTGTTGCTTTTCTGGTCGTCTTGTACCCCCGCAGGGTAGTTGCCTTGAATGAAAATAACGAGGCAGTGGAATACAGATCAAGAATAATACAGTGTAAGTATTAATCTCCTGGTTTCAAAGACAGAGAAGAGACACATTCTGTGACTAGAAAGCACTCAGAGAGCGCAAACCTCCGCCAAGGCCGAACAATTCCCCGCCATATTGTCAGTACACCAAAAGAAATACTAGCACATCCACTGGACTTCCATATTTAATAGGCCTAAGACGTAATGGCGTCACACTTTGTTTACATGTGCGCTTTCCTATGTAATAGACGGTCCGCACTTTATCTGGCGTCCCGACTTCGCTCCCATAGGAAAGCGCATATGTAAACAAAGCCATTACGTCATTACGTCTCAGGTCTATTGCACATTAAAACCGTCAACAGAACTGCTCATATTCTGATGTTATCGAAAAATAGCAGTGTTGGCCGCTTTTATATTGTTAGCTATTCCATTAAACAAATCCTCGAACTCAAACATTTTGTAGTCTATTCCCGTGTCGGTCTACCTCTCCACTCCCCCATGGTATAAAATGGTCTAGTCCATTGACCTGTGTGGTTAGATTAGGTTGGTGATGAGGAATACAGAATCATCGGGTCAGTGCACGCTCACGAAACTACTCAGTTTTACACAGAGGTTCGTGGTCTCTACAGATGACATAATATGAAGAATCCTTAAAATATCCTACATCCAGACCCAGATCCGGATCACTTCCAAAATCTTATCGATTTGTACTTGTGCCAAGGACCAGCCCTAAAAAAAAATTCGTGAAAATCCGTCCTTAACTTTTTGAGTTATTGTGTTCACAGACAAACCAACTAACCAACCAACTAACCACCCAACAAACACAGCAACGCCGAAAAAATCATAACCTTAATTGGCAGAAGTCATTACAGAACAAAGTGCCGGAGTCCTTAAATTGATACAAATGATGGGACATATCAAAAAGGCGACAACTAAATTAGTGTGTTTATAGGGACGCACAACATGGTTAGCAATATTGGAGGCAAGATGATTACTAGCTTTTAAGCCACGGCCAGTCATGAGGTGATATCGTTCGACCATTTTCTTGTCTATTTTTATCTCATGATTGTTTTTTTTAAGGCCGCTTCCCTACTGCAATCTACAAAATTATGGCAACTCTCTGAGGCCAAGTAAAACAATACCAGTTGATCATGCCCTGCCGCTTTTTTGTTGTTGAGGCTGCATCAATTTGTTTTTGATTTGTTAAATTCCAGGCATAACATTTTGTTGAAGAGGTTTCAGAAGTTCAGATGCTTCCAATAGCTATACTAATGTTCAATAAGCACTTTCAGAAGATCTTGTGGTCATCAACTAGTAGACAATGACCCAGAACTATCAAATACATATAAAGGGGGCCTCCTCCTTTTTCAGGCATCGTGTAAGTAAGATATGGCTATCCTAGCTTATTTTCCAAAAACAAAAATTAAAAGGCTCTCATTACCTCTTTTGGAAAAAAACCCCTGGACGATCAACTGGTATTTTTTACTTGGCCTTATTTTTAGTGGTCTATGATGCGTGAACAGATTAGCTGATTAATTAGGCAAGTCCCCGCCTCCTGACCTCTTAGATTTTGACCAATCAGCGGGCGCTTTCTATTATATCGGGTCTTAGGTCATTCACCCGTTGCGCGTCATAGACATTGGATAAAAAAATCTAACGCGCTCTGTAACATGTCACGCGATATCGCGCCCGGCCGTTGTTGTATTACAAAACACTACATTCGAATTGACCAATCAAACCATTTAGTCCTGATTTAGGAATGAAATGACGTCACAATTTAGTAAAATCGACCCCGATTGGCTGGCGCGCGGTTTGCATATATCTGCATGTCTAGACATATCAGACGTTATACAGGACTTGGCTCCGTGGATAACAGGTGATACTCGGACTATATAGGCATGAAAATAAGAACCAGACGAATTTAGGAGTGAACTTAATTCAATCGAATAGATCAAGGGCTAGTTAGAACTCGAATTTCGATCAGAATTGTACTTTTTTTCAAAGTGTGATTATCATTTTTAACGGGGCCATTAAGAATTGAAAGGAAATTTCTAACATCCAGTGATATTGTAAATATCAATGACTGATTTGTGATTTTTTTTTGTGTTTGGCTTGGCAGTGGATTTTCGTCCACCAGACATTCTGAACTGCCCAGCCGACATCTTTGTGACTGTCCCTTTTGATCACGGTGACACCATCACATTGACATGGACGCCCCCTCAATCAGTGGACAATACCGGTACCCCGTCTCTGCTCTCCTTTTCCCATCAACCTGGTGAAGCGTTCACGGTGGGTCGAAGAGTCGACGTTACATATGTTTTCGCTGACGATACAGGGCTCAGGAGCGAATGCCGATTCAAAGTCGCAGTTGCTAGAGAGGGTATGTACCTCAGCTTAATACTGGTATGTACAAACAGAAAGATTTCTGTACTAGGCCACCACTTTTTTTCAAGCGCTAAAAAGCTGCATCCTTTATGGTTATTTCCTCCACTTTCCCTCCTCTACTCTCACCCTCTCCTTTCCTTTATTCCTATTTATTAATCAGTTACTTACTTCATCGAGATTCGAACCTCTGACTGTCATTTTGAAACACAACACTTTTACCGCTACGCGTGCACGATGGCTTGTTACAATGGTCAATCTTTGGATGTATTTAAAGTACCATTGGAATAAACTAAATATTCATGAGAAATAAAATATTCATAATGACGTATTGCACTGTCATTGGCCGGCTCATGTGTTATCTCAATGTGTTGGCTCACACTTCAATATGACCGACTGCTGTTCCATAGCTTAAAAAGCTCTATTCATTTTCTTTTCAACCGAACTTAAAAGGTTGCACGATAAAGGCGGATGCAACAAGAGGGCGCTATTTTGAAAACAAAGTGAAATTTGAAGTCTCTTATTCCCACTCTCGACGTATTTTCAGGTGACTTAGTTCCACCAAATATCTTCTGCCCGGGGAACATAGAGCGGATTGTCACTGACTTCAGTGTGTCTGGTATCCGCCTCTCCTGGTCTCTACCGACTGCTACTGACAACAGTGACAATGCACCGACCATCGTTCTGACCTCGAACCCACAACAAGACAACAATTCCTACTTCTCCTTTGGAAACTACTCCATAACGTACGCGGCTTATGACGAATCCTTGAATGAAAACTCGTGTTCCTTCATTGTTAAAATCGGTAGGTATTTCGTCTGACAACAACCCGAGATTCTTGGGATAGTAAGGGGATTTAGAGATGCTCGTTTTATTTTTTTGGGGGCGTGAAAGTTATCCATTGATTTTGGGGAGAAAATTCCATCTTAAGGTGACCACCCTTAACAGCAGTCCTGAAGCCCATCGCCATTGTGAAAATGGACGCTCACTCTCCATTGCAAGATTAGCCATTTTAGGGCCTAATTTCATCCAAATTTCACAGAAATATGAGCTCGCAGTCCTATGCAAGGCGTCCACTCTTGTTGTTCCCGCAAACCCTCAAGCACACGGCCCTCAAAATGTTCAATTGGGCAGTTTTGGACCTATTTACAGGTCTGCACCCCTACATCAGAAATATCGAATTATGCACAAAATATCAAATAAGACAACGGTTAAATAAGGTATATAATCCAAGGAACTCCATAGGTATGTTATAGTACCTGTTTGCAAAGACGTGTACTAAACATTCCAAGACATATTTTACTTTCTTGCACGAAACTTTATACGGCATATGAATTCTCTGAGGTTTTGAGTTTTTTGATGACGGTGCAAGCACATCAATTATTAAAATGAAGTGTGTGACATCTTGGCTTAGTTCAATCTTGACTCTGTTTCAGTGGACGGTGCACCGCCGATGTGGACTGTCTGCCCGGCTGACATTTCAGTAGAAGTCAGCCAGGGTAATAGCAATGGGGCAGAGGTATCTTGGAATCTCCCTGTAGCTATTGACAACGACGGATTCACGCCAACTGTTGAACTAACATCGGATAGACAGCTAGGTCCAGGCTCCTTCTTCCTATTTGGGACACACTCCATCACCTACGTAGCGACTGATCGTTCGGGCAATGAGAACATGTGCACGTTCAATGTGGCCGTTGGTATGTTGTCTCTGATAAGATTTATTTTACACATTGAAGCAATTGGTGTTTAACATTGAACAACCTGCAAGTTATTTAATATATTCAATTCATCAAGTGTCCACAACGAGACACCCAACTGAAAACACTCTGCCATTTTGACGCAAATTGTTGTTTTAGAAGGCGTTCAACTTTGGATGCCGTTTTCCCCCGATTGCTAGTTTTTACTGGTATGTACATGGGTGTTACTTCGTGGTGTTGCTGACGATATGTTCATCAGAAAACTTCATCTATTGGACTCTTCCAAAAATATCTCATTCATTCCTTTTTTTCTCAGTGGATAACGTACCACCAGAGGTCGTGTGCCCAGCCGACCTGTCTTATCAGATCCTCTATGGCAGTCGCGGAAGGCATGTTTTCTGGAGTGAACCTACTTTTTTCGACAACTCCGGGAGTGTCTCTCTGGTGTCACAGTCCCACAATTCCAACGATCTTTTCTCACCTGGACAAACTGACGTCACCTACGTGTACAGGGATCAAGCGGACAACAGAAACCAATGCTCGTTCACAATTACAATCACTGAAGGTAATTCATTCATTACATTTCGACACACAACTCCAATTATGAAAAAATAAGGTTTTTCTAAAACGTTTGCAGGTTGATTCAAGAGCTAAAATTGACTTAGAGTGAACGATGTAAGCCTTAATTAAGGGATAAATGTGTGCTTGGCCACCGGTTGGAGTCTGGATGCTGATAATTACCCGAGCCAAATTATCAGCATTCAGACTCCAACTGGTCTTAAACATAGCGTTTAATACCGGCCAATTTATTCCCATTCAGAAATACAGTTTCGGTAAAAAGAATTCAAAACTTTTCGATCCAAAGCCAAAACAAGTCAAAACGTATACATTTCCAACGATTTTTCCCAAAACAATTTTACTTATTTTTTTTGAAGCACCCCTGTAGCTATATTATGGCAGTATCCATGTTGTAAACAACTCTTTACATGGAAATTGGTGCGCGTGTCGCGTATTGCGCGATGTCTCGCAGCACGAAGCTGTGCCGGTGTAGTGTGAATTTAGGACTATGAAATACTGGCTCACTGGTAGTATTCACATGCCAATATACGTGTGCATTGTGAACGTTCAACCAATAAAAAGGTTTTTATCAATTTGAATTAAAAAGCTAAGAGGTTTTTCAGCTTAAAGTATTGAAGAAGTCAAGTTGAAGCTGAATAATAGGAAGAAGATGAGATCTTTTTTTCGGTTCACTTGATATTTTTATTATTTCACTTATTTAATCCCTTTCTTGATATAGCTGTGTGTTCACCGAATCCATGTTTCAACGGAGGATCATGCAACCCGACCAACGACGGGTTCACTTGTACATGCGTTAGTGGTTTCACAGGCCGTCAATGCGTCACTACTGTAATCGGTAAGTACAAACCCGCCTACCCTCGGTTCTATGTTTGTTTTTATCTTCTGTTTTGTGTTTCCTCCCTTATCCCAGTGATCACAGCGAGCCTCGGACTACCAATAGCACGGCGGCCATCTAAGAGGCCATTGGTTCGGTCAGGTTTGTCATAGACCTTTTGGCACAGACCTTGACTCAAGTTTGACTAAGATTCTTGACTCAAGCTTGACTAAGATTCTTGACACCAGCTAGACTAAGATTCTTGGCTCAAGTGAGACAAAGATTCTTAATTCAAGTTCGACTAAGATTCTTGACTCAAGTTTGACTAAGATTCTTGACCCAAGTTTGACTAAGATTCTTGACTCAAGTTAGACTAAGATTCTTGACTCAAGTATGACTAAGATTCTTGACTCAATTTAGACTAGGATTCTTGACTCAAGCTAGACTAGGATTCTTGACTCAAGCTAGACTAAGATTCTTGACTGAAATTAGACTAGGATTCTTGACTCAAGCTAGACTAGGATTCTTGACTCAAGCTAGACTAAGATTCTTGACTGAAATTAGACTAAGATTCTTGACTCAAGTTAGACTAAGATTCTTGACTCAAGTATGACTAAGATTCTTGACTCAAGTTAGACTAGGATTCTTGACTCAAGCTAGACTAGGATTCTTGACTCAAGCTTGACTAAGATTCTTGACTAAAGTTAGACTAAGATTCTTGACTCCAGCTAGACTAAGATTCTTGACTGAAGCTAGACTAAGATTCGTGACTGAAGCTAGACTAAGATTCGTGACTGAAGCTAGACTAAGATTCTTGACTCAAGTTAGACTAAGATTCTTGACTCAAGCTAGACTAAGATTCTTGACTCAAGCTAGACTAAGATTATTGACTCAAGTGTGACTAAGTCGACATCCACTACTCGTTTCCTAGTCATCAACAATATGGCAGATGTTTTGTCGTCGAACTTGAATGGCCATAAAATTACAGGCTGTTTAAAGGGAATATACAATATTTGCAAACATCAACAAATAAAACTACCAAGTTTTAACGAAAAACATTACTAGGATGTTGGTTAACGACAGTCTAAAGCATCCTGTAAAATTATGGCACCTGGTGTAAAGTCATTTTCAAGAAAACGGTACTTTTGTATACATTTCCAACGGTGGTCGGCCGATCACCGTCGGAAAAACCCAACTATTTTTCAACTATTTTTGAAAATTACAGCAAAAGCCAATGATGTACATTCCCTTTAAAGGGCCCATTAAGTTAACATTTCTTAAGACTGCGTATAAAAGGAAAAGACCGAGACTTATGGTTTTACACAACAATTCATTCTTGGACAGCTTGTTCAATGGGTTCGCTGACTATTTTTTCTCTCTGTAGCCGCTTGTTCCAGTTCTCCTTGTCGAAACGGGGGAACCTGCTTACAAAGCGATCAAGATTACACCTGTCTCTGCCTTCCTGGATACAGTGGTAACAGGTGTCAAAACTGTGAGTCCTTCTTTTGTTTTAAACTATTCCTTCTTTTTCAATTGGTATTTATTTGTACATTTCATCACGAATTCAAATATTGAGCAGAGTTGAGTAATTTAAAGTCGTTTAACTGTAGCTCTATTTGGTGTTTATTGTTTTGGAATATTCCTACAGATAATGATGCCCAGGATTCTTCTGACTTCATCTGCCACTGTCCACAGGGAACGGCAGGACGCAACTGTGACATAGGTATGAATTTTGTGGCTTGAAAACGTTCAAAAAGACTTTTTTTGTCAGACAAGGTCTTATTACGCTGAATCATTATTGCCTCTGCTCATTGGGCCAATGAAACAAATTCCAAATCTCAGCTCAGCTCCTTGGGGATCATACAGCTCGATGCAGCCTGTTAGGCGCAAGCAAGCTTATTCAGTACCTTTCCCAAGGGCACACACACCACAATCCCAGGCGGGACTCTAACCAATAACCTGCAGAATTACCCGCAGACCACGAATTCATTCCTCCTGACCACGATGCCACATCACTCCACTTTCATTCCAAATTGTTTGCATTTTTCTGTTCGCAATCTTGGACAGTACTGACCCGCTTTTATACTTGAACATTCTGGGTTATTACTCCAACTCCAGGTGTCTCGAATGCGGCAGTTATGCCTGTCTGATTATTTTAAGTTTACGATGATTTATTGCTTTTTTTTTTTACGAGAACTCTTCATTTTTTCTAGGACCATGCAACCCTAGCCCATGTCTGAACGGAGCTACCTGCGCATTAGTACAGGGTGGAGTTACCTGTTCCTGCCTCACCGGCTACTATGGCAGATTCTGTCAATTTAGTAAGTATCATGCAAACCGCATTTATTCAGCCCTTTCTATCCCAAATCTTCAGTGTAGTATCCATGGCCCCTAAGGATGTAAACCTGTAAAAAGGCTCGGAATTGCCTATACGCGGGCCAAATCATGATTTGTATACCCTCAATTTCCTCTCGCAATTAGAGCATTTTTGGGTGCCAAGAACTTGAAAGTTGTAGAAACAGAACCTGATGAGTGGAAGCCGTTCACGGGAATGCGAATTCGTTTATTTTTTTTCTGTGAAATTCGGATGAATCTGGTCTCTCAAATTGCTCTAATTTGCAATGGAGTGCAGGCATTATGTTGTCAAAATGGCGATGGGCCACAGGACTACTTTTACGGGTGATCATATTTGGATTTTCTTCCAAAGTTCACTGGATTACGCCCTTAAAAATCGAACACAAAAGATGATGAAATAAGCAATAATTTGATGGGTGTCTTAACCTCATTGGAAAGTTGTGAGTATCTCTTAATAATTTGGAAGTATGCGTACTTATCACGGAGGTCTGTGGGAGGCGATACAATGTCTGCAACCCTAAGGGTATGGTACATAAACATTTCTGAACTACTAACTTCGTTGGAATAACAGCTGATCCGGTGTCTTTTTCTTTTAGGTCCGTGCACCAACGATCCTTGTATGAATGGCGGAACGTGTATCGTTAGCGGTGACACCTATCAATGTCAGTGTGTCCCTTCCTTCTCGGGTGACATCTGTCAGTGTGAGGCTCCAGTTCTAATTTTCTCGTGAAATTTAACAATTATACCAAGACCCCACTGACATTCTTGTTCTTTAAACTGTCACTTAATGTTAAAATATTTCTGTGAGTGATAGGTCAAACAGATTGATTGACATTGAAAATATTTTTCTCTCCGAACACAGTGCGAATGGACTGTTTATCCTCCCCATGTGTAAATGACGGCATATGCTTCCAGTCACATAACAGCGAAGGGGAATACTTTTGCAATTGTTCGAGTGCGTTTACCGGAGTCAATTGCCAAGATAGGGGTAAGTATAGGTCGAATACAAACCTGGTGCACATGCATGTTAACCCCTCCATTTTTGCGGGTGTTTACACCATCTTTAAGGTATTAAATTTAGCTTGAGAATACCGTTTGTTTTATTGAGATTGCTTTTTAAATCCAAAGATATGTTTGCATATCGGCAAAACCAGAAACCCATTTCGTGCCCCATTCTGTGAAGCAGTTAAAATCAGTATAGTCCTAGTCTAAAATCATATCACTTTACTGTTAGTGATTTTAACATTTTTAAGCAGAGTGTGCAATATTTATTTATATTTAATCGAACTTTCATTAAATTTTTAAAGACGTGAACCTGTCTGTACTATTAAATTGATTCAACATAAGAACAAAACCTTATATTGTCGTGTGAATTGAATGTTTGTCTTACACCCATAGGGTGCTCTTATCAAAAGAGCCACACTGGCATTGTATGATCTTTGAAGCACTCGCTTCCTAAAAGTGGCACAGAATGTTTTTTTTTGGCTTTGCGGTTATTCAAACATATCTCTGGATTTACAAAAGCAATCTTAATTAAACAAACGGTGTTCTCAAGCTCAATCTGTAACCTAGAAGATCGTGTAAACATTTGCAGTGAATTCCGGTTGTAAATTGGCGAAAATGGCGGGTTTACATGCACCCTTATTTTCACCCTGTAGATGGACTGAAATCCTCCACGAGCTCCAGTCCCAAAAAGAACTAGTGATTTTTTTTGATGGAGTCACAAGTGCATTTTTGTCTTTATCTGTGGGCGTACGATAAAGTCCATCAATTTCTTGTTATATATTTTAGTCACTGGAAATGTTTGTCCCGATATCAAAGAATCAAAAATGTATTACGAATCACTTGACATTAATCACATTAATACTCTTTCCTTTGTAGACATCGCAGCTCCTCTCGTCACGTGTCCCCAAAACATCATTGTATCTGATTGGCCAGCCAGTGCCACTTACTTCAGTGTCCAGTGGGACGAGCCGACTGCGACGGACGAACTGAGTGAGCCTGTACGTCTTATCAATCAGACCCACAGAAGCGGTGTCGAACTACCAGTGCAGCAAATAACAACAGTGGCGTACAGCTACAGGGATGCAGTCGGAAACGTCGGCAGTTGCTCTTTCCAGATCACATTTGGTAAGCTGGGACTTATGTTTAAAAGAAAAATTTCAAATCTAAATTCTCCCCTAATGAATATTTGCTCTCTGGCCATGAAATACATGTAGTAGATTCTTTTAAAGCAACTTTACGCTTGAAATGGAATGACCGCTGCCGAACTTTGTGTGTATGTATACTTTGTGTGTATATTTTGTTAAACAAGTGTTTTGCGCGTGTTAATGGTGTAAATCGAGGACACGTGCAACATCATCCAAGAAGCGAGGACAGAAACTGAATCGAGGACTCCTCGGTTGATAAACGTGCACAAAACCAATGCGAGGTGTTGTGAAAAAGCTAGAGTGCAAACAAGGGAAAAGGGACGAGAAACAATAAAAAAACACTCGATTTACATCATAAACAAACGTGTATGTGTACCCTCTAGAAACGGTATCCTCTAGAAATATTTGCACAATAGGGAAAAAAAGATTGTATAAGTCTTGAAATGGGATATGTTACTGCTGCCGAACTCTTGATCATATCTCTTGTATTTTTCTTTTTGCGTGACTAATATAACGAATCTTGAATCTTGAATCTTGAAGCTTGTGTGTATACTTTGTTATTAACAAAATTAATGTCTAGTTTATTTAATATTCGTACCTTTATTTTACCACAGCCCGAGAAAACTGTGCATCTAACCCATGCGCGAATGGCAAATGTGTGGATTTTTCAGGAAACTTCCAATGCTATTGCCTCGCAGGGTGGACCGGTGATCGATGCCAGGAAGGTATGGATCAATATCATTGATCTTGAATTGATTTAACCAATAATGATCGTTGGAGTCTGGTTGGGTGATAATTGCCCGAGGCGAAGCCGAGGGTAATTATTACCCATCTAGACTCCAACCGGTCTTAAACAGAGTGTTTAATACCGACCGAGCACATTTGTATTCCCGTTCATAAATACATTTTTTTTATGTCAAAAAAACCCCACAAATCTTTTCGGACCAAAAATCAAAACAGGTCTAAAACTAGACGTTGCTTACCATTTTGTTCAACAATTTTTCTTCATGTTTTATATAACACCTCATGACTATAATATGGAATGTCTCTCAACAACTCCTTACCTTATAAAGAGATTGGGGTGCGCGTCGAGCGTACTGCGCGACGAAACGTTAAAATGTATCGGTTTTCATGGGAGTCCAAATTTCAAGTGACACTGGAAAAGTGTTTAAGACCAGCCAGCCATGTCTTTATAAACCGTTAAAAACCGGCCACATGCGGGCTCTCGACCAATGGGAATGGGTAGACTGTCTTAGGTATTTAGAAATATCTGTTTAAACTCATTCTGACAAAAAGGAAGCAAATAACAGCTGAGTACTTCTTGATTTTTTTGGTTCTGTTTTAGATATAGACGAATGTGCCAGCAACCCCTGTCAAGATGGTAGCACGTGCTTCAATCAGATTAACGGATACATGTGTTTCTGTGGCAACGGAAGTGCTGGCAGAGAGTGTGAGACCGGTACGTAATATATCGTTTCTATGGAAACCTCGATTACTTCAATAAACTTGTGGTTTTGAGTGCACGAATCAATAGCGTTTGGTTTGCATCTACCTTTCAGCCCCCTTCTTGAATGTCAAACAACAATAATCATTGCTGTTATTGTTAAAGTATTCCTGGTAATGAAACCAAGGATTCCTCAAAAGCGCCCCAGGCACTGTAGCTCACAAGCCTGAAGAAACCTGTAGAGAGAAGACAATGAGAAGAAAGTACAGTTATAGAGGTGGGAAGAAAACTCCATCAGAACCTTGTTCTGGGGAAAACCCACGGAATCAGGTAGGGATTGAAAACCCAATCCACATGTTGCCCAGGGCAGGAATCGAACCCGGGTCACAGTGGTGGGAGGTGAGAAAATAACCGCCACGCCAACCTGACTTCCCTAAATAGTAGAAACCCTTTACCTGAATACTTGCCATTCAGGACTTTGTATAAACACATAAAGACTGGAGTATATTTTCTATCAAGAGCGCCCCCAGTGGTTCAGTGAAGTCACCCTTTCCTCCAAACAGTGTTGGTAACTGACTTACCAATGCCAACGGCTCAAATTTGAATAACCAAACGCATTTTTGAAACTCGTTCGCTGAAATCAACTTTTAGGAAAACGTGTTCCGTTTCTACATTGTGCTGGATGGGTCTGGTGACAAGCTGCATGCAAATCAAGCAGTAAATGCACTGTTCCAATTACTTTTCTCACTGTGTGTTTTCCTTTGTTTTAGAGTTGGACGCGTGCCCAAGCAATATGTGTTTAAATGACGGTTTGTGCTTCAAAAGACCAGGTAAGGAACAAGACTGCAGTAGTGTCTCAAGTTTGACGTGGCAGATAGTTTGTATTTATTGAAACATTGGTCATCCCAACATGTGCCAATTTACTTTACCACATCAACAGCACCGGATCCGACTATCGATCGTTGTTAATATCAGCGAAGCTTCCATGTCAAAATGTCACGCGACGAGCTTGCGGGAATTCTCCAAACCCAAGTGACAAGACAATTTTCTTAATAAAGTTCTGCATGTACCGCTTTCGAAATCTAGGATAGGAAAACCCAATTCATAAGCTTTTTGTTAGTACAAGAACCATAGAAATCAGTCATTTACTTTTCAAATTACGGAATTTTAAACACAACCACCGTTTTAAACTTCTGTTTAAAGACACCTGCAATGCATGAGTTCTATATCCATCGAAACCATTGTATATAGAAATATTTATATCTTGTGTGCCCGTCCTTTTAATGGCGATTAAAAAAATCTCATTAAAAAGAAGTCATGATGATGTCACAAGTTGCATTGAGCCCAATTTAAAAGAAACAGTTTGAATGAATTATACAAATATTTAAGACGACACTGACACATTGGAGGTGTTTGTTAGAAGCCAATTTCTTTCTTTCAGGCACTGAATGCAATTGTAACATGGACTCATCCGGCACTATGAATGGATGTGAAGTGTCAGTTGACTGTGACGTCAACGGTATCTTAGAGGCGCTTACTCAGGTAACGGATCCATATCCCTAGGTATTATATCCAGTATTCCTAAAAGATTCTACCCTGTAAAACCTCCACCCCTGTCGCACATTTTAACGTTTGTCAGTGTGGAGAAATTCAATAGAAAATTTTCAAACTTCACAAAAATGACAGCAACAAAATTTGATGTGAACTAAAACTGTTAAAACATGCCTGAACATCTTTTTTACACAAGGTAGAATAAGATACACAGTACACACTCCTAATTCCAAAACGTCTGCGATGAACTCCAAACTTTGCTGGATAATATGTCGTGCAGTGTAGCCACAATCGCAGGAAAGACTTTTAACAATCATCATTAGACACTGTTATAAGTTGAGACTACTTCCCTTTTTGTTTTCTTATCCTATAGGTTGTCGTGGATGAGACTAATGTTCTATCAGTATCCGCTGAGCTGAGAAATGTGACATCGAACTTAAGCAACGAAACACTTGAAGGAGACGAACTCTCTCTGACGGCGACGGTTCTAGAGAATATTGGAAGTGTAATCAATTCAAGTCTAGAGGTACTTAATCCCACAACTAGGCGATTTGGAAGCAACATGTCTTATCATATCCTCACGTTTGTGTTAGCTGGGTCGTGCCTTAAACTGTCTCATTGTAGAACTTAACCTTCCTCCGTCACATTTTCCACAGGTGACAGTAAATGTTATCGAAACCGTCGACAACGTTCTGATGCTACCCAACGAAGTCTTCGAAGCGAGTGGAGACTCCCCGGGCCGAATCCTCCGAACCTTCGAGACACAGCTGACGAACGTCAAGGAAAACCTGACGATGCCTGGCAAGCTGTCGAGCCGAGCTGTCGATGTGGTCGTATTTCGCCCAGATCTCGACACCAACTTTGCCTCAGGCCTGAGCTACGCAAGCATTTCTACAGGAGGGGTTATTGATGAAACGCTTCAGAACAATGAGGTTCAGTTGAGTTCGGCGATCGAACCACGGGATGACGCCGAAGCATTCATTGGTCTTCCCGGAGAAGCTTTGGTAGTTGCTTCCGATCAGGGTAATGAAGTGTTGATGAAGAAGTAGAATTCCTAATATTTCTTCAGTCGTACTGCCTCACTGTGAAACTTCCTCCAATCTCATCACATAACTTTTCTCTCTCTCTATATTTTCCATCCTCGTTTTCACCTTGTTTTCTTTCAGCCACAATCTTCTGTAAAAGTTGGCCCTATTGTCGGCGGTCCCATAAAAAAAGACATTTGATTTTTCCTTAACATTGTTTCCCTTGCAGCGGCGTAAGCCAGGGTTCTCATGCCATCCGATTGGGGTGCTGGATTTTAAAGTGGAGGGGCGTCCAATTTCATCAGTGCCTCCGTAAAATCAAAAAGTATGGGGAGGGTGGGGGGGGGGGGCTGGACACCATTTCATCTTTCCATGCGGCTGTTCAAAACCGACAGCGTGGTCATTGTCATACAATAGGTCGCGTTATTCCCTATCTAACATCCAATCGCGAAAAATAGGATTTCCGTTAAAAATAAACAAAAAATTTGAAAAAGGGCACTGTCTGTTTAATCTTTTAATCACGGTAACTTATGTAGGACTATGATTTCCTCCGGTTGCCAAATTGCCAGTTTACACGCCCCCACCCCGCATCTACGCCGCTGTTCTGATGTGGCCGTTGAAGGAAGCTGGTCATAAAATCAACAACTCTTTGGCAGTTCATAAACTTACAACATCTGAACATTTTGACACGTTTTTTTTACTCAAAGGTTAACACTGATTATTTACAGACCCTTCAGCAAAATTGCCAATTGTCTTCGCCGTGTACCTGACCTCCAAGCTGTTTCAGCCAGCCACGCCCGAGTCCCTAAGCTTTCCTGACGGGAGACAGCTGTCTGTGAACAGTGCCATCATATCGGCTATCATCGGCGACCCAGACGTTGAGATTCCAAACCTTGTTAACCCTGTCGTAACATCTTTCATTCCATCCAATGTGAGTAGTCCGTTTGCCAGTGAGGTTTCAGATACGATATAATCCCCCGGTCCCTGCCTATCGATCAAACAGTGCACATTGGCCAATCATATCATGACCTTTGGTCATGTGACCACGGGCGCTCAGTCAAACATGGTCACAAACACTGTGAGAAATGTACACAATCCAAAAGCTGGCAGTGCCTTTAACAAAATCAGAAACGGTCCATAAATAGGAAGGCAAATTAAGGCATTGTAAATGTTACCTCCACCATCAGTCTCGGCATTTCAATGTCAGTCACAACGTTTTGAAAGCATTGATAGAGGTTACAATATGAGAGTTTAGATGACAGTAACATTTTGTTTTGTTCCAGCAAACGCTGGCAGGGGAACAAATCTGTGTCTTTTGGGACGTTGCTGCTAGAAACTGGTCCACCGAGGGATGTACTCGGTCCACGGTCAACCCTGGTCAACATTCCGTGGCCTGTGATTGCAATCACTTGACTAACTTCGCTATTCTACTGGTAAGACTAAATTGGTAATATCTCAATTGGTAATAATTGACATTCCGTACTTCGTTGGTAAACAACATGTTGATGTTTCGCTGCTAATTTCTGGTTTCTTTTTTCAGAGTTATTATGGTGACATTGACAGTTATGCGTTGGATATCATCAGCAAGGTCGGCTGTGCAATATCCATCGCGGCTCTGGTTCTGACCATCTTGACGAGCCTGGTGCTTCGGTAAGAATGCCAACTGTTCTTACCAAATCCACCACAGGTCCATAATCACAAGTCCGATTGCTAGTAAAGCACAAGTCTCTTCACCCAACTTGACACATGGGTTTTATGGGGTACCACTATTGTCCACTTTACTTCCCTACCGTTGTTCGCCTTTGTTTCTAATGAAATCCCTAAACACTATGGCTCTTCCACTGTGGGGTACCAAGACTTCTAAAGACCCACATGCGGGGTACCATTGTCCCTACTGTTGCTCTCTGTTCTGAGTACCCTTTAAGTACCCGTATGTAAGTACGTAAGACCGGTCACAACAGTGGATGTTGTTATCATTGATGTAAAATGCGTGTGACTTGACTGTGATCGTCAATGACTTATAAATGACTTCTGAGACCTTTTTATGTATTATGAGCTTTGGAGTGTGGCCTAGTGGTTAGGGTTCGTGACTCATGACAAGAGGGTCAGGGGTTCGACTCCAGCTGCTGGCCATATGTTGTGTCCTTGGGCAAGCCACTTCACCCCACTTGCCTGTCACCATCCAGGAGTATAAATTGGGTGCCGGCATTAGCTGGGTAGTATAAATGGGTACCGGCATTATTAGCTGGGGAGTAACCTGCGATGGACTAACATCCCGTCCATCCAGAGGGAGTAGAAATATTCTCAGTCGTTTCATGCTACTGAAACCGGAGATAAACGCCGGCCTGATGGGCCACATTGGCTCGTGACGGACTTTACTTTTCAGAGCCCTGGCCAAGCTTTCTCCAGTCCTCTTTCAAGAACAACTGATAAAATCAAATTGTGTTGGGTATTTTCTAATGTGGCTGAACTATAGAAGACTGAAACTACGAAGTTGTTTTCTTCGATAACAGTGAGCTCAGAAACAATCCGGGCAAGAAGTCCTTGATCAACCTGTGCGTGTCCCTGCTAGCCTTGTACGTGTTCTTTCTGGCCGGTATAGACCGGGCTCAGTCCCCGGTCACCTGTGTCATCATGGCCGCTCTGATCCACTACTTCTTTCTGACCTCCGTCTGCTGGGCCTCAGCCGAGGCGCTGAATCTATTCTACCTGCTTGTCCTCACTCGGAGGGGGCTCTTGACTAAGTACCTGCTGAGGCTGATGCTGTTCTGCTGGGGTAAGTATCTCTTTTGGGGCGAGGTTTTATTTTCTAACCAAATAAGTAGACAGTGTTTGACGAACAAAGACAAACAGACCTATGGACAAGGGTGTACCGTGGTATTACTAACTGAGTTAGTTGGCTATCTTGCAATTTTGCATTGTCTTTCTCCTTGTGCACAGGAGTTCCATTGATCATCGTGGTCATAACATATCTGGTGACTTACCTCGGGACAGGAAAGTTGCAATTTGAGCACGGCTAGTAAGTTTTTTCAGAGTCCTGTTTGTTGTTCGACCAAACAAAGTACATTCATAAGTTTAGACTGGTCGCCCTTCAAAAATTTCAAATTTACAAACTCGTTTAGGTGGGACTCCAACCCACGACCTCCCGCCGCGAAATTCCATCAACAATCACTGAAGTACTTGTAAATTAAATTAAAAGCATAAATACTTCAGACAGTTTACCCATTCCTATTGGTCGAGAGCTGATAAAGCAGGGTTGATAAAGCACCGGCTGGTGTTTTTTGGAGAAAAAAACGAAGGAAATTTATACTTTTTGACTTTTTTTAACTCTTTGACCGTAAAGGTATTTGTGAATGGGAATGTGCTTGGCTGGTTTTAAACACTATGTTTAAGACAGGTTTGGAGTCTTGATGCTGATAATTACCCTCGCCTTCGGCTCGGGTCATTATAAGCGTCCAGACTCCAAACCGATCTTAAAACAGAGTGGTTAAAACCGGCCAAGCACGCATTAACTCCCCTAATAATGATTATAAAGATGCATCATCATAATTTAGCAAATGGTTTTTCAAGAGGTAGGCCTATTAATCATTTTAAGGGGCTTAGAACTCAATCAAAGTATCAAGCCATCTGAAAGACGGATGTATTCTTTCGTTACTTATTTTACTCCTTGTCCTCACCTTTCTTGTCTGCAATTACAGCTGCTTTCTGCCACCAGGCACCACTCTGTACATTGCTGTTCCCCTCCCAGTCGGCCTGTTGCTGCTCTTCAACATCTTCATCTTCATCCTCCTCGTGCGTCGTCTCACCTGTAAGCGCATCGAGTCCACGCTGACACGCGACGAGACCCACGTGCAGGCAGCCATCCGTCACGGTCGACTCATGCTGCCCATGAGTATGCTGCTGGGGGCGACTTGGCTAGTCGGGTTCCTGGCGATTGAGGGGGCTACCTACGTCTTCCAGTGGATCTTTGCCGTTCTCAACTCACTCCTTGGCCTGTCCATCTTCCTGCTCTTCATTGCCGGCAAGAAGACGGGGAGGAAAGGGCTTGGGAAGCTGTTCTGTTTCGATAAGATCAGAAAGATCACAAGCAGCCATACATCATCCAATCAGCTGATTCGTGCCAACTCGCCCCAGGTTGCATCTTCGTCATAAAATGATACAAGTTGTAAGATCAACAAATAAGTCTTTTTCTCAAGTTGACAGTCTCGTGACAACGATGAGACATACTTTTCGAGTTCACAAAACATAATTATTGCCACTGTAAATGGCAAACTTCCTCTTATTGGTGACCTCACTATGCAAACCTTAATTTTACCTGAAGGTTTAAAAAGCAATGGCTGCCTGTATGTCCTTTGTTTTAATGAGGCAAATTTTAAATGAAAAGCGTAGTTGATGCTGCATTGTTTTAAAAGCCATATGAGAAGAGATAAAGAACAAGTTTCGCTAGAATAGATGTAGCATCGAGACAAACCGTCCGCTAGATTGCAGACCGAACCAGTTTATAAATACACTGCCCTTGAAAAGTACAATTCAGCTGAAACAAAGAATATAGTTGTCCAGCTTCTTAATAGTGGATTAGATAAAAGCCAAATCGTTTTGAGTTCAGATGTAATTTGCCGTTAGGTGTATTTTGTTTTAACGTAATACTATACAGCTTAAAGATAATACGGTGTACGAAGTTTAAAAATTACGAAGTTAGAACATTAGTTACAATGTGGTGGCTGGTTTTATTACAAAAGTTACTTTTTATTGGCTGAAGACGAGCTACAGTATAATATGTAGTTATAACGGATGATTTATTGTTTCATCAGTAATTCATTGTAACCATGTAAAAATAATTTTTAGGTGATTTTAGTGCAGTCTTGGAGATGTACGTACGCCCAGGCCATGTAGACGTTTCCATTAAAAAGAAAATGGAATTAGAAAGTGAGTAAAATGCAGTAATAATTCTCATAATAGCAGCATCGTTCAGACCAACCAAAATATTCTAGCTATTAATGTATATTCACACTCTTCTGAATAGGCTCCAGTTATTCTTAATTGTTTTCTTATTAAGTGTTTTTCTTGGCAGCTTTGTAATTAGTTATTATTTTAATTAACATTAATTTTGTAAAATTACGTTTGTAATGTATTATCGTGGATCACAACACTATGATGAGTGAAGCTTCTATGTCTGCCGTAAAAAGAACATATCCGAAATAAACGTTTTTATATATCTTTTCGTACTATTTTTAACATGCTGTTGAATTGAAAAAAAAAAAGAACAGAATTCGTAAACCTAGTGTTATGCTGCCTTGAGTCGACAGAGGGCGATGTTTTGAAACCACCACAATAACGAGTCGTAAATCAAGCGAGTATGGTTTCATAGCCTGATATGAATGGACGGTATTGGAAATCCTGATTAAAAATACATGTGAAAATGATGCGTTTTTAACAATATCCATTGCTCTGTTCTGGTTTATTTTCAAATTTCATATTTGTCAACTCATTTGAAAGTCAATTGTCGACAGAGGGCGCTCTCACGAAATCCGACTGCACCCTGATATGCATCACGCGCCTGTGTGGCTTGACTCTGCACCATTCGGTCGTAGGCATGTACACGTGTACAATGACATAGGCAGTGTGGACAAGCATCGTGCAAGACTATTCCTTTCTCCATACTTGATACTATTGGCGAGCGCCCAAAGTCACGAGAAAGCTTGCTGCACCGCGGTTCTCGCGAAAGAGACGGGTGGACGAGCAGCAAATACCGGGTGTAGGGATTGTCGAATCTACGGTCGGAGTCGAGGAAAATAAACTCGCAGCAGTTTTTATTGCTCTACTAGTAGCGCAAAGGAGTGCCAGTTGCTACAGGTAAGTTGTTACACATTCCTTGATAGATGGTGCTACAATGGCTTCTTTAATCACTCTGTAATGGTAAGCAGGGTCAAATCCGTTGAGAGAACATTCAAAGAAACTTGAAACTTGAAAAATTTGCGAGATTGTTGTCCAGACAGGTATACTTTCGTGTATTGCATTTGGTTCAAACATTGGGAAATAAGGTTTCACCGCAAACCTTCAGCTTACGTGATCTCCATCAGAGTGAAATCGTCCCCTAATTGTTTAAGTGTAGTTACAACTTCTATTGGGTTAGTCATCCAGTGAAGAAAATTGTGGAAACGGATAGTGGTCTATATGAAAAGATGCTCCGTGTTTGTAATCACAATAAAGGTCTTTGGATTGTTGACGACGTAATTCATAGTTCTGAAGGAAAATCAATTCCAAGGACATGCAAATAACCGTGATTCCAATTGCAGCATTTATTCTACAACAAGATCGCCTTTAACTGCATGGATTATAGGTCTCCCAAGTGGGAAATAAGATTTCTATTTTGCATCACCAATTCCTTAAGCATCAAGTTATAACAAAGCACGAACACATCCCACTGCATTGTCATTTTGAAATCCAAATTGGGAATAAGGACACTTTAATGCAATGCTCGTTTTGTAACCCAATACTCTTGTTTCAAGATTATTGGTTGTTTTTCACATTCGGAAGAGTGAGATAATTGTATCCCGTGGGTAGATGCCAGTATCCGAGTGATTTCATTTTAATCACCCGAGAAGGCGATCGTTGTAGAAATTTCAATGATTGGGTCCAATTAATCCCTTAAGCCTCAAATTGCCGTGATAAAAGAGAGGTCTCGGTGGATTACTGCTTTGCTCCCTACTTAAGATAATGACTGTACGTCATGAAGATCAATTGCGCTCTACAGGGCAAGTAAAAAAAACGAAACCCAAATGTCGGGACCATTGTTTTAGTGAAGTTCTGCATATAGCACTTTCAAAATCTAGGATATGAAAGCCTAAGTCATCAGCTTTCTTTTAATACAAGAATCATTCGAATCACTTATGTACTTTTTAAGTTACGGAATTGCATACGCATTTAAATTTCTGTCCATGGCAAAAAGGGAAGTGTTCTTTCAGCAAAACCAAAACAAATCACATAGGGATGTATGTGAATGGTTTTCGTTTTGCTGAAGAGTTCGCACGCCTTTTTTGTGTTCCGTGGACAGAACTTTAAAACGGTGGTTGACTGGTTGTGTTTAAAATTCCGTAACTTAAAAAGTTACAATAGTCCTGACATTTGGGTGTTTTTCTTTGACTCGCACTGTATAAGTAGTATCAGAATTCCTAAGTTGTCTTTACTAAGATTACAGGCTTTTGTGAACAGAAACCTAGAGTAATCTTGTCACATGATGACCCGGGGTCTATTGTCCGGCGAAATTGCTGTATCCTTTTCGGAGATTCAGTATCAACTTTTTTCGGCTGTGTCAATCACTATGGAATGCTTCAAGTGAAAAGAACATTTTTGTTTGAGTTAAAGGGTCATACCTCTTATATACTGGTTTAGTTAAAGAGCATCTCGGTTAATTAGCTTAGTGAAATATGGAAACTGATTCAAATCTATTAGTATTAATTTCTTGCTTTTACTCATTTTCATTGGAAAATAAACGGATTTTGCTCACCAATGATACATTACAAGGCTATGATCACAGGAATGCAAGTAATACAAAAAAAAAAGAACCACCCTCTATGATTCAACTTCTAGTAGTGTTCTAGTTCATAACTTTACCCACTAGTTTCGGATAACTTCTTTTGTGATACACATTGTAAGGTTTCCCGTAATCGAAATGTAATTACTGCATGAAAAGATGGCCACGTCCGGGATTCATATCATCAACCGTTCCACCTACCATACTTACAAAAGCAAAACAGCTGCCGTCACACCCTCGACAATTTCATTGTTCCTCATCTTGGCGATTTGCCAGAATAATGTACGGTTGGATGTGGAAGAATCTTATTTTTTTTTATGCAGGCGTAGTGGACAGAAAGTCAGTATCGGGGAGCATGAACGATGTATACAGTGAAATACAGCAAGTGTTTGTTTTATGCATTGTCAGATATCATTAAATCAGGGTACACCTTTTCTTGTGAAAGAAATGTGTTGCGTGCAGAAAAAAAATATTATCTGCCTTCCGGAAACAGGTTAACTTCCAAAAACGTGATGTGATGGAAATTGCTTGTGAATGTGCAGCTCCTGTTTTGGCCTACCGAGTACATTCTCGGTCACGTTTCAAAGTCGGTCCAAACTTAGCATCAACAAGACCAAGCAGGCAGCAGGTCAGGTGAACAAGCCGTGCAGGTGAACAAGCATGGCAATTTTTTTGTTGGGGGGAATTGGGGGGAAAGGAAATATATTTGGGGCGGTCAAAATAAATCTGACGATATCCGAAATCTGAGGGGAAAGTAAGCAAGAGCTCAATAAATGACAACTGTCAATGGTCCGGAAATAAGCCACTAGAGCTACTAATATATAGAGGTGTATTGTTTTTTTTTAATGAATTAGGAATGTGTCAAACCGCAGAATGGTGTATAACAAAATAACAAATGTACAAAGACGTTGGCTGCGCACTATCTACGGCTGTATAAATAAATGTGTGGCATGTTTTGTCTACCAAAGCACCAATGTTTGTAATGCTTTCATTGGCCCAAAGTGTGTCAACAAACCCGATGATTCACTCTCTACCTTCAACTTGTTATGAATCTTAACAGCGAAGAAAATACACATAATTTAACTATTTGCTGGATAAAGTGTTGAGGGAAAACTGGGGAGGGGGCGGGGGTTGGAGAAGGAAACAACTTGGAGGGGGGATGCTATCCCCTTCCATGCACCCCCCCCCCCCAGTGGCGCTGCCAAGTGAAAATATTTAAATACTTTTTATCTTCTTCAATGAATTGGATGACCGCAGGTTTAGAGCTAGGACAAAATAGGCTCAATTCACTACAACTTGAAAATGCTAAAACCCTAAAAAACGTGTTAATTTTTAACGCAGATAGCGATATTTAATTATCATAATACTGAATGACAACAGTGCAAACAGTTGTTGCTATGTATGAGTCAAGTGTATCTGATGGATACGGCCATACGCGAGCGCCTGGCCAGCGGGATAAAGTGCTTAAACCGGCACGGTTGGAGAGATTTAGTGCGTGGATTTCACAAGGTGTACTTCATAAATTAGTGATTGTCAAACATTCTGCTCGGGGTGTACTTAAAAAACACACCAAAAAAACCCCACACACAATTGAAAAGGGCAGACTGGCACCCCGTTGCTTTTAATACCGCGGCCTCCGATCATGCTGATACACCATGCTGACTTGAAGCAGTCTAGGTATACGACCTTGAGGCGGGTAGTGAATCATTATGGCCAGCCGATTCTTTAACACGCGAATTACAATGATTTCGAAATTTTGAAGTGTCCTTCCCAATGTGCTTGGAAGGTTTGTTCGTTGTTTCGGTTAACGCATTGCTAGGCAACGGATCGTTGCTAACAACAACATAAGTGTCTTTGCACGCAAACGTCTGGCGTTGGCCTGGAACGTACGGCGTTACTCATGTAACTGGTATGCGGCACTATTTTTTCTGGTTATTCTGAGGGGCCCTGAAAATCAACTCGCCAAGGCGCACGTAGTCTACATTATTTCGTCCATATTGAGTCCTTTTTACAATGGTTGTTGCCATCAGTGGAGCGCCCTCAAAGAATACAGCAGTATATACAAATCGGGCACGCTAACAATTCTTTGACGAAGGCCTTCTTCAAAGGCGAAAGTATTGAGTGTGCTCGCTTTTGTTCAGATAATCCTTGACGGGGCAGGTTTTTTTGTACAATAGCATGCGCAACGGTTTCGCCCTCCATAGCAGGGGGCCGCTAGCCCTCCATAGCAGGGGGCCCGCTTACTCCCCCCCCCCCCCCCGGAAAAGCAACACAAAAATAGGAAGAATCAGTGGGGTTGGGGTGGGCAAATGCCCCTCGGCCCACCCTCGAAAATGAGAATATGCTACAGAAAGTACAAGGATTTTTGGAAATAATGTGCTTTGCCCCCATCTATAAAAAAAAACCCCTAGCAACGACCATGGGTCTAGTGAGTGTACAGAGATTAGGTGCCCAGATTCGTCTATATTTCTGAGGTTTGGAGAAAAATTGCCTTTTGTGGACAAAGCTCTTACAGTTCTGTGGTCGAATTTCCGAGTACCTTTAATTGAGCAATGTCGCTAAGACAAATGGTGCCCGCGTGGTGCTATAATCAGCGCAGCGGGATGTATCGTCTGCTCAGCGCATTTTGTCGATTGCGTTGTCCACTTCGTGAACGGAGCAAGGCCAGACGGACAAGATCTGAATGAGACATGGTCTTCAATCTGAAAGAGACACGGTCTTCATTCAAATTTGTGTAGACTTCGAAACCGACTCTTCCTTCAAGAAACTGCTGATGTCACGAAGCTCTGTTGACACAAAATTCGTCTGTGACTTAGAAAAAAAACCCTGTTAACTATTTCATGGCTATCGCATCACAAGCCATATGGAGGTTTTTTTCCCCACGAATACGGGAATAAAAGTACAT